GGCCACACTTGGTTGTGGTGATCCCGGCCGGGTGGCCGCTTTTTTGTTTCCCTTTTTCTCTGTGCGGTGGCGGTTAGTTTCCCCCCCCTTCCCCCCCCCCCCCCCCCCCCTCCTTTATCGAGGTGATTGATCTAACATTGTGTCGGCAGGGCAATTGCAAAAGATGGGCATCCTGAAGGATAGCAAGGCTCAAGAAACACCTGGTAACTCCAAGCGCAAGTCGATTCACGAAGATCTTGCAAATCTGGGTCCAATCAAGCCAGGGGGAGCTGCTGGATTCCTGAACTTCCGGGATAACGAACCCAAGGCGCGCAAGGGCAGAAAGGCCGATGATGACATGGACAGTGATGATGACGATACGGACAATCCCATTCTTGGTAAAGCCGATGATGAAGAAAGCAAAGATAAGAATGATGATCAGTTGTTATCCCCGGATGATATCGAACGTCAGGGAGAGCTAGCGGAGAGCATGCGAAAGATTCGAGTACGCTATAACTACCCTCACCCCTCTGGTTCTAGGCTTTGCTAACCGTGCTACAGCTCAAGCGCCAACACTCAGCCGAACCTCCTGGTGGCAGCGCAGGCGACTCCGCCGACACCCCCGGCTCCGGTTCCGGGCTGACACCTCCGGCCACCGAGCGCTCAGCCACACCTCCCAAGGGCACTGCAACCGTACCAGGGCCCGAGCCAACCCAGCCAGCTACTGAACTATCCGACGGGCTCTTTGGAAGCCCTCTGAAGAAGCAGCGAGCTAGTGTCTCCACCGCGGACGAGAATGCCTTGAGACGCCGAATCGCCGAGTCATCTGGCAGGATCAACGAAGTCCTAGGTTCTTCTGCCCCCACTGAATCCACCAACACGTCGAACACATTTGGCAACAGCCTCAATCTTACCCCCGAGATGTCGGCCGGTCCGCCTGTTGAGGAGGAGCTGTAAACTGTGCCCTCTGGATGAGGGTTATCTGGGGGTGGTCTGACTTGATACATTGTTTGCTCCATTGGGCCTATTAGCACTGCTTGTATCCCTTGTCCGAGGATGAGGATAACGGGACCTTTGCCATATACCATGCTCTTGACTGTTGTTCGTTGCTATCTTACGCCGTTATGTCCACTTCCTCCACTACAGGAACCATTCAAAGCAATAAGCAATACCATACTGCGCCAGACAGGGCAGTTTGACCATGATCTAGTAATCTTACCTCAATGCGTTGGGGGGTGTAGAGATGGAGACACGTAGGAACGATAGTATCTGCAGCACTCGTAGCGGGAGTGGACTATCCTTCAACATCGTTGATTTTTTAAACCTGACAACTGCAAGTTTGAACAGCTCCCATCTTTCCCACCATTGATTATACCCATTGAATCTATTATTCTTTGCCTCATGCTCCGAACCATTTTCCGACCGTTTCGTTTGACCGGCCTTCTCCACCACGTCCGAGATTCTGCCCCCGTTTCCCTCCAGACCTCTTACAGCTTCCTCCAGCCCACGAAGTTTCTCTCTACCATGCCTCTCCAACGCTCCGCGGACCCGCTCGTATGGATCGACTGCGAGGTGCGTCCCGATCTGCTGCAGATGCGACGCGCTAACTCCCACAGATGACGGGTCTCAACCCGGACACCGACCAGATCCTCCAGATCTGCTGCTTTATTACGGACGCGCAGCTCAATCTACTCGAGCCCCAGGGATTTGAGACAGTCATCCACGTCCCTGAGGCCACCCTCACGGGCATGAACCAGTGGTGCATCGACACACACGGGCGCACGGGCCTCACCGCCGCCGTGCGCGCCTCGACCACTTCCCCCTCCACCGCCGCAGACCAGCTCCTCGCCTACATCCGCCAGCACGTCCCAACCCCGCGCACTGCCCTGCTCGCGGGCAACAGTGTGCATGCCGATAAGGCATTCCTTGCATGTGCACCATATGCCCAGGTATTGGATCATCTCCATTATCGCATTTTGGACGTGAGCTCCTTCAAGGAAGCGGCCCGGAGGTGGGGGAGTGATGAGCTGTTGAAGCAAGTGCCCCCGAAGCGAGAGGTACACTTGGCGCGCGATGATATCCTGGAAAGTATCGAGGAAATCCGATTTTACAAGGAGAAGCTCTTTGTGGAGCTCTAATCAATAGTGACGCTATTTTTATTTGGGATGTCTCAGAGGACAGAGACATGGGGGCGACTTGGAAAATCTTGACTTTGCCATGTACGAGTACATTGGACACTGTACTCTGTACAGAGTATGATTTCATGCATGTATCCATTTGTAGTTGATGTGAAGTACGAGTACGGAGTACTCTGTACTGCATCATGAAGAGACTACACTGGTCCTGTAGGGGTCTAGACTTGAAACAAGTAGAGATGAAATTGTTCACCCCAAATAGGAGAACAAATAAGGACAATTGGCAATTCTAGTCCCGGTAGTCGTACAATAGCGTACAGTCCAGTCCCTAATTATATCCTAATTGTCCTAATTGACCTTGTCGGAGGTACCTGTACCTCCTTTACTTGTTTAGTGGGATAAACACATGACGCCCCTCCCGAGAGCTACAAGTCGGTGAACTTTCCCCTCTCTTTTCTTTTCTCCCCCTTGCACATCCCGTTTTCTCTCACTCTGCAATTCATCATGTCGGTTCAGACGGTCTCAATCACCCCCTTCACCGACCAGAAGCCTGGAACGTAAGTTGTTGAACTACCCCGCCATTGTCCCACCATGGTCCTAACTTGCCCAGCTCCGGCCTCCGCAAGAAGGTCAAGGTCTTCCAGCAGGCTCACTACTCCGAGTCCTTCATCACCAGCATTCTCTTGTCCATCCCCGAGGGCGTTGAGAACTCCTTCCTCGTCATTGGTGGCGATGGCCGTTACTACAACCCGGAGGTCATCTCCAAGATCGCTAAGATCAGTGCCGCCTATGGCGTCAAGAAGCTGCTGGTCGGCCAAAATGGCATCATGAGCACCCCCGCTGCCAGCAACCTCATCCGCGTGAGAAAGGCAACTGGTGGTATCCTGCTGACTGCCAGTCACAACCCCGGTGGTAAGTGATGGCTAGGAATCCCGGTAATGTTTACCAGAGCCTAACACGATTCTAGGTCCCGAGAACGACTTCGGTATCAAGTACAACTTGGCCAACGGTGCCCCCGCTCCCGAGTCCGTTACCGACAAGATATTCGAGACCTCCAAGTCCTTGACCTCCTACAAGATCGCCGACGTCCCCGATGTCGACACCACCACCATTGGCACCAAGAGCTACGGTCCCCTCGAGGTCGAGGTCGTGCACTCCACTGCTGACTACGTCACCATGATGAAGGAGATCTTCGACTTCGATCTGATCAAGGAGTTCCTGAGCTCCCACAAGGACTTCAAGGTGCTGTTCGACGGCATGCACGGTGTGACCGGCCCTTACGGCGTGGACATCTTTGTTAAGGAGCTCGGTCTGCCCGCCAGCAGCACCATGAACTGCCAGCCCAAGCCGGACTTTGGTGGCGGTCACCCCGATCCCAACCTGGTGTATGCCCACGAGCTCGTTGAGGCCGTCAACGCCAACGGTGTGCACTTCGGTGCGGCCAGCGATGGTGACGGTGACCGTAACATGATCTACGGTGCCAACACTTTCGTCTCTCCCGGTGACAGCTTGGCCATCATTGCCCACCATGCCAAGCTCATTCCCTACTTCCAGAAGCAGGGTGTTTACGGTCTGGCTCGCTCCATGCCTACCTCCGGTGCTGTCGACCGCGTGGCTGTGGCCCAGGGCCTGAAGAGCTACGAGGTCCCCACTGGCTGGAAGTTCTTCTGCAACCTCTTCGACGAGAAGAAGATGTCCATCTGTGGTGAGGAGAGCTTCGGCACCGGTAGCAACCACATCCGCGAGAAGGACGGCCTGTGGGCTGTTGTTGCTTGGTTGAACATCATTGCTGGTGTCGCCAAGGAGAAGTCCAGCGAGACTCCCAGCATCGCTTCGATCCAGAACGAATTCTGGCAGACCTACGGCCGCACCTTCTTCACTCGCTACGACTACGAGAACGTCGACAGCGAGGGCGCTAACAAGGTCGTCGGCACACTTTCTTCTCTTGTCGCCAACCGCGACACCTTCATTGGTTCTTCCATTGGCACTCGCAAGGTTGTTGACGCTGGAAACTTCTCTTACACCGACTTGGACGGTAGCGTCTCCAAGAACCAGGGCCTGTACGCCAAGTTCGATGACGGCAGCCGTATGGTCGTCCGTCTGTCCGGTACTGGCAGCAGTGGCGCCACTATCCGTCTCTACGTCGAGCGCTACGAGGCCGACAAGAGCAAGTTCGGTCTCAGTGCCCAGGAGTACCTGGCCGACAACATCTCGCTGGCTCTCTCCCTGCTCAAGTTCAAGGAGTACGTTGGCCGTGAGGAGCCCGATGTTAAGACCTAATTTTGGAACTGGTTGTGAGGGTCAATGTGGAACCTGCTGGATGGGGATCACCTTTTAATTTTATAGTTCTGTCTCACCTAGAGGATGGACAAGAAGAATCAAAAGATATGAACTATGCATGCGATAGAAAGTACTAACACGGTATAATACAAGCCTATCTCGTCTTCGTTTAGAGCATCAAGATTCTGGTCTTGGGTTTCTTCATTCATTGATGGAGAAGATGGTTACTAAAATGAGACCTCGCTTTCAGTAAATTCACTGTATAGTATACTCCCAGGGCCGCAAATTTTGAAAGCCCACGCACAGTTCTAGAGGCAGCTTAGTAGGTTTGATGAGGAAGAACCTTGGACGATGCGTATCTTGTATCGCCACCAGCACCCAGGAAAGGAAGCCCTACTTCGTACTTTGTACGAAGCCCAAGGAGTCGCTCATAATGTCCACAATATTCACCAGGCTCAATATTCGGTTGTGGCGTACTAACAGTCGACTGGTCACTTCCAAGGTTCGTGTCAGTTCTGCAGAATGTTTTGATTGCCATCTACATTCTACAATCCCCAAGTACAGATTACTTTGTAGCACGAGGCAGTCATGCTTCTTCGCGGTCCATTGACATGAGCTTTTGAACATATCCAATTTACTGGGTCTACAGGTTCAGCTTCATGTTGACAAAGGAAAAACCTCAGGGGCAGCACGGAGTGCTCTGTACTCTGTAGCGGCTGGATCTCATGCAAATACGAGTACACACTGCAGGGGTAAACTCTCTTTCGGTTTGGAGATGTCTCAAAGACCGAGCAGTTTCGAGAAAGGGGGGCCTCACCTTTCAAGCTTCGTGCAAAACAACCCTTACATGAGCCGATTTCGCAGCCAATGTGCACCCCTCGCTTCATTACAGACTGTGTTATGGCTGCTTCGTTCTCTGCTGGACTTGACAGTTGATGCTCAAGTGGGAGATGAGCTCCGCTGCTGTCAACAACTTACTTATGGGGAACTACTGAATCCTCACAGCTCTCGGGATACTTTGCATGGAGTACTCCGTACCTACTATCAAGCCTTAAAAACCCTGGAATCACTTGAGCACTTGCACCTTCTGGATAATACAGCAATATATACTCCGCACTTCTCAATATTCCAAGATTGTATACATCACATTATCATAAACTACTCACCGTTTACATGTCATTGAAGTCCATGTGCACCCGTCAGCCCTTGCAATTTCCGCTAAGATGAGGCTTCCTGTAGGGCTTGGGTGCAGTTGTCGATCATGATGATTGAGCCAAACGGATGATCGCAGCCACTGCTCAAGTGTCGAACCATTGGCCCCTCGAATGTGAGGGACCTCTCCATGACCGTGCGGCTCACACCAAAAACAAATCCATGAATTCAACTCATGAACTCCGTACTCAAGTATATATTGCAGCCTCTGTTGACAACTTCTGTCCATCAAGTCACTCACTCCTAGTCACTCTTTTCCTGACCTTTACTTCTTGTATACATCTCTCCTCACCAAGTCACTCATTCAATCTTTCGGATATCTCATCTCACAATGAAGTTCACTGGATTTACTTCTTCCCTCGCCCTCGCTGGCATCGCTTGCTCCGCCGCCCTCCCCGCCCTCTCGGGTGTCGATGACGTCGACAGTGCTGTCAATGGAGTTGAGGGAACCCTAACCAACGGTGTTGTGGGACCTGTTCTGTCTACTGCTGGTGGTCTGGCCGGCGCCATCAAGCGCGAGGATCTTGCCGCTCTTGGCTCGACTGTTCAGACTGTTCCCAGCATTGCCAACGGCGCTGTTGCCATTGCTGGCAGTGGGGCTGGTACCGCCGAGAGCCTGGTTTCAGGCGCTGCGGGCTCCGTTGAGGGTGCTGTCGCCCCGCGGGGTGACCTTGCTGGTCTCGGTTCCACCGTGCAGGCTGTCCCAGGTGTCGCCAATGGCGCGATGAAGATTGCTGCCGGCGCCGTTGGTACTTCAGAGAAGGTTGCCTCCAACGCCGTATACACCGCGGAAGGTCTTGCTGCCAAGGCTGGCAGTCATGGCAAGCGTCAACTCGAGACACTCGCAGGTCCGGTGGTTGGCTCCACTGCCGCTGTCGTTGGAAGTGCCGTCCCCGCCGTCGTTCATCGTAAGTTCTTCTGCTTTTCGCGTTCTCACTTTTTCTAACTGTTTGTCAGAAGTTGAATCCACTGTCAGTGGTGCTACCAAGCGTCAGGCTCGCGGTCCCGCTGATGCCGTTGAGCAATCTGTCACCGGTACCCTCGCTGCTCTGTCTTCGAACCCTAACGGCCTCTTTGGTGCTCTGACCGACCTCAAGCACGCTGCCGATCTCGGTGAGATCACCTCAAGCCAACTTGCTGAGGTCCCTTTTCTTCATCAGGTTATCATCCTCCTCGACCTCTGAAAGCATCAAATTCTCAACTTGCCATGCACCTCAAGGCATCACGACCATGTCTTATCACTGCATTCATCTTATGCTCCCTTCGCCCGTTTACAGCGCCCTGTGGAAATTTCTATTGTTCATCCAACTTTCATGTATATTAAACAAGGGTCCTCTGATACCTCTAGATGCCCTCCCACGAGCCATCTGGGAGGAACCTTTAGCCTCCACAAATGAAAACTACCTCTTCTCGGCAATAATGTCCTGATTTATCTCGTTGTGATAGTTGGGCAGACGTACTTCAAGGTTTCAAGTTGTAGATTTCCAATATAAGATATAATGCTCCCAATCCTGGCAAATCATATGAGGCCATAAGGCCGTTGGAATCTCCTTTACAGATCCATAGGCACAATTTGATCTAGAACCATGCTGCTGACAATTGTGGCCCTGGTCGTCGACAATATATCCAGAGCTCGTATGACGAATGTCTCACGATTTGGAATACCGTTGTGCATAGTGTGCATAGTGAATGCGAAGTGGAGACGGGAAAAAAACAAAATACGAAAACGAGAGAAGTAGTCAAATTCCCATTGCACCAATCAGAAGACAGTCAAATCATCCGGGCCTCGGACGATTTCCTATTCCGTCGGTTATCCTGAGCTCCGTGGCCCAGACCCAGGGCCAATTGGTAAGGAACTTGTCTTCTGACCTCGGTCCACAGATAGTCTGATAAGTTGCCCCCAAGTACAAGAAGCGCAGGATGTTCTTGCGATTTGGTTATTCTGCCACCTCTCTCCGTACTTTGACGACGTCATACTTCTCCCCGCGAACTCTTCTTCCTTCACGTCACTACACCATGTCTTCAGCTACTTCTTTCTATGATTTCGAGCCCGTCGATAGTACGTATCCAGCTCTTGCATCCCTTCGAAATATCTGCTAACGCCGAACAGAGAAGGGCACCCCCTTCCCTCTCGCCTCACTCTCTGGCAAGGTCGTTCTGGTCGTGAACACCGCCTCTAAGTGCGGCTTCACCCCTCAGTTCGAAGGTCTCGAGAAGCTCTACCAGAACCTGAAGACCAAATACCCCGAAGATTTCACCGTCATCGGTTTCCCATGCAACCAGTTCGGCAGCCAGGATCCCGGCTCCGACGATGAGATCCAGTCCTTCTGTCAACTCAACTACGGTGTCTCGTTCCCCGTACTTGGAAAACTCGATGTGAACGGTGACAACGCCGCGCCCGTCTGGACTTTCATGAAGGAGCAGCAGCCTGGTCTGCTGGGCCTCAAGCGTGTCAAGTGGAACTTCGAGAAGTTCCTGATCTCCGCTGACGGAAAGGTGACCTCTCGCTGGGCTAGCACCACCAAGCCCGAGGGCCTGGAGGATACTATTGTCAAGGAGATCGAGAAGGCCAAGAAGGCTGGCACCCTTGCCTCGCAGCAGGGTGGCGCCGAGCAGGCTAAGCTCTCTTAGATCGCTATGTCTACTTTGATGATTCCCCTTTGCCGACTTTTTGTATCTACTACATCCTTTCCTTTTGATGCTTGTGAAATACCCTGCCAAGACCATTATGGGAGTCTCCATGTGGTAATAAATAATTTGTATCATTTTTAAACCTCTCCCAAACTCTAGATAGGAGGCCTCGGATTTTACTAATTCTGGGATCCGAATCTTGTAACCCAAGTATCGCAATCCAAATATAGATCCATAGCTGTCATCTATACCTTCCGGGGTCGCCCGAACTAGGCAGAAGGGCCTCCTTTGGGGACCAGATTGCGCAGTGACAGGTCATAGACCACATCCTCGACCTTCTTGACCTATAGTAGCACTCGAATTAGAACCTAGACCGGAAAAGACCTCGGGTGGAACAGGGTTAACATACGCTGTACTTGATACCATCACTTCGCTTGCGCAGGATGTCGTTCTTGAGGTTCAGGAGCTGGAAGCCAGCGAAAAGTTCTTTGATGAAAGAACCAATCTGCATCGGGCGGTTGTAATCACCCAGTGTAACTGAGTTGACAGCCAAGCGAGACTGTGGAAAGTCAGTGGCAATCGAAGGTGGGTATGAAATGCAGAACGAACCAGCTCCTCGACCATGGCAATCAGGGCCAGCAGATACTCTTCAATAGTCAAGTGGAATGCATCCTCATCCTTTAGGTTGACGGGGACTGCAACTGGATTAGCTCTGGCATCCAAAGTACATCGGACTTGGCATGGTGCATGGCTTACTTTCCAGGAACTTGCCCACATCTTCAATAGTCATGAATGATGCTGAGTTGGGGCCCTTGTGTTCCTGCAAACCACCAAGCCAAGCGCAAAGCTCAATCGAGGCAACCTGGTACACGAGTCAGTACAGGCAGGAGTTGGGTGGCTGGGAAAACCGACCAGGTTCTGCAGCTCACGGGTCCACAGTCCGTTATATTTGTAGAAGGGGTGCTGATCAACCACGGACTTCAGACGTGCGACCTCTTGTTTTTGAGCAATGATCTCCTTGGTGACATCGTCAAGCACAGGCTTCACTGTGAGAGTTTAGTGAGACAGCCTTAGAAAACCAGTCTGATAACATCGCACACACGAAGACGGTCACGATTATCATCACTTGGTAGATCGTAAATATTTACTCACGTTGATCGGCAGGTGTAGAATGAGCCCGCGACAGAATGGCCTGAGTGGAACGCCCTACACGGGTACGCCGTCAGCTTTTCTCGACTTGACTGCCATTTGAGTACCACCAGAGGGCGCAGATGTGGCGAAATTCTTCCTCGAAGATTTTCTGGGCACATACCTCTCCTGGCAAGTGCCTGGACAATATCATGGAGCTCCTGTGGGCAGTTGTTAGCTATCGTGTTTGGCCGCGTTCAAGGCTTGGCGCGCGAAGAATTCACCACGCCCACGACAAGCTGACTTACATCACGGACGGTGGTCTCCTCATCGATCTTCGTTTGAAGATCCTCAAAGATTCGTTGGTCAATCATTGTGTTGTTTGGTTGGAGTGGTAGATTGTAGAGGAAATCCAAGGGAGATTTACGAGGTGCGGTGCAGACCGCGAGTTACGTCAAAAATCTACGCCGTAGGAAAGGAAGCTTGCAGCACACCAATGCCGATGCATTTATGCTTGTCAAAATAAGAAATACATCTTTCGTCATCCTTGTAGAGTACGCAATCTTTTTTCAAAATTTTATCTAGCGAGTTTGGATGGTGGTAATGTTCGTGGATGTATATCTATATTCACTGCCCAATGACTCTGAGATCGTGCGAAACACCGCTCGCACATTAATCAATTAACACATTCTACATTTATAATTTGTCTACGTTAGAAAGCAAGAGAGCTCATCAACCTGATCGGAGTTTGAGAGTAGTGGTTTAAGTGTATTTTTTGTAAATCAAAATCACCATGAGGCTACACCAGGAAAGAAATGTACTCCAGATCCGTATCTTCAGGTCTAGGGTGCCCAGGTGACCAAATTCATCCGCAAATCATCGTAAAATCGTAAATAAGCGACACGGACTGCCGGGCGCCAGGGAATATGCGCGAGGGAAGGGTTTAGTATCGGTACCTGGTGGAGTAGTCTGTGCAACAGTTAGCGGATAGCCTCTCCATCCTGTAGAGTCTGCTCACCTTTCGGGCTGACCACCAGACCACGGCCCTTTTTGGCACCCTTGTAGATGGTCTCGATGATGTCGATGAGCTCCTGCTTGTCCTCCAGCACCCAGTTCAACTTGTTGTTGTTTCCGGTTCCGAAATCACACATCATGTGTTTGTTGCGATAGAAGAACATGATGGTCATGGGATCGTACAGCTCGTACATCTGGTTGAAGTCCGGGACCTGATCGATGTCGCAAAGGTAGATCACTGCGAAATCTGGAGACATGTTAGATGTAGATAGTTTCACTCTGGATGGGCCACCCACTCTTCACTCGTTCGGCAATCTTGTAAAGCAGCTCATCTTGGCGAATACCTGAAGCCCTTCTGTCAGTATGATGGTGGGTGTGGGTTCCGCGTCAGGTACTCACAGTCGGGATCGTGGTCGCGACCGAAGCGGATCACGACCAAGCGCTCTTCCTCAGAGAGGATGGCCTGGTCAACATGCCAGGCTGACTGCAGGTGAGGCAGGACGATTGAACCCATCGCGACAGTTGCCTTTGCGTAGATCGAGGTGCGTAAAGATGGGAAAAATCGAGCTTATCGATTAGCCCCGCGATAGAGCTCGTAGGCACGTGACTGGAATCTTTGCGACAGCGAGGTTGTCAGAACCAGGAATGTGGTGGTGATTGCGCAAGTAAAAGGTATGAACCGGACAACCGCACCCTGAGCTCAACGTGAAACGATGCCTACCCAGGTACTTGCCACAGGTCTTTTTAACAAAGTTGTGAGGACTGCGCGTCTCACGTTTTACAGAGTACGAAGTGCATGGGAATCTACGGTCGCTCAAGAGGGCTACGAACGGGTTGGTCGTTACGATCTGGCCATCCTCGAACTATGTACTCCGCACGGGATACACAGCACAGTCCAGAGTACGGAGAATGCTGCGGTGACTGAATCACACGAGAATCGACGAGGTGCGGCGGCTATGGCTCAACAAGAGTTGGGGTGCTGTAGATGTATGGAGTTGCCTCGTCGAAAGCAGAAAAGGACATTTATTTATCGAGGTCTCTTCTCCAAGCGCGCGGACAAGCCGAACGAGTGATGAAAAGGTGTTTGCGTCGACCGGGGGTAGTGTAAGCCCAGTGACACTGTGCCCCAAGACATGTGCAAGCACAGAGGCCAAGGAGCGAGATCCAAAAATGAGAATAATCAAAAATGTTTCCCGGAGGAAACTTTCAGAGATTAAACTGAAAAGAACAGATACTACACTTGATCTAAGCCAATAGGCAAAGAGAGCTAAAGAAGAAAGAAAAGAGAGGAAGGGCGGATTGAGGGAGGCTTCTTTTATACCCGTGGGCAGGGGACGCTAGCCACTAGCCTCGAATACGCGAGCCAATCAAAGCTCGACTCTATTATTGAGGCCTCAGGCACCAGGTACTCGTGACCGAAATCACATGACTACCATCCTCCGACTTGCCCTAAGCGTCCCAATCCGGACTAGCGCAGCACACCTGCGGTGAATTTTCGACAATCTGAGCTCCACCGTGGATTTTAGGACGTTGTCTTGACCATCTCTCTCGCCGGCGCAGGATATTCACCTCTTTGCGACCTTTCCCAATCCTCCCAATTTCATTCTCCCCCCAACCATCAAAAATGGCCCCCGTTGTTGTACGTTGAAACCGCTTTGCTGTTCCCCCAATGGCGTCTTCAGGTTTTCCTTCGAACTGCAACGGGTCTCAATATTGAAAAATCTATTGAGACCTCGACGTCGCGGGAAAACTTGCAAGACTGTCACTGGGACTCGACCCTATGGAGCAGTAGGCTAATTAGATTTTTTTCGCTGGTATAGGCTCGTGGTCGCAAGGCCCAGAAGGTTACCCAGAAGGTATGTGGATGAAATTTGCGCAACAACTGCGAACGTGCTCTAATCTTCTTCAGTTCGTTATCAACGCTTCTCAGCCCGCCTCCGACAAGATTTTCGATGTCTCCGCCTTCGAGAAGTTCCTCCACGACCGCATCAAGGTCGAGGGCCGTGTCGGTAACCTCGGTGACAACGTCGTGATCTCCCAGTCCGGCGATGGCAAGATCGAGGTTGTTGCCCACATCCCCTTCTCCGGCCGCTACCTGAAGTACCTGTAAGTTTTCCTACCGACCGACCGCCCCGACATGGCGCAGATCCGCTGACCATGATCTTCAATTTAGCACCAAGAAGTACCTCAAGAAGCAGCAGCTCCGTGACTGGCTCCGTGTCGTCTCCACCTCCAAGGGTGTCTACGAGCTCCGCTTCTACAACGTCGTCAACGACGAGGCTGAGGAGGATGAGGAATAAGCGTGTCGCCGACACGTTTGATCTTCTGCCTTGATCGATCGGTCCTAGTCTGTGCATCATGCTTGGATCGTCCCTTTGGGACCGAGAGCGAGAGCCATGGGGGGATAGATTGGTCTATGAGGCCACGAATAAAATCAAAAAATTTTATACCCTATATACCTTCACTTTTATGCTTTGTAGAATGGCTGTAACATAATGTAGAATAGCTCGTTGCATTACTAGAACGGAGTGCTTTCTATAAGCTCTATCTGTATGCATTCGCTTTGATCACTAGCTCGGCTTTGGTTGCCAGGGCCATTCAATCTGATGCAAACGCAGGGTATCTCGTATCATTGTCCAACCGCCTCAGTAGTCAAGGCTGATCCCAATCGTTTGATAGATAGAAAGAATCTTGCTGCCAGTGCCTATCGACCGGAAGGAGGGATGAGTTGATTGTTCTCCATTTTCCATCCTCCTTTTTGATATGTCTTCCACTTTGTGCCTAGCTTCATCCTCACCAGATCACCCGTAGCGACAGAGTCCTCCTTTGAGTCATGTCCACCATCCCCGACTTGGATCTCACGACCAAGCTGTTTTTGCGCGAGGATCTTCAGGCTGTTACGGATAGGAAGGCCCCTGGGATGGGGAAATAAGAGGACGGTGTCAATGACCGTGGGGTGAATTATTCGGCAAACGTTCAAATCATTGTCGATTGCATGGCCAATGAGAGGTGTCTCTGGCTGAAGCAGGCTCAGAAGTAACTCCCGAGCCTCTGCAGGCGACTTCACGAGCTGCAGAGATACACTGGCCTTGCCCTTCTCATCGGTGTGTGTGTTTGATTTGGAGGCCTCAGCGTCATAAGGTTTGGCGGAAGCAAAGTCTTGTGGTGCCACCCCAGAAAAGCGTGTGTTGAAATCCAAGATCTCCCCCATGGGTCGAACTAACACGTCGAGCACATTGCGGCCTTCCGGCCAGCTGACAGCAGTGAGGCGAATCAGCTCTAAACCCAGTGTCGTGTAGCCCATCTCGCAATCAATGGATAAAGGCTCCATGGCTCCTTTGTTGGGTTGTGGCGGGGTGGTTTTGAATTGAAGAATTGAAGCAAGTCGTTTGGCTTCCGATACTTTAAAAACGTGTGTCTTAGCTTTGGTGCAGCCGGTAGAGGCTCCGATGGATTGGTTGCAGCAAGGGAAGAATGGGTCTGCCGAGCCTGTGACATGATCTGTCTTCTTGCGTCGGGGGTGAACGGGTCGCCCTTCATGATAAGTGCATTGGCCGCCAGTAGTAAGTGTACCATCGTCACGACGGCCTGGGAATACCTGGAACCGTTGCCCACACCTATCGCATTTTTCCCAGCCCTTGGACTCGTCCACGCCTCTTTGAGCGGCCTCAATTTCTGCCTGGGTTGGGACTTTTGTGACATACCCATGTGCCTCGAGACCTGCGAGGGGTGTGACGAGCTTGGGTACAAAGGAGATTTCTTGTGCCGGGGTAAGGCCGGTGTCAATGAGAATGGGGGTGGGCCCCACCGAGGGCTTTTCAACCGGATTGATCTTATAGTACCGCCCATTCAAATGGGCCATAACCTCTTTGACCCATGTTTCAAGATCCATTTTGGTGAGTTTCACGATACGAAGCTTGATAACATTGCTGTAAACACCAGGGTTGTCCCTCGCACACTTTTCTTCCTCGTCTAAAGCCATTGTTATGATCTCGTCTGGGGTCAATAGGAAACAATGATTCGAGCGATCTTTATCTTTGCGAAGCTTCTCGTTCAAGGCTGTCATAGAGGCGTGAAGCTTTTTGAGGATCGCAGTTCGGACGGTATGTGCTGCTGGCGCAGATCCAAGCATGCGAGGATTCAGACTTTCTTTTGGAGCCTGCCGTGGGGGAAGTTGAGCATTTCGAGGTGTATCTTTGGATTTCTCGGGCTCTTTTCCAGCCGATTTCGAGGAACCAGCCTGATTTGATATGGGCAGTTGCGTGGTCTTTTGGGGTGTTGCTTGAACCATGGTGTCATGGGCTGTGACTGAAGGGTTGGGAACGGCTGATTTCAAGGTATGACTTTCCACTTCGAGCGAGACCTTTCGAGCCCCAGATGAGTCGCCAGTCGTGACATCCATCCTTAGCCTCTTCGCAGAGGGTGCATTGTTGGCTGGAATCGGATCCTGCACTGTAGTCTTGACCGTTTCATCCGAGTGTAAGAATAAACATTTGAGCAGGTGACACTCTTTATCTTTGGGACAGGGTATGTCCGCAAAGCATCCGAGTGGTGTAAACATGATGCCTCGCAGGTAAGGATATGATATCAAGGCAGCAAGGCTTTGTTTGAATCCTGGAGTCGGTGTTCAAAGCCCGAAAGCCAATATTGCGTCGTGGAGTTCAGTAGTTGACGAGATCAGATTGCACAGATCAAGCGAGGCAGGTTAGTCTGTAATCGTCAAACGTTAAGTTGAATATCATCGCTCTTTCGTATCGTTCAACCCTTTTCAACGGGCCAACTCCATTAAGATCAGAGGTCTTCTGTGTTCCTCCCAATTAATCAGGATCTTAAATGTCACAAATACCAGAGGAGATCCAAAGATCAGATAAAATGGGAGAGCACAGTAGGCCAGGTGGAAGCTCTTCACGAAGTGATAAGTCGCGATGCAAAGAAAACAAACAGTTGCCTGGTTTTACAGGCAGAAACCACATCTCGAGTCACCCGTGGACGATCTTGTTCTTCTCGTTTAAAAGTTATTTTATTAATCTATTAAATGTCGGAGACGGAATTCCACCCTACGAATAATTCATCACTAATTCTAATCTTCTTGTAGGCTGTGCAAGAGAGAAGAACACGAAGGAATCGCAAAAGTCTTCTAAACCCCTTATCGCCGATAGCTCCATGCGCGGAGTTCGGACGAACAGCCACCCGCGCGACCTTTCCTACTTTGCTTTGTTTCACTACTTTACTACTTATTTCCCTTGGAGCTCTTGATGTTGCACCAGAAAACTTAACTATGTCGGAAGTGTCATCAACAGCCGACCACCTATGCGTATTGGTCCATGGGTACATTCAATGTTCCGAGCTATGACGTCTTCGGCTAACGCGACACAGACTCTGGGGAAAGCCCTCACACCTCGACTACGTCGCATCCACCCTGAAAGAGACATTCCACGATGATGTCTACATTTTGTGTCCAAAAGCCAACACCGGGAACTATACATATGATGGAATCGAGCTCGGCGGGGAACGATTGGTGCACGAGATTGAGGAAACACTCCATGAGTTAGCGGAGCGCGGCCAGAAGATCACCAAGATCAGCATGATCGGATATTCTCTTGGTGGTCTACTTGCACGCTATGCGATTGGCTTATTGGAAGCTCGGGGCTTGCTGGATAAGTTGGAACCGATGAACTTCACAACCTTCGCGACCCCTCATGTTGGCGTGAGAGCGCCGCTGAAGGGCTGGAAAGACTCCATTTTCAACGTCTTGGGTGCGAGAACGATCTCCCAGTCTGGCCGCCAAATGTTTCTTATTGATCAATTCCGTGATACGGGCCGCTCACTGCTGAGCGTTCTGGCCGACCCGGACAGTATCTTCATAAAAGGACTGAAGAAGTTCCAACGAAAAAGCATTTATGCAAACCTCGTGAATGATCGGTCAGTGCTGTTCTATACGTCTGCTCTCTCAAAAGTGGACCCTTTCGTGAATCTGGCAAATGTGAATATCAACTATGTCAAGGGCTATGAAAATGTCATTGTCGATCCTGATACTTATCTGCTGCCGCCAACGCAGCGCAAAACTGGGACTTTTGCAGAGCGTGTCTGGAAGAAATGCAAATCGGTAGCTTTCTGGGTTCCTCTCTCTTTGCTCCTGGTTGTCCTTGTGCCACTGGCTATTGCGATATTCCTCATCAATGCCGGAATCCAAACGTGTCGCAGCTCCAAGCGCATTCGAATGCACGAGAACGGCGGTCTATTTGGCAAATACAGAGTGCCACTGTTAGTCCAGGATGTTCAGCATGTCGTGGAACAGGTCTTTGAGAATGTCAATGCGAGCCAGGAGCCGGCCTATCTGTCCAACAGCGACACCGAGGTCTCGGACTCGGCACCCGATAAGGAAAACGGACCGTCTACCTCAACCCCTGCTCCTAGTGACATACAGGTTGAGGCCTCGTCGGCCCGAAGGCGTTCATCTGGGGCATCAGTCCACTCGCCCAAGCTTGCATTGACACCAGAACAATTTGATATCATCAACTCGCTCAACGAAGTGGGACTGCGCAAATACCCCGTGCATATTCATAAAAACCGACACAGCCACGCAGCGATCATTGTTCGAAGTGCTAAAGATGGGTTTGCCGAAGGCAAATTAGTGATAAAGCACTGGCTGGACCATGAATTCGCGGTATAATCTCACCTTGCAAGCACATTATTATTTTATCTTATTTCCACTATGAGCGTATGTACTTTTATGATTGCACTCCAATATACATCTATACACACATATATCAATATGTCAATGCAGATTCTATCAGCCTTCAATCCCTGGAGACACATCATAAGACACTCGACTGATCCCTTTTTGGCGGCTGATCTTGCGAATAATGATAGACCCCACGTGCCCCGTTCGTGGCACGTGGGTGCCACCGCAAGGATTATGATCCAAACCTCCAATGCTCGCTATCCTCGTCCGCCCATCGTGTGAGCGTCCCTCCTCGCCTTCCTCCCCCTCGACCCACGAGATAAGGATCGCCAGATCCTGTCGCACCAGCTCATCAACCTTTCCCTGGATTGTTGGCTTATCTTCATTGTACAGAAGACCCTCGTACTCCATTGATGCCTCCCTTGGAAAATGATTCGCCTTCACTTTCTTCTTCTCCGGCATCAATAGCTGCATCGCGAGTCCAACAATGTGACCAGCTGTGTGTAGCCGGGAGTGGTAGTTGCGTTTGGAGTCATCAATCTTCTGCACGACCATCTGGCCCATTGCAAAAGGCACGTCTTTGTATTTTCCGAAATGGAGGTATCTCCCATCGGGTGTTTTGCGGACCAGGGTCACTTCAAATGTGGCAGGTTGGTCTGATCCGATGGCGCCGGTGTCGCTGGGCTGCCCGCCACCTTGGGCATAGAAGATTGTCTCTCGCATCGTCACGACGCTATCTTCTGCTGGCACATTTTTGGCCAGACTCTGCTCTTCTTCAGATAAGGATGTGATGGGCTGTGAGGATATGACCTCTGTCGTCAAATCCCGAAGCGAGGCATCATGGAGGTAAAGAGCCTCTGTGGCCTCTGTATTAGACTGAGATGAAGCTTTAGTACACGCAGCTACCCGGTCAGATCTGACTTACCATGTTTGTGTGCGTGGTGTGTTGGGGATACAAGAGTAGTTTTGACGAAACACCGTAGTGAGTCATCTCGGCAAATATCTCCGCGCAGCCGACCTGCCTTTAACGCCGATTGAACTTCAATATACCTGCCCGGGTGGGTATACATCTCTTGTTAAGATTGTTCTTCAATCTTCAGAAATCCCACTGTGACTTTTTAATTCTGTAGCGTAACTTGCTTTCGGTACAATCAGAAATTCGATACACAAACAAAAACTCTCTATCAAGATGAAGTGAGTAGAACTTGACATGTTGGACCGTTGGAGCTTGTCCTAACTCTCACTCTTCGATTCTTTCAATATCCCGGTTGCTTCCAAGGTTGTAGTTTCTAGCTTCATCTGCTTATTATCCTGGCTTCACCACTCTACATTTCCATTCGCGCCATATTCTTTGCGTGAAACTTTTATGACCTGCGCTTTCGGGGACATCCATTCTAAAAGACCATTTCGTTGGACTTTTACCCTGCCATCCGCGTCACTGCACACCAAGTTCCCCATCTCAAAGCTGCTCGAAACTACCAAGTCTGTTGCACCACGCAGCAGTCACTTCATCTTCAACCGTCTCACCTTAATCAATACATTCTTCAAGGCAAGCCATGCAAGTGAACCCTCATGTTGGCTTTTTTCTGATCTTGTGCTAGTCTTCCCATGATTTCTTTGCAATCATGGATAGGCCAACTTCCAGCCTGTTGCAGTTTTTCCAGGGCTCCGAAAGTTTCTCTCTGACTGAACAAGAACTGGTGGTCACACCAAAGCTGGAGGGCAAGGTCAACTGGAACACCTGGGAAGCTTCTCTGTACAGCACACTGAACTCCCTGCATGCAGTATTCGCCGACATTCTTTGTGGAAATCTCAGAGCTCCCACGCCACCACGTTTGATGAAGGGGGATGAGATTTTTCGGAAAGCTCGCAACGAGCTAGAGGTACAAAAGAGTGTACACGAAAGAGCACCGACTGCAGATACTCTCACCTGGAGTGATTTATCGAACAAATGCAGCGAAATAAAAACCTTGGAAGAGGGTCGAAAGCTGTGTCACGAAGCAGAGAAGTTCCTGTACACCGTGACCACGACAAACCTCCGAAACTTCCTCACTGCTTGCTGTGAAGAAATCCCAAAGGCTCTTATCCAGGAGATTACTTGCCCACGACTCGCATTTGAGGCTTTGAAAAAGGAATACGGCCCCTTGTCACCCGCCCAGTTATGGAAACAGTTCACTGAGATGCGCTTTGATGGAGACGATGCGGCAGACTTCGTCAAATGTTTTCTTGCCGCGAAGCAGGAGCTTGAAGAAGAAATCGGCACCCTGTCACCTGCGCTTGAATCATATGTCTTCGTTGCTGCCGTCATGGACAATCCTTGGTGTGAAGTCTTCGTCCGGCACTTCAGACCAGGTTTTGATAGGTCCTCTCTCTCAGACTTGTATTATGGTTTTAAGCAGCAGAATGGGCCGGGCTCCATTAACAGGAAGCGAAAGGTTCCAGAGGCCTAGCCTAGATGGTCAATCCCAAAGCTGCTGTGGTGGCTCTTGGTTTTTCAAATTGCGGAGAGTGAAGACCAAAAGTAGCCTATCAAAATAAAAACCTCACCCATTTCACTTTCCACCGTTCAAGCCTCATAAGTGCAACTTTAGAAAGGTTCAGTTGCCTCCGAGAAATTTCAAAGCCAGCATCTTGGCTGTTGAAGCTCGGGAGAAGTATGAGGCTAATCCTTGGTACCTACTGATATTATCAAGGCCATGTTCGAACTTTGAGTTTATCTGCTACTAAGATATCATGACTATGGTTGGAATCAACTACTTCCAAAGTTTCTCGTCCAGGGTTGTTCAGGGTTGTCCACGGATGCCTGTTCAAGTTTAACGCGCATCAAAAGCGGGATTAGTTTGATATTCCCCTCTTCTTGACCATGGATCATTTGAAAAACCCCGGGAATTAGAAACCTTGAAATGACGACCGTGACGTCACTAACAGAATCCGGGGTAGGTCTAGCGAGCATTGAAATGGCAATATGCCATTTCCTTTTGGAGAATCAGTCTGTTTAGAAAAGGCAATCTATATGTTCTATGTGTAGACAGCATTTTCTACTTGGACTCATCGGTGATTGGTATCATGGCACATCTGAAGATACTATGTCTACTACCTATCCACCTAAAACCAAAGAAATGATTATGTAGTGCAGATATCTGATCTTCGACGTATTGAATTTATATGGAACAATGAAACATTCACGTGTAAGTGTAAATAAAATTGGGAATCATGTCATAAGAAGCAGCGGAAAAAAAGTGAGCATGGACTTGTTTGAAGCCCGAAGTGTCGGTGGTGGGAAGTGTTCAAGGAAAATAGGAAATGATTTGTTAAGAGGGAAATCACAGCATACGTTGCTAACTCAGTTGGGAACTTGCTGGCTGGTATCATAGTCGAGCTCGGAGACAATCTCGCCCTTGGCAGTCTTCTTGTGTTCACGCTCGAATGCGAACTTGACAGCATCCAGAACTGTGTCAACCGTCTTTCTAGGTGGGAAGCGCGGCTTGTCTCCATCCTGGTAGACACCTGTCTTGACCAAAATGGAGTACCAATCGTTGTCCGTAGTCTCGTTGAACTCGTTCGTACCGCGAATGTCAGACTCCGGCGTATCACCAATAAAGTACACAGTTGATGGTGATCGGTCGATATCGCAAGATTCCTTGCGCCACTGTTGCAAGAGTCGGGTCGCAAATTGGTATGTTCCAATTTGAGGCTTGCCAAAAGCGATGGTGTTCAAGTCCTTTCCGGTGATAGCAGAGTACACGGCCTCGAGGGAAGCGCGCAATGCTCCCATTCCAAGACGCGAATAGTCATGAGATGTAGACCAGACAACATCGGTGTGCGAGAAGAAGACCGGAGGTCCCTCGGTAAATGTTTGCGACCGGGTGTTCAACCACCCGTCTTTTGTCATGAGACAGTCTAGAATAATCTGCTGGTCGCCAGCCCAGTCGCGACTGTCCGCAAAAACAAAGATTGCTTCGATTTGAAAGTTGTCCAAGTCCAGCAGTCGTGAGTTGTCATGTTCCTCGTCGGTCAATGTACGGAAGGGTGTGGTATCATGTCGGGTCTTGATGATATCTCCTGGTGTGATCACATCCTTGAACCCGTATCCCTCGGCCACAACACGGCATTTCTCGCCCTCGCCACCGACGACTAGGACAGTGCCGTAACGCTCTGCCATTTCGCGCATGGGCGTGTGGCCGCAAATGAACTGACCGGGGTCAACATCCAGTTCGAGTTGGCGGCTAAGATCGAGGCATCGCTCTTTTTCAGTCTTGCCGCCACCGTTGGTCAAGAAAATATATGGACTATGGAAAAAAGGTTAGTCATTGATTTTACTGACAGCGAGAGTATGTTCCATCCCGCAAAGAAGGGTGCATTGTAGAGATGACGTACACTTTGACTCCGTAGGGATTTTCACCATTGATGTACTTCATAGCATCGACGGCCTCAGGGATGGGTTGCCCGCCCTTCATGAGGACGCCATCGATGTCGAAAGCCAGCGCAAAGTCATCAGTGGTGACGGGTGGAGGGTGGTGCATTGGGGTGTTGATTGGTGTGGACTCGTTAGATGAAGATTGTTCGTAGCACACCTCATCAGATTGTTTGGAAATATGTGAAGGTGAAGCCATGAATTGCTTGGGAGGAACAGCGACATTGGGACCACCAAAAAGATCCGCGCGATTGTTCAAACTGCCCAACTGGACTCTGTGGGTTCCACTGGCTGTGGCCATTGTGAATGGGGACTAAAGGTGGGGCCGACGGGTAAAAATGCAATGACGATGGTGATCGACTTGCAAAGTATGGATGGAGGTGCGGTGTTGCCGCGCTTTTATAGCGTTGGGGCAGATATGAAGTCAGGGCAAACGGAAGATCACACAGGCTAGTGCTCTATCTTGCTTGACGTGCAGACTGCACCGGAGATCAGACTGTACGAGTGAAGTAAAGTTGCAGATGGAATCCGGATGGGCTGTAGGCGGAGCATGTGGGGGGAGTTCTGAGCCATTAATATAGCACTCTGAGACCACAATGAAGCGGAACATCATGGACTCAGATGGGGTTCCACACTCTAATCAGTCACAGACCTCGTCATCTCACCAATTGTTTGCGAAGTATAACGACGCCAAAGCATCTGAAGTCCAAAGTAGATGTGGATCCACAACGGCGCACACTTGGCGCACTAAAGGGTGAATCCGGTGGATGCTGATTCGATCCCAAGAAACATTAACCCCAGCCCGGCTATGACTTCAGCGGGTGGAGTTTGCGGACGGTTGACGTAGGAATCGAGACCTGACCGGTTTTGGGACCTTACGCGTAGAGATTCAGGTTGACAAGCCCATGTTTGCGCTTTTCGGCGTGGCGATAAGCGGATGTGAGAACCGTACCCGAGAGCATTGGCATTCTGACCAGCCCGTGGTGTATCCCGAGAATGCTGTAGGCTGTCAAGTACGAGTAATGTACGAGAAGGGAGTGTACGAGGAGGCCTGACGTCATGCTGACTTATCACCTGTCCCCCTTCAAAGGTTTCTCAGGCTCCAGCCCACGACTATAATATCAGACAACTATAATTTGGGCCGTTTTACGGGATATTCCGTGCACCGTACTGGCTCATGCCCAGACACTGGTCTCTGTGGCGTAGTGAACTGGGCTCGAAGCGGCCAAGCTGGCGCCCCATTGCGATGTTACCTCGGGTCAACACTAGAGCACGATTGAAGCCAAGGCATGCACGTCGTAGCCAAAGATCGCATCTCGAGGACTATGCGTAGATGTATGCCTATGCACGTTTATGAGTATTGGATCCACGCGGTATGAAAGTGCCGGACCCAGAGCAATGCCTTGAGAACTAGCCCATCTCAACGTTTGATGCTTAGGATGTCACTGAGCCTGGAAGTAACTAGCCACAGGCAGAGTTGAGATTCTTCGTTCCAAAGTTAGGCTAGAACATCATCTACGGTCACCGGCATAGTTGCTTCAATAGATAATATCCTAAGGCCGCAACCAACGTGATGACGGAATCTCCCGAAGGTTCCTTCTACGTCAGGACTGGCGTTATCTGCGGCTGCTCAGCCCTGAAGTGCGGGGAGTCCTCGTATCCTTGTATTCTTGAATGGATAAGAAGAGAAAGTGAGAAGCCATACAAGGGATGTCTTTTTAGTTTAGGCCTGAGCGTAGTCTGTGCGCCGAGATCCGGGGAAATCAATGGCCAGAGTCGAAGTTGTTATTTGATAATAGAGTCTCGACTTAGTTGCCTAGTGAGAATTTTATCCAGCCGTGCCGAGAAACGGTCACTGTGAGGCCTTATACGGCAACCTCTGGTTGATTCTTTCATGGGTGACATCAAAACAAGCCATTCAGATCTCGATGAAATGTGACTACCGGCATGCGAAGATCACGATCGACAGAATCTGGGGAACCTGGTCGTCTCCACCTGCTTCTATGCGGTAGCTATCATGCTGTTTCTAGGGGTTGATCCCATCGCTCAAACAAGGAAATACAGAGCCAATCAAGACCCATTCGACCGTTAGGGAAAGATGAGCAAGCCAAGATGTGGCCTCACACCCTCGGACCCCATCGGACTTGGGCCTTTTCCATCTCCAAGTGAATGCGGGCAATCGTTTTTGTCGTAACAATCTCCCTCCTGCTGTTATCTGAAGCAGTCTTATAAAAATTGGCATCTGAGGCTGGGGTATGAGGCTGGGGTATGAGGCTGGGGTATGATGGGAATGAGGTGCACGAAACAAGATTTGGAAAGGTGTTGGGGACAGCATAACTGCCATGATCGCAGTGCTTTCAGTCAAATATCTCATCATCCATGTCGTTTTCAAACTGATCTATGGTATCGTCTATGCCCTGGTCATCCATATCATGTTCAGTATCGTCAACCCAAGGGTTCCAGTCGGAGTCCTCGTCTTCCAAAGGGTGTCTGAAATCATTGTGTGGATGGGAAGGCAAGCGGTGGTAGAACTCCAGACATTCACAGGAGCAGAGGTTGTATTTAGGCACCTCGAGTGGGCAAGGAACGGGGGACATAGACAGGTCCACGTTGATTTCCTTGAATTTGTCTTGCCATGTATTGCCTTCCTGGCATATCTCCAGGCAAGAAGGGTTCGTTTTATCTCCATTGATCGAGGGAAAACTCTCCATGGTCTCGGGCACCTCAACTGTGAAGCGACGTAGGTTGGGGAGCTTCTCGCTCTTGACCAACTCGTAGATCACTGAATTAGTCCAGGCCTTGTGCTCATCGAGCCGTAGTGTGAGGCTTTCGAGGCTCTGGGGTAAATTTTGTTCATCTTCGATGTCCAGCTCATGACATTCTTTCCCAGCTAATGAGCTGAGAGTTGTAGTGAGATGCTTGAGGTTTTCTAATCCAGAAAAGTCGGCCTCCTCCTCATCTCCCCAATAAATATCATGATCCAAAAACTCGAGTGACTCGTATTGAAACCCTGCTGCGTCGGTATAGCTCCATTCTGACTCCTCTGGGTCTATTACAGTTCTGATCGTGAATTTTTTCAACGCTTTCGGCACTCTTAGCACATCCTTGAGATGTACTGGTGTCGTCAAACAATTCAAAACGGTCAGTTCTTCGAGTACTGTGCTGTTTTCGGCCATGGCTTCTGTGCTCGGTTTCAGCTCACAGCCAGTAAGGCAGAGCTTCCGTAAACCTGAATGCTGAAATATCGCAGAGCTGATTCTCGGAATCCGACCTCTTATACTGATTTCGGTCAAGTCACAATGCGTTCCGATATGGCCTGCGCAATATCAGTTTTTGTTTTTTTTTCGATTGGCGGTGCGGCAATGTTTAACATGATGAACTCACAGACACGCAAAGAAGATAGACCCTTGGAAGGTAAACCCCTGGGTAATTCACGCCAATCAATTCCAGTCTCCATTAGGAGATACTCAATGAACTGATTTGACTCGCAAAACTCTACCCCAGGGGATAGGTGGGAAGCTGAACTTCCCAAAATTCGATCTTTGACGGGACTATTTGTATATTTTCGATATTCTTTCAAGGGCATTGCAACATGCTTGGGGGTCGATGACCACCACAGGGCAGGGTGCAGCACATTGTATATTTCTTCCAAGCTTTCATCATCGGCTGATTGAGAGGTTTCAATGGAATCGATAGCTTTTCTCATGAATATTTGCTCAAGATTCGGCAAATTGGAAACCATCAGGTAGAATGTGCAGTAGCTGTAAAAATTACCGCCAAACCCAGAGTCCTCTTTATGTCGAAGTTCGCGGATCAGTGGTGCTAGTTCCGGGCGAGACTTGATTGTGCGAGCAAGACGAGCACCACTCTCTGGATTGTGTAGCCGAACAGGGTTATAAAGCCGAGGCTCAATTATAGCCTGAAGCGCAGGACATGCCTGGGCCAGACGGCCCAGGTTTTGAGCAGTCGCTCCATCGTCCAGGTATTCGATGATGATATTCCAAAGCTCTGGCGGGAAGACCGGCAGGAACGACGAACAAGGGCGAGTACGGGAGACCTCCGTGTTGGCCATTGTGTACCGAGACGATTTCGCGTGGAATTGCAATGTAGCAGAACGGAGAACAGGAGAGAGGAGACGGGGGCCCTGAAGATAAACTCTGTCGCGCCAATAATCCTTATCGCCTATCAGCCCCGCCAAACGCCAGACACCGCGTTTGCATCGATTTTATCTCATTCTCAAGTTTGCCGACATCTGGAGTCTGGTGGGACATGCAGCTGTGCTTCATTCTGGGCAACCTTCAATACAGAGCTCAGTCCACTATAACAAAAAGAGAATCATAATTTGATAATATGGTACGCAAAGATTCTATGTGTATAAATCAAACTCACCACTCCGCTGGCTGCTATGCTAAACAAACCCACCCATAAAGAAACATAATATACATGAAAATGCGCTCTTAATCAACTCTCAAAATCAAGTCTTCTCCTCGCCTCGAAGGCGTCAGATTCCGGCTCGTGGGCGAGATCCGATTCGGGGCCACCTTCTTCTTCGGACTATCGGGGTAATGCACCGCACCAGGATGTATATCCGATGGATAGGGTGGCTCGCTGGTTGATTCCTGGCTATCATTTCGTCCGCGCTCGAGCCATAGATCCTCTGGGCAGTAAGGGGCCACTACTTCAGTCTGGCGGGGGCTGCTGCGTATCTGTACGCGTTTGATATCCTCGGCCCGGACAATGCGCGGACGGCTGATCATTTCGGCGCTTGACGCCGATGAGATATACTCGGCCTGTGTGGTGGTAGTGTGGTTCGGGGTGTTGTGTGTGTTGTCAGGGGCGTTGCTTTCAGACGAGGAGGACCTGCAAGCGGGGTTGGGGTTGAAGGGTGATGCGAGGGTTCTTGGGCCAGATCTTCGTTTGAAACCAGTTGGGGTTTCTATGAATGCGCGGGGGTTGGCTGGTAGGCCTGCCAGTCGAGGTTGAGCTCCCGGGCCTTTTCGCATCATGGCTGCTGTTTGTTGGGTTTCGTCTTCTTCAAACAAAGTTTCCCCGCTAGCTGGCCGATGACTCCATTTCAGAGGTTTCGGATACAGTCCTGCTGTTGGATCCGGTAGTAATCGTGCCACACTATGCTGTGATGACTGGGTGTGTGGTGATGCCTCCCAGTCTGAGTCCGAGCTGATAGCGAACCCTATTCGCTCTTCTCTTGATCTTTTGCTTTGGTGGCCGTGGGATATTGTAGCAAGGTGCGGCGAGTATCTCGATGAAGATTGGACGTTTGCTATTGATGTCATGGGCTGGAATCCATGTGACTGCTGTGGCGGCGCGTTTTCGATGTCTTCTTCGTGCAAAGAGCTTGGACCCGAGCTAGGCGTTGGGAGTCGTGGCATTGGTTTTGAGAAGTCGGGAGGCTCAGACATTGCACCTCCGATCTCAAAATGGTGTGGATCTGACTGGTCGCGATCTTTCTTTCGCCATCTCTTGCAGCAGAAAACCACTGCAACAACGATTATAAACGCCCCGGCCACTCCTGATGCCACTGACATTCCAATGACCGCCCCGGGACTGATCGAATGATCACCTTTCTTGTTTGTATCTTCCGAAGCGCCACTTGAAGCCAAAGGATCCTGCCTGGCTGACGATGTTGCCTCAGCTTGAGGATTTAAAGACGTGGTATCAGAGGTAACATCTGGGGGTTGGCTCGAAGTCGTCGCCGTTGACCTTGATGTTGTTGATGACGTCGTTGAAACAGTCAATGGTGCTTCCGATGTTTGCTCCGATGCCGTGAAAGAGCTTGTTGTTGTTGTCGTTGCATGTGCAATTGTTGCTGCGTCTGCAGTTGTTGTTGCGTCAGCGGTTGTTGTTGCATCTCCGGCCATGGTCGAACTCATGTCTGAGAACACAGTTGCGGTAATAGTCTTGTGAGTCTTGGGAATCGCCCCAGATACCGAGTCGCAGATATGGTATGCTTTGGAATCTGCGATCATCTCCTTAGAGCACACCGACAAAACACAGCTTAAAGCTGCTTCTCCCAAAGTCAATCCATCCGGCGTCTTGGTTCGGCAGAGGCATTTAACATTGGAAGGCGACGTGCATTCCTCGGGCGTATACTCTGATTTGATGAAATTTTCCACACAGTCTCTGGCGCACCCAGGGATCATGTCAAACAGCGATGAGCCCGATGCATCGCTGGCAGTATCGGCGGCGCAGACCAGTAACCAGAGGGCTGTGATGAGTAGTATCCTGTGAATAGGAAGGACGAGCATAGTGCGGCCCTGTATTTCATCATCAGTAAAAGCACGTCTGGCTTGGGCTTTTTCAGTTGAGCTTACTTTGTGAATCCTTGCATTGGACTGATTATCCGGCAATCCCTACAATCCATGTGGTGATCATCGTTGTTGAGCTTGCAGTATGAGAATGGAAGAATGGCGTTGGTACCAAAGCCACAAAATTTCAGTAATGAGAATGCAATGTCCGTCTAATGCGTGCCCGGAGGGACGACATCCTAATTAAACGGAGGACTTGGGCGCGCGATTCTACGCGCGAGGCAAAACGGCCCATGACGCTGACCTTGATTTTTGGGGCCAGACGCCGGGCCACCAAAACCTCTGAAACCTAGTGCTCGAGGCTATGTATGCAGGCGCTTCGGTGAAACTGTATTCCTAGTAGCGAGGTTATTTTGAGAGGCGAGTCGCACAATGGAGCGCCCTGTATGGAGGGTCAGCATCGTCAGCGGCTCCGATACGCGCCAGGCCACCCAAAGCGCTTAGGCTGCAGAAACAGCTGCTGGCGCCGGGCTAAGTTTCAGGTTTTCTGGAATTGATGACTTGGGCTGGGATGTTCACGGGTGCAACCTATTGTCTCGAGTGATAGGTTGAGAGATAATTACTGATGCTTGTGTTGAACACTGTGACCACGACTCCGCAGATGAAGTGTGAAGCATCATTGCTCTCACAGGGCTGAGCTGCGGATCATTCTAACCGCACGAGGTGCCGCATGTCAACAAGTGTGGGCCCACCAGTCTGGGGCTGTCCGCATTGCGTTTCTGCAAGTCGTGAGTCAATGGTGGTCAACGACCTTTTAAAATCTACACCACACTACAAAGTACCGAGGAGGGGGAGAAGTTTAGTAATAAAAAGAACCCATGTTAACATTTCAAATATCGTAAAGGCTACCACGGGCAGTGAGACGAAAAAAACGATGCCCCAGAGTCCTGAGCTGGTATCATTCATTAGAAGCAAACCCGCAGTATCGAGCACAAAGGAAATTCAAGGCAAAGCAAAAAACAAGACATATGCGACCACGGAAAAAGATTAGGGAATTATGGACATCATGGTAACCCGATGCCAAGTGGAGGCTGCATGAGGCTAGTTTCGACCGGATCACGACGGAATGCTGACACCGGTCTGGATAACGATTCGCACTGCCCCTTGCTTGCACAGGGAATTAAGAGTCAGCATCGCTTTCCCAGAGCGCGTACGGACAAGAGCGTGTTCGCGATTAGGTGGGTATCTCTAGTATTTGAAGATGATGTAGCTGGAAGAATAGATGGTCAGCGGGCGACTTCAAGAGACAACCGAACCCAAGGTCACATACATGGCGTGGATGATACCGGGGATCCATCCCAGGATGGTCAAACAGATGTTGATCAGCAGGTCGGCGCCACATCCGCGCTCCAGGAAGACACCCAGAGGAGGCAGGATGATGGCGAAGATGATCTTGCAGATGTCACTGTGGGGAGATTAGCAAGTGGATGCGACAATCATCAAGGGTAGGATAGGCAAAGACAGCGAAGGTATGTCCAGGCCAGGAAAACTTACGAAGCGGTGAAAGGCATTTTGAGAGATGGGGTGGAGTTGTGAGAGAGAGAAAGGGAAAAAAAGCGGGAGAAGGAGAGATTAAAAAAGGAGAGGAGGGAGGAACTGGGAGGAGAGCTTGGGTCATTACATCACTACCGCCACGGGCTGTGGCTCTGGGGTTCCACACCAGGCACATTGTGGCTCAGATTTTCTTTATATATATATATTTTTTTTTATACTCTATTCTTTAGTACTCTGTACTTGATATTCATCCTGATACAATGATAGAGAAACTCTCTCAATGGGTGAAGTGGTTGGCCTTCTGTGCTGGCAACTCCCAATCTGCCGTCCTTTTGCTCGCTGCCTAGGCCTTGGCGGGAAAACACTGTAGCCTCGGTGTTTGTTTCTTTTTCTCTTTTCTTTTTCTTTTGGTATTTTTAATTGTTTTTAATGTTATGTTATAAATATTTAATCTCTTTCTAATTTCCCTGTCTCGATGTAATTTCCTATATTCCCTGTATTTTCTGTGATACATGCAGTCTACAAGAGTGACGATCCCCAAACCAGAATTCACAGCTAACTTTGGATCGTCCTCATTACGCTGCCAAGTAGGACGGGTGGCGCCAAAAGTGCAAGTTTTGCCTAGAACCCTTTGCCAGCCCTACAATGGGTCCCCGTCTCCACCTGCCAAGATGTTCGGCATCAGGTGGTGTCATTGGACTATGACTTCAGATGTGGCTGGGATCGCCTAGTCACGCTAACCCATCTAAACAGGGTTGCTAAGCATTGTTTCGTACACGCGTTCTGGTCAGCAGGATTGAGACAAACTCTACGCCCTACCGAGGAACGGTATAAGGATTACCCCGTACTTAGGATGTACTATGTACAGACTAACATTGTGGATCTACAGATCTGTCCAACCGCCAAAATCAACATCCTCCAGTAGGGAGTTCCACTGCGGGACATCCAAGTCGGGCGCAACAGCCACAAAGTCGGACCAAATTTGCTGCCAATTCCCTTCTGCCTCATCCATCAGGTCTCCACCCGCACTGCTATCCGGCGCATTGAGGCGGTGATCAAAATCATTGGTCCCGCGCAACTCACCCGGCCCCATAAATGGGTCGTTCGTTGCTGTTTCGCGAGACGCCATGGTGCTAGCTTCGACGGAAGACCCCTGCAAATCGGGCGGGCCTGGCCGCTGTTTGAGGGTCGACAACAAGGTCTGCATATTTCTTTGGACCCCCTCGAATAACGTTCCAGACTCGTGTTTGGATCTCTCCAGCGTCTGGTACGCGGTGAGTACCTTGGCTTTGTGGACTTCCGCCTCCGGGGCCTCGGGGTTAAACGACACATCCGTTGCTAAGATCAGCGCCGCAAAGAAGAGGTGCTGCACCACTCTCCAGAGCCGCGCGGGATATCCTCCTGCCTCGGGGCTAATTTCGTCCATTTCTCGTCGCAATTCGAGAACCTTCTTCGCAGAGCTGACGCAGACTCTGTTTGAATAGGCATATGCTGGGTCGGTAATACCCTCAAGGTGGTAGGGCCGATGTAGCCTACATAGCCGAGTGTGAAAGCTGAAATGCAGGCTGGTTCGTTGCCAGGCAATGTATGGTCGTTCCTTGCATATTTTCCGACTTTTTCGAAGGCTCTCTGCGTCCAGTTTGAAGAATTCTGGAATGTCCTCAATGTATTCATGGAACCTCTTGTCTAGCGCAAGGATTACCTCATATTCTGGTTGCTGAGAATCCAATAGTATCGAGGGCAAGGCATCAACCACCTGACGGCACAGAACTGCCGTTCTGATTCGCTGGATGGACCCTGACATCGCGGTGGGAACCGACAGTGAGAGTTCTCGCTGAATTCCCGTCGATACCATCAATTCGTCGTCAATATTGCTCGGATAGTTCACGTTCATGTGCTTGGGTTGAAATATATAAACGCCTTCTTGGGGCCCCCCCGAGAACGAAGACAACCTACCCAGTCAGACTTTTTATCAGTACTTCGTACTCAAATGAGAGCTCGACACACACGAAGTACTTACCAGTCAGATGCTACCATGTTCCACCAGACCCGTCTCTGAACTTCAACCTCAATCAGATCACACCCCCTCAGCCTGCGCTCTTCTTGGCCTCGAGCTGTATCCAGTCGATGGATACCCAAGTCTCGTGCCATTGAAAAGCACCGGGCCTGTAGAATGCGCATTCTAACAGAAAGACCAGCATCGTTTGCCAACGAATGAGTTAGGATACATGTGGCAACGAGAGCGTTGGTTGAAGGTCCCAAAGGCTGGGTGGGATGTTCCAAAATGACCAACGCCCCTTGAGAGTAAGCGTGGAAGGCTGCTCTAGTCTCGGCCTGTGTTGCATTCAAGTTTTTAAGTAGCGAAGCTGACCAGACAAGCGCCGCGCCTGAAAATATGCTAAAGAGCAACATCAAAGTTGTCGGGGTGGGCTGTTTTCCATCCAGCAGATCTTGGTAAGTCTGCTCCATTGACGATCGTGTAGAGGGTATATGGAGGAGTCCTAACGACGGCTGTAATGCATTCGTGAAGTGATTGAACAATTCTCTGGCTTGCCCAATTGGTGGGAGTTTTGCGATTGCCTGCGCCAGAGCCACCTGGGCATTGGCAATGGCAGTTTGGCTGCCTGGCTCGATCTGGTGTGAATTGAAAGGAGCAAACAAGTGAGATACAGGCATCCAAAGCGAATGTCAGTATGACCCGCCATCCTCAAAGTATTCAGTGGGTAGCTTTCGATTGAACATACCAGATTAGATGTAGTCCTCATCGCTTCAAAGCTTCCCTGATTGTTCATGCTCAGCCCGCTCATCCTATCTGTGCCTTTATAGACAGCCCTCTCCAGTCTGTTTATTCTGTTCAATAAATCATGATCCCTTTCTCATGTCAGTAAAGAACTCTGGAGTCTCATAGACGCTAGACCGGATCACTGACTGGTTTACTGTCTGTACACCCGAGGCACGTCGTTGTGTACCCCCTTGGCTCATATCCAGAGGATCTACCGACTGAGGGGGTATTTGATATGTGGCCACCTGGGCGCTTTGCCCGGGGTATTCACACGATATATTCCTTTGCACGCAGTTCGAGCATGGCTGGCCACGGTCACAGCGACGCTTTTTTTCACGACAAGCTGCGCATGACAAAGGCGGTCGGCTCCACCGATGCATCATTGCTGGTGGGACTGGAATCCCATTGCTATTGCGCTTCATTCCGATTCCTTCTGGGCATGTACAATGGGGGACCTTCAGCCCTGGAAACCCGCGGGGGGTCCGCGGCTGCCATTACCTGAACGGGATTAGCGTCGACCGCATATGCCTGTATCGACTCCCAAGCATTACTTTTGGTCCCACCTGATGCTTCTTCATGGAATAGCTATATCTTTTTAAGCTTGTGACCCGGATTGCCTATTCCAGATCTTGATGGTTTTGGTTTCCCCTTATTACTTAAGTACATATATGTTGCGAAGCTACTTCGCACGATTTGCATTTTGAGTCAAATATGTGTCCGTATAAATTAGGGACTATCCACACCCGTGGACCATGGAAAATTTGTTTCTTTGGACAGGAGCCTTGACCAAAAGAAGGTCCCAAGGTTGTACTTCCAAAGTTGCATGTACATACCAGAGTTCTCAAGTCATTTTTGGTATTGATCGTGGAAACAATGTTCCGCTCCGCCGACCCACTGGCCTCCGCACTCCCGCATCATTGATTTCCAAGATTCCTAATTGGACATTGCATTTAACCGTACGTCAATATAAATGAGGCCGTACCACGCCCTAGGCCCCAGGCAGATGAGGAATATACTCATCACTAGGAGCCAATGGCTCCCGAGATCTTTGCAAACTCGACAAAGTGTCGCAAGTGCAACTAGATGCTATGCGACACAGACACCGTCTAAAGTCGGACGACCTTTTGCATACACATGGCTTACAAAAGCAGCGCAAGAAACGGTGAGCCGCGCATATATCACCTTTTCAACAGGACTGACGCTAATTTCTATAGACGCCAGACGACGTTCTGTCCAGTCTTCCATCGGATGCCGCAAGCTCATCAACTGCACCCATTTCCGTCCCTCTCCTCCTCGTCACCCCGAGCTTTGCACACTGGCTTGATCCTTCCAGTTCATTCCTCTCGCAATTTTTAACTCGACTTTACGGAAGCTCCCCGGGAATCAATTCTCTTCACGCCGTCACGGCCGTCGTGGACACACTCCCAGATACTACATCCAACAACCCGGACTCCAGCGAATCAGAAGGCCTGTCACTTTTGGCAGTAGACCCATCGGATGTTGCAGCAAAGGTTGCACCTCCGCGCCTGATCAGAAGTTCCGCCAGCGAAGAAACCAATCTTCTGTTTTCAATTCAGACACCACACGCAGGGCAAGGCAAGAAGCCCGCTCATGAGATCGGATTACGTCTTGCCAACACAATTTTTGTCAATGGAAAGGACACAACGATATTTGGCTCTCGATGGCTTTGGGACAACAACTCAAATGAGTTCGTCTTGGATAAGGCAATCGATTTCACGAGCTGCATGGTCACAGCGACTGCCGAGACGGTGGGTGCTACCTTGGAACTTCCATTGCACCAAGTGACCGAACGGAGAAGGGTAATTGCCAGCATGGGTAACATCCTAAGGCAACTTGCAAAGTCCACCGATGCAACTTCGACAGAGCCCATTCCTGCTTCCACTGACCTTGAGAAAGAGCTTCCACGCTATATCAAGGAACACAACATCACTGATCACCGGGTTTCTGTCTGGGCGTTGGTCGAAAAGCCCGAATTGGTGGTGGCCGACTCGAGCTCATCTACCCATGATCGCCTGGTCCAGTCCTTAAAACAGGGCGGGAAGCTGCACCGTGTTATGAGTGGCGGAGGCGGTTGGGGGAAAAAGCAAGGCCTTCTTTCGCTGGACCCCGAAGTCAGCTTCTCGGGCACAATCAACCCAAATGAGCTTATCCCTATCAGTCAAGTTTTCGACCCCAAGAGCGGTGAGCCTCTAGACACTCTACCGTCTATTGACCAAGGCATCGCAGTTGACGACCTCTCCCTTCTATCACAAGTCGCTACTGCAGGTGACTATATTCAGTTCTTTGTCTCGGTAGAACCGACTGAAAGCAACGCTTCGAGAAAAACCGACGTCAATGACGAAGCTATAAGCTATCACTTTGGCATGGTGGCTGACTCCATGGAGCTTGAAGCTTACAACCCCGAGGACAGCAAAGAAATCACTACTCTGCCTCAAACATTTGGCGCGTTGTCCGAAAAGGCCATTGCATACTCTCAGCCAATGAATGGTGATTCTAAGGCAGATTCTAGTACAAAGCTGGATGTGCCAGGTTGCCGGGTAACTTTGAACTCTGTGTAAAATAGATATACCCATCATGTATCATAATAGAAACCAAAATTTGAAATCAAACTACATATGCTTTATACTATACTCCATAGACGTCAGAGCATTTACTATGTAGCGAATCACCCGTTCAGGTGGAGATGCCAAGAGATAACACGTGACTGAATGAGGCCAGCATGTTTGCCGTCGACCTCCCTCTGGACTCTCCATCCTTCCCGACTTCATAGCCTACCGACCTAGGCCGTTCCCACATCCTTCTCAAGCTTTACCAATCTCGAGAACCTTGTCGGGTCTCTTCCATCAACATGGCTACTGAGCTTTGGTACGTCCTCACCTCTTCCAGCCCCTGGGTGCTTGACAGCTCCCGATCGGCACCTTGCTATCACATCTATCATTCCTGAATACCTTGACATGAATCTTGCTAACATTGTATCTCCAACAGCCCCGTCTATGCGGTGAGTCCCCGTTGATCGTCTATGCGGACATCTTGACATTGAGCGAATCGCCCATGACTCCACCCCTCCGCGTCATCCATCCAGGTTGCTTCGAGGTGAAACTAATCTCGTTATCACAGCCCTTTTTCGGCGCGCTGGGCTGCACTTCCGCCATCGTCTTCACCTGCTTCGGTGCTGCATATGGAACCGCTAAGGCCGGTGTCGGAGTCTGCTCCATGGCCGTCCTCCGTCCCGACCTGATCGTCAAGAGTACGTCGGCCTTGATGGGACGAGATCCATTCCAATTCGCGAATGGATCTACTATCACTCTATAAACCCGAATCTATCTTGCTAACTCGATTTCCAGACATTGTCCCCATTGTCATGGCTGGTATCATTGGTATCTACGGTCTGGTCGTGTCGGTCCTGGTCGCCAATGACCTGACTCAGGCTCTCCCTCTCTACACTGGTTTTATCCAGCTCGGTGCTGGTCTCTCTGTCGGTCTTGCTGGTCTTGCTGCGGGGTAAGTTCGCGACAATTTATCAAGAATCGAATAGCTTGTGTCTGACTGAAATTGCAGTTTCGCTATTGGTATTGTCGGTGATGCAGGTGTTCGTGGAACAGCTCAACAGCCCAGACTGTACGTCGGAATGATTCTGATTCTCATTTTCGCCGAAGTCTTGGGTAAGTCCCTTCCCTATGTCTATTCTTGTCTCTCCATCTAACCACACCCGCTCCATAGGTCTTTACGGGTTGATTGTTGCTCTTCTGATGAACTCCCGCTCCAAAGCAGTCTGCTAGACGATCTTCGCCGCAACTCGAAGATCCGTCCATTCTCGCGATGTTACATGCGCGATCTCATGATCGGGTTTTCGGCTGCTTCTTGAACATTTCCCCGACGCAATTCAATGTGCCTCTTCCGCCGGGGAAACTGACACGACAAACATGGTTACGGGTGCAGGAGTAAACGATTCTGGATCATGTTTCATCCCATTTGAGAGAGAAGGCAACTTTCTGTTCGATTGTTGGGTGTAGATCGGCGAATCTGTTCAAATATTCCTGGACTCGGTGGACAGGTTTGGGTAGATATTGGATTTTTGCTTTACATTGCATGACACCGCGCTGGACTGTACTTTATATGACTTCGCTGATCCGGGACTTGAGTCTTGCCCTCTCTTCCATTATGCCTAGGCTGGATCTTTTGTAAGGAGTTTCTTTGATTTTTGTTGTTGTGTTTGCCCTCTGTACTGACAGGGCCTTCTCTCGGGTTTGCCTTGTCTTTTGGGCAGTTCCATTCTGAGGCTGAGAATAGCAAATCCCAGTTGGTTCATTCACCTTGATCTGCTTTCCACATTATTCCAAGGTTCTGCACAGTAGAAAACTACCCCAGTGTTCCCAGGTTAGGGTTCTAGCCAAGGGGATATGTACAGATTCGTAGGTAATTTGCATGTTTGAAACAAAGATTCCTTCTATAATACAATATTTACTAGACATAGTCACGCCAGTGAAAACAGCGTAGATCCAAGACCAACACCCAGTGAAGCTCTACTGAGTAGCTCACTATGCATGGGGTATTGCCACACGTATCCAAAACCCAGACCCACCCTAGCTATGCGCAAGAAAATTGGCAAAAGACAAGAAGAGGTGTATGTGGATATTTGGTAATATAGATGAGAGGATAGGTAGAAGCCGAGATGAAAACAAGATGTACCCTGCTCAGACTAGCAATAAACTCAGAAAGCACAGGCGCAGGCGATGCAACCATAGAAAAACAAAAGCAGAAAACAAACAGGTTTAAGTCTACTTGTCGAGTTTCCGTCTCAGGGTACGTGTTCTCTTCATCAGCTTCTTGAACTTGTGCTTCTTCATCTTGGCTTGGCGTCTTCTCTTGGTGCTGAGCGCGTGCATGGTGCGGTTGTTGCGCAAGCGCTCCATGTATGTCGCGCCAGTAGAATCAGCGGGTGCCTCGATGGAGATTTCCTCGTGCATGCTGGATGGGGCCTCCATCTCTTCGCTGCGAACGAATGGGCCTGTGTGGGCCTCGTAGGTCTTGCGACCATCGAGGCCGCGAGCCTCACGGATTGTCAGGACGGTAGAGTAGGTCTGGTACTCATTGTCGACCTGGGAATCTGTGGACTCAGCGGCCTCGGTGGCGGATGCATCCATGGGCACTGGGGGAGGAGGGGGCTGGAAGGGTCGAAGACGGCGGGTGTATTCCTCGACAGACAGCTTAGCCTCAGGGCCGTCAAGCATGCGGAGTTCACCGTCCTGCTCGCTGAAGGTTCGGAACTGCTCCTCAGACTCTGACATGGCTTGTTGGCCATGCTCCATGTTCTGAACAGCCGAAGAAAGAGTAAAGATGACGTCCTCCGGCTCATTCTTCAAGGGCCTCTTCGAGGAGAAGATCGCTTCGAAGGCGTCGGTGGTCGAAGTTGGGGGCACAGTGGTTGTCACCGAGATTGGACGGTGGATGGAGAAGAACGACGCCACATGCACATCTGATGAAACAAAGAAAAAGTCAACTTCTGCCCAGGTGGCATTTCTCTGCTTGAAGCCACTGTTCAAACGGATATGCAAAATGAAGACTTACCATGCGGTTGTCGGTGCTGTGTGGAGGGGACACTGGGGAGATTGGAAAAAGCCGCATGTTGTTGGCCGGACTTTGACGATGCTTGTCGGGTAGCGCCATCCTTTCCACGACGGCGGGTGGCCTTGCTCTTCTCACTAGAAGAGTTCACGCCCTTGGCGGGAGTGGTGTCCAGTCGTCGGGAACCATCGCTGGGCGGGACAGGCGGTTTAGAGGAAGAGGAGGAATACCGGCGCTGGTGCAAAGGTCGGGTTGCGCCCAGCAGGCTGTTGGTAACATTCTGACCGGAGCGAGTGATCCCGGGCAGCGGCATGGGAATCCATGCCGCCCGGCGTAACGATGTCGACAGCATGGTTTGGTGAATAACCCCGTCACTGGATGCGAATGAGTCTGAATCGGAGGCGAAATCAGTCGGGCCGGAACTCGGGGTCACTGATCATGCGGAGGTTATGTAATATTGATGCCTGAGGCTCCTGGTGCTAAATCCATCACCCTCAATTGTAGCGACTAGACTACCAGGATATTGATATGGTATTTCGCCATTTGTGCTCAAACTCTTTACTCATCTGATAGAGTCACCTGGCTCACCTTGAAATCAGAAAACCTAGGGGTCTTGGCGATGCAGGATGGTCATGATCTCCAAGCTTGCCGATGATAAGCGGTCTGATAGCATCCTTGCTTGTCTGCCCAGCATAAAAGACATAAATTGGATAATGGATGTAGGCTCAGAATGTAACCATGTAGACCGCCATGGAATGGCGGTGGGTTGATTGCATACAGAGGATATATAAGAGACCTAGAAGGATAGTATAGTGATAATACAAAGCAGTCGTTAGATCTAACACAGCTGCGGAGACAAACAAATGGTATCATCCTGCAAATGAGCACAAAAGAAGAGAGAAGAAGATTGACACCGCTGAAATTGCGGGAGAAATGGGCGGGCGTAGGGGCTTTTGGATGCAACGTCATGGGGCCGGGAGATGCGAGCAAAAATCCAACGACAATATCTCACTCAAGACGCCTCATGATCTGAAGTGGATAAAAATAAAGATAAAAAAGAAGACATGGCCCAAGCCATGTACAGGGAACAGAAAGAAATGGAAAGAAAGAATAAATAGCCACCCAGAATGCGATAAGAAAATGACAGGGGCTGAAGAGCGTGGAAAAATAGAATCAAATCATTGGCACAGACAGAACGGTCGTGAGTTCCTCGGGAGTTGGAGGGCCTCTACCTTATAGTATTAAGCTATGCAGGTTCTTTTGGATGATCATGTCCTGCACGGAGTCCATGGTAGCTCGTAGCAATGTGGTATCAGTGGCGTTGGTATAGTGAATGTAGATTTCTCGGTCTGGAATGCGGTTGATGCCACGGAATCGGTCTGCGAAGTACTGGGCGGCAGCATCATAGTCTGTGTCAGACCCGGTGTAGTCGGGGAAGTGGTTTGAGATCGGGGAGATGGCGAGTTTTCCTTTGAACAAATCGATTTTGTTGAGGAAGAGGATGATTGGTTTGCGCTTAAACCATTCACCATTGACCAAGGATTCAAATAGCATCATAGCTTCGTGCATTTGATTCTGTGATTTGAGGTTAGTGGAAAGTCTGAGAGATTTGAATGACTTTGCACTTACAGCGTTCTGGTCTTCAACCAAACATTGGTCATATCCAGACAAAGCTACCATGAATAGTAGACATTGGACACCTTCGAAACAGTGAATCCACTTCTTTCGCTCCGAACGCTGGCCTCCAACGTCCATCATTCGGAAGTTCATTTGGCCAAGTTCGAAGAGAGTTTCTGTGATACCTGTAGTCCGCAAGCGGGCCTGCAGCATGTCTTGATTATCGGGAAGCCAGCCCGGTGCAAATATACGATCCAAAGATTCAAAGAAACTAGACAACGTCAGCGTAGATCCAAATCAGCTTCCACACAAAAAACTTACTAGTATAGATTGTCGTGAAGGGCAAACTCATGCCCCCGGGCGACAGCCTTCTGGACACCTCCATCTTCCCACATCACCCTCATCGCATCGCGCACTTTCAGATCGCTGAAGGCCTCGTTTGATCCAACGTCAGGCTCTGTCTGATCTAATAATTCGGCGAGTGGCTAAGGGAAATATTAGCATGTTACAGAGTACTTCCAGCAGGAGATGTCAACAGTACCCTTGTGTTTGCCTCGTCCTCAAAGTCGATATCTTCGGCGTTCATGATATCCAGCAAGACCTTGAAAGCGATCACGATATTCGAATAGATGATAGCTCGGGTTTGGTGGCGCTCTTCCTCGGGGAATCCTCGACTGTGGATAATTCGCATTTGCTTGATAATCGTGGACTTGCCAGACTCTCCGGCTCCTGTGCGATCCCGTCAGTAGTGAACGCTAAACGGTCGTCCAGGGTCACCCACCTAATAACAAGATTTTGATCGTACGATCCAGCGTCTTCTTGTCATTTTTGATCCCCCGTTCTATACGCTGGTTGCGCTGGAGAGCCTCTTTATCCGCCTCGGCGGGCTTCGACACTAAACAGCCCATTGTTTAGACCCACGATTTCCAAACTGCCTATCGCAACGGTCAGTACCGATTCATTGCAAGCGAAACTGGCGAAGCCAGGGACTCAACGCAGGGAGGATGATCTGAGTCAGGGATGCGATGAGGTGCGCCATTTGGAAGCACCGTCAAAGCTTCAAGACAACGACTTGACTTCCTCCAAGGTGCGACTCCCTAACTCGACCCAACCACCCGCGCGACACCGGTATGCCTACCTTCTTTCCGACCAGATGTCTCCCGTATTATGTCCGAGTCCAACTCAAATTTGCGGCTTTGTATGCGATCGAAGCTCGAAGGTTTTTCCCCACAGCGACCACGTTCCGTTGCGAATTTGGCGGTTGGGTTTCCAATTGGACCAGGTTATCCTCCGAGACAAGTAAAATGGTACGACACGACGGTCGGAGGTTCACGATAGAGATAGCGTTGCGCGGAGGGAGCGGAAAATCGGGAGGGCCGAAGTGGTCAAAGGGAGAGAAGCAAGCGGGGGGGGTCAGAGCATAGTATTTCTGTCCGGAAGGACGAAGGACGACGAAGTACGGGAGTATGGATCCTGTATTAGGTATTAAAGTATTGGAGTATTGATTCGAGTACGTCGAGTACGTCGAGTCTGAAGTAGAGTGTTCTTTTTTAATTTGCTACCATAGTATTATGGTATTTGGTGGTACCATAATACAAAGGCTTTACGAGTCTTCAAGGGGGATGTGCTGATCCCTGTCGTACTTTTGACACTTCTCTGCAGCTGTATACTTCTATATGTGCTCCGTCTTCCGTACTCCGTACTCCGCGTATGGTGGTATTGCTTCGTCTCCAGTTCTTCGTTTCCTCTTTTTGTCCTTTTCCCTCTTTTTTACCCTTGACCTCCGTGCGCAGCGCGCCTTAAATCATTAGAAAAAAAGGAATAAAAGACCCATCGACACTATTGAAAGCGCGGGACGCCATCCCCCAATCACCTCGTTTTCTGGAACAATCGAATTGTTTACCCGAGGGCCTCTGCCTGTAAAGCATGTCATTCACCTGCAGTGATCGGCATGGAGGTGCTGAAACCCGCATGGGCCAGCCAATGCAAGGATCGTGCTGAAACGGCGGCGGATACCTATCCCGCGCTCGCTAGGATTCGGTAGTATTGCATTACCGGACTTGAGCGCTGTCCGAAAGATCCCATTTCACTGGCTCGACTCGTGTAGCACTACTCCATTATTGAAGAGTGGGTATATGCAGACACCGAACATATCTGTACAGAGCATACCCGTCCAGTGGACACCTGGGCAATGTAAGGGCATGAGTAAGGGTAGCTCCATGTGTTCCAAACAGATGTTCGGTGGACCGTCGCTGTCATCCCCACATGAGTTCTGCTGTGAGCCGCAAACCCTTCAGCTCATGGCTACAAATACTCGTATACAAATATACTTGTACAGAACAATCACAAAAGTACCCCCTCGCAACATTGCTAACAAGACCCAGAGACAAACACGGGTTCTCCCGTTCATGCTGCCCCCGGTTTCATGTTCTGATGTTCATTGCGTGCGGAGTCTCTCACCGCGCCGTCTCGCTACTAAGGCAGGGGGGATCCATTCGGGACTGGTCAACTGCAATTGTGGAGTTGGATTGACCTTGACCTCAAGCCCCTATCGCCATTAACTCCGAATCCTGGAACCCTACGCTGTTGTACGGAGGAATTGTCCTTACGCTTGAACTCGGATCGTCGCCAATTTCGCTAGTCGCATCCCGATTTTGCGGCGAGAATTCTCCGATGCACTCGATCGAGTCCAGAGGTACGAAATCTCGCCATTCGGAACCTGCGATCGTGATCCTTTGATCCTGCCATACATGCTGAGTGGGTCATACGCCTAGCAGTAAAACTATGATTACACAGTAATTGTACGAGTACTCCGTACACCTAGTACGAGTACATACCATGCACAGAGGTGAAAACAAGAATTTCCCCTGGAATTGGCTTTGCCTCCACATGTCGCCGAGGCGTCCACCACGTGTCTGAGGAGCCATCGTTCCCACAATGGTATCTTACGCCTTCCAAACCACACATTGTTCTGTCAGTTTTATGCATAATGCGTGCTCCACCAATGCCATGGTCATCTGTTGGCCCTGAAGACTCGTACGGCACTGATGTTGCAGAGTCAACTTCGATCAAGATCCTAGTTCTTGTCGACATCGCCATTATTCCGTTATGGGACACCAAGAGGGACTTCATATTTGCTTTTTAATCCTAATCCGGACCGACCATTCCTATCAATTTAATCTTACGAGGATCTCTGCAGTAATCACGCTAGAGGGCCAACTACGATATATCACATATGATGCATTCCAAGGTTGTCATCATGGTTCAAGAATACTCCGTGCAGGGTCTGCAGGAATAGAACACAGCACAAGTGCGACCGAATAATTACACTTTGTACTCTGGAGTACGAAGTACAGATTACATACGTTGAATGGAGCATGGCAAAAGCCGCACACGAGTCAGCAACGGCGTGGCACAGGGTGCAGTATATGACCTGTCATCTGCCACCCTGGAAGATTATCTATCAAGTTTCAGATACTCCGAACTTCATTTTAAACAGTTCACCTGCCTTGGTGAGTAATTACTCGTACAACTTACTCATACCCTGCTCGTCAGGATCCAACGGTCAACAAACAACCTTCAGGGGCGTTGAGTGGGTGGGACCAGAGCAAATTAGGGGCTGTCGATCACCATTTGACAGTTCTGATTCCAGATTTTTTTTAAAATCCCTGTGCGTGGATCGTCCGGCAATAGCTCCGGGGCTGTTATACTAGTACAGTAGGTACTATCTGAACAGACAAGCTCTGGTGTTGAGATGGTAGGTGCGCTTCACCCGAAATTTCCGAGTACCAGGGCAGCTGGCGTTTTTAGTGGCCGTTATGATGGATCTCTCTTTAGTGCACGATCCTGCAGAAATGTTGGGATTGTTAGGTTCGGAAACCTCCCGAGAATGTGTGTTTAGACTCGTACGTGTACAAGTAGGACTAATGTGCAATGTAGTTACGAATATGCAGTACGAGTGCATGGTACTCGTAGGAACGATGATAACCGATGACGCTAGGCTTATTCTCCTTTTGTCCTCTTCGCCGAAAATAGAGTTCGAACTATGTAATAGGCTTGCTAGCAAACCGTATGATGATCGTGATTTTGGTTATTTGTAAGTTTCCTACGCGTGAGCGATCTCCTCGGCCGTGCCACGAGTAGTACTTGTACGAGTAGCACCTCCCGTGTGATTTCTATGATTCAAGGTGCGGCACATCGGGCATGTTCTAAAATAAGGATCGTTTGTAGTACGCAGTATGGGGGATTGATCTGTTTAAAGCTTACTTGATTCAGACAAGTGACGCACCAACCGATCTTGACTAAACGAGACCCAGTCTACGAGTAAAGTAACTAAGGGGGTGGCACGAATATTCCATGTCAGGGTATGGACTCTGATAGCTTCTACAAGTAGAATATTTCCACAGAGAAAGGGAGCGATGGAGTGGGAGCAAGCAAAATGATACAACCTACACATGTGCCTATGGCCACACACCGAGACGTGGGAAAAAGATGATAGTTATGAACTTGCATCAAAGGCTGCATAGTTTGACAAGCGCGGTTGGAGCAGATATCGAGATTCAATCAAGCCCAATTCATCTACCACTTTCGTATACTGCAGGTTCCGCATGAAGGTGCAAGTCATGTGAGCCAATCAAGGAGTAATGATCGACCGTGGCGCATTCCCGACCTGCATCACACCTCATTATGGGCGGAGCTCCGTGGAAGTCCAACGGGTGTAATACATGCAAGAGGAGGAAAGTAAAGGTATGTATTACCGAGTGAGATCTAGTAGAGAGATCTGACTAGCACTAGTGCGACTTTCAACGGCCTCACTGCGCCAGATGTCTCCGAGGGAGTTTCCACTGCGAGGGATATGATCGAAACCGCAAATTCATCCATACATTCTCCGCAGATAATACAAAGGATCAGCTTGTCCGAAAGAAAGCGGAGGTCGACACACCATTTACGGTGATCAATGTCAACTCGCAGATCCGATCGCAGCTTTTCTCCCTGTTCATCGACTCCTATATGCCATCAGCCCCGTACGGTCAAATTGCATATAGATTTCAACCGGCACCGAATCTAGTGCCCCTGTTGCCGTCATTGATGAATGGCAGTAACAACCAGCTGTTGGATAGAGCGACATCAGCACTTGCCTCTGTCTTTGTCGGCAAGAAGTTTAACAATGATCAGTTGACTACTCACGGGATGCTGCTGTATAATCAGGCGATTCAAATGTTCCTGCGCATATTACCGCGAGATGGGCTTCCGACCCAAGAGGTTTTATGTACAAATCTGATATTCCAGCTATATGAGGTTGGGATCCACAATCTATCTAAGAGCCTGCCCGTTTCTAATCATTCTAGGTCATCAACTGCTCTTCTGGATTTGCTGGCTGGACGGCACACATGCAAGGTGCCAATGCGGTCCTCGCGCGACATTCGAATACCTTACAAAATGACCACATATCCACAATGCTAGTTCGTCACATAAAATTATCAAATGTGAGTTACAACATACGGACCGTCTCTGCCAAAGCTCACCCGAAAGATATTTCATGCCATCGGCAAACTAAAGAGAGCTCTATTTTTCTGCCCTACGGCACTAGATCTTTCCAACTCACTACCAAGGGATGATCTGATTGACGACATAATCGACATATTGTTAACATGTACCGAGCTTGTTGAGCACATGGCCCAGGTTCAATCCGTCAATGATGCAACACAACTGGTACAATTCTGTTTGGACGTCAAGCGGCAAGCTGAGTCCTGGGAAGAAAGATTGCAGGCTAAACATGAGTACGCGCTATTCACGACGACTCCCGCGAAGGCCAACACCCCTTCCTCAACTCTCAACCCAACTGTTTTCTCCGAGGCCTATCATTTTGTGGCCCCGGAGATAGCAGAAGCGTACATGCTGTACTGGAGCGCATTGCTTATGATCTTCTCTGTTCTCCACGGAGCAGAACTCTGGCGACAATCTGACCCTCATGGCTCCGATGAGGAAAAGGTGGCATATCGACGGAGTGTTATGCTCTACTCACAGAATGCTGAGTTCCACGCCAACCAGATCTGCCGTGGTGTGGGTTATTTTATACAACCGGACATGCATATCCTAGGCGGCCACAGCGTGCTCTTCCCTATGGCCATGACATCTCAATTTTTCCATCGCAATGGCTTCCATTCCCGCTTTGAATGGTGCCAGGAGGTCTTTGCATCCCTGGAAAAGGTTGGACTGGGTCTGGCACATATGATAAAAGGGACTCCATGGGACAGATATAAAGTTGGGGAAGGCGAGGCAGCCCCAGAGCTGTCAAACAATTAACGAGGAATTTCGTATTTACTACAATTTGATAATTGAAGCCATCAATTGATGCATCCAGGAAAATTGGACTATCATTCAAGGTTGTCTAGGTTGACTTGTAGCTTGTTTCAAAGTAGGTTTGTCTTGCCCCTTTCACATATCAATCAACGACCAAAAACCAATTCCGTTCATTCCAGGGTTACAAGTATTCCATAGTACTTAAATGCAAAGCAGGCATGGTTCAGCCCTGGAGAAGGCCGACGAAGAGCACAGATCCATTGCGGAGGGATGCTCCCCCACATTTACCCCTCACGCCAGAGCCATATATTGCTGAACAGAAGGAGGTATCTTCAACTTCACACGTCTCAGTTTCACTTTTGTGTGGTCCAGAATGGCAGACAAAATCTTATCAATTGCTGACCTCAGGGAGTCCGCTTCCAACTCGCTGCCCATCTCCGTGAGAGGTAAATATCCTTACCCCAACAACGAAGATGTAGGTTGAATGACACATAGAAACAGAATTCTTCAATTCCGGTGCCACAAACCAAGTGACTTTACACGACAACAGCGCAGCTTATGGAAAATATCGTCTTCTACCAAGAGTATTGAGAGATGTCTCTCGTGTTGAAACCGGGATCCCTCTATTTGGCCGGGACATCGCCTTCCCACTCTGTGTCTCGCCAGCTGGACTCCAAGTCATGGCACACCCGGAGGGAGAGCTTGCCACAAGCCGTGCCTGTGCGAAGATGGGCGTCAACATGGGTGTTTCATCCTATGCCAATTATCCCGTCGAGGAAATCACCGACGCCGGAAACAAGGTAGCATCGATCAATCATGTCATGCAGCTTTATGCGATGAACGATAAGGCGAAGCAAGAGCGAATTGTTCGTCGAGCTGAGGCCGCAGGTTGTAAAGCCATCTTTTTGACCGCGGACAGCCCTGTTCTCGGGGTGCGTTGGAACGAATGGCGCAATGGGTTCAAGGCTCCGGTAGGCTTGGGGTATCCGATGTATGAGATATCTTCGGATGAGATTCAGACCAAGTCCCATGATGACGGATTTGCCTCTGCTAATTCAGCTTCTCATTCTTGGGCTACGGAGATCCCGTGGTTGCGGAGTATCACCAAGATGGAGATCTGGATCAAGGGTGTGCTTACCCCCGAGGATGTCGAGACTGCGATTGAATATGGGTGTGAGGGTGTTATTATCAGCAATCATGGTGGTCGACAGCTGGATGAGACTCCGGCTACAATCGATGCACTTCCTGCCTGTGCTAAGGCTGCGCGAGGGCGCATCAGGATCCATGTTGACGGTGGAATCCGGTCTGGTGTGGACATTTTCAAAGCACTGGCCCTTGGTGCTGAGTGCTGCTGGGTCGGTCGCCCCGCACTTTGGGGGCTAGCGGTAAGTGAAATCTGCATTGGTGATTTGATATCCGAGTGTGTGTACTGACCCTTGGCAGCACGATGGTCAACAGGGAGTCGAGCTCATGCTCAAGATTTTCTACGACGACTTCAAACGATGCATGCAGCTCACTGGCTGTAGGTCAATTTCTGACATCACCACGGCTAGTCTAGCGATTGTCAATGCATCTGGACCTTTGGCCAGACTATAAAGACGGGATGGAGTTACTAGTGCGCATTTTGAATTTCTTGGTTCAGCGTAAGGGTTGGCTGTCCGAGATCCATGAGCGGAAACATTGAATTTGAAATAGTACAAATTAAGATGGTTAGCAAAGTCAAGAGAAGTATTCAAGATACAAGAAAATAAAGCAACACACGGTTCATGTTAGAGTGGCATCATTGCCCTATTTATTCCATGATATATTGACGACATTTCCCATCTTTCGTTTCACCCCTGAGCCCGCGGGGATCAATATTAAAGTCAATTTTGGCAATTGCAAGCTCGTTTCCCTCAAGCTTGTACGAGTAGTCGAGATATTGAAGGGATGTCGTGATGGATACAGGGGGTCTAGACCCCGTCCCAAAATTGGATCTCATTCCAAGGTTGTTTCGTACCTAGGTGGGTGGGGAAGATCGCCGAAGGGAGAAAACCCTCGAGAGACAAGTGTTGCGTAGATGTACTTAAGTATTAATTCCAGTCATAGTTTTACGCACCAAAATACGAGTATGTCAAAATAGCAAGGTATTGTATTGTAGCAGAATGCGCTTCCTCTGTCGATGCCGCTGGTCAACAAGTCAACTGGTCCAAGGTTGGTTCCAAGGTTACCCACAGCTGAGTCATGGATCTGGGGTCCCCCGGGGCCCGTCCTTCTGTGACGCCATCTCCACCTCTCTCTTGTATACCCCGAGATTCTCTTCTGCTTCGAAGCAATCCAGCGACTTTATTTACAGAATTTGTTGGAAGTAACCAAAGTGACAACCAATGGCGCCGCCATACAGGTATAAACCAGAGTACTCAGCTACATATGAGGTGACCCTAACAGCTTTAGTGACCATCCTGATCACGACTCGGACCACTTACGGTCTGACGAGAAGGTCCCATTGTTTATTGCGAACGAAATCTCGGAGTATGACTACGATGGCATAGAGCCTGATCCCCGTCCCTGTCACCTCAAGCCACGAAGAGCTCGCCCCTGTTTGGCACGAGCTCTGAGGAAAGGACTCTGCGCCTTCGTGATCACCGCTTTCATCATTTATCATCTTGGATTGCCGAATGGTACGTTGTTCTACCCCTAGTCTTGTATGTTGCTAATGGGAATACCGTTGATTAGGCTCAACTGCTGGAGACAACCCGCCCCCGCACGCTGAGGCTTCCCCGCTTTGCCAGTCGCAAGAATGTATTCATGCTGCATCGAATATCCTTTACAATCTTGATCCTAACTACGAGGATGTGGACCCCTGCACCAATTTTGACCAGTATGTTTGCGGTGGATGGCGGGAGACCCACGACATGCGACCCGATCAGGGCTCGATCTTTGCAGGTACAATAATGGAGGAGAATGCCCAGACTCGACTGCGTCATATATTGGAGCGTAGTGAGCCACCGCAACCATCCGATGCGGACAACTTCAAGAAGCTCAAGTCTGCATATGACGCGTGTTTGGATGAGGCGACAGTCGCCAAACGAGGCAGCAAGCCACTAACTGACATTCTGGATGAATTGAAAAACATATACCCTGCAAAGACGGGGCTCGTGAAAGGGGCGCAAGACCACCTTACTAACGCCCTGCTGTACCTGATGAACGCAGGTGTAGAGGCTTTGACTTCATCTGGTGTCACTGTAAGTCAATAGCGCGCTTCAACTTGACGAGCTCAATTATTGACCGCCGACAGCCTGATGATCGAGATCCTGACAACGTTGTGATCATGATCTCGCCTCCTCGCGTAATCGGACTTCCCGCTCGCGAGTATTACAATAACACAAAGACGGTAGCTGCCTATACGACCACTTTGAAAGAAGTCGTTCATGGTCTTGTTGGCGATGGCTTTGATAAAGTCGCCGAGGATGTTGTCGCCTTTGAAAAGAAGCTTGCAGATGTGACCCCCGACACTCAAACCCAAGAGGATGTTACCAAATACTACAATCCCCTCAGCATCAAAGAAACCGAGGCCCTGGTACCGGAAATATCTTTTACGGATATCATTACTTCCTTGGCACCCCACGACTACAAAGGAGATCGTCTCATTGTTGGATCCCCTTCGTATATGAAGGCCTTGTCTGGACTCCTGAAAGACACACCCCGGGAAACCATCCTGCTTTTCTTGCAGTGGAAGCTGGTACAAGAATTTGCAGGTGTGATTGAAGATGACTCAATTGAGCCTCTCCGACGCTTCAAGAATGAGCTTGCCGGCAAGGAGCCGCAGGCTAAAGAGGAGAGATGGCGCCAGTGCCTTGGACGCCTCGATGAAGGTCTTGCGTGGAGTCTTAGCCGATTCTACGTACTCGATTCTTTCTCGGAGGGCTCCAAAAAGCTTGGTGATCAAATTGTCTCAGACATCAAAGAACGATTTATCTTCACCTTGGGTCAGACAAGCTGGATGTCGGCTGATGTGCGCAAGTTGGGAATCCAGAAAGTCGAGAACATTGTCCAGAAGATTGGCTTCCCGACTAAAAGCCCCAACGTCCTGGACCCAGAGGATGTGAAGAAATACTATCGTGACCTGGAAGTATCGAAAGATACTTTCTTTGAGAACGAAGTGGCCGTTGCTAGATTCCTCCTTCGTGACGAATGGTCCAAGCTTGGAAAGCCTACTAACCGTGATGAGTGGGACATGAGTGCCCCGACTGTTAACGCCTACTACAACCCGCCAGGAAATGAAATTGTTTTCCCTGCTGGTATCATGCAGGCCCCGGCGTTCTATGGGCCTGCTGCCCCATTGTACCTGGCTTATGGTGCCTTCGGCGCCGTGAGTGGTCACGAGCTTTCCCACGGTATGTTGTCATTTCCCCTCTCCCCGAAAGATATAATGTGGTTAACAACAAAGTAGCCTTCGACTCTACCGGTCGTCACTACGACCAAGTCGGCAACTACACCGATTGGTGGGATGACAAAACCGTGAATGCATTCGAAGAACGAGCTCAATGCTTCATTGACCAGTACTCTAACTTCACTGTCACTGGACCGGATGACAAAGTTCTCCATGTGAACGGTCGATTGACATTGGGTGAGAACATCGCAGACGCTGGAGGTCTCACTGCTTCATTCCACGCTTGGAAGAAACATGATGAGGCAAAAGCCGATTTGCACCTTCCCGGCCTAGAGAAGTTCACCAAAGAGCAGCTGTTCTTTATCTCTTACGGCAACTGGTGGTGCGGGAAGACAACGAAAGAGGCCGCCGAACAGGCGATCTACAACGACCCGCATGCGCCCAAGTCAGCACGCATCATTGTAAGTCGATCTCATTTGTAGGCGGGGACCGTCTCTTAATTAACTATTCCTGCAGGAAACCATGGCCAACTCCCGTGAGTTCAAGGACGCATTTAGTTGCCCCCACCAGAAGCCAACATGTAAACTGTGGTGATTTTGACTTATCGTCTCCTTCTATATTGTGCCATTAGGGCTTAAATGTGAACAACTTCACTGATCCTCCTTTGAACAAGTACCCATAGACACTCTCCAGTCGCTTAGGTCTTAGGTTATTTGCCACCCCGATACATCCGAAGTGAGATGTAAGACATTATGTTGATAGAAAGAATGAGGCCCGAGCAATGTGACACCTTGAGCCGAGACAGCCGAAGGCATAACTTTTTACAAAGTACGGAGTACCACAGCACAGTACAATCGCGCTTAGGGCACGGCCATTATTGCGAGCGACAACTACCGACCGTGTACTCGTACTCCGTACTGCGTATGGAGTATGGAGTATGGAGTACGAAGTAGGTGACTGATCATCGGGGATCGAGCCTAGTGCTCTCTGCAAGGACTAAATCAAGCAACACAATCAGCTAGACGAGTCAATCAAACAACCGAGGCGGATCTGATTTCCCCGTCTTAGCCCCTTTGCTGGGAGTCGGGTTTGATTGATCGACGCCTGACATGTGACCTATCAAAGACTGCAAAGATGATGTACCTACGAGTACTCTGACTTCCGTGGAGAGGCAGATCATGAATCAGACATGCGAATCTGTACTGCCTTTTCGGATTCGGAAATGAACCGAAATTCGCGATCCATTAGCACATTTTCAATTTCTGATCATCACAAACCCATAATTGCGCCAAGACATGCACCTTTACAAACACTTGGTCCGTATCCCATGAAGTATGGAGTACTGAGCAAAAGTACGATTTGAAGCAAGGCAGCCAATCCGAATTAGGGCGCTGCACGTTAATTTCCCGGTCACTGTAGGTCACATCGATCATATAGGTCACACAGTGGGAGAATGACACTGTGAAGATCAACGACTCATTTTTGGAGTCAATCTCAGAAATGATACAGAAAGATCTGCTGTCAAAGAGTCGGGAACTCTCTCGGCCAACCGATGAGAGATGGTCTTCCCAGTTTCGCGTCACCCTGTGCCGGACAAGTGGAGATGAAAATAACGGCGGGTGCATCAGCCAACCAGACCTGCAGCCTGGCCTGCCAATCCAAGACAGCTCTCGCTTTTCACTGGAGCCTCTGCCCCCCCGCGGAGCGAATGAGTGACCTATCACCTCCCTTGCACCGCCTGAAGGTCCCGCCTTCAGCTCGTGTGTGGACTGATGTGGACCCGAAAGAGCTTGATCAGATCTTGGTAGGGGGATATAGAGAGGGAGTGGAAGAGTGAAAGCGACGAAGAAGAGAGAAGAAAACGATAGAGAGCGAGAGAAAAGGAGTAAAATCAAGAGAGAGAACGAAAAGGTCGGAATATCGAGCACAAGGAAGAAGCGGAAGAACGAACCGTTACCCAGCGTTCGCCCATTTGGTTCCGCCGCGTCGGGTCAACTCCACAAAAACAGAGCTGTCCGATTCTCTTTTCTTTTTCCTCCCTTTTCTGACCTCATAGGCTTGGTTTCCTTCTTTTGCTCTACGGAGTATCCCTCCATCTACTCTGTAGGGGTGTTTTCTTCGAGATGGAGCCCTTCCCTTCCATCGACCCGCCATTCAATGCCTTTCTAGGGCCCCAGGTCGAGATCAATGAGGGTAATCTGCGACGGGCCAACACAGTCTCTCCCGGCAACATCAAGAGGAATTTAGAACTCAAGGCCGCTCGCGAGAAAACAGCAGGGGTACGCGCCAAGGATCCTGAAGGGAAGCTGCAACGATCACAAACACATCGCCCACTAGTGGCGCGTCCACCCCGAAAGGTCGGTCACTTCACGGTGCGAAGTGTCGGCCAGAATGGCAAAATATTCCTGAGGTATACCAATCTACTCTGTAGCGCTATTGCTGACGCTGTGTCACATAATTGCAGCCTGCTGATCTACCATTTCTATTCAGACCAATTGCCGATCCGCCAAAGAGCCAGCCAGCGTCCTTCCCAGTTGATACGAAACCCACTCTGCTTCAGCCGCAGCCTGCATCCGCCCGAGAAGATCCGTCCAGATGGTCCAGCTCCCAGCTTTCTGAGTTGCGGCCGCGCGAACGCCCCAATCCCGAGTATGTGTCCGAGTCTCCTCCCGAACTGTCGAGCACGCATCGTACCAGGCCCAATTCCTTTTCTACTCTGTCAGAGCAACAGTCCACGGCTGGCGCTGGGAAACGGGGAGAGTTGCGAATTGTGATCGATAGATCGGAAGACCGTCCCAAATCGGCAGATGAGAATTCGACTATGGAAAGTCCCACGCCTCGCTTTCGCTTTGGGTCACCGCGGTTGAATGAGGGTACAGCGATGCAGAGCATAGTATATTCGCGAACTTCAATGTCGGACAACTTTCGGAATTCCACCCTGCTTGGGGGCGTGGCAGACCCGTTGCCGGGTCTGCATACACCCCATGTTCGAGACTCTTTCTCCAGACATCGGCCGTCTTTTGCGATTTCGATGTTCTCGGGCACTGCTGCGGCCATTGACATGAGCAGGTCTTCGCCGATTCCGCGCAATTCGATGGTCTATGAATTAAAAGAGCCGGTTGAGCCATCTATATATGAAACGCTGGTATATGATATGGATGATGGATCAGTGGTTCGATACGTTCCTGGCACAAAAGATATTAGTGCTGCAACTCCGGCTCGCATCGTTGCGCAAATTTCTTCCGAGTCTTTCATGGACTATGAGTTGGTCTCGGACTTCTTTCTCACCTTTCGTTCCTATCTGTCCACTTCTCACCTTCTGGCGCTTCTTCTGGCGCGTTTGAAGTGGGCGATCAACCGATTACAAGATGATGGTCGGATTATCAGAATCCGAACATTCGCGGCTTTGCGCCATTGGATTCTCAACTACTTTGTCGATGATTTTGTTACGAATTACGAACTTCGGAATCACTTTTGTGATACCATTAACGAGCTTTATGCAGAGGTCAGGTCTCGAGAAAACGGCGGCACAAGTGACCGGAAGATTCTCATTGACTTGAAGCGATGCTGGAACGGCAAATGCTCGGTCTACTGGTCTTCTCCTGACTTATCTCGAGCATATAATGACCCTGAAATTCCTATCGTCCCTGGAAGCGCTGAAATAGAGATACCCAAAACCGAAGAGCAGCAACAGAACATCCCTCCTGCATTGACCCCAACTGCCGACACCACCTTTCGCCAAAGCATTCCTTACCCTGCCCAGCATGATCGGAACGATTCTGGTGCAACGGCCACCAGCATTCCACTGTCAGCCAAAAGCGAGCAAAGCATTATGGCGCTGTCGTGCTCATTGCCCCCCAAGTCACCAAAACGCTTCTCCATGTCTGCATCGAGAGGGAAAGCCCCACGCCCGGTGGTGTTGGGTCTCACAAAATCCAAGTCCCCATCCAGATCCCACGAAAGACCCTTGTCACCCGCATCTCCTATGATTTCGCGGCACCCGTACCACAGTCATAGCCACCAAAGAAGTGGAAGCTTTTCCGACTCGGTGCGGGATGATCGACAGCCGACGTACGCAACAACGTCACAGTCCGGACCCGTCCCACAGGAGTCTTTGGATACTGTTAGTTTGATTCGCGGCGAACTTTTCCCCCCTGCCGAGTCATACATGACCATGATGGCACCCGACTCGCCTCCCCTTCCTCCGCCATCAAAGAACGCCAACCCCGATCGTCGCAGCACCCCCGATGTACCAAAGTCTGCGCCCAATTCGGGTATGAGAACCATCATTGGCTCGATCAAGCGGGCATTGCATACACGAAACGGTGGACAAAGTGTTTCTGCTCGCATTGCCAACGCCCAGGAAGCCCTTTCTCTGCCTTCCCGCGGTAAGACGTCCGCCCTACCAACTGGAATGGCTTTTGGCTCCGAATACTATCGAGAGAGAAAAATGGCCGCTGTTCCCAAACGCCCTGCCAGAATTGACATTCTCTGCGATGAGGTGTTGAAACAATATCGGTTAGCTATGAATAAGGAAACCCCAGAGGAACAGAACCACCCACCAGCCCCTCAAGGCCACCTAGAACAGCATGCATCCAACGCCCATCTTTCGCCGATGCAGAACGAGACCGATCCCAAAATCAGAAGCGGAATCACCATGGGCAGTGGCTCAATCGTCATCGTCGACGACACAGGGTTTGAAATGCCCTTCATGTCAGGGGCGGCACAGCAACAAGAAGAGACGCCCGATACTCATGATATTGGCTATCCCACGTCAGAATTCCGCGTGCCAGAGGACGCTGCTTCGACACAATCGATACCAGTAGAGGGGGAATATCTTCGACCAGTTTGTTACAATGCTGAGGATTCCGGAAGAGCCCCGCTGTCAAATGTGTTTTACCCACCTCGCCCTCTCACGCCACAGAGGTCGTCTTCCGTTGAGCGTATATCAACGGCCTTGAAAAAGAAGAACTCAATGTCTCTTCGCCTTCGAAAATATGCATCTTTCCAAAGTGGAATATCACGGAAGCGGTACTCTATGAACAGCGAGTCCACTGTCGGATCTGCCTCGATGCCGGATCAAAATGGACAACAGGCAGGGCCCGCTCTTCGCAGGCGCCGAGGCGGGAATTTGCGTCAAATGCACACCGGGGAGGAGTCTCTCTCAGGTCGTGATTCATTCGCTTCTTGGGATGATTCGGTTGCGGATGGAACTGCCCCCTCTGATCAAGGTGTCTCGAGACCCCCTTCAGCCCTTATCCCGCCTAACCCCATGTATTCGCTCATTCAACCTCGCAATTCTCGACAAATTAGGCGTTCTTTCGAATCAGTCATTGCGAAGTTTGCGCAAATCCCAGATGACGATGATGGCGGCATTGAGTCTACATTGTTAAAATTAGAAGGAAAATGGGATGGACCACCCAGCGCCGGGAAAGATTCTGGATTCACCCAGGTAGGTGGATCTAGCTCTCACCGAGAGCAGCCCTTGGTTCCTCGTGGACTCGAAATTTCCAAGCCTGGGTGGGAAGTTCTCTCTCGAAGACGCCAAACTGATAAGTCGGCTTATTCCACCGTTGGGGGTCGATTGGCACCCCCGCGGCCTTATTCTGACTCCGTGGCTGAATCCGAGGATTCTTACAATTCTATCCCCCTCCTTGAGCGTGGTTTGACCGATGAGTCGATGAAGTGGCAGCCGACAAGCCACCCAGCCCACTATGATCTTAATGGTGCCCCGCTCAGCCTCATATCCAGCCGTGATACCTCCGAGCTTGTCTCCTCACATCCCTCAATACAGCTCGTGCACGAAACTGACAGCATTCGTCGCATCCCTCCTGGCTCAACCGTTCCCGCCGCTGCCGATGATGCGGGTCAAATCACCCCAACGCGTTTCTCGGTTCTGTCATCTGATGGCTCAGTTGATGTGATTGACCGGCGTGAAGCCATGGGTCTACGACAATCCACTGACCGCCGTAGTCTCAGCTCATCAACTGTTGAAATACCACCTCATCCTTTAGCGCACCCTCCATCCCCGCCAATGACTATCCAGAACCCGGGGTCTTTCACATCCTGTGCCTCGCCTCTGAATACAGTGCAATTCCAGGCACAGCCTCTTACACCCGACACATCCCCAAGGCACAAAGATGCTACGAAAGCAGCCTCGCGACCTGTCAATATCCAACAGGTTTCCAGCGATGTCTTATTTAACTCAGAGAACAACCATAACGAACAAATCCCAACCAGTCTCCTCCCCGATCACGTTCCATTCGTTCTCGCCTGTGAATCTCAAGTCCTGGCCCAGCAATTGACCATTATCGAAATGGCTGCGCTACGCGAAGTCGACTGGCGAGATCTAGTTGAAATGAAATGGAGCAGCACCTGCCCACTAGTCACCAACTGGGTTCAGTTCCTTACACACGAAGAACGCAAGGGAATCGACTTGGTAGTCGGTCGCTTCAACCTGATGGTCAAATGGATCTTGTCGGAGATTGTCTTGACCCGTGATATCCATGAACGCGCTCGCACAATCATCAAGTACATCCACACAGCTGCCCACGCACGTCGCATCTGCAATTACGCCACTATGCTTCAAATCGCTATTGCTTTATCTTCGTCTGATTGTTCCCGCTTGCAGACAACCTGGCAACTCATTCCCTTGGAGGACAGACGACTGTTCAAGGATATGGAGTGTTTGATTCAGCCGGTGCGAAATTTCAATGACCTGCGTGTTGAGATGGAGACAGCCAATCTTCAAGAAGGCTGCATACCGTTTATTGGTAAGTTTCAAATTATGTGATGACAGATTGAGTCACATCCTAACATCATTCAGGTCTATACGTCCACGATCTCACCTATAATGCCCAGAAGCCTGCTCAAGTCAGCAGTGATGACGGTGGTCTTCTGGTGAACTTCGAGCGTTATCGGACAGCAGCGCGTATCGTCAAAAGCCTGCTGCGCCTGATTGAAGCCAGTACAAAGTACAGGTTCGAGCCCGTGCAAGGGATTGTCGAACGGTGCTTGTGGATTGCTTGTCTTCCTGAAGAGGACATTCAAGCTCGAAGCAAAGCACTTGAATAACTCCCTTCGTTTTTCCATCTCCTATCTCCCTATTTTCATTTGGTTTTCATATATATCCCATTTTGTTCTGATCTTGGTTGGATGTTTATATACCCCTATTACCAGACTCCATCTGCCTCACCCTGCACCGACATCCATGTCCGGTTAATGTCTTTCTTTTTGCTTTTTGCTTATCTCTTTTCTTTGGCTCAGTCTTGGGACCATACCCCTTGAAGCGTGCATCAGCGGATTATATCATTTTCAGCCATTATATCCACTCAAATCAACAATATCAGATACGCCCATCTATCTACGGACACTCGCTGTTGGTATCGTGGCCCCTGGGCTCACAACAGCGCAGTTTCAGTGAACAGCAAGGAAAATACTTTTACACTTGTAGGAATTTACTTTACGGAGAAGACAGTAGGGAATAATTAGCAATGGCCGAGATTGGAGGCGTTTCATCCAAAGTGCAATGCACAGCGGCTGCGTCATATGCGGTTGATCGTCCAGGAACGGAACACCAAACTCCATCTCAACTCCCGACAACAACCATCCACGGAGGGTACCCTCACCACACCTATAGAGAGGGCGCTCCTTATTCCGATTTTGCACCTTGGATGTCCCGCCAAACGCCCGGCCACCATGGACAAGACCGAACCGCGTGGGGGGTCGGACTCCGACCCTGACCACAGCGACCACAGCCCCGCGTCCTTCCACGAAGCCAAACAAGAACTCCCGGATGATTTACCCAAGTCGCTGGACGATCGTCGCTCTGTTCCGGGATTCCAGCAGGAAACCGAGATGTACGACGCTTGGCAGGGTGAGTCGGAACTCCTCCCCACGGTTGGGTAGGCACTCGCGTACCCAGAAACTGCGGCTGGATTTCACGTTCCCAGCCTACAAAACTGACCGTCGCATCCGCTGTAGGCCAATCGCAATTCCTGACCACGCCGGTCGCTGCAAAACCGCTATCTTTCAGTCTCGCGCTTGACGACCACTCACACGATAACGAGCATGACCTACGGGCACACTACGGCCGCGACCTTCAAGATAGCGATACCAGACTCATGGAAATGCTAGCTGCTCAGGCTGCTCATAGGGAGGTGGACTCGCTCACTGCGGATGAGGAGACGATTGCCACCGATGAGAAATTGTCCGATGACGAAAAGCGCGATATCCTCCAGAAGAGCTTGAATATGGCTGCTAGTAACGGGGATGTGGAACGCGTCCGAAAATTGGTACAAGGCGAGGCCAGGACTTTTGTGGACGTTAATAAGCCAGACGAGGAGGGCACAGTGCCATTGATCTATGCCAGCTGCTTTGTGGGTGAATCTTTCCATTACTGCCGTTGATGGAAGACTGACGGGTACTAGGGTCATCAAGAAGTGGTCTCTGCGTTGATTGAAGCCGGGGCTTTGGTTGACAGGCAAGATCGCAATCAGTGGAGCGCTTTGATGTGGGCCATGACCAATCGACACAAGACAATAGCCAAGGTTCTACTTGATCATGGGGCATCGCCGGATATCAAATCGTCTTCTGGCGGTACAGCTTTCGACTTTGCGCAACCCGGCAGCGAGATTTCGGAATTCCTGCATGAAAACGGATACAATTTTGGCTCTGGTGCTATCGATGATTTCTATGATGCCGGGTTGGCGCACGGTCGTTTCGAAGAAGAACTCGCTGAGAGTGAGATGAAGCGGCGCATGATGATGGAGGAGAGTGCGATCAATCTAGAGGTTGACTTGTCTAGCCTAGGTCTCGATGAGAAATTCGAGGTAAGGCTCCTTGGCGAATATCTGCCATGAAACCCACTAATTTGATATTATCTAGCCATCTGATGAAGATGAGCTCGAGGCAGACCAGCAGGAGTTTGTTTGGGACAAGTGCCTGAATGACCAGATGTTTGTTTTCCAGGACCATGAGCTCGAACGCATTTTGGATATCATCATCACCAACATGACTCCACAGCGATCCCCGTCCCAAAAACCTGTGCCTGCAAACCTCCTCTTTCTCAGTGCGCGATACGCTCACTACCATGCCAGTCCAGAGCTCCTCACAACCCTGCTCTCCTCTGCAATGGAAAAGATCAATGATGTCGTAGAGCGGTATCAATGGGATATGACGATGCAGGCCTTCTGGCTGTCTAACGTCACGCTTCTCCTCCACTACCTGAAGAAAGACGGGGGCCTGGTAGAATCTACCGTCGAGTTCCAACTTCATTTGGCCGAATTGATCAACGAAATCTTTGTCCTCATCATTCGTGACGCCGAGCGTCGAATGAACAAAGTCCTAGATGCCGCAATGCTGGACCATGAAACCATTCCGGGACTGGATGACATCGCATTCCAAAATGAGTGGAAACTTTTCCGCAAGAACAAAAGCAAAAACCCCGAACCTGACGAGAAGCGATTCCGTCCCCCATCTCCGCGCCGACGGGCACAGATCTCCCCCCGCAACATCACCTCATTACTCTCATCGACCCTCTTTGTGCTGGATCTCTATGATGTCCACTCTGTGATCACGACACAAATTCTCTCTCAACTTCTTTATTGGCTCAGTGCTGAGATCTTCAACCGAATTATGAGCACAAAACGTTACCTCGCGCGCACCAAAGCAATGCAAATCCGTATGAACGTCTCAACGTTAGAGGATTGGGCTCGTTCCAACAACCGACTACCAGACCATTATGAGAACGGATCGACCAGCAGCACTGGCGAGTCCACGATCGACTCCGCCCGCAGACATCTAGCCCCCGTCATCCAGCTTCTTCAATGGTTACAATGTTTTTCCTCGCTTGGGGATGACCACGAGTCTCTTGTGACAACACTTCTCCAACTACAACAACTCACACCCGCCCAGCTCCTGCATGCCGTGAAATCTTACCGGCCCGAGGTTGGTGAAAAGGGCCTCACTAAGCAATCCATGAAATTCCTCATCGAAATGCAGCATAACCCGGAACTGCCACATACGGAGCAGCTGAGGATTCAAATCGAAAAGGCACAGGCAGAGGCGGGCTCCGGACCTCAGCTACCGGATCGGCCCAAAACCCCCCAAAACCAGGACGCATCTTCCCCAGATCCCAATCTCTCCCCGGCCGAGGCCACATCGCGACCCACTAGCATAGTGGCCCTCCGGAACGACGAGCGCCCAGGTGGCGGTAACAGCGTCTTCTTGGATCCCACTCTTTTCCTCCCCTTCTCTCTCCCCACTAGCACAGATATGCTGGTCAGTTATGGTGCTGGCTTTGGTGGTACAAATCGTGAAAGGGCGCGCAAGTATATCCCTACCGTTCCACCAGAGGTTCTCAGTCGCTTTGATCGCGGCGATGTATAGCTCTCCAGTTGGTGAACTTTGCAATGTCTAGAAGCAATCACACCAGGGACCTGTGCACTACCTATAAATTCATGGATGTGGTAGCACCTCCCCGGGGTGCCAGTATATATTTACTTAAGTACAATGGATCTCTGTGGATAAGCACCTAGTATGTCTACATGGGCATCACGCAAACAATCCAGTTTTCAGCTCTTGCTCTTGGGCTGATATTTCATATAGATCCATGGATATTGTTTCGGGAATATTTCCCTCTCGCGTAAATATAACTTAAAAGTAGGTATAACAGGATTACCCTCGTAATTTAGAAATACAATCGAATCCCTCCAATGATGTACTTAAGTACCAGCATCACCAGCTAGGGGCAATGAAATGGAGTCCCCACTAGCCTTTCGACTTGAACGATGAAGACAAAAGAAATTTGGGAAGGCAGCTGAGCAGCAACAAATGTGGTGAAGAGTACTGTGATGCAAGGCAGGCATAGACGGTGTTGAGGGTGCGGCTGGGAGATTATTCAACACATTCATCGTCTTCCTTATCCTCACTTAAGTCGACTGTAAACGCATCACTCTTTGCTGCAGCAAAATAAGAGTAATATTCTTGTTGCTCCGGAGAGTTCTCCTCCCATGGAAGAAGTAGCGTCCTTAGGCCCACGTCCACCAGCTGTTGAAAATCGTCGGTCTCCATGTTCATTCGCAGGCAGATGAGTTCATAGTAGCCGATCGGGAAGAGTTTTGCGCACGACTCGGAAATTGTGAGTCCAGCCTCCTTGAGCTGGTCAGCCCAGAACATAGCATCCGTCAGATCTGAAGATCGCTTCTCGATCCCATTAGCGTCTTCCTGGCGTAGATAGGAGCACTTCACTTTGACTGCCAGAGCAAAGTCTGGCTTGAGCAGACGAATCCCTCGGATAGCTTCAACATGCTCGTGGACCTGCTCATAAGAGAGCCTATTGTCGATGGTTGTGAGCAAATCTATTTGAACCGATTGATAAGACAGTTTCCCATCCACCACCTCGAAGCCGTCAACTGTTTTGAGACAATCAAGAATGGAGATGTCGCGAATTAGGATGTCGACATCGCTTGTCAGTCTCGTGTTGCCTCTGAAGCATGCGGCGGCGCCACCAACAAGAATAAACTCAGTGGGAATTCAATCCCCCAGAGCAAGGACGCACGCCTTAATCTTGTCTATTGGCTGGAAGTGGGTGGACATATCGACTCAAGTTACACAATTAGCAGAGGGCGAGTAACGAGAGGACTTGGGGATGCGTCGCGCTCCATTGAATGCGTGGGTTCAACTTGTTGAGAGAGCACGGCGAGAGAAAGGAAGAGGAACCGATTGAATTGACTGACTAGGGAGAGAGAGGGAGAGGAGAGAAAACCTATTGAGAGTTTTATCTAAAGCAAACGAGGGTTGGGACTTCCATCTCAAAACAACCTGATCGGGTAGGAGCGAACTAGATCTATAAATCTATAGATGGGGCAACCCCGGTTACTCGCGGTTTATGTAAGGAGCCCGCAACTCAAAGCTGAATGCGCTTCACTTCTGCACTTAACTTCTTCACACGTCTGCTTCCAATAACCTTCGAATATTTGGCAAAATGGCCGATTACACAGTCGATGGACCTCTTCAAGAATTCCCCGAGTGGGACCTCTATCACATATCTGAATGTCTCGAGGATCACAGTATCAGACACTGTATTGCTGGCGACGCAATCATTACGACTCTCGGCTATCCGTTGGTCATTTGTGACTTTTATCTCGCGGTCGCAGATGAACATCTTGAAGATGCCTTGACTGTCGTTCTTCAGCAAGGATTTCAGGAAATCCGAGGCCGCGATTTCTATGTGGATAAGGATGCGATAATTACCCCTTCAGGCTGGCCAGGACACAGACTGAAGATGACTTCCGCATCACCAATATCCCCGGCGGTTGTACTTGTTCCCTCGAGTTTCTGGCATATCGAACTCTCAGAACTGAGTTTATCGACGAACACATTCTTGCATCCTAGTACGCGATGTCGATTTCCAAAGCGGTTATTCTATTTGGATGGTAAGTGTTATAGCGTGGACGCCTCTCAACTTTTTCTTTCTCGGTTTCAATCTTGGTCCTGGTCTTGCGCTGATCTCCTCTGACTTCCTAGCTCTGATCGATATTATTGTCGAAGCGGCATTGAAACCTGGCGGCAACAGGCAACTGTCCAGGTACTTTAGAATGCAGTATCACTATTTACTCGCCTGTCTTTCTCCAGATACTCTCCTCAGTCTGCCGCTCGAGGATAAATTCTTTGTGGACTTATATGGCAGACTCCTTCCGCCATCAACCCGGCAAAAAGTCTGCTTTAATCGGCAACGGATTCGACAGGGTTTGATATCTGTGGATGAGGCATGGAAGTCAATCCCGAGAAAAGCCCTTCTGGCAGATGAGATATGGCGCAAATCTCGGAACCATAGCTAGTGTCGTTTGGGCCGGGGACACCAAATCGGTTTCGGACATTTTTGTTTTCGATATCCATCTCGGCTTTGGGGAGGGTGGCTCCAATTACCTCAATGGACCTGCCAGGAAAAGGATGGTAACGAAGCTCACCCTACTCATGATGTTCTGTTTCCGCTGTCAGGCCAGCCTAGAGCGTAGGAAGCATGGCGCCCCGCGCCAATAATCGGCAGGTCGCCACAGAATGGAAGATGCAAACAAACAAATCCAAACTTGAGAGTCCTCTTCCTCTCTCTCTCTCTTTCTGACTCCCTTCACCGGCTCCCTTGAACCACCGAGGCCTCGCATCACCGAAACCCCCTGCGCAGCACTGCGCAGTCCTCACCCTCTTCGCTTCCTCACTCTGGCCGATGCCGTTGCCGTGGTCGCTCGTGATACGTCGTTGGTCCATTCGACGGGCCTAGGCTTGCCGAACCCCTGAGCGGGTGTCCTTCATCTGCTTTTTCACCCAGGACTCTTATTATCCAACCCCAAGCCACAGAACAAATCAGGATTTAGAACCCGTCTAATAAGGGTTCTAGGCGAAATACAAGAGGTGGAAAAGGCTGCTATTGAACGACGACTCATAATGTCTCATTCAAGCTTTTGAAGAATAGGGAGCTGAAATAACAGTTACATTTCAATCACAAGTGACAAGGCCATATTTCAGGTTTCCAACATAAGCGAGTATTAGAAAATGAGAGCTCGATGATCTCTATATAGAATGGAAGAACGCTATTGGTCTATTTAATCAGGTCAATGCCAGTTGAGACACTACAAAGTATACAAGAAGTCTCCTTTGGACCACGTGAGAATCCCGGCTGTGGGCAACTTGTTTAACCTAACTTCGACAAAGGACTACCAGTCCCATGAAGTTCAGAACGGAATACCTCCGGTTGTTTAATGAGGGAGTCTCCTTAATTTCCCTCTCGCGTAAATATAAGTAGGTACAACATGATTACCTTCGTAATTTAGAAATACAATACAATCCCTTCAAATGATGAACCAGCATCACCAGCTAGGGGCAATGGAATGGAGTCCCCACTAGCCTTTCGACTTGAACGATGGCTCCGTCTGTCCCTGGTCACCGGTATGGTTATACGGTTTATCATAGCGCTCTTCCATCTCCTGGTTATGTTTTTTGACATCTTTGGGCAGATCGTCTCTTAGATTTCCGTCTTGGTCTGCGAGAGGCGACTGGTTGCCGTCGCGTAGAGTGGGCTTGGCCTTGTTTGACGGAATGGGATGATTGGGAGAGTCTTGCTGATGGGTTGTTTGGGAGTCATTGCCGTCGTTCTTGGTTGCGTAGGTTCGTAGCAATGGTGTGCGACGTGTAGAGATCGCTGGCATGGATCTGGGCAGTGTCCGAAGGCGCATGAGAGATGACATTGTGGTAGGCATTTGTGGGTATACCTAGATGAAAAGTGAAGTTTTTAAAGCGATTCTAAAGTTGACGCTTGCTTTTGTAATTGAGAGAAGAGCTGTGGAATCAGGTTTGATACCTGGAGTTATGATGACGCATGGCGATGTCATGATATCACGCCAAGAGTATACACACTCCTTGCAGAAGCTGTACACTAGCACCTACATGTAAGTATGTACTTGAATACTATACTTTATTATTACTTCAACCCGGCTTTTTGGTCGCTTTGGAATTGGAAGAGCCTCGAAATCGAGCATCCCTAAATGTGCCATAAGAATCAGTCTATCGCCATGTAACAATAACGCCGCACAAACGCTCAAATGCTTAGACACAACAACAGCAGAATATTTTAACAGAAGGATAGGACGCTCAACAATTCAAATGCATATTTCAATCGGGTTCGTTTCGAGGGCCTGTCAGATGCTGATCTGTGGTCCTGATATCCAATGCTTTAGTAGCATCACTTGCTGATTCAAGGCGACGAAGGGGGGCACCGGGTGGTTTGGCTGCCGTGAGCACCGGCCCTGATGGCTGTTCGAAATCGCCATCCCCGGCAACAGATTCGGACCGACTAGATAGACCGGAAAAATTGGAGATATCGCTTTTTTGACGCTTGTGAGTAGAAAGTGGTTGTTCCCCGCGCATAGCAGCAGCTCGGCCCTGCATGAGCATGCGAACTGGTGGCGGAGGCAATTGTTCATGTGCTCTTTTATCCTTGCGCTTGGTATTGCCTTTACCCCGAGGGAAAGATGTGGCATTCGAGGCCTCGGGAGTATTGTCGGCTGGTGTTTCTGACTGCGATTGCAATTTGAGCGGAGGAGGTTGAGGTTGAAATTGAGATTGTTGGGACCCCATCGGCTGAGGAGTCCAGAAGTGATATTCTACAGGTTTGTTCTTGAGGTCGCCGTCATTGGAGCTGCCGGGCATGTTTGATTGGGATTGAGATCGTGCTGTCTGATTCAACGATGAAATCACAGGGAACGTGTTTTCGAATGCTGCGCTCAAACCGTCAGAACATGATCCTGCTTCAATTGACCAATTTCCGCCTTACGATAGGCACTGGAATATGAAATTAGCCTTCTGCTATGGCAACTTACCATTTGGTATCTGTGGTGGCTGTTGAGGGGCCTGTTGACGGGCAGGTCGAGACATCGTTGCTCGTGGAAAGGACGGAGGTACAGGATGTGCCTGTAATTGAGGAGGCACCGTAGTGCGTGGAGCCGACCATTGTCTCTGCAGGTCTAGAGCCAGTTGAGAGTTTGCACCGGTGGTGTGAATGCCATTGAAGATCATTGGGATCAAGTGTGCCGGCACACCGGCCCGTAGGGAATCCGAGATAATCGCCTGCTCGACACGTCGTTGCTCTAATACCAAGTTTGCCTGGCGAGTTTTCTCCTCCTCCTGTCTGCGTTTATCTTCCTCGGCTTTGGCTTTCAGCCAATCACTCATTCGCTCTGTGCCCTCCCATGCCGGTGGTAGTGGTGGGACACAGGTTGGCATTGCCGGCGGAGGTGGTAGTCGGAATTGGTCATAGCTAGATGAGCTCCGTGATGATTGCGATACATAAGGCGGCATATCATCCTCTATGGAGGGCAATGCCAGTGGAGGAGACTGTGATATGGTAGACTCGAGGTCTCTGAACTTTGAACCAGTGAGCTGCATGTTGACATAGCGCAAATTTCAACTTGGAAGTAAGACCGAGAGTTCCGAGAGGAGACAACAGAAAAAGAGGAAGAAAGATGGAAGTGGAAGGGAAAAGACAGAAAGACAGAAAGAGAGAACATCTCAATGGGGAAAGCACGTACCTGTGCCCATTTACGGAAGGTGGTCACTGCCGAATTCTGAAACCCCAATCTATGAAACGAAATCTGGTTCGAATCTTCCTCGAAATCAAAATCGTCAGTGAAAATAGGCTAAACGTAGAAGAGGAAACGGTATATAAAAAGAAAGAAATGGGCTAGACACATCTAACGCGAGTCTCCCCCAATGACAGGTGTTGGGCGGATGAGCATGCGCAAGCGCTAGATCCACTTGGGGGCTGGAGATCTTCTAACGGATGTGACTGGACTGGCATTGAGAAACTGAATTGGGAATTGACATAAAGGGGAATTGAGCTATCGGCTTGAATGACTGGAATCTCACTATGTATACTACTAGGATTGTGGACTAAAACTGTTCACGCATAATTAGCGAGATCGCCTCTCGTATTATTTCCTCTTGTGGCTGCCATCTGGCTTGGCATCTTGAAATGACGTCTTAAATCGCTGGCTATAGATATGGAGGTGATGATAATTATAGATCCGATTCCCGATTCTCTGGCCCTCGGTTTTGCTTCTTTCGGTGACACGGTGCTCTATATCATCTGCAGTATTCCACTGAGAAACCCTAACCCGCGTCCGTGCCGTGTATCGGGTGTTTACCGACCTGTTCGCATAAGCTGACGTGCCCGCTAAATCTACTTACCTAAATAGGCCCTCAGCTTGGCCACGCTGGCCAAGTCAACATCTCTATCAGCCCAATGCCTCCCGGCGTCGGTCAACCCGAGAAAACCCTGGGAACCTCAGTTGCTTGAAATGCACTATGCTTGTTTGCTACATGCATGTCCTCTGACCGCCCGTTCTCTCTTATATATGGGGCCTTGAAAACAAATATTTGGATCCCAAGCTGTCTATCATGCATATGGCTTACAGAAAAGTGGTCTTTTACCCCTCCCCCCACATTATACCAATGACTCAACACAGGAGAGCCCAAGTTGTCTCAACCGTCATAAGCAGAATTGGAATTGGCTTGATTCTGTGTACACTTGGGCAATTAAGAAAGATTTTCGGGAGTTTATCACATTGCCGTTGGAGTAAAATCTATCCATGGATTGGATGCCCTCCCAAGTACCCACAATATGTCTCAATTGATGCGCATTGTTACCCCAAATAATGATCCTACGATTCTAGCTTAGGGTACTTTGGGTCAGTACAACCCCAATGGCAGAGACCAGTCTGGAGAGACACAGGTTGCATCGAGACTTCAGGAGGCGACAGGCGAAAGCTCAGCTCAAGAGGGGAACGTTGATGGTATAAGTGATCTGTTGGAAGTAGTATTTATTCATGGCGGTACGGAGTATCAAGCTTGGGCAGAAACAATACTAAGGTAACCGGTGCTCCCCGGTCCTTCTAAAGTGGTTGTCCTCAACTTTTAGAAGTTTCCCCTATGGCCATGACTACTAGTCACATCTGGGTAGGACTTCGCTCCATTGATTGTCACCGAAAGCATCTACCAGTTGGCGAGCTCCGGAGAACATTAGAAAATCTACGAAGGCAGCCTGGGAACTAGTCTAGACCACTGCCTACGTGCGAATAAGTTATCCGTAGCTGTCTCCTAGGTAAGTTGGAACTTCTAAAGTTTAGAAGAATCCACGACTGACTGATTGGGATTGTAAGATAGCTTGCTGTACATGACAAAATCCACAATCCAAGCTAAGAAAAGATAAAACAGGTATTATCATCGCCTGAAGGGGGACATCGGATCCCAACTACATCCTCATCAATTTTTTTTTGCATCTTTATTCCTTTTCTTATTTACTGTGTATGAAATTTGACTCGCGCGGTACCAATTCGTCGATGTGGAGGATCAATGGATTGAAGTGTAGTAGAGCAGGCTTAACTGACGGGCAGCTTGGCCATGTCACCCTTTCCTCCCTTGATCCATTCGGGGTCGACCAGACGTTCACGCTCGGCGTACAACTGCTTGTAGGCACCACGAATGGTGCCGTCGCTGACGTGCGCAACTAAAGAAATCTCCTTGGCGGATTTGGCTTGGCCCATGAGAGCTGACGCCATGTAGATACAGGCGGCCACGATCGATAGGGGAGATCGGCCGGCTAGATCGCCCATGGCGGTAACACGGTCCGAAAGCGAGACAGAAACACTGGTGACCAAGTAAGGAAGGTCGAGAAGATTGCAGAAACGGTTGCAAAGGTCACTGGGCTTGGTGGAAGTAGTGGCGTTATAGTCACCAGCAGAGTCGTGGGTTTCACCATTCTCCAAAGCGGCGTTATGGCGCTCGACGTTCTGAGTGGTGAAGAATTTCTCCAGAGCCTTGTAGATGCGACCAATCTCCTTTCGGGTAACCTTGGTCACAGCAAAGATTTCAGTAAAGGTACGCGGCACCTTGCACTGGCGACATGCGATGAAGATGCATCCGGCGATGATCACTTCTTGGGACTTGCCCTTGAAAGCCTTGGCATCATCCACCATCTTGAAAAGATACTTGGCGGTGTCGGCGACAGTCTTTTGGATGTTGAAACCATCACAAAGAGCACCAATCTCCTTGTAGGCTGCCAGAAGTTGCTTATTCGCCTTCTCACCCGATTGTTTATTCTGGGCGCGGTACAGATCGCGCGCGCGGCCAGATCCTCCACTTGCGATGGATGTCTCCAACTGCGCTCCGTTGAGCAGAGGGTTCGAAGCGTCTCCAACACGGGAAGGGTCATCGTTGTTTTGGTCGTCATTGGAGAAGGTACGCCATTCAGAGTGCAAGTCGATCTCACGATCCGCGAGAACAAGACCGCAAGAGCCGCAAACTGTCTCATGGGAATCGGGGAACTCCAAGTTGGGGGGATCTTCCTTGCACTCAGGACATAAGAGGTGAGCGGAGAGATTTTTCTTCCATGCCGGGGTAGGCTCGGGCTTCGCAATAGCGGGGGTAGCCATCGTTTGCGATTTGGATTCCGATTTCAGATAGGCTTCGATACGCTGGTGGCTTTTTTTGGCAAGTTTCCTTGCGGTTTTGTGCAACTCGAATTTCTTGCTATGAAAGCGAACGAAAAAAGGCGAATACAGTTTGACGACTGCTTGCGAACGGGAAGAAAGTGAACCACCTGTGAGGAGCTCCTCAATGGGTATTGGAAATGGGATGAAGGGAGAGGCGCGATCTGCTCAAGGCTATTGTCTTGGCCAGGTTAGCCGAGCCCATCAACTTCTTTGTCTCGCGGGGCGAACATGACAGTGCTGTAATCTGACTCGCAAGAACATCCATGCATGGAAATGAGGCGCACAAGGAAGTGTTATTACCTGATACAGGCTAGAGCCCTCGGGGTGTGAAGTATCACCCCCCAGTCGTTGAAGAGCCTTCACCAGTCTGCGCTTTCCAGAGAAAGCAGAACAGAAACCTCGCCTCAGCTTGTCCAGGTTGAACCAGTCAAGGTCTCCGCAAGAGGTCTCTCACGAAAAAATGGGCAGGCTGAGGATGAGAGATAGAAGAAGTCAGGGACCGGGGGAGGGAGAGAGAAGGAGATGGGGGAGAGTGAGGTGAGGCTCTCTATGATGAAGTCTGTCAGTTGTGCCGCGGTCAGAATGGGCGATGTCAGCAGATCACGTGAAAGGAGAAAACGGTTCTGATTGGCTGATGAAGTATAGGCAGTTCCTCCAAAAACAAGTTCTTTTTTCTCGTCTCTGCCTCTTTTATACGGACAATGGATGAATGTCGATAAGCAATGAAGGCTCACGAAGTTCGATTTGGAGGAAAATAAACATTTCCAGTTCAATTTCACTCACTCGGTACTAAATGCTTAGTTGTGGTGATGGGCGAAGAATCTAGTTGAAAAATGCAGCCCTATCTTCAAATTTTGGCCGTAGCTAACGTTAAGGACTGAATAAAGTTTCAAAGTGTCCTTCACAGTTTACTGATTCCAGGGAGGAACAGTATAGACTCAACATGCGACATATACGAAGATGAGGTCTTTCGGGTCCAACATGACCCGGGATACGCTGAGTCATCCGCCAAGAAACCTTTCCGAACAGAAGTCGTCTCAACCTCCATCTTCACGGAAAGACGGATCAGATCTATCCTGTTGAGAACCACCCCTCATCTCCCATCCACACCCCTAATCAAGATGATGTCTCAATCTCTCCGGGCCTCGGTGAGTTCTGCCAGGATTCATTCATCGCGGACTGCAACTAACCAGTACCCCAGCGCGCCCTCTTCTCCCGTGCCTCTCGGCAACAGGTCTCGGTCGCTCGCCGCACCTTCCTGACCTCCGCCGTCCGCCAGGGTATGTGACGATAAAATCATACTGCTTAATCTTCTGCTTTGCTACAGCCGGCAGTTTGCCCTTCCGTACCCGGTTACTAACACACAATCTCAGCCGACCCCGTCCAGGACCTTTACCTTCGCGAGCTCAAGGCCTACAAGCCCACTCCCCTCAAGGCCGGTGATGCCGACGAGCACGTCCAGAAGTTCTCTGCCCCTACCGCTCCCAAGTCCCCCGAGGAGGCCAACCTTGCCAGCGAACTGTCCGCCTACGAGAGCCAGGAGGTCGAGGTCGAGGGCCAGGCCGCCGCTGGCGAGGCCGCCCCCGTTGAGGAGAGCTGGTTCGAGGAGGAAGAGGAGGCTCCCGCCGCCCACTAAGCGCTCTATTCTGCTTTCAGCAAGGTCTGGGGAGATATGGGGGGATGGCTCTACATGCCTGTGACGCAACTGTGGCCACCTCTCGGGTCCTGAAGCTTGTAAATTAGACCACATTTGAACGTCGAGACTTCTTTTCATCTTACTTTTGATCGCCCTGGTGAAGCGTGGCTTTCGTGCGCTACGCGTCGGTGGAAAGTGTGCGCTAGATGTGGGTGCAACCGTCTTCAAGCTTCAACCCGGCTTTGGATATATGTTAAAGACCGGCAGCGAGGCTCATCACATCCTACCTGTAGTGTTTAGAGAATTTCCAGCCCAAGCGCTTGCTAATGTTGACTTGGTGTCACGGAGTGTAGGAAGTATCAACTTCACCAGTTGACCTGGGCAAGAGTGGAACGAGAACTCAGCTGCAAGACATGGGTGGGATTATCCCAGGGCAGTATTCACAGTGGCGCTTAGTCCGCAGTAAACCAAGACCCCTCAGTCTTCTCGAATATACTAGGTATCTTTTGCTCCGTTCTAGAGTTGGTCGGGGAATACTTAAGTAATTGATGAAAGAGACCAACCATACTCCGTACATAAGGTGGCTACTGTTCAAACATCCAAACGAAGCCTAACGGCTTCGACTGAATATCTCTGCGCAAAACAATGTCTATTCCCAAGTCGGTCTATTGATAGTTAACCGGTGAGTATAGTAAATTGATGATTCGCACTAGTGATGTCCACCACTGCAACGAACAGATCAATTCGCAACGAACAGACCCTGCGAAGATCATAAGCATGTTCGAGTTGATATGACAAGTCTCAAGATTTGTTCCCAAACCTATCAGACGCAATGGACGGCTGTGGAGAGGACCCTCCACATCCCTAGATCGGGCCAGGGCCAGAGATAAAAGACACGGGCCGGAAGCGAGACTATCTCAAGACTATTGCTTATTGCCTGGTCACGTCACCCCATTGCTCAGCTTGGGGCTTGATCTCCCAAGTAGGGGGCGCTATGAGGGCATTGGCCCAGAGTTTGTGCAATGTGGTTCATGTGCCAGGAGATTGGGATATACTCGGGAAGACCGAACGAGTTCAAGCGTTAGATCTGTTTTTTTTTGTCCACCATAATTCGTTAGATGAATAGAACATGTAAGAAGTACTCCATAATGTCCGTACAAGGTATTGGGGCTTAGGCAAACCCCCAAGCGAGGCAGCCTGTATGGAGTGGGAAATATGATCAGTGGAATGCGGGATGTTGGGGTTTACATCAGGTACTCCATACATTCTTTGTCAAACATTCTCCAGCAAAGAATGGATGACGGAAAAGACAAGCGTGTACACTATTGTACTACATTGTTCCAAGATTATCGGCTATCAGGGACTAGATCTCAGAGATAGTCCAGTCGGTGAAATCTGCCCAATTTAACGCTACGATTGGCGCCAACAACCCTGTCACTGGGGCTGAAGATGACGGAACTCTGGGCACATCCGTACAGGGTACATAAGACCCGAGTCCCTAGGCCCCCTAGGTGGACAGACACGTAGGGTGTTGTATAGGGTGTACGGAGGACAGGAGGTCGGAAGTATAGGAATATGAGGTGCTGCCTGGGAAAGTGAGTGGAGTAAGAAAAATCAGCTTGTCTCACTCTAAAAGAAACCGCAACATGTCTCCGTCAGTACTTTTAATTTGTTAATCTCTACTAGAAATCAGAATCCGAGGCTCTGCTCACTGTTTTCCATTGGGGAAATATCATAGATTATTAAGGACCCTTCCAAACCTTCGACCCCTTCTCTCTCCCTCACTTCCCACATCTCTCTTCCCCCCCTCAGGGAATCTACTGCCGATCACTGGCTCCGGCTTTCCACCTGCATAGACGATCTACTCGTACCTGTCAATGTCGTTGCCATATTATTAACCTCCGACTCTTTCTGCTCTTTTCCCTTCGTTTGTGTGCAGCGTCTTTGTTCTCGTTTGTCCTTTCCAAATGCGCGCTTGAACATCTCGGATATCTCAACGTGAAGAGCTGGTCTCTTCTAATCCTGAGAAATTAAAAGGGGAAATGACCTGTTCATAACTCCAGAGACAATGTCTTCGCCCTCCCCCGAGACACCGTACACCAAAGATGACCCCGAGCTCTCCCGCGCTGCTAGCTATACCGATCTCCCAAGTCAGACAACAGAGCCCACTCTCCGCCGTACCTTCTCCGACTATGCCGTTCCAGCCCAGGCAGAGTCGCCGACCAAAGAGAGCGTCGCTGCGGGGAAGGACATCCTCCGCCGGACCTCTCTGCGCTCCAAGGACAAGGATGCGGTCTCTGTCTCACGTTTCACGCTGTCGTCATCGGAGGATTTGAAGGACACGGAGTCCAATGTGCCCGAAACCAGGGCCCCGGAGCCTGCGGCGCGGCCCTCCAAAACTCGCTCGATGTCCGGACGGATCGTGAGCCTCGCCAGAAAACCATGGAGCTCCTCCTCTCGATCCCCCTCGCCCTCCGCCAAAAGATCTAAACAACAAGACTCCCAGTCCCCCACGCGATTCGGCCGAAAATCGGACGATGAACAGCCGCCCTCTCGCAGGCGAACAATTCTCTACAAACGCCCACGCCGGCCGATGCTAGCTGTCGTAGCCAAAGGCCCCGAAGAGAACCCCGACTCCCCGAATAGTCCGTCGACCAATCCGCTACGACATCGGTCTTCGTTTGAGAAGTTTACCGCTTCACTTTCAGTTTCGACTCCGGTGCTACCGCCCATGCCAAAGGGTGCCGCGGAAACGGCCGCGGCATATGCGAACGTGAGCCCTGAAATTCCACGGAAGAAGGACGAGCTTTGGGGTATCTTCCGTGGTTTAGAGGCGGACTTTCAAAAGTTGGTGCTATCGGTCCCATGATTTTTTCCCCTTTATTAACCAGTACAGATTCCAATCCAAGTCCATATCGCTCAAGGCGAACGTCATTCGCTCCTCCCTCCTTCCTTTCCTCGGTCGCCACCATCTCCATGCGTCATGCAAGAACCTCAGACCGGAAGATCTGGATCGCCGAGTCAATATCCTCAACAAGTGGTGGGTTGGGATGCTGGAAATGCTCAATGGCAAAAACAATCAGTCAATATCTGGGACCGATAGACCTGTCTTCCTAGAAGCTATAGTCGGAATCATGGCGCGACCAGAATGGCGCATTCCATTCCCCATGGCTCAGCAAGGCAGTGGGCCAACAGACTCATTGAAATATGCGTCAACTTCGGTTTCTGAATCATCGGATGGCTCAGCCTCCTCTGGCTCGGATTTCTTGGTTGAATCGATTCATCACAATATCCGCAACATCTTCATCCAAAACCTGATTTCACAGATGTCGTTTGTGGTCGAGCGCATGTCCATGAGACATGCGCCGGCAAGCCTAGTCGCATTCTGCGGGAAAGCTTGCGCATATGCCTTTTTCTTCTGCCCGGGAATTTCTGACATCTTGGTCCGTCTGTGGTGTACGCCGCCAAACATGTTCCGACGCATTCTGTCAGGCGCTGCAGACTCGCGGAATCGTCATCTGCGCGCAGAGACCCAAGAGCTTGCTTCTTGCTTCCCGCCAGCGCTTCGCCCTCTCGCTTTTCACTCGCCGGCACCCTTGCTGCGGTACTTACGCCAGAAACCCGACACTCCGTTAAACATCACGCATATCAACTGGAACCGTCCGTGGATCACACGTTGGGCGGGCCGTGATACAGATCTGTTCTTCGTGTTCGTGAAGTATGTGCATATATTGTATTCTGAGTATATTCCGTCGGAGACCGAAAAAGCCAAGCGAATTTTCTCTCCCGGCCTCCTATTGGTTCATGCCCAGCTATTGCTTGTTTTAGAAGATACTCTCTACAAGCAGTCGACACCGCAAGCAACCGAAAATCCTCATTCCACCGCAGCCATTACTTTCGATGACTTCATAGAGTCACCGGACGCATCTGCTTCCTCTCAGCATCTTCGGAGCGGCAGCAATAGTCACCGGTCGATGGCCGAGAACCGCTTGGTCATCCTCCTTCGAGATTTGCTCTCCGAATCATCCATTGAACCCAACCGCGCTCGACTTCTGTTCGCCGAATCTTTCTGTGGTATTATCAAGGCTGCAGCGCAGAAAACCTCGCTCTTTGATCATAATGCATGCTTCTTGCTGTGTGATTTCCTCGAGGAAATTATTCCAATCATCACTCGCTATGCCCAATCGATCGAAACAGAACTCTTTGACTGGAGCTTCTGGCAGGAGGTTTGCCGGCAAATGATGCAAAGTCACAACTCTCTTACTGAGGTTAGAGTATTCTCATTTCTGTTCTGCGTTTGGGGTACCTGGGTCGCAACAGAAGAAAGAAAGGCTTCCCTCTGTCTGGAATTCCTCCTGCACGAGCCGATATTCTATTTCTACTTCAACCACTGGAGCCCAATGGTGCGTGCATACTTCCACCGCCTGGTGTGCTGGAGGATTGGCCGGTTCACCGCCGATCCGTCATCGCTAGACTCCATGATCTATGAGACTCTTTCAGATCGCCTTCTGCGAGTTTGGGAGTATTATATCGGATTCCAATCCAAAGCGGAAGAGGATATGACTGCCCCCCTATCCTCTGCTCCCTGTACCCCGGCCCCTGGTCGAAGAATTATCATCATCAGATGTGACAACCACTTGTCTCCGGTCAATTTGTTCGTCAGCTTCGACCGGGTCATCCCACCTGCTCCTCCAGACCAGGTCACCCTGCATCGACGAACGGGCTCTGCGGATTCAGCAGGGTCAGATGGCCCACCCTCTAAAAGGCGCTGGGGCATTTTCAAGTCCATGTTTGGAAGTTCCTCTAGCTCTCGTCTGGCTGAGAGCAATAAAAACAGCAGCTCCGATGATTCTGAGACTGGTGTAGACTCAACAGTTACCCCGGAAAGCAAATGTATGGATGAACACGAGTCGACTCCAAGTAACAGCGCAGAGGAGCTCGTTGAGCCCAAAACACCCCACCAACCGTTTTTCTTCAAATTCTCTCTGGAGTGGATGGATCGCCCACAGTGGCCCACCAAAAACAAACGTCTCTTTACACCCTGCCTACCCGTTGCCTCCCAATTACACGTCGATCACCGCCGTTTTCCTGATAAATCAGAATACGACACCGCATCTGAGAACCCCGCTGCATCAGATATTGAGAGCGAAACGAACTCCCACAACTCAGATCAAAATACCCCTACTCAACCCACCTTGGACTGGCCAAGAACCCCGACTACGAAGAACTCACCTCTCCCCGAACTTCCGTCCCAATCTTCTCATGACCATCTCGTGGCTAGCAAGTATGCAGGCCGGGCACTGGCGGAGTGGGCGCATATTGTCTCCGAGTGCGATAGCTTCTTTGCTCGCCGTCGTGACGAGGGCGTCCCCACTGACCGCATGGTTGAAACACCTACCCTGGGTGCTGAAAGCTTCCGCAAATAATAATCATCCGACAGTGATAGATGTGTGTGCGTTGCAGATTTCTGCTTTAAAATGTTTCGGGTCCCCCATTTTTTTTTTCTCTTTCCCTTTATTCTTTCAGCATCGCGGATCTGGAATCTGGAGCATAGGAATTGGCGTTGAATAGCTTCTTCTTAGAAAGTACTACGTACTGCAATAATACATTCGGCTCGAAATATTTTACACTCATCGCTCGCAAACTTGGAGACTCGGAATCTGGGCTATCTATTTCTAAGCTTCTTCACTTCTGTTCAGCTTCCTGTGCAAGCTGCTTGTTCAACAGATACAGTAATGCGCCCTGTACATCCTCCCGATCCATGAACACCTCTACCAGTCTGACGCCACTTCCATTTGTGATGTTCTCATGCTTGAGCACGTCTTGCAACTCTCCACACGTCCGCGCAGTGAAGGTGTTCTCGGCCACATGCTCTTCGTCGGCTCCGAAATAACTGAGAGCCTGTGCGTGTCGCCAGAAGGGAACATCGTTATACTTTTCTTTCCGGCCGTGAATCACCCGCTCAATCGTGTATCCATCATTGTTGATGATGAAGATGATAATGTTGAGTTTCTCCCGAATCATCACACTTATTTCTTGTGCTGTCATTTGAAGACTGCCGTCGCCGATGAAGAGTATTGTCTGGCTCTTTGAGGATGTGTTCTTGTTCAGCTCGCGTTGCGCTAGGGCTGTGCCCAATGTCGCGGGGAGCATGAAACCGATGGAAAGCCAGGTTACTGCACCGAAGAGTCGTGAGCCAGTGGGCAATTTGAAGTTGCGACCTCCGTGAGAGGCAGTGCCGGTCTCTGTTAGAATGATGTCGCCGTCATTGAAGAGGGGGTTCACGAGAGGGTAGAAGTTGGCTTGAGCGAGCGGGTCAGTGGCTTGGATGTTTGCCACGGAAAGCTCTGATTTAGGCGGTGCAGATGCCTTCACGAGGCGTGTGGAGTCGAGGCTCTGAAGCACATTTGAGAGCAGGTTACGTGCGGACATATCGTGGAATGTATCATTGTCGATCTTGACAGTTGTGCCCGAGAAAGTGATTGCAACTGCAGGCTTGGCAATTGTTGTGTAGAAGTAGCTGTTCGTGTCGCTGTTATGCGGCCCAAATGTGAGGACGAGGTCTGCCTCGTTGAAATAAGTCTGTGCCGGCTTGTCGCCAAAGGCTCCGGCATAAAGTCCGTGGGCGTTGGGGAGTTGCTCGTTGACGAGACCCTTTCCATAAACGGTTGTCCATGTTGGCCAACCAGTTGCTTTAATCAGAGCGTCAAGCTGCTCGACGATTCCGAGGGCTGTGCTCTCTCCGTCAACCAAGATGAAAGGCCGCTGGGCACTGTAGATGCGCTCAAGGATTTTTGCGAGCACTTGAGGTTCCAGGGCTGAGCTGGGGGGCTCAGGAATTCGGATTTTTGTCTCCAGATTAGCAGCCGACACTTTCAAGTCTGGCATATCATCCGGGAGTTCGAGATAGACTGGACGGCTATGGATCAACGCCTGTTGTAGAATGTAGTCGATTCTCTCCGGTGCGGTGGCAGCGTCCGTTAGTCTCGTCTGGGCAGCAGTGATGTGTTTCGACATGTTGGCAAAACGCCGGTAGTCACCATCTGAAAAGGTGTGGTGCATGAATGTCCGAGCATCCTGGTGCGGGCGCGGAGGCGTTCCGACGATATGCACAACGGGTGTATTTTCGGCATAGGCGCCAGCAATGCCGTTCAGGGCCGACAACTCGCCAACTCCATAAGTAGTGATCAGCGCAGCCAAGCCCTTAATACGGCCATAGCCATCTGCTGCATATGCTGCATTGAGCTCGTTGCAGTTGCCTACCCAATGGAGGCCGGCAGGGGTGACGAAATCCAACAAGCGAAGGTTGTAATCGCCGGGGACGCCAAACATGGAGTCAACACCCAGCTGGCGAAGCCGGGTGAAGAGGTAGTCAGCGAGCTTAATTTCTGTCATTGTGAGTGTTATGGGGATTTGAAAGAACAAGGAAGAACCTCTTTTATATACTTGGAGCTCCCCGCATCTTATCGATTATCGCCGACTTCACCGACTCTCCGATTGCCCGGTTCACTCCGCTCACTCCGGTTACGCCGGTTACGCCGCAGGCCGACCTTCCTTCTTCTCATCGCGGACTATTGTCCGACAATGTCGCGTCTGGCCGCCTGTGAAGCCTGTAGAAAGGCCAAACTAGCATGCGACCATAAGCTACCCGTCTGCACTCGATGCAGTACTAATCAGGGGATATGCATCTACCGAACCACGCCCTTCAAGCGGAAACGAGAGAAGCAAAGGTAGAAAGAAACCCCCTGATTATATTGCCTCGCTCACGCATGGTATAGTCTTGGCTCACCGGATGAATCCTCGTCCTTCAACCCCAGGCGCAACCCTTACCCGAACCCGGGATATCTGGGTTCGTCAAGCCATGCCGCTATATTCAAACATATCACTTCAGACGGAGACCACGGGAGTCACCAGGCCGCTCCAGAAGCTCTACACTCGGATCTATTTGGTGATAACCATCTCGTGCTTCAAGGTGCTGATATCCTCAAGCATCTCCTGACGAAATATGAACTTTCTGCGATGAAAGACCTGGTCATGTTCTGGCTGGCTAAAGGTGCTAATCTCGCACTGGCGGAGCCATTCGTGAGCCAGTGTACTCGGAGCGTTAGCCAATTATTTACATACCATGACGAGAACTGGCATTTGGTCTATGCGAGACGTCTGTTGCACAATTCAGCCCAACCGTTACACTTCAATGATTCTTCTGATTTGGGTGATTTCTCAGCTCAGTTTTTGGATCATAACTCCCGATGGGAAACATTGGGGATGTTCTTCGCTGCAGTCAGTCGTGCAACGATTGATATTCCATTTTTCCCTTCTCTCTACGCCACAGAGCAACAACAATATACACTCCGAAGGCTGTGCACGAAACTCTGTGATTTCGCTCTGGAGATCTCCCTCTCTCTAGATTGTCTCAACGACCTTCAACTAATAATGCAATATGAAAACTTCATTGTTCACTCCTACGTGGATGGTGATCAAAGCTATCACTCTTGGCGTAAGCTGGGAGACGCAATATCTTCCACTTTCGCCCTGGGTTACCATGAGAACATTGAAGCCAAAGTCGGGATCCCGACTTTCCTGAAGGAACTACGGAAAACGGCGTTCGCGCGAATATACTCAGCAGACAAGAATATAGCCATCTTTCTGGGTCGTCCACCACGAATGAATAAACGCTTCTGCCACTTCCAGATCCCCGCTTGTCGCAATGCCCATGGGTCTGAGTGGACTCCCGATGCAGAGCCTGGGTATAGGGCCGACACTCGCTGGTCTGCACTATGTGCATCGCTGAAGGAAGAAGTCTGGGAACTACTCCAAGATAAGCATGACCCATCGTGTGCGCAAAAAGCTAGGTATTCTCGTGTCCAGTGGTGTCTTATCGTTCCTCACCAGCTGACAATATGATAGTGTGATTCAAAGCCGAGCAGAGGCACAATGGCAGGCTCTGCCACCTCACTTCCGACTTGAAAGTAGTCTGAAACAATGTACCCAAGGACCTTTCGAGCGGGACTTTGTAGCCGGCGTTCGGCTGCACCATCTGCACGTCCTCTTCCTCCTTCATCTCTTACTCCTTAGGTCACCTACCGAACCTGATCTCCCTATCATCGAAACAGCAGGTCAAATGCTCACGCTCGTTGTGGAGATAATTCTTCTGCGTGATCAACTCACTAACTCTGGGACTGGCCTCATCTGGAAGGTATGCTGTAGCTTTAAGCTCAATCACAAAGCCCCTCTTGCTAATCCCGGGGCTAGGTCGCCTACTATGGACTTCCTGCTGCAGGAATGATGCTTCTCGCCATGTTAAAGCAGAACATGCCCCGTGCACACCGGACTCGCTCATTGCAAGACCTGAGTGTTTTTGTAGCAGAAGTCCAGATTGGGACAATTGTCCGTGCCGGAGATCCGAACTACGCATTACTTTCGAAGGCTACGAGAACTATACAGCGATTCCTGGATACCACGCGCTCGGATGCCTTGGTAGAACCAGTGGGACAGGAGGATGAGTGGGCTGCCCTGTTGAGTCAGGATCTATGGGATTTTGAGGCTGGGTTTTGGCAGAGCTTGGCGGATCATCCTTCTTTGTTGGCTATTGAGCCTTCGTTGCCTCCTGTCTAGACACCCTACGGCTACGGGGCTCGGCTGTGATGGTCTTAATGTATTTGCACACTCTAATCGTGCGCCTTGATTCAATTGGTTTATCTTCATATATGGCCTCTGTTACAAGTACTGATGAGCATCTGTTCTCCAGGGCTTTTGCATGGTTGCTGGTAACGTCTTGATTACTTTTGTCGGGGATGTCCCTGGCCCCGGGGGCGACAAAATCTTCCACTCCTGGCCGCATTGGCCCTTGGAGTGACCCACTCTTGGCTCATATATTGAAAGCGGATTCATTCGGGATGCTAGGGTGGGGGGCAGCACCGGAAGCTGTGCCCCCTTCGTAGGTGGGAGCTGGAAACGCCCAACCCAACATTGTGGTTGGGCCATAAAGGTCGCCATTCACCTTCTCACGATATTGGAATGGAACATATACCATTTACAACTCTGTAATCGACAAAACTATCACCTTTTTCGCAATCTGGTTTTCAACCTCGGAAGAAGCAGCGAAATGGCGTCTGTTGAGACCAAGGATCTACAGCATCGTTATTCGCAAGGCCACTCTTGCAACCATTGTCAAAAGATTATCCTCCCTGGAACTCCTCAAGTGATACACCTGGGATATTATGATATGGATGGCTCACTGGATAAAGTTGAATTCTGTGAGCGTGATCTCAACTGTCTGGATCTCTCTGGGCGAGATTTAGAGGTGGCAGCCAACGATGGGTGCGAATTTGCAAGAACCCTCTTACGACAGACTCACGATAGACTTATCAGAAGACTCGAGTTAAAGCCAAGGGATGTATCTCTCTTTGCAGAACTCAAAAACCGACCTCATGACTATGACGATAAAGATGTAACTGAAAATGCTTTCATCCAGATCCATGAACTGGTGCCTCTGAGTCGCCTGCATTCTTCAAAAACCAAAACACTAGTGGGCCTGGACATGAATCACACATATTTTCTAGCGGACTGGCATCGCCAATTCCCTTATCATGGGTGTGATCTCTGGGCAGACGTCCAAATTTGTGAGCCCTTCAGATGCATACGTTAGATATAGCTTGGCTGACGCAACCGTGGGGGCACACCTAGATACAGGGGACCCCTCTCCCAACTATGAGCATATCGCAACTGAGCCTATCTCCCAAAAAACCGTCAAGTCCATCAAATCATGGGTGGAAAACTGCGTCGACAAACAGACCGACGACCACGAAGTATGTTCGCTTTCCGGATCGAAGTTTCTGCCTTCGCGTCTCATCGAAATCTGGCCATGTGGCCCTGATTATCACTTGAGGCTTGTGAACAGAAGATTCCTCGAAAGCTCAGAGTATCTTGCTTTGAGCTATTGCTGGGGTGGTGATCAACAAAGTGCCCTCAAATTGAGCAACCTCGAGCAGTATAAAGATAAAATTCCATGGAATAATGTTCCAAGGACCATTCAAGACGCAGTGGTGACGACCAGCAAGCTTGGTTATCAACATCTCTGGGTTGACTCATTGTGCACAATGCAAGACTCTGAGGAAGACAAAGCTAAAGAGCTCAGGCAAATGAGCCAAATCTATTCCTCTTTGACAGTGACTATCATGGCAAGGCGAGCCGAAAAGGCTACGGACGGATTTCTGCAGAATAGGCGTCTGCCTTCTGGGACAAGTGTTCTGCGCTACAGAGGTCAGAATGGGAAACTGGGGCGAATCAATTTGAGATTCACATCTTCGGCCGAAAAGGAAGAGAAAACCCGACTAGAAACTAGAGGCTGGGTCATGCAAGAGCATCTTCTCTCTCGCCGTCTGCTGATAATTGGAACTTGGCAGACGACGTGGCATTGTCGTCAAGGCCGAGAGAAGTCTTCACACCAAAGAGATGGATTCATGCCTGGCAAAAAGTCACTTTCCGATCCTTTCAACGCAGGACTTGGCCTCCAGTATGATTTGGCTCCAGTCCGATCGCAGTTCCACAAAAACAACGCATTGGATGCTATCATGCATATGACAATGAACCCCGGGTATCAGCAATGGCGACCAGATGAGGGCGACATTGTAGAAAGGTGGTATCGAGTCATCGAGGCATACACAAAGCGCTCTCTTTCCAGTGAAATGGATAGAATCCTTGCGGTATCGGGAATAGCGGAGAGGTTTGGCGTGCTCCTGGGCCGATACATAGCAGGTTGCTGGGAGAAGGATATTCTCACTGCGCTGGTATGGTGGGCTGCTGATAATGAGCGTTCTAGGCCGTCTCGTTATACGGGGCCATCTTGGTCTTGGACAGCTGTGAACAGTGAAATTCACTTTCAGACTGTCAGCCGGCCCCCCCCTTGCCAAATTAATGTCTGTCAACTGTACTCTTATGCATGAGGCTGCTCCCTTCGGGTCCCTCATTAGCGGTCAAATAGCACTCAGGGGGCCTGCAATCAGCATCGAGTGGAGATGCAACGGCCGGAGCCCAACAGTTCAGTTGAGATACATGGAGAGTGAGGGCGTGTACGTTGACCCTGGCGTGGATATCTTTGTTGATGCAATCGAGCCAAAGTCTTCCTGGAGGTCTCTGACGTTATTGGGAGTGATCCCCCAAGACTTTCCCTACATGCATGTTCATGGTATAGTGTTGATACAGCAGGGCCAAAGGCGATATCGCAGATTGGGAACATTTCGCGCAACCCCTTGGAAACAGGACAAGACCATTGATCTTGGAAATGTGACAAGGCATCCAAACTTGCCACAATTTTCGCAATGGGCAGAAGAGACCTTTGAGATTATCTAATGTTATGGCGCTGGTTCTAAAGTTTGATATGAATTGTTGTCGTTGCTGTGTTGAAGCGTGTTAATTGGCAGCGACGATGGGTCTTGCCATAGCTCCAAATATCTCACTTCTATATCATCACGCATTACATTGAGTTGAAGTGAACTTCAGTGGACTTCAGTGACCATCAGTTGTTGAAATAAATTCCAAGTACGATCCAGCCTAATGACTGTCTTCATCGCATCCTTGTGAGTATCCCCTATGGGTCGAGTAATTGAGCCTAATATGTCTTTAGATTCCTCCCATATACCATTGACTTCGATCCCCACGGCCCAAAAAAAGAGATCGTTGCTCTTTCTTCCAGCTATGCGGTCGATGGCTCTGGATCTATGGCTTGCCGAGACCACAGGTTTCCGGATGGCGTTGCCAACATCGCCCAGTCCATAGAGCTCCCACTGACTCCCGGGGCCACCAGAGACAACGAGAGGGTATTCACTGATTATACGCCCCGAACAACAGATGAGATCCGCTTTGGTCTGAGCCCCAGTGAGCCCCGGGATGTCATTTGGGGCCGCAGTCAGAAGTTCAATCAACCCCAATCCCAGGCGACTGAAACCCCGACCTCATCCATCTTGAGCATTACTGATTCACAAAAGGCCACAGTGAGGAGCCTTTCTATAGATGGGACGCAGGACTGCATGGAACTGGGAGAGCCAAGAAGCCCGCAGACTTTTGTCTCTTCCGTCGAATGGAGAATTGAGTCCACTGAAAAGGGCCTTGGTGGTTTGACAAATGCTGTCCACGCCGCCGAAAAGTCTGGGTTTTTGCAGAACAAGCTATGGGTGGGAACGCTGGGCATGCCCACTGATTCGTTGATGGATTCGACCAGAGAGGATATCGCCAGATATCTGCGGGAAGAGCACCAATCTTTGACTGTCTTTGTAGACGACACCGAGTTTGAAGGCCATTATACTCATTTTTGCCATGCAGTGCTTTGGCCAGCTCTCCATTACCAGATGCAGGAAAGCCCACGACACTCAGAGTACGAGAGGTATTCTTGGGACCAATACATCAGGCTCAACGCGGCATTTGCAGATGCAATCGTCGAACGCTGGCAGCCAGGCGATAAAATCTGGGTCCATGACTATCACCTTTTGGTCCTTCCAGGCATTTTAAGGAAGAGAATACCCCAGGCCGAGATTGGATTCTTCTTGCACACACCGTTTCCTTCCTCGGAAGTATTTCGATGCTTGTCACCCCGCGACCAGCTGCTTGATGGAATTCTGGGTGCCGATCTGGTTGGTTTTCAGACAGAAGAGTATCGCAATCACTTTCTTCAGTCATGCAGTCGGCTCCGGAGGTTGAACACCTCCGCCAGTGAAGTCAGTTGCAACGGTAGAGCTGTTCGTGCTGTGAGCATCCCCATGGGCATTGATCCATCATTTTTGAAAGTTTTACTCGAAGCCACTGAGGTCCAAGGTTGGATACATGATATCACACATAGGTACCCAACTCAGCGGTTGATTGTTGCGCGGGACCGTTTGGATGTCTCCGGGGGAATCAAGCAAAGGCTTCTGGCATATGAGTTGTTTTTGAATACCTATCCTGATTTCAGGCACGATGTGAGTCAATTTAGTCAAGGGGGTGAGACCTACAGTCCGCACTTGCTAACTTACCTTGTCAAATAGATAGTCTTGATCCAGGTTATATCTTCTGCTGGTGCAGTTCCAGAGCTCGAAGCGCAGATCTCGAAAATTGCAATGAGGATCAACACAACATACTCGTCTGCGGCCCATCAGCCGTTGGTGTTGCTGAAACGAGACATCAATACGCATCAAGTTCTTGCTTTACTGAGTATTGCGGAAATATTCATCGCCACTGGATTGCGCGAGGGAATCAATTTAACAAGTCATGAATTCATCCTTTGTCAAGACAAAGCCTTTGGGTCCCGTGGACATGGATCTCTCATTATCAGTGAATTTGTAGGAAGTGCCTCGATGTTTCACGAGCGCAGTGGCGCAAGGTTCAATGCCCACAAGCTTCTTGTTAATCCATGGGACTTGAAAGAGTGCGCCGAAGCCATTCGTGTTGCGCTTCAGATGTCACCAGCGCAGAAAATGATCGAATGGAGGCGATTACGTCGTCGCATGTCCAAGTTCAGTGCGATCAAATGGTATCGAGGGCTTCAACTCGCTCTCAATACTAGCTGCACTAGACAATCGCTCCATCGGGTTCATGACACCCTCCCACTCTCACTTGAGGAGCTCGAGTCATCCTATAACGCTGCCAAATCTCGACTCTTCTTTATTGAAGATGGGGACATCTTGGGCCCAGATCCTCTCGCAGAGGGATCCTTACTGTCAGAGAGGGCCTTCAAGATCCTCGAGGCCTACTTTCGCAAGCCCCAGAACAAACTTTATCTGATCAGCAGCAAGACACTCCAGCAGCTCAACGAATTGTTCCCTCAACTGCCCCCTGAAGTTGGAATCATTTCTGAGAATGGGGCAATGATTCGACATCCTAACACAAGAGCCTGTTTTCATTTTACGACCATGAGTGCAAAGTGGCTTCCCGGGATTCAAAAAATGATGGAATATTTTCAAGAGCGAACAGAAGGTAGTCGGATCGAGACTTTCCCGTGGTCATTGGTTTTTCATTACGATGGTGCTCTGGACCGCGAAGCTGCTAGTCATCAAGCCTCCGAGCTAGCTGATCAGATCAACGGAGCCCGCGGTGAAGCAGTATTCCATATCGTTCGCGATGAGACGTCGATCACTGTCGAACTGCCATTGTCAGTTCAAGGACGTGGAAGAGCCGCTCATTACATTCTTCAATATCTCACAAACGCTGAGTATCCCGAATTAGTATTGGTGGCTGGGAAATCCCCAGACAGCGAATCGTTGTTCTGCTGGGCAAATGAGTTGGCCGGTGCTCCAACTCCATCTCGACTTTATCGTACAGGATTCGGGCATCGACTTTGGGTGACCACTTTGGCGACTGGTCCACATGTGAACGAGGCAAAGTGTGCATTGCCGCCTGGGTTTTCTTTTCTGAAGCTCATGGGCTGGCTTTTGAATTAAGAGAGAGTACGAAGCAAAGGACGATCATTCAAATTGAGGTTTAGCTTTGTTTTTTTGTTTTTGTTTTTTTGTTTTTTATTGACATGAGCCATGTCTATTGTTATTCTCATCATGGTTATCGTTGTCCAAGCAGCTCTGAAATGCAGAATATTCACTAACCAACCACCTAGAGTTCTTTTGTTGAAACCTGGGCACCTGGGCCCATGACATTAGATAATCTCCAAGGTCTCTTCTGCCCATTGCGAAAAATGTGGCAAGTTTGAAGGCCTTAACACATTTTCACGATCAATGGTCTTGTCCTGTTTCCACGGGGTTGCGCGAAATGTTCCCAATCTGCGATATCGCCTTTGGCCCTGCTGTATCAACTTTCTGCGCAACTAAAAGTGGAATTGCAGAGGTGTTCTCTTTATTATCAGGCCATATCTCGATTTCCCAGTGCCCTACCAGAATGGATCTGGAAGAGCATCTAGGATGGATATATTGGAAGTGGCAAAAATACATAAATCCTGAAGTCATGGGGCCACAAAAGCTGGCAACAAAAAATTCATTTAGGGTAGCAGCCATACATTAGCTGGTGGAAACACTGAGCAGTTGGGAATTAGCACGAACCGATTTATAGGCTAAATCTTATACTAAAACCTCGAGAACAAGTAAAACGAAGATGAAGGAAAGCAGCATGATATTATGCTGGAGCTGCAATTCATGCATGGAGAATCATCGGGCCACATAAACCGCCGGGAGAGAGAGAAATAAAACATGTTTGATCTGATGACTCGACTGGCGAGGTGCTATGACAGTATGGGTAAAATTCACGAAGTACACAGGAGAATAGAACATGAAAAATGACTAGAGAAAACATGCATGAATCATAAAGTGGCAATAGGTATCAGAGGATAACGGTTTGGTTCCTGGTTTCAATCAAGTCAAAAAGAAAGCCTTGGAATGACCAATAAATAAATCAAGGCTTAGTGTTCTCGGGTGGGGGATTAGTGCTAGATGAAATGAGAGTTGGCGCAACACGGCGTTTCTTCGGATTTTGAGCCGCGTTCGGTGTTGCATCCTTATGTCCCTCATTTTCAATCTCGGCACGCTTCCCCAATACACTGCCAGAGGTCGTGGAAGCCTGAGGGGTGCTGGAAACTGGCGTTTGGGGCGGGGTTGTGAGGGGAAGGGGAAGTGTTGCCGGCTGCGCGGAGTGTGCCGCTGTTACCGAAGGGACAGTTCCAAGTGTAGGGGTGGGATTGTTGACGACATTGGCGGGGGTCTGCTGCGCGGGAGGTTGTGTTGCTACTGAGCAGGTGGAGTTGGAACGCGCAGGACTTGCTGGCGGCACCGGGCCGGTGGGAGCTGTGGACGCAGGGTTCGTCTTGATTGGGGATGGAACATGGGTCGAAGCTGGCAAGGATACGACATTTGGAGAAGAGGTGTTGGCATTTGCAGCAGTTTGGCCCACGGAGGTGGGGCCGGCATGTGGCTGGCCCAATTCCCCAGGAGCGAAGGAGAGAGTAGAACAAAACCCATCAGAGGAACTCATGAGCAATGTCAATCCATCAACAGACCTGTAGTTGGTTAGAAAAGGATGTACTGATTGTTGATGTTGATGGGGAATGATAATTACCAGGTCAGATCAGTGAATGTCGCAAAGTGTAGGTTGCTCACCACACATAGTGGAGTTTGCTGTTGCGTGTCATATACCAAAACAGCATCTTGTGTAGCTACTGCGTATACAACCCGATATGGAAGGGCAAACACAGGTGCTGGGCTTTGGCCTGCCTCACTGCTGTTGTCAGCAGTCTTAGGGGACCCCTGTGATTTTGAGGCCTCGGCCGACGTGGTGGATGGAGGTACCATCTGGGGTTGACTGGTGAACGAATGGGTTGCTGACACCACAGGGTCTGGAAGAGAAGGGAACATCTCTTCGCCCGAGGAGGTATCGAGTGTGATATTCTTGGCGGGTTGATCATTTTGTTTAAGTTTGTAGAATACAGGGGAGCATTTGACGGCCACTGATGGCTTCTTGTGCCCTGGAAGATGCGAGATTGGGGGTTTGTTGAAGCCCGCTCGTGTGTAGACGTAGACCGTGTTGATAATCTCGTCTGTGGTTTTTGTAGTATCCGTGGCTGAGACCTGAGTGGTCTTGTATTGACCGGCGGGGGTGAACAACAGACTTCCATCCGGGGAAAATGTCAGTCGCCGGAAGAATGAGGTAAATGTCTCGTTGGCATAAATGTTCGCATTCTTGACACCCAGACCACCGAGACTTGGTGAGGAGACTTCCAATGGTTTGACAGCGGGTAACGGTAGAGAGGGAGCAGGCGATGCGGAGCGCCGAATTGAGGGCGACGAGCCGAACGAAGAGCGTCGGCTATGTGAGACAGGGGGAGGGTCCATGGGTAAATTAGAGGCCATTGGAGTGCCCGGAGTTGAGGGAGCAGGTGAGGCAATCGCGAAAGCACTGGTGTTGCCCTGTTGAGGACGACTAGTCACGTCCGGCGGTGCAGGACTACTAGAGACACGTTTTGCGGGAAGGTCCATTTTCATCACCTTTCCGTGTGGTGTCAATGTGAATTGGCCGTCCTTGTTTTTCAAGGTGTAAATATGAACAGAGCGATCAGACGACTGAGTGGCGACGAACTCATTCAAAGGGTCCCATGCCACGCCTTGAACGTAATGAGAATGCTCTGCAATTTGTCGCACCATTTGTCCTGTGAGGTTTGAATGTCAGCGACTGACCGTAGATATCTTAAACAGCGACCTACCAGTTTGGGCATTGTAGATCCGAGCAATGTTGTCCATACTCCCGGTGATTATGAAAACACCATCTGGGGACCAGGCTAAGTCGTAGATCTCAGCGCCGGACGAACGACACATGTGCTTGACTCGCCATGTCTCTTTGTCGTCCGAGCGGTCTTCGCCCAGTCCAGCTTGTGTCTGCAGCTCCGAGGGCACCCAAAGCAAGACATTCCCATCATCTCCGGCAGACGCCAGCATCTCACCTGCATTCGTCAGACCTGGATTTTGTGTGATTGTGCAGAGGGACATACCTTTCGGGCTGAATCGCACCACATTGACGGCTTGCGTATGTTTAATCAGAGTGCTTAGATATGTGACCTTCCGTTCTTCTCCGGTCGACTCGACTTTCCAGAGCTGTATAACATGTCAGATCAAGATTTGCGGCGAAGGGCGAGGGCGGATTCATACTCGGACGTTGTTGTCACTGGAAACGTAAAACGCAGGTCAGTAAATATCCAGTGCTTTGGGAGACTCAGCGCGACCTACTTTCCGGCGGTAGCTAGCCTGCCTTTGCCATTGGGGTCAAAATGAACCGAGTAGATGGGGGCGTTGTCATTGTGCCATGAGATGAGCAACGGAGTGGCCCTCATGGCGAGCGCAGCTCAACAAAGCCGTTGAGCACCTGCAAGTCGGGCGAAATCGTGGAATCCAATGACTAGTTCGAGTATCGATCGGGCTTAGTTATGAGGATATAAGGAACAAAAGGTCTGGACAAGATTCAAGGCGGAATACACTTTCCAAGAGAGGTGGTGTAGTAGTGTAGTATGAGCAGAAGAGAGTCGTGATTCTGCGATGATGCTTCGAGTTGGGGGGGACGCGACCGGCACGATTAGATATGGGCCATTTGGGGCCAGGGATTACTTACTCCGTACATACCACTGGCTCACATCGCTGGTCTATACATACGACTCTTTGTATTTCTTTGTCAAATCGGATTGTGATTTGCAATCTTGCAAGTCATGTACGCTTGCTTGTTGCTTGCATGATTGCCCGCATGATGGACATCCTCATAGTCCGCGCCCTACTCCGTACACATCCCTATGCTAATCTCTCGCCTTTGGAATCGTACATGATAAAATTACATTTCTATTACCCCGTACATAACTAAGACATCCATTTTCCAAGGGTCTCGCCAAACCAGCTGACAGCCTTCTCTTGTCGCTTTTGTCGAGCATCATCCTGGGATTTCATGAACGGCGTAGCTTCCTCCACATATAACCTCTGTTGCTCGAGTTGTGCATTGTGGGCCCTGATCTCCAATTCCCGTTCGTGGGGTGTGAGCTTTTGCAGGGGCTTGGATGGCTTGAAGCCCGCTGGAATGGCTTCTCCTCCCGGAATCTCAATCCCTTGGCTTTGTTGAACATTTGATTGCTTCTCGGGGTGGAAAAGCGACGCAAGAGGTGGCGGCTCAATGCCGGCAGACTTGGCTTCTTCAATTCGTTTCTCGTAGTCGAGCATCTGGTGGTAGAGCTTATCGGCATGCAGCTGAATGCGCTCCTCCTTTTCGGCGTCTTGCTCGAAGCTAGCTGCATAGCCGAGGGCTTGGAGGAATTTCTGCAAGATCCATATGTTAGCCTGGTTGACAGGGAGCAATAGCGAATAGGCGACTTACGGTCTGGGTCATAAAACATCGGGAGAAGGTGCTGTTCTCAGCAGAGCACAGGGTCAACCGAGCCTCTATTTGTTTGCGCCAGTTGCCAGTCTGGAAGCAGTAGGTCAAGGCTTCATGCTCAAGAGCACAATTCTCCATTGCTGCTCGTTGCACGGTGTCTCCGTGCTCCTTGTGTTTTTCGATCACTCGTGAGGCCCCGCGGATTCCGACTTGCTCTCCGTCATCCACCGTAGGCGGCTTGTAGGTTTTCCATAAATCGGCATAGCGGCCATCCTGATACAGCGATGCTGACGGAACTTTGGGTTTTGAGGGATCAGAAGGCTCGGGCGATTGTTCGGGGGTCGACGGCGGCTTCACATTGGGACCGGGGACATATTTATCGGGTTTTTCCTGCTCGAGATAGTCCCGAAGCCCTGGATCGAGCTTCTGGACAGGATCATTCTGACTATTTCCCGAGAACCAGCCCATTGAAAATGCTGATCAAAAGTGTACGATGTATGAGTGGGAAGCCCAAATGATACAAAACGGCGCGGAGAAATCGGGACAAAAATGGATCGGCTCCCGATCGTCTTGGCTCCGTCCGCGAGCGCCTTTACTCTTCAAACCAACAACAAGACGCGTCTTTTTTGACGCCGTTCCTCTACAATGGAAGGCAGTATGTAAATTCCCCTTTGGGACCTCATCAAATGGCTGCTAACTACCGGTAGCGCGAGAGGAGCGGCAGCAAATGCGACAGCGCGGAGCTGGGTACGCGCCTTGCCTCTACCCCGCGAAATCATAACATAGAAACTGACCCAATGCAGGACGCGCAAAGCCAAAGAGGTGGACTTCGGCTTCGCCTTTGGTAGCCCATTAGCCCAGCCATCAGGACCTGCACCGCTTGCTATTGTCCCTGAACCGAAGAACCCACCGCAAACACAGCCCGCGCCGGCCATACCACAACCGCCCGAGGAATCGCAACCAATTTCGCCCGCTCCTGCAGCTCTGCGCACACCTGGAAGCGCGCGTAATCACCTTCCTGAGCGGCCTTCGACATACGACATCGTGTCAGATGAGCGAGGCGAACAGACAAGAAGCAATAAAAGGAGAAAGCTCAGTACGTTGAAGCTCTGGTTGATCCCTTGCACACAGAGCATGAGCTAATTCCTAGACAAAGGTTCTCATCCAGTTACCGGGGATGTTATCGACGAAAGTGGCATGCGATCAGGGGATGGGAATCTACAATTCGTTAATGGCAACGTGAACAACGTCGGGCTACGAACAAGTCCCATTTCGGGCATATCAAGTATTAATGTCGAAAAGCAACAAGACAAGCCTAGGAGTGAACTTCTACAACATCGCATATCACCTACTCCCGAGACCTCTGCCCGAGACCAACATCAGAACGACCAGCAGTCAAAGACCAACGGCACAGAGTCGGCAACGAAGTCAGCAACACCTGCAGATAACGAGCATTCGGCCCCAATTACACCTGCATTATCTGAACCCTCCGAAAATACAGCAGTAATTCAGAAAGCCCGAGTGCCACATATGTCGTCCAAATCGCCTCAGCCCCAAGACCAACCCGACGCTGTACAGCTTGAAAGCACAGAGGCATTGGAATCAAAACGAAAATCTCGTCAATCACCATTGGAAGGCGAAAATCTCACAGGCCAGAAGAGGAGATCTGGGTCCCTGGTTGTTGAGCAGAAAAATGCAACAATCACAGAGGGCACACAACACGAAAGTCCATCCGAGGTTCTGGACCATTCTCCTGCGCTATCTGTTGCTGCGGATGTTGGCCTAGGAGAGGATTCCTCCAGGTCAAGCAATGAGGACCAAGAACAAGTCAATCGGGCTCATCAAGGACCTTCTGTCAAACCGAAAAAGTCCCGGGGTCGGCCTGCGCGTAAATCCCCTGCCACTCAGTCACCAGACCTGCCTGCAGACCCTACAGCACAAGAAACTGATCTACAATCACAAATTGAGCCCGAGGAAATCCAGCTTGAGACAGCCTCCAGAGCCAAACGCCCTCGTGGTGGAGCTTCGGTTAGTAAGAGTCCCATTGGCGTGACTGAAACCGACCAAGCTCCATCTCAATCTGAGCCTAATGCCGTTGATGCTTCTTCGGGGCCACGCCGAGGCCGCAGGCCTGCATCAGAAAAGCCTGGCAACCAACAGGAACCCGTGGTGGAATCTAGGGCGCCAAAGTCACAGCGGAACAGGTCTCGTCATACTTCAAGCCGCTCTGTGGAGCCTCAAGAGCCTCAAGTGCCCCAAGCAGAAAGTCAACCGGATCCTGGTGCAGAGGATGCAGCTGCAGTGGACGTGCCTCGGCGTGGAAGGCCTGGAAAGAAGGCCAAACGCCCAGTGGTACCTGAGCCTGAACGAGAACCAACGCCTCAGCCCGGGTCTCCAACACTAGACGAACCCGAACCCGTGGAGCCTACAGCACCCAAATCCCGGCGTGGTAAATCTGGCAGGGCCAAACGCGCAGCAGAATCAGAGCCCGCACCAGAGCCTCAGCCCGAACCAGAACCAGAACCAGAGCCTCAGCCGTCGCCTGAGGTGGAGCCCACGGCACCCAAATCCGGGCGTGGTAAGCCTGGCAAAGCTAAACGCACAGCAGAACCCGAGTCTCCAACACTAGACGAACCCGAGCCCGTGGAGCCTGCAGCATCCAAACCCCGGCGCGGTAAATCTGGCAAGACCAAGCGCCCAGCGGAATCTGAGCCCGAGCCGGAAGTCGAGAGTGAACCTGCCCCAGAAAGTGAAGTGGCACGGGAGCAACCTCGTCGCAAGACCCGAGAGCCTCGTGGAGAAACGGTTCCAGTCACTGTCTACCGGCTTGCCAATATCGCATCTCTTGGTGATACAGCATCGACGGCCAACGAGCCTGGCGGCGATCCAGATTCTGCAGATGAGCTCACCTCTGACCAACGAACAAAAATCCCCAATCGCGGCGGTGTCAACCCTGCCGACGTATTAAGCCAGATCTGTCGTGAGACCCTGGAAAAGACACTGAACACCCTAAAGAATGGGATTGAGGCCGAGACGAATACCACACGGCGTGCAGAATGGTCACGCAAAAAGAAGGCCGTCGAGACATTTGGCTCCGAGCTTGACAGTCGTCTTATGGATCTAAGCGGAATGCTGGATAGCAACTTTGTGCTTGGCGTTCAATTGAAGAAGACCAAGCGAGAGATGATGGATCTTCGTGGTCATCTATATCGAGTTCGCCGAGAACGAGAAAGTGTGGCTTTGCAGATGGATGCAGTGCGCAGTAAACACATTGAGGAGGAAAAGGCAAAGACCGTGAGTCTTCACTTCTGACAGCTTGTCCAAACACGCTAACCACTCTCTTAGTCGCGAAACGCCATCAACAAATCCCTTCACAGTTTAGAGCTCGCTCTTGAGCGCAATCAACAACGCTCCGGCCCCCCAGCGGAGTCTTCTCCCACAGATCTCGAGTTCATGCTTCGCACCGTTGCCGACATCAGTGCCCGTGCGCCTGGAGGCCAAGGCGGGCTTCTCAATCAAATCCGAGGGTTCAACGCCCAACTTGAAGCTCTTGTGGGTCGCCTGGAGCGCTAACGCGGAATATACTCTTTTTGTACTCGTTGTTCTTGGCGTTTTTCTACCATTTATGATACCATAGGGCACTTGCAATTGATCCTAGGCCATTGCCGGATGGCGTTTGACGATATCCCCTGCACTTTTCTGCCATTCGAGGAACTTCATTCTATCAACATTTTTTGCCAATAAAATTTCCTCCCCGAATGGTCCGATTCCCTTCGGTTCGATCGATTTGTAACTGCCGAGCCGACCTCGGGGCCCACGAAATTATTAATCCGCCCGAGAAGCCCTAATGGCAAATCAGAAGCCTCAATTCTCAAGACTTCGGAGACTTGCAAATTTGGCTATGCAACGTGGATTGGATGAGGGCTCTCCACTGCTGCTTGCTAATGCTGGCGATCATCTCATACAATGAATCAAAATCCTATATAAAGATGTTGAGCGTAAATGTTTCGTTACAATAAATCTCTCCATTGCGCTACATCATCATAATCGCGAGTCCTAGCCCTATACCCTCTACCTTTGTTCGATTCTTTTAATATCCAATATGACGAAGCTCTTCGAGTCCCTCAACGTCGGCCGTGTGAATCTCTCCAACCGCGTCGCCCTGGCACCATTGACACGATTCCGCGCCGGCGATGACCACGTGCCCCTCCCCTTCGTGAAGGAATATTACGCCCAGCGCGCCTCTGTCCCAGGCACACTGCTCATTACGGAGGCCACCATTATTACCCCCCGCGCAGGTGGCCTCCCCAACGTGCCTGGTATCTACAATGACGCCCAAATCGCTGCCTGGAAGGAAGTCACCGATGCCGTCCACGCCAAGGGCAGTTACATCTACATGCAACTGTGGGCACATGGCCGAGTTGCGATGCCGGATGTGCTCAAGGCCGACGGTGGCCACGAGCTTGTCTCCAGCAGCGCGATCCCTGTTAGTGAGGATGCGCAGACACCCCGTGCGCTCTCGGAGTCCGAGATCCACGAGTGGATTGCCGACTATGCCCAGGCTGCACGCAACGCCGTCGCCGCTGGCTTTGATGGTGTGGAGATCCACGCAGCAAACGGCTACTTGATTGATCAGTTCAATCAGGATGTCTCCAACAAGCGGACTGATGCCTGGGGCGGAAGCGTCGAGCGCCGCGGCAAGTTCGCCGTCGAGGTGACTCGCGCCATTGTCGATGCCATTGGCGCCGACCGCACCGGTATCCGCTTCAGTCCTTGGAGCACCTTCCAGGGAATGCGCATGAGCGACCCCAAGCCGCAGTTCGAGTATCTAGCGACCCAGATGGCGGCTTTCAAGTTGGCCTATGTGCATGCAGTTGAGTCCCGCATTGCGGGTAATGCCGATGTGGAGGCTACTGACCAGCTGGACTTCTTTTTCAAGGCGTATGGCAAGGCATCGCCTGTGATTGTTGCGGGTGGTTACAAGGCCGACTCGGCCCGCCAGGCCGTGGACGTCAAGTACGCGGATTATGATGTGATTATTGCCTTTGGGCGTCCCTTCATCTCGAACCCTGACTTGCCCTTCCGGGTTAAGGAGGGTGTTCCTCTGGTGCCCTACAACCGTGACACCTTCTATATCCCCAAGGACCCTAAGGGATATACCGACTTCGAATTCAGTGCCGAGTTCCAGAAGTCTATTGAGGCTGCCGCCTAAGTTGAGGATCTTTTGATGTTTTGATGACATGATTGCATAGCGATGACAAGACACGATGTAAATAGAGATAGATGTGAATATATTGTGCTACTTTGAATATTTCAAATGAACCCGGGGATTCTAGGTGTCTTCTAAAGTTGGAAGCTACTGAAGTCTCAATCATCACCCAGGGGCATAGCGGCCACTTGAGCAGGTCGGTGATACTGAATTTGGCCTGGATTTGGCCTTTAGTTCTATGTTTATTAAAGTCCTTTAATCTTAGAAAACAAAAGGACTTGATCTACTATGGTGTATCAGTAATTCAGATATCCATTGGATCTTCATTTTCTGCTAAGAAATCAGGCATTAAAACCACAAGGCAGAATCAGGCACCTTCGTACAATCATTTGAAGCAAGCGGTCCAAATACAAACATAAGGCAATGACCAGTAACTGGACAGACCACCCGTGATTCTAAAGTTGAAAGCCACGCAAAGGCTCAAAGTTTGTACTGTGGAGAGTTAGCATCTAAAGCTCACATGCAGTATACACCTATGGGCGTGGACTCACCCTAAACTGGCCATTCTCCCGATCTGTCATATCCAAAAACTCGTTGTCCTGATAATCCACTACTTGGCTACGGTCTCTCCGTCGGTTCTCCAAAACATAGTAAGTGCGCAATGCAAACGTGAAAACAATGGCGACGGAAATAGTCACAACAATAGCGATCTTGGCAGGTATGTAGTTCGGTTCGTCTTCGGTACGGAAGGTCAGTGGCCCAAGGATATTCCCCAGGCAAAAGGACATGAGCAAGATGGCATTCATGGAGACCTTCTTCGTGTGGCCGGCAACATTGGCACCAGCGAGGGAATACATGATCGGCAACGCCGAGCCAGTGACCTGCGTCAGATAATTCCCCGCGAGCTGTGCGGCTTTCTGGTCTGCAGGGGAGAATGCGAGCAGACACCCGCCTAACAGCCCGCATGCTAGCGATGCGGCGACACATACACAGCGCTGATTGTATCGACCGGCGAAGTACGACACAGTCAAGATACTGACGATGCTTACTGCTCCGTTTGGAATGTTCAGCAGTTCGGTTTCCTTGGTGGTAAATCCGAAGTTTTGGATAATGAGCGAGGTGAAGCTACTCATGGCAGCGTTGGGGACATCCATGGCAGTGACGATGATGGCAATAAGATACGTCTGTGGATCACAGAAGACCTCTCTGAGCTGGCTGCGCTTGAAGTGCTTATTTTCGATTCCTGTTTGGTTCTCGCGCAGGCGTTCGATAGCGAGGACTTTCTCTTCGTGTGTGAGACGAGACGTCATGGGGTTGTTTGGAAGAAAGAAGAATATGCATATTCCCACCGCAATTGTGATGAGACCAAAAATGAGGAACATGATTTGCCAAGGTTTGAACTGGTTTGACGTGTAGAAGAGCAGTCCATAGGCTACTAGGGCACCCATGATCGAAGCTGTTCCTGTGCCGAGATACCAAATTCCCATTCTTTGGGGCTGTTCTGTTTTGAATCAGCTTGTTCTGACTTGGATTTGAGGGCCAGCATACCGTCTCTCTTGTACCACATCGATGTTATCAAGATCAATCTAACACAAAGTTAGTGTATATTAGTTGAGGTGTCTAGGGTTTTACTCACGCCGGCGCAATTGCACTTTCAAAGCATCCAAGCAATACACGAAGAACCATCAGGCCTGGGAAATTCTTTGCGGTGCAGTTCAGAGTTGTCATAAGACCCCAAAGGGTCACTACTTGGTCAGTATGGTGAGTGACATCTCATCAACCTGACATACCATTGAATCCCAAGTACTTGGCTGTAGGTAAGCGCTGCATGAGAAACCCGGTTGGAAGCTCAAAGAAAAGGTAAGTCACATAGAATGCAAGCGTGAGATTCGAAAATTGATCCGTGTGCATATTCGTGTCGCTGAGCAAGCCCATGACAGAGGCATAGTTTACTGCAGGATGGTTAGACAATCGCAAGAGTTGGTTATCTTGAAGGTGAACACACTGAGCACTTTGTCCAGGTATTGCAGGTTATAGGCAGCCCACATCAGCGGCATGATCATCCAGTCAATCTTTCGTACAAGTGCTTTCTCGTCCACCTCTGTGAGGACTGCGATGTCTTCCGTGCGCAGAAACTCCAGAGCAGCATCTGCCTTACCAGTCGCTATCAAGCCATCTTTGTTGTCTATATCAATTTTGTGACCGGAGTGCTGGGTAAAGCTTTCCGGCAGCTCTGTCCCCATGGTTAATAAAATGTTGATCTAGATCGCACTACAACCGTGAGTGATGCTTGCTGCGGGATGGCGGAATAGAGAAATCCCAGACATATACAGTAAAATGAAGTAAGAGATGAAGAGTTCAAATTCAATGTATAACCTTGGAATTTGTACCAATTGCTTTTGTTAACACACCGTTCGAGCGCAGGACATATGCTCCAACCCCTCTCTCCAGCCTCGATAAAGCAAGTAGAACCAGCTCACCAGTCCGAAATAGGAAGCTGTCAATCCGTGAAACAGATAGCAGAAGATAGCAGGCCGCGAACCAGTATGCTGGAGGAAGCTTGTCCTCTCGGAATACCAGTCATAGTGTGTACTGCACCGATAGGATGTGCGGCATATGCCGCCTGCCTCGCTAGCAATGACAAAGACGAGCCCAGAGCTCAGTCCTAATCATCTTCATGACTGGCTAGCGAGTCTTTATCCGTATCCCAGTAATGACCATAGTGCGCACGGCGGAAGAGTCGATGTGACAGTCGCATTTCCGTACGCGGGTATGAAGAGCAGACCAACTCGCAAGTCGCTCTGGCAGGCTGCATTGCCCGCGCTCTCTGACATTTCTAGGCTGGGATAGGAAAGTGATCGCTGTTGAGAGATAAGTGTTCCATCATGACTTGATGATGGTCTTGACCCCGCACGCGAAAGCGGGAGGCACCGCTTGGAATTGGGGTTGGCAGACTTGGTGCTCTAGATAGGATGGCAGGGCACACAGCGCAGGGCTTTGTGAACTGTTTCTGAGTACGCTGTACTTGTGTCTCCAAGGTTGTTTAGGCCTGCTGCGGAGAATCTGTTGAGGTTAAGTTTGGATGTTTTTGACAAATCATTTTTCCCTGTGGTAGTCAACGTAAACGGTTCAGTGTTTCTGTATCAATATCTGCGTCAGAGTAAGTGGTTGTGATTTAGACTAAGAGTCATGTCCAAGGGTTGATAGTAATGTGTTGTGGAAAAGTGAAAGAGCAAGAGCTAAATGGAAAGCTGACCGCCACTTCAACTAGTCACTTTGGCAACATCAATCTCTTTTTTGAGCAACAGACCATCTGTTTGATTCGCATCCAAGTTCTCCGCTTGATCAGCAATTCAAAAGTCCAAGTTGATTCCAATGGGCTAGCGGCATGGTTTCTTTGAACAATGGAGACCACCTTGGCCCATCTAGCCCCGGAAGCGACGAGGTCCGAATCATGTCTTGATTCGATGGACTCCGGCCGCCTCATGCAGTCCTCTATTTTTGGTCTTAGAGCAGCACATTAACTTGCATCGAGCTAAATGTACTCCATACTCCGAACAGAGTATCGGGTTGGTACCAACGCATTGGGATTCCCCGCATCCGCACACATCCGAGAGACTCGAGTCCTTCCAAGACTTACAGCTTCGTAGCTGTCCGACTCGGGGATGATACTGCGAAGACAGTGGATCCGAATTCGTATTCTGAATGCCGAATATCCATGTTCCGCTCCACCGAGCCGAGAACGGCCCCTTCAATTGAATCATCCGAGGGTACAAAGACCTTGGTAGAATCGCACACAGCCTCTGATTCGCTGTGTTAATGTCTCGGGCTCAACTCGGCATCCAGATGCAGCGCTGTCTATGACGGGATTCTTTGTTCACTTTGGTTCGTCCGGGTGATGCGGGGAGTTCTTTTTTTTTGTTCCTTTGGGGAAGATCAGATGAGCAAATGTGGGGGTCCCCCAAAACGATTTACAACGGATCGACTCTTTCTTTTCACCTCGCATGACGATGCATGACGCTATCTGAACATGGCTCGCGATCGCTCAGGGCTGAGCTCTCCCCACATTTTCGGCGTTGGGGAAATGCCCAGCTAATGCCCAGCTGTCGGCAAAATGGACCTTGGCTCTAAGTCCATTGGTTGATGGCACCCCCCAGGAACAATAATTGAGGTGTGCTGTGGATATATCCAATGAATCCAAGAAAGTTTGAATCTTCACTATTGCTCGTGGCGGTCAGGGTCGGAATTAGAATGGCGTGGAATATGAGCTCATTGCCCTGACGACTATGGAGCCTTGAGCTGGGTACGAGTTTAGTAGCGCCGGGTTTGATACAGTAGAGTTTGCCCTTGATCTGAGAGATCAAGCGGTCTGGATGATTGACCAAGGAACAATTTTGGTATCCTTTGGTAGTCTTTGTCTCAATGAGGACAGATCATATTCGAGTTACTCCGGGTGAAAGGTAAGCTGACAACCTTGGTTAATTAACCTGAATTATCCGGATCATAACAGTCTCACCTGTGCATTTCCCTTGCATTGTATAAGTAATAGTATAGTTAGTTATTGTATACTCGTCCTCTGAACTCTGTAATACATTTTACTTCCCGGATGTCGATCGCTTGACTGATAATTGAGACCAAAGTCACAGTCTAAATCGACATCACAGTGCATACAATCGACAATAAGCTCTTGCGAAGTGAGTGCGGGCGCTATAGTTGTACTAGCATCAGTTGAGTAAGGGTCGATTATTTCAAAGCTAGGCCATGTGGCGTAAATCGGGTTGTTTGTTGTTGTCCCTTGGCACGCCAAAGTCCTTTAATTCTCCAGCTTACACACAGTAGTGTCCATTGTGCATAGTGAAACTCCATCAATCAAAGATCCCTGTGAGCTCGTGGCTTATACTATCAGGGCTACAATAAGGGCTAGATCTTCCCCGAGACCAATCGAACCGCCCACCGTAAACGATGTGACATTGCTTGATATTGTTGGGATAAAGCTACAGAAGTGGATCCCATTCTTGCTGCACAGTCGTCTGATCCATGCATAGTGCAGACATACTACTCGTAGTACGAGTACATAGTGCCGGACTCTTTGTAGAAAGGGATAGGTAGTTAATACTCGTACGTGCGAGACAAGGTATTTCCGTCATTCCCGCGCGAGATCATCGCACGACACGTTGCCACGCCATCGGAGTGAATACGCGAGTGGTCCGTACATGGTACTAGCAGGAGAACTTAAAAAAAAAACATACTGATAGAAAAGGAGAACACTTTTGACAATCTAAATCTATCAGCCTCGCAGTCTGAACCTGAACGGGCAATCTCTGACACGGGCCGAATCCGAAGCCAACTGGAGACAATGGACACAATAACTGGAGCATAACTGGAGCCAACTGAGACGTCTATGGGGTCCACCGGGTCTCTGTCAGCCGTAAACCATCGTAGAGCCACCCTGTGGAGATGAAGCTTGACAAGCTTGCATATCTAGCTTGGAGCGACTCGCATCTCTACGCAGGGAATAACACCAAACCGGAAATCAATAATAACAAACGGGTCTCGTGTGAGCCTCGTGCGCCGATCTAGGTTCCCCCCCGGACCGATGGCCCATTCGAGAAAAAACACGGCTCGTCGCGCGCGCGGCTGTGCGAGACTGTACACACCTATTTTTTCCTTGGCCTGACATGTTGTCCCGTTTCCCCGAGATTTGAAACGTATTCATCATCCGTCTACCCTTCCAGATCGTTGGAGTTAGATGAGGATTGACCTGAATGACAACGGCGACTCCACGCGGTGCGCAAAATAGTGTTGGTTAGTGCATCCGTGCATCGTTGTGTACGAGCGACTCAAAAAAGGGGCAAAAGGGGAGGCCCCACCCGGGAAAAAATGGAATAAATTCAAGAATTTTGCACTTCAATTGGTCTCCGAGACTGCACCAAAGTTGGTTTAGCTGGAGTCCGGAGTATATTGTATGTGAGCATAACATAAGTGTAAGTACTTAGTATACGATACGAGTACGGAGTACGGTGAACTCATTGGTGCGTAAGAATCTCCGAAAACATCATCTCGTATGGAAAACTCAAGCATGAGATAGAGTAGTTCTAAAGTTGAGTAGAAGTACGCAGCACGCAGTCCAGAGTACGAAGTTGGAGTACACAGTACGGGGACCATCATTCTGGTTGTGACGCAGTCAACCATGGAAGTATCCAGTACCCGGGATTTGCTACCACCGACGCTGTTCGCAGCAAGTCACTTCTACCGATCAACACGGCCCACCCATCTCGCCCCCAAGTCTCCAACCCTCCAATTCCATTTCTCTCCCTCTGTCGCACTAGAGAGCTTGTCCGAGTAAACCGTGCTCCGTACGGAGTAGTTCAGTTCCTGTTCCGATGCGAACCAAGTGGACTGGATGATCGTGGGCTTGTTGATCATGGTTTCGCTCTGAACCTGAAGCCTTGACCCACTGATACATGCTTGTATGTATGTACATGTGCATTGTACTCGTACATTGCGAAGGAATTAAGATTAATAGGGCAACAGGATCTGCTGCAAGCTTAATAAGAATTAGAGTTGAGTTTCAACCTTTGAATGCGGAATGCGAGGGAGTTTACTATCAGAGTAATAGTACGGAGTGCTCGCAGGTACTATACCCGGAACCAGAGTGTATGCTTGTAATGGCAATGGCAATGGCAACATGCATGGCAATGGCAATGTAAAATCAGGTAAATGACAGCACAGAGTGGCGGTGGTTACCAACTAATTAAGCCCTTGGGGGCTCTCTACACCAATCACATAGTTCCCCAGACCAGTTCTCCACTTGACCTTTTCCCCGGGCTTCTGTTTCCTTTCATCCATTGAAGGAGGTCTGAGGTCCTGCAGCTCATTCTTCCCGTCCCTGCATGGCGAATTTGGCATGGCTCTAGCTGACCCCGTCTTTGAAGTCTCATCCCTGTTAAACGGGGTGATATTAGTATTTTTTTTTCTCTTCTTAGCCCAAATTAATACAAAAGAAGAAAAGGCCCAGGATCATTGAGCCGAGGGTATAACAGAGCCACCTCCCCAACAGACTTTCGCGACTCTCCACTTTTGACTGCCGGACTTTTGCCAATTAACCTCTGTTAGTCTCAAGTGGGACGGCTTCTGGCGGGTGCACATCACTGCAGTTTTGTCAAAAAAGAAAAAAAAAGAAATCGAAAAAAAGAAAAAAAAGGCGAATTGTAAGTTTTCGGTTCCACATCGTTCCTTTCGCCCTCGTCCAGCTATATTATAACCTCGCTCTTACCCTGGCTTCACTTTCTTCAACTTCTTTGTTCTTCAAGTCAGGTGCTGTGCTCCATTGATTTGAATCTTTTCCCCCGTCATAACTGTGTTAAGACGCCTTTTATCTTTCCAGCTTGCTGGTCTCTTTTTTTCTTTATCCTTCCGAACTTACATTTTAACCTGATATCTCCCAGATAATCAGATATTATTTGCATCATGTCTGCGACTGAAGCAATTAACCACGGCGAGCTGGAGAAGGACATCGGTACCGTTCCCCAGAACGGTGGAGGTGCCCCCATGCAACCCCAGATGTCCGCCGAAGAGCACCAGGTGGCCCGCGCCGCCGCTCGCTTCGGATACGGACCTCTCGCCCACGTCAATGATGCCGAGGCCTCTCTCCCCGCCTTCGGAGGAGAGTTCCAGCCCGGTCTATACAAGCCCGTCGAGGGCCGCAAGTTTGGTAACCCGGCTCCTCTGGGCCTCTGCGCTTTCGCCCTCACCACTTTCGTGCTGAGTGCTATCAACATGGGTACCAAGGACATTGGTGAACCCAACATTGTCATCGCCCTAGCCTTTGGTTACGGTGGTCTCGTCCAGCTGCTTGCCGGCATGTGGTATGTAACCTAAAACCCCGGGGTTTCACAACTCCCCAGCGAGAATTCAAAAGTGGCCTTTGCTGACACCGTCGCGTTTGCAGGGAAATGGCTGTCGGTAACACTTTTGGTGCAACTGCTCTGTCCTCTTACGGTGGCTTCTGGCTCTCCTTCGCCATTGTTCTGACCCCCGGTGGATTTGAGATCGAAGACAAATTGTTGGCCGCAGACCCCGCCAAATTCTACAATTCCTTCGGTCTGTTCTTGATGGTAAGTCAACCCTTTCCAAATTGCATCGACTCGCAGTCTGCTTGATCCTCGATCTCGGTCGCTAACCTCCCACAGGGTTGGTTCATCTTTACCACCATCATGCTGGTTTGCACCCTCAAATCGACCGTCGCCTTCTTCCTGCTGTTCTTCTTCCTGGACCTGACCTTCCTCCTGCTCGGTGTCGCCTACCTGCAGCAAGGTGCTGATGGTGCCCCCAATGCCAATGTCCAGAAGGCTGGTGGTTTGTTCGGTCTCCTGGCTGCCTTCGCCGCCTGGTACAATGCCCTCGCCGGTATCGCCGACACTAGCAACAGCTTCTTCATTATCCCCGTTGCTCACTTCCCCTGGTCTGCCACCGGCAAGATCCGCCGTGGCAAGTCTGATTAAGCGCTCACCTGAGCGTCTTTTTTTTTCACGGAAAGAAAGAGTGGGAGTGGAGAACCGCTGTATGCTTGTAATGTTTTCGATACCCAAGTTTTTTATGCCTTGGTCGCGGGCGAATTGATTCTCTCGTATCGCATATCTGGTTGACGCGTTGACTCGTGGATCGATCGGGTAGGGTTTGGAGGGTTTGCCCGTGACCTGTGACTGTTGTTGCGTGTGGACACTCAATACGGAATGTCCTCCACAACACAGTCGCAACGAAACGCTGGTCATCGCGTGCTCGTTCGAGTCGTCGATGCTGGTTGTAATTGTTCGGGGAACACTCAAGCAGAGCGCTTTTGGTTCCCTGATTTTTCCTTGCTGTACTTAGTCCCTTATATGCGAGTTCAGACTCCACAATTAATTCATCCATGTTAATGATAACATCGTGTCCCTGTAATAACTGTGATTAGTTGGCCTCTTACCTGTAGTGCTTCGGCGAGTATCGCAAGCTCCCTTGACGTTTCTGGGATGCAATTGCACGTGCAATTGATGGCTCTCGCAGGCTGAATTGGTCTTCCGTGGTGTATGTCGTCGTCGTTGTTCGGGCCTCCTCTGCTATGAGGCCCATTCAAGAAAAGAAGCTTGAATTGTCGGCGTGGCTAGTCCAAGTTGTCCAGGCTGATCATCGTGGACAGCTCAATATGCAATCCATAAGCTCATAAGCCAAATGCCTGAACAAAGTCTGCATCCAAATGTTAATGGTAAGCTTACTCAGACCAGAAAGGTTTCAAAGTTTCAACGGTATTGAGTAGCAAGGTGGTACGAAGAGAAGATAAAAAGAGACATGGGATGGATGCCCATGTATGGGTATGTCAGCCTGCGTCTTTTTCTGTTCTCACAAAAGGTCTCAGCCGGGGGTTTATATCTAATTCCTGGCCGTAATCTGCCGTGTTCGGGATATGTCAGAGTGGAGATACTGGGTCCTTCATCCTAGCCCGGTATTTTCTCGGTCTTACGATATAGTCGCGTTTGATGAGCCAATAATTGAAATTGAGACTCTCAAAAACTTCCCATGATCTCCCTTTTATATACTCTTAAAGACAATCTCACTCTTTTTTAACTCTTGACCGGCTGTTTCCAGGGGAGAAGACGAAAAAAACAAGTTCAAATCAAGAAAGCTACCGGTATCAAAATCAGCCGAGCCAAGACCGGCCCCTTTCCGGCTGAAACTCGGTGCTGACACCCAGCACAGTTCTGCGTATCAGCGTCCATCACACAGACGGAGATGGTCCGGAATCGGGATGCCGGCTTATCTGGGTGGACTGATGGGTCTGTCAGCGCTATGTCGAGAGAATGCCGAGATGAGAAACGGGTTCGATCGGACCTGTTGCAACTCGGTGTTTGCTCTTGGTACTTGTGTATTGTACAGCCACCTTGGTGTCATGTTTGGGTGGTTCTTGGAATCAGTACAATTTCTGCATCATTCACATTGTATTGGGATGGAAAGAGGAAGGCAATATCTATAGATCATCTGGCCCACCTTGCCATCAAATGATGTGTCAATATGAGGCCATATGCATTATGTATGTTTATAGAGGTAAAGATAGCAAAGTATAAATACAGAAATGATTGTCTGTACGAGTATGAGTCTGAAACTCAGGTGCTTGAGAGACCAGCTAAGCCAAGCAGCCAAGCTCTCACACGGCAGAGTGATCCAATTGCACCCGAGTCTCGTCCCAGATCTGACGAAGCATGGGCAGGTGAATGCGATCGACATAGAAAAATCCCTGCAAGACAATGCGGGCCTCCTGCCACGAAGTAATTCCCTGCAGTCGTGCTGCGGTGGCAAATTCAGATACAAAGAAGACTCGCTCGGATGGCAGGACCGCACTGCAAGCGGCGCCTATGAAGAGCTGCCAGAATAGTAAGTCACGGCACAGCGCAAACAACCCAGAGGGGATGGTCGCCTCGAGGGCAGTGCGCAGGGCCAGAATGGGCTTGGGTAGTAACGGGGCGATCATCGGGTAGAAGTTCCAGATGGCACTGTTGTGGAACAACAGTAAGGCAAGGCGGGTGCAGCCCTCGATAGAGTTATCGCCCTTTACTTGGCCCGTTGAGGTGTATCGGTCTGAATGCAGCTGGTATTCTACATGCAGGACTTCGGAGTTGAAGTAATCCTCGGTTTCATCGCTGAACTCCCTGTAACCGGTATTACCTTTGATCCATTCTGCATACCAGGATAGCTCGAGGAGATCATATACGATTTGCGGCATGGCTTCGCCGAAGATGCCGGGAATTTTCAGCAAGGGGAAAAGGCGGGTGGAAAGTAATGCTACGTCGTCCGTGGGTGGGATGATAGAGAGCTGCGCTGGGCGATTACAGCGGACAAAGGGGAAGATGGGCTTTGCGTGTGCCATGCAAGCAACCCGGATGTCAGTCCTATGTCTTGTTAGTAATCTTGCGCAGGCCACCACCCCTGGGTGCCATGATGGAGTCACAAACCATGAGATCTGGAACCGGACATCTGAAGGGACATCATCGAAGCCCTTTCGTAGCGCAATCATCTGTCGCAGTCCGGCCAGGTGGATCTTGAGGTAATCAGGATTGCCTGATGCAATCTAAAACGGGTTGTTAACATTGATACTCGTACGAATCACATTTGAAGCCCACTGTTGGCTCGCGAGGATCAATTCCAAAAAGAAAAAATCACTTACTTCAATTGTTAGCAGAGTCGAGACGGCAGCGATCAACACATCACTGGATGCCTTGACGGGGTCTGACAGGCCCTCATTGACCAATCGAATGGTCTCACCACGGTGGTGGAACGTGTCGATCACCAACTGACTCCGCTTCTGGTTAGGATCTCGAATGGGCAACTCGCCTGCCTGCATAGCATCATTGGACGACGCCATACAAATTGTCGCATGCAATATTGCCGGGTCACGCTGGATGAGTGTGGCCCAATGCGCCTGCAGCTTCGGTTTATACCGTGTCTGCAATGGGTGTGCCTGTTGCGTAAGATCCCAGAGAACTAAAGTCGAGTAGTATCAGTACCTAGGTCGACGAGGGACCGTCCCGTGGATTGAAGGAACTACTCACAAACCCGCAGATGTCGCATCATTCTATCTGTCAGTTGTGTATGTCCAGTATTAAAGGGGTCGTTGGCTCCTTGTCCAACATAAGACCACGCAGACGATCCAGGGGGGTAAGCCACTGTGCCGTCGAAGTCAACGCCATCCCACGACGGGGCTGACAGCTCGGGGTACCCCGCAGATGTGGGTATAATCTCTTCGACGTCCAATTCTTGTTCCTCCGATAATCGACTGTTGGCCAAGCTCGCAGGTGGGGTGATCATTGACGGTGCAGGGCCCGTCGGTACAAGTGCTCCGGTCTCCGCGGTAGGCGACTCATAAGGCGACTGTTTCCATTTGCTTTTATTGTATTGTTTCGTGCTCTCGATGCGCTTCTTTCGATTATGTTCGGACATGACATGAGACCGGATTCTTTTCAGAGTCTCTTCTTTTGTGCCCTCGGCCGCGGTTTGCGGATCGCTGTTGACCCAGAATAACGTTGATTTCCCCGCAGAGGCATTGGCGGTTTTGCGGGGTTTGCGGACCTTGGAGGACGCATTGCGACTCGGTGCAGCTGAGGCAGTTGTAGTCTGAGGTTTCGGAGGCGCAGAAGTAGCTGGCGGAGCTGGGACAGACTGTGCGCCTCTTGGATGTCCACTGTAGCTCTGAGCGGAGACGTAGTCCGGGTGGATCGGATCGGCGACTGACCAAGCCGGCCGGGTTAGCACAGGCAAAGTCTGCTCCTGGCCAAAGTTGTTGGCGTCCATTGGAGAGAGGTTGAAGATGAAAAGGAGGTTTCCAGCGGGGTAGAATCCAAATGTACGAAATTGGATTCCCAAAGTGATCGAATCATCGGGTCCCGCTAGGTACTTTAGTGCACAACTGCACTCTAGAAGCTCCGCCGATCTTTTACTCCGTGTTGGCTGGTCTCACCTTGTGGTCCGTACTCCATACTCCGTGCAAAGTACGGAGGATTTCCCATTGCGTTGGCTTGGACACTACTTCCAGACGCCAAATATAGAATGTGGCAAGTCGGGAAAGATCTTCATTTTCACAATTCGCACCGCCCTTCACGGCTGTCAGCACTAGCATTCCTTAGGTCATCATGCAGCTTGCCGGACTACGATACAAGTACAGGGCTTCAAGATTGTCTGACAAAGTACGAAGTTGAGTGGCTCATGATTATTTTGTGTTCCGATCTTCAAGTAACACAATGCCAGTGAACCTGACTATGTGTGATATTTGAAACCTCAATTGCTCATGCCCATCAAATTGAGCCCTGGAGATAATTATCAATTACCTAATGACTTCCCCAGAGGAAACTAAACCCCGAGCCCTCAAGGTACACAAGAGAGCTTCCAAGTCTGGTAATAGACTCAAAGCTCCATGGAAACCTCCAGCTACAAAATGTGGAGGTATATCAGAAGGATTGGGAAGCAAGAGAGATACGAATAAGATAGTCAAAGAAAGAGTAGTCTAACGGACGTCGGGTTGATGCCGAGATGCAAAGTGGGTTGGGCCCCCAAATTTAGGTCATACCGGGGCGCGGGAAGATCGGCATCGTGTCCAACTGTTCTAATCCGCCCATGGTTCCGGTCTGTCCACTATGCTGCCAGCCTTGTCCGGTCTGCTGGTTGACAAATTGGCTCTGTCGGAACGGATTGGTGCTCCCAGTCGGGTTGGGCTGCAAGGGAGCTGCTGCGGGTTGTTGAGGAGCGGGAGAGCTGCGCGCAAAGGGATTGGTCCCCGTCCGCTGAGGTTGAATGGGCTGCACTTGTGTTGGTGGGAGCTGCGGTGGCGGAGGTAAGGGAGGTTGGAATTGGTCATGTGAGGCGGGATTATATTGAGGGTTTGCAGTAGAAAGCCTTTTGGCGAATGGATTCGTGTTTTGCCGAGAGAGAGGGGCGGCAGGTGGTGGTGGAGGGCCCGTGGAAGAGTTGACCATCATGGACTGACGGAATGGATTGGTATGCTGGGGCTGCAAGGGTTGAGGCGCGGGCGCCTGCTGCTGTTGAGGGAAAGAGGCAACATTTTCTTGCGGGATAGGAGCCAATTGCGACTGGTAATTGTACTGCTGTGGCTGCGCTGTGTATCCACCAAATCCAGCTCCAGTCGGCATAGCCTGGAGTGGCTGAGGTTGCTGCGGTTGTGCTTGCGCTTGTTGCTGTCCAAAGGGGTTATTAGGGCCCTGTGCTTGGTACGGCGCGCCATATTGGTTCGGCTGGCCAAACCCAGTTGCCTGTGCTTGCTGTGAAATCGCCTGGGGCTGCTGCTGGAAGCCGGTCTGCTGAGGATAGAATTGCTGTTGCTGCGGAGGTTGTTGGAACCCGCTTTGTTGGTATTGCACTGGGGCCTGCTGTCCCATCGGTTGTTGGTTTTGCTCAATCGAGTCAAAGAAGTCAATCAAGTCCACAGGCGCAGGTTTGGGTTGCTCGGGCTGTCTGGGAGGATTGGACATTGACGCGTTTTGCGTCGGCGCCGGCTTTTCAGTATCGGCGGACGCAGTGGCTTCCATGCTCGGTGGAATGGGAACACCTTTCTTTGCCAAATACTCCCGTCGCCGGAGGTCGAAATCAGGATCGTTGAGATCATCCTCTAGGAGCCGTGCCAGATCTGTGGAGGCATGCTTGAGCTTCGGGATCTCCAGGCGGGTGGCAGACTGGAAATGCCTTGCGACCCCCAGGAACTGAACCACTTCTTCCGTTTGTTTTGTGAACGTCTTGTATATTGCCAGGGCACGAATACTATCCGGTCGCGACATTTCGAAATAATGCTCTGTTTAAATCAAGGTCAGAGCATGATCATGTCGAAAGGGACAGGATGCCTACCCAGAACATTGATGGTGCCCTCGTTCATGACCGAATATAGTGTCAGTAGGTCGAGGGTGAGCAAGCGGAATGCGGTCAAGCTGATCTCGTTCTCCGGTTCATCTGACAAGAGCTGCACGTTGTCAGTCATAAGAAGCGCAAAGTGCGGGGATCACCCACTTCACAACGTAGCAGCACTCGGATTTGCTTCTGTACAATCTCCGTCTCTCTCAGCAGACCTTTTTCCACGCCTATCCTCTTCAATCGTCCAGGCCCGCTTCGCACATGGTCCGTCTTGGAGGCCTCAAATGCCTTGGCGCGTGTTATCAAGTATTCGGCGTAGCGCCGGATGTTATGTCCCTGTGATTGCGCTTTGTATTTCATTAGCAAAGGGTGCTCCTAACTGAATATTCCGCCACAAGTACCTTCAGAGAAATTACTGGGAGCAATCTTCCGTGGATTGTCAGATAGGTATCCCAGCGCAGCGTCCAGTTGCCCCTCGCGTATCATAAGATGAAGGACAATAAGCGCTTTGAACACAATAGTCCATGCTGAGTCTCGGAGACGAAGTTGAAGCGTTCTGAATACCTCTGCGACTCCTGCCTCGCCGGTATGGGTTGCCACAAGGATGTGTTCGATGTATTTGGATTTAGGGGCCGCAAGCTGTTCGCGCCGAAGAGTCAGTTATTGGCTCGCATGGAGAGAAATCAGATATTTCGAAATTACCTTGAGCTTCGTGGCCCCCTTTACTGACTTTTCGAACCCCCCAGGCATGTTTGTGAGAATCGCGAAATCGATGCCCAAGCCCCCGGATGGTGAAGGGTGAGAATGCAAGCCGCGAAGGAAGAAGCGTTTGGATGGGGAAAACTGGAGAGCCTGCTCCAGGTATCAATGCCCTTGTGATATTCAAAGAGCTCTTAAATCATCGCATGTATCACTCATGACGTGGCTCAATGAGCCATGCTGAGAGCCCAAGGTTGATTTTCGGATTGGGTCAGGATTTGATCGGAAGGGCCGGGTAGATTATTTGCGAATACAATCACTAGAAATTGACAATGGACGGTGAGGTAAATTGATAAGGATAGCAAAAAAAAAGATGCGACGCTCCCAAGGGTGGAAGAGGGAGTTCCTGGGGGGCGGAGTGCATGTTCCTAGAGTCAGCCTAATCAGGACTAGCGCTTTTTGGCACGAGGATCGACTGCATGGAAGTATGAGAGTATACTACTGTTATGATCTTCAGTGAAATCCCTTGGATTAGCTTTCTAATGGATATTGATTTCACCAATAATCATTCTCTATCTGATTTTATCATCGAATTCTGAATTTTGGTCTCTTTTTAATACATATTTTGGGACTTGATGTGGCTTATATATCGATGCAGGTTAGAGCAGGTGGGTAGATATTCAAATGAAGGTTGCGAAAGATATAGATCACTCCGACGTCCCTGAGTAATAAAATCACATCAATCAGAAGACCGAGGGAGCCAGAATGATACTTAGCCAATGATACTCCAGACAGGGCCCAGGCAAGTAAAAAAAGTGCCAAAGGTGGTCAATCAACCTCGAAGAAACCGTTGAAGTTGAACCTTGGAACCTGCTTAGTCTAGAAACATTCCTAATATATCATCCGATGCCCAGCTCTGGAGGGTTTTATCTTTTGCTGCTTTTGCTGCTTTGATGTTGATTTGATTCTGCAACCTTGAAATACTAACTCATCTTACTCTATCCTTCACATCCAACACTCTGCTTGTCACCCACATATCCTGTATTACTTTCACAGCACCGCGCCGACTCAAAATGAAAATCATGAGGTCACGCAGAAGACGAAATATCCAATGGGATACACCCAAACGCATGGTACTCTGCTGCTTGTTCCGCCTTTTCCGTCGCGATAACAGGAAATGGGAAGAGATCTTCTCTCACATGTTCAGATCTCATTTGACTGAGCGTGGTATTACCGGGTTTATCCCATTTACGACCCTCAACATTCAATGGGTGAACATGAGAGAACACGGGGATCCCATCTGGCACCGAGTCCATATCGCAACCGACTTCAAGAAAGATGGGGAATGGCAAGACACAATCTCGAGCATCCACTCCGCAGCGCAAGCTTTGCGCCTCGAAATCCAAGAGAAAGACGAAGACTCCGTGGACATATCACGTTGGAGACATCCGGGAACAGCCCTAGCCGCGCGCACCAGGCAGTTGTCTTCAGCTGCAGTGTCTGTAAGTTGGCTTGAACAACATGGTTTAGTTGAGTACGAGTTAAACATTCTCCCGTCAGAATGATCCGCCAGTCAGCCCTGCCTCAGCTCCAGCTACCACCCGGCTGATGAAGTTTGCGTGGAATGAGATCGAAGATCTAGAAACGAGCCCATATTTTGCCCACAATGAGGATCAATATGACATCGAGGCCACCGACATGACTACCGATGATGAAGCCGAAGACAAATCCGAACACAATACCCCATTAGAGCGCAATCAGTCAGTCGTGACTAGCCACGGCAAGCGTTGTCTCTGGTGCGAGCAGGAGGCACCGTTAGCCGATGAACGAAACGATGGTTTTGAATTTGTACCAGCCAGTGTTCATGACCTCGAAGATTGGAACGATATTCAGAGGGAACAAAGCATTTCATACGAAAACCAGTCAGATCAGGAGCAGTGTCAGCCAAATGAATCTCAACCAACGTTACCAGAGCAACCTTCTAAAGTTGCCGACCATTTCATGCAAACACTGACCAGGGTGCCAGCGAGCAGTATTTTCGACCTGAACATTGAGGAAAAGGATAACAATAAAGAGGAAGATGAAAGCGCGAGCGTGCTAAGTGCCTTGCAACGCGAGTGGCCATCCGACGATTATGATAATGATCATGATCCTGATACCCCAACTCCGCACCCAAAAAGAGACGCGATTATCTGGGAGAGAATAAACACACCAGGACCGCACGAATGTGAATGAAGATAGTTAGATCTAGCAACCGTTTTCAGATGGATCTTGGAGAAACGGCTATGTGCACGAATAGGAAAGATCAGAAGAACACCATGTCCTTTCTGCTGCAAGTTCAATTATTGTGCCACTCCCCGGTCGTCCCTGCTAGAGTGGCCCTCTTATGGCCGATTTCTACTCACTGGTGCTTACCATAAGGCATCATATCAGTGTCGACACCAGGCCAATCCTTCTGATATCTACGAATTCAAACATTGATGCTGAGTCTGGGCTGTCCTTATGCATTCGAACAAGTACAAGCACGTATACATCTGTTGACTGGTATGGCTCCAGGGCTTCATCCAGCGGCCATACTCTGCTTGTGATCAGCTATGGAGATTGCACCGGAATGGGCTACACAGCATCTGACAAGATGCACAGGCTTATTCTCTTAAGTTGATCCAGCCCGTCGGATTGAGCCTCAACAATGGAAGAATGCCAAGTCGTTTACACCTCGAAACTCCAGCAAACACTAGACATCAATGTAGATTTGGTAGACCGTGACACTGAAGATAATGTTCGATGCGACTCTTACACAAAGATTTGAGCTAACATACTACAATATCCATATCTTGTTGCATTCACTGCAACGAAACGGGGTATAGAACGGAATCTCGTTGCAACTCTGTGGGTACCTAGAGAAGCAGGAAGAGCCTGGCATGTGCAAAAAAGACAAGCTCGGATTAGACTGTCATATATGATCAATCTTTCCATAGCCAGAGCTGTTGTACGCTTTCCATCGCAGACGAGTTGAAGAAATCTTTTTGATTTTTGCATGGATACACATCCTTCAGCGAGGTATCTGGGACATTGAGACTCGTAAACTATCCCGACCCCCGTCCAAGAACTTTCCTGGTATCCGATCCATACCGCTTCCCTCGCCCTCAAAAACACCCGGTTGATTCAACGCTTAGAACTTGGCGAAAGACTTGACTGTAGACGGAAATTGAATCAGCAAAATGCTCCAAGAAAAAAGAGTCATATTGTCATCACTTACCGGCCTTCTGCTTGGCGGGGAGAACCTTGAGCACGTTGAAGCGAACCTGTAGAAAAAATCAGTCAGTTAATGTCGGAGTTGTAATGTTGACCACCAAAATCGCGGTTCGATCGCAAAATCACAGGCTTGTGTTTTCGGCAATCTGACCACGGAGAGGGAAGCCTTGGAAAAACGTACAGTCTTGGAGAGGGGACGGCACTGGCCGACAGTGACGGTGTCACCCTCCTCAACACGGAAAGCGGGGGAGACGTGGGCAGAGAGGTTCTTGTGGCGTCTCTCGTAACGGTTGTACTTGGGGACGTAGTGAAGGTATTCACGGCGGATGACGAGAGTGCGGTGCATCTTGGTGGAGACGACCTTTCCGGTGAGGACACGACCGCGAATGCTCACGGTACCGGTGAAGGGGCACTTGTGGTCTGTCAAATGGGTGAATTAGTTGGATGAACTCCAGGGAAAAGCTCTCAAGGGACGCAAATTTGGCATGAATGGTCTTTTCATTCGAGGAAGTCGCGGGTCGAAAAAATTGAGCGGGCGTTCTGGCGGTTTGTCGGCTGCTTCGATGATTTCAATGCGACCCCCTCAGTCACAAGTTTGTATCCATGAAAAGACCATTCATCTCCAAATCCCGCCATCACTTCTTCGAGCGTAGCAATCTCAACGGAGGTCGTGCATACCAATGTAGGTACCCTCAATGGCGGCCTTGGGGGTACGGAAACCGAGACCGACATCCTTGTACCAGCGGCGGCCCTGGGCGGACTTCTTGGAGGAAGCCTTGGCCTTGGTGTTAAGGAAGATGTGAGGCTGCTTCTGGAAAGCGCGCTCCGACTGGACGGTCAACTCGGTGGCCATTTTTGCGGTGTTGTTCGACGAGGAAGCGGTGTCGAAGATAGGGCGGGTTGTCGGCTGTCGAAGATGAGGAAGATTCGACGTCGGGGAATCTTCGTTGTGCGGCGACTAGTCGGCTGGGCGACTAATCCCGATCGGGATTAGGGCATAGGGCTTTCAAAATTTGGTCGTCCAACTCACGTGACTGGATATTCAACCGCAAGTACTCCGTACAAAGAGAGCTTTATACATGGTAGGGATTAAAGAGCTCATATTGAAATAGCAAAACTCAAATTTTATTCAACTGCAGAGTCAGGATTGAGTAGTTACTCTAGCACATGCTTGTCTACTGGATATGAAGACCTCGGGAAGGAAAACAAAGTAAATCAGGATGGAGAAATATTTAGTGAGCCAAATCCTACTTCGCAAATACTTTGGATATTGCGAATGATTAGCATGAAGCTGTACTTTGTAAATTTGTACACTGAGTTAACTACGACATACTCCGGACGAAGTAGAGATCGATAGATAAGGTTGATTTTGCGATAAGCAAGTAGATAAAGTCGCGAAAGCCATCGCGCATACCTAGGTAGTCTACTCCCTGGAGGCTGTTCTGAAGTAGATGATTAGCATTCTGTAGCCACACAGATATGAGAAAAATAATATACTTTATTGAGTACGTTAACTCAGGTTACTGCGTTCATGCGGACTTGAGCAGCCCCACCTTTAGATTGATCATGTCACGGGACCTTTAGTCATCTCCGCGCTTTCTGTTTGTTTACATAGTTTGCAGAGCAACCCCAATTCGAACGCTTAATCATTGGCCAATGTTCGGATTGCTCTTTGATTGATCCCTATAGCATTCGGAGTATGGTCATGCGATTCAGATCGATTCACTGAATGCGCCGCACTCGCCTAACATGACAACTCGCGCCGACTCTGGGGCGTCCCGCCCGCGATCTCGCCGGTCTATCGCTCATGTCCCGCGGTCGAAGATGACGTCCGGCTTGGATAAGGAGAACTCAGCGGCGGATCTTAGAGGGACTCAACCGTTCGCAAATCCCTCGAAGTCAGCTATGAGAGACAAGAAATCTCGCAGCAAGAGTCTTGGACCCGGCGGGCTTGATGCGCTTCAAAGTTCGAACGGTAACCGCCGACAGGTAGCTATCACCAGACCCCTCCATGCGCACATGCGCACCATATCAGTAATATTGTCTGACTCTGCCTAGTCTACGGCTTCGTTTCCATTGAAATCAATTCTCAAGCCTACCGTCCCTGTCTCTCCTGTACGAAACATTCCATCGTTTGAGGAAACGCGCCGACGCACACCAGCTCGCAGTAACCAACCGAGTCACGATGGCGCAATGGACGGACAAGGAAACACAGACCAAGGAAAAGAGGGACTTCTGATCGACTTCGAAACAACCCCAAAGCCCCCCGCCGCAGCCAGTGGCATGGACGATAATGATGACACCGCGAATCCATTCGATACCTTCAATGCGACATCTGCCATTCGCGAAGAGATGGCGGCGACGAAGGAGCGTGATGAAAAAGAGCGCAAAGACCGCGAGCGTCAGAATATCCTAGAGAAACGAGAAGCACGACGAAAGTCCATGGGTTCGTCTTTGTTCTGCCCCATTGTATAATTTGATACTAACAACACCTCATGTAGCAAACCGTCGGGTATCGTTTGCCCCTGAGGCGACTTTACACACGTGGAATGTAGTGGAAATTCCCGACGATTCTACGGCATCATCGGCTGCCAACTCGACAAGACGTGCGTCTGCTGCCGCAAACCCTCCCAATCAACCCGCTCCCACTTCGCCCGAGAAAGAAGACCCTCCCTCACCAGTAGACTCTGATTTCAATTTCTCGCCTTTCCGCACTCAAGATTTGAACCAGGTGAGGGGAGACCATCAGGCATCCACGAGCGGTGATCACGACCAATCGCAAGAAATGTCCTCTAGTCCTTTCAGTGGCAGCTCAGTAGGAAGTGAAGATACTGGTGCACAGAGCATGGCCGGAGAAGAAGAAGAAGATGGGAATGATTCGGACTCGGATGATGGATTTGACGCCGAGAGCACCGCCATGAGTATGGATGATATGACCGGTCGATCAGGAGTCAGTGTTCAATCGGACGCAACTTCCAGCTCCAGCTCCAGCAGCAGACTAAATGAAGCCTTACGCCAGGCTGCGAAGGAAGCGGGAACAAAGGCCGATGAAGATGGAGAAATGTCAATGGAGATTGCAGACCAAGAGATCACTGGTGCCTTTCAGCCTTGGATTAAGAAGGGCGAAAGGAAAAGTTTCGATTGGGGGGATATCGGCGAAAAACATAACCAGGAGAACGTGGATCCAATGGAGTCCGCCAACGCCCCAGGAATGCCGGAATCCGATGATTTCGAAGAGGATGAAGACCTCAGCATGGATGTGACCAATGCTGTTGGACGCATCCTGGGAGGCCCCTCGGGCCATCGTCAGAGCATAGCTCGTCGCACATCTACGGCAGAGGAATCAGACTATGGTGATCAGACCATGGAGATGACAAATGTCGTGGGTGGTATCGCGCATGAGAACTCGCCATCAAAGTTCTCCGAGAATGACGATGAAGGGATGACAATGGAGTTCACCTCGGCTGTCGGCCAAATTCTGGGGAGCCACTCTTCTCATACTCCTAATCCCGATGATGGGGACAGTGACCAAGACAACTACTCTGAAGAAGGGATGGACATGGAGATCACCGGTGCCATTGGGGGCATCCTACAATCAGGAATCGAAGCCAAGGACAAAGTGCACGCGAAGATGGTCATGGAGCTCGAGACCGACTCGGGGCAACTGAACAGCTCGCCTTTCCAAGACAGAGTTCGAAAGTCTCCTGCCAAATCACCCGCCAAATCACCCGCCAAGTCACCATTGGCGTATCAAATTGGTGCCGTAGCATCTGAGACTGGCAGCCCTAGCTTGGAACCCGTACGAGCTAGATCCTCACGACGCAGTTCTACCAGGGGATCTTCGAGTACGCCCAAGTCAGTCCAACAACAACAATCTCCTCACAGTAAAACGTCGACTCCTCCGAAACAGTCTACACCTCAGCCAAAGCCAACTACGCCTAGCAAGACTCCTCCATCTAGCAATGTGTCGTTCCGATCTGCGTCGCCAAAGAAGCTGTTCAAGCCCGAGCTTCGAGAGTCAGCAAACAAGCGCAAGTCTCTACGTAAGAGTCTCTTCGAGCACAACGCAGCCACTGGAGAATCAACACCGATGTTCAAACTCCAACCCCCCGAGGGTCGCCGTTCATCTGGCCTTGGAATTGACAAAGAAGGCCTCGGATCTCCTCGTGTGGCAGCCTTGCTTGACAAACGCCAGTCTCTCGGTGAGAGTAGTCCTCAATTCGTTCCTCAAGAAAATCTCCAATCCGGTGTGCGCTTTGAAGACCCTATCCAAATGCAGGAAGAGGAAGAGCGTGATCGTGAGGAACTCGGAGAAGCTGGCCATTTACCAGCTGCGCCGACACTTAAGGATATGATCTCAAGTCTCAGCCCGAAGAAGACCAAGATCGGTAGCCGCAAGAGCCTGCACGTCGGGGCTGCTCGTGGTATTCTTGGTAAACGCCCTGCTGAACTAGACTCGGACGAAGATGATGCTGTGAGCTCCCCCAAGCGCCTGCGTGGCCATGATGTCAGCCCAGTCAAAGCTGTCAGGCTGCCGGCGCCGATGGCCAAGGATGGGAATGCCCGCCGGTCGATACTTTCACCTATCCGCAAAGCTGCTCCCTCATCACCTCTTAAAGGTAGCACGACACCTTCGCAAGAACCACTCAATGCCCCCAAGCCCTCAGCGAGCCCTCTCAAACATGGGCTTGATGCCCTCCACATTGCGTCTGATCCGCATCAGCCAGACGATGACGATGAAGCTGAAACCCCCGATGAAGAACCTGTATCAGAAGTTGAAGCAATCCAGCTTCAGGACTTCCTGAATATGACAAACATCCATTTCATGGAACTTACCACGACAAAGAGGCGACATACAACTGCTCCTGGGAGTGCGACTAAGAAACTGGTCCGAGCCTCAGGGGAGAATTTACCGAAACCAGGCTCTATCACATTCGATGATTGCGTGGCAGCCGGATTCTGCACCGTGCCAATGCTTGAGCTATACCAACATGTAAGTTTTGGCCGCTCCATATATCTCTGCACTTCTAACCATGTCAACAGTCATGCCGAGAGCTCAAATCATACATTTCCGAAGGTCGGCAGGTCATCCGTTCTATTGAAGTTGAGACGTTTGCCGAAAATCCGCCACTCTTCCAGGAGTACATAAATGCCCCTCCAGACATTCGGTTGATTATGGACAACCAGTTCCGAAATGTCAAGACACATGCTCGGTTGCTCAGCAAAGCCACTTGGTATGAATGGCGGATGAAGCTCCTGGAAGGACTCAAAGAAGGGCTCAACCGTCACGTAGAGGACATGAAGGCAGACGACGAGTTGCTCATCGAACGCGAGGAACTATTAAACGCCAATGTGCCCTCTCTAGTGGAGAGACATGCATCGCTTGAACAAGAAGCTACCACTCTTCAAGAATTGGTCGATGAGATGGAGAACTGTGACCAAGAGGAATTACGCAGTACGCGCGGAAAGTTATCTGAAGTCGACACTGAAATTGCAGCCAGGAGACAAGAACTTGAAATGTTGCAGGCAGAAGTCCAGGAGAAGACGGCCTCGATTGAGGCTGGAGCTGAAATGCGAGATGAGTTCCTGTCTCAAATCCAAGAGGCGGAACAACTGAAAGAGAAGTGTCGGGGCTGGAGTGCTCGGGAGATCAATGGGTTGAAAGGTGAGATTTTTCTGGTTTAAAATTGCCCGTGTGCAAGTTGCTGACTTGGAAACTAGCCTCGGTTCAGCAAATTGAGCGTCAAACTGGCTGGTCAATTATTTCAGCCTCAACCCCATCGGAGGCCCCTGATAGTCCGTTATTGAAGATGACTTATCGAGACCAACTCCAATTGGAGTTTTATCCTGGAGCTTTTGCCTCTAAGACTAGCGGCAAAGGCGACAGGAAAAACTCACCGATCGAACTGACCTCCCAAAAGAAATCAAACATCTCGCCCATTGCTTCTTTGGTACTGCAATCCCTGCAACGCTACTTAACCACGGTCCGGCAATCCGCCGTCGCAGCCAAACGGGTATTGGAGCTTATATCGAGCGCATGGGACCGTGCTGTCGGTCTGGAAAATGAAGCGCGTATGCTCGAATTCTGCGGCGTGACCCGTCTCACTCTATCAAAGCCCGAAGGTGGCTCTCTTTCTCTTCGCGCCCGATGCACACTCCTTGGAAATGCCAACACCGCAACACCGCGCCGCAAAAGTCTCTCAAAAGGCAACAATGCCAAGAGGATCGATGTCGATTTCATTGTTCGCACACGTATTGACCAGCCTGGTGATGATCACGATGTCGGTTCTCTGGATTTTGACATCGACGTTCTGGCAACAAAAGTGTATGGATTCGGAACTGGCAACCAGTCCGGTCTTTCCGACAAAGAACTGCAAAGCATTCTCGGTAAGGGGATTCGCCAAAAAGAAGGCAATCCTCAGCTAGGGAATGGTGTGTGGTGTGAGGCAGTTCGTTCACTCACAGCTTCTGTTTTCTAATTTTTGATATTTCTTTTAATGATTGTTTGGGGGGGTTGGGTCGGGTTGGGTCCAGGATAAATTTCGGGATGGATTTCAGGAAGGATTGATGGCGTAGGGAAATGGGATGAACCTACCTTGGATCAGGCGTTTCTATACCTCTTTTATCATCGCCATATCCATTAAATGAACACTTTGTTCAACTTGAAATTTCCTACTTTCGGTGATGGAAGGGTCTAGGACAGACATCTATTTCTTATATCACGGATGTGATTGTCCAGTCGGGGGATGTATTTCCACTGTGAATATGTGAAGAGAGAAGTTGTGCGCTAACATACAATCAGTAAAAGGCCCCGTCGGCCTGTCGCTCTAGAACAGCCCTAAAAACCCATTCGACCAAACTGAATCAGACCCATGATACCCGTCCCCTTGGCCCTCAGGCGCATATCCGAAACCCAGATCCTGGGCATCCAATCCGGTCCCATAAATCGTATTACCATCAACGGCAGGTGCACCGTTCATGAACGACTCAGCCGATAAAATCGGCATAGACGGATACGAATCAGATTGAGCGGGGTGGGCTTGGAAATTATGTTCAGGTGGGAAGAGGCCAGCAAACAGATTTCCGCTGTAGTCCCAACTGTCATCCATCGGGGTCTGGAAGAAGTTCGGTATCGGGGTGATACCGCTGTAGAGGTCTGGAGAATGAATTGCAGTGCTTGGGGTTGTTGCCGAGAAATCCTGGGATAGTTGCCACGCTGGAATCGGGGCTAGGAAGGCGGAGCTGGGTGCTTCGTTTCGGAACGATTGGTCTGTGCTTGGGGCTTGGCTTGAGCCTGGGCTAGAGGGCACCACATAGCCAGATGAATTGATGGGAGGGAAGCCTTCGAGAGAGTCGGGGATTCCAATGTTCATTTGTTTGGAATCTGGTGCCGGAGCGGAAGAGGTAGTGGGTGTCATTGTTCGGAGGTTTGTGGGTCGATGTTGTTTTGAGTGTTGAGCATTTCGTGTTCGGGGGTCGTGTTTTCTCTTCCCGGAGTTGTGTTCTGTGCCCTCGTGGTTGAAGGAAGGTGCCTTTCTCTGGTCTTTCTCTACGACAACTCTGGCAATTCGTTCCAGTGTGGCACTTATGCGAGTCATGAATCCGGCATAATTGTTTGACTGGCCGCCTGGAGTGAGGGTTGCGAAGAAGGTTGAGGCCATGTTGAGGGATTGAAGGTCTGCTCGAACCTGAGCATTTCGAGTATCCCGTAAGATGGTAGAGAAAATTGTCGTTGCTGCTAGGAAGATATAGTATAGCAGCGACCTAATTGTCGAATGATAAGAACCGGAATTATAAACTGTGAGTATGTATGAAACAATTTCACTTACCAGGTCCATGCAATGTCTCCCCATGGCATATTATTTATGAGTTTCAGAGTGTCGCGTGCAGCCTGTGCACCGATGGCTCCTGATTTCGCAGCATGTGCATTGCTGAGAGACTGAAGTTCATGTGGTTCGTCCCTGGCTGTTACAATGTAGTTAATAAAGAGGGGCACCCGATGTATCATGATCAATGCATTGTAATAGACAAAGTGCAGACCAAGAGAAGCAAACCCGAATAGAAAATCGCGTTCGTTGGTTTTCACTTTGTATTCGCTGGGAGCTGGACAGTCGCGGTTCCATTCTTCGAGTTCTGCGTGTAGCTCTTTGACAGTTTTGTAGATCTCAAGTGGTGGCCTCAGTAATGCTTTGGCGGAGTACAATCGGCTGTATATGCGACCTTTTATGACAGACATTCGACACATTTGGCGGAAAAATCTGATATCGGATTTAGGGGTGCCAAGCCTATCGCTTTCAATTTCTTCTGGCAGAGGGACATCGAAATCATCCGGGTGTTGAGAAGGAGCGTTTCCAATCCTTAAACAAGTACTTTTAGGTACATTAGCAGTGCCCCCGAGAGATCTATACGGGAAATATTGCACGAACCTTTGGTCGATGACAAAAGCAACCCAAAACACACGCCGTCTTTCTTCTTGTGTCTCTGGGCTAAGATCTGGTCTTTCGATGTCCCGATGGAGACCCATGCGTTGACCAGACCGCATAGCCGCAGTGATGAGTGGTAATGCTGACTGGGTACCAGAGTTTCCACGGAGAAAGAACGCCTGGTTGCAATCGTTAGAGCCTGGTATTTGTGCAAGTGGAGGAGACAAACCATGCTAATTAATGCCTGTATGCTCAGCAGATCGGTGCGCTTGAGTGCCAGCTCTGTGAAGACCGACATGGCGTTCTTGAAATATAACTCTGCCCTTTCCTTGTCCTTTTCTGACTTGTGACTGCTTGAATATCGGTATTCATAAGCCAAACAGACCACCATGTTGATACTAGCCCAACGTGCAGCATCATCACATGTCTGCTGCGTATATTGCCATTCGACCATTTTCATGAATGATGACTCGAGGTAAATGGGAAAGAGAAGATTGGCCGTCCGGAAGAAGTCCTTCATCAATGAAAACACCTCTGACCTGGACGGCAGGGGCTTGAAGACCTGCGAAGCGAAGAGGTCGTGAAATACATCGGGACGCCATTGGTTCCACGGGTTATCATGAATAGAATCCGGTGATACAACGCGCAAGAAACTGACATCTCCTGTTTTGCTTTTGATCCACTCTATCCCCGTGCGTGATAGGATTGATAGCGAGCAGGATTTTCCTGATTGCTGTGAGTTTCGGCTAATTTGAGATGTACTCGATATAACTTACCGAAATATCGTGAATCGTCTCTTTCATCCGCTCGAAAGATGGGAGTACCCTCTAGATCCCCACAGTGGGTAGCTAATGATGCTGCAAGTCTTGAGGGTGGACCTGACGGAGACGGGATATCACAATCAAGCGCGTCGTCTTCATAATTAGATAGGTCATCGTCACTGATATCATCTTCTTGCAAGATGCCAGCCGTTTTCAATAGTGACTCAATTTTGACAAGCCGCTCTTTCAAAGAATGGACATAATCATCGCCACTACCGTCGTATTAGCCATTTTTCGCCGCCTAGAGAGGAATGTGTCTGGACCTTTGCGAATCATCTCGCTTCTCTTTTCGCGCCGGAAGAACACAATGTGTACCGCGGCGTATACATTGTATACAGGCCGTACTAGACCCTTCAATCTCGCATTTGGTCTTTTTCCGATGGCACATCTCACAAGCCTGAACACCTCGATAAGCAACTGTTTCGCCGGAACTCACCGGAACATTCCGATGAGAGATAGGAAACAGAACCTACCCTGGAATGCTGTCCTCTCCAGCCCGAGTCCATGGCTAAATGTGTTTTAGGGAGGGGACAAGGCGTTAGAGCCGACGGATGGAGATCCGCCACTTGAGGTCATGCCAAGACCTCGGAAAATTCACCCAACGGTAATAGTGGTGAGAAACTAGTGGGAGATCTCTTTTCTTATTTCGATCTCGTTTGTTGGATATTAGGGCCCAAAAAATGTTAGGGGAGGAGGGGAGGGAAAAAAAAGCCCAGGTGCTTAACAATCGAAATGATTTGACTGATCGGGATGTCGGCACTCCCGGAGTCCGTTTCTTCTGGGGTACTTTGGTGGACCTGGGGAGGTCCCTGGATCTACAAAATGAACGTCTTGCAGGCATTTGGAAGACGTGAACACTGTAACTATTGTAAATATATCAATTGATTTTGATGCTCATGTCGATGTTGATACCAGAATTACCAATGTGTATGGAGTATGTAGGAATGTCCACGGGTCCATGCATGGGATGGCTCCTCATGACGATCAAGACTAGAATTCTTCTAGAACTTTAGAAGACACCTCCACAACTCCTAGCAGAGGTGAAGATAAGCTTAAATCGTGTGCAATGCATTTGCCCAAAACCTCTATACCACATCCGGACGATCGGGTCAATCTCGACAATCTCGACAAGTCTTTCAATAATCTCGACATATCGCGATATTGATAAGGACCCTGGAGCAGCCAGTCACACAGAGCTGACAAATGAAGCCCCCCAGCCCTAGAGAGAAAGCAGGAATACAAATAGAGGACATCGGCCAGTCTTTATGTGAGGCGGACGACCCTCTCCCTCTTACCCGTCCTAGCATGCCATCTGCTACGCCGTACAATGCAAATATTTTCTGTCGGAGCCACAAAGGCCTGCTTATGTCCAGACTGCCCGGAGCCCACATCTGTGCCTTGCCAGTTAGGGAAACAAGAAGAGAAGGGCCAAATCCGAAACCAAACGAAAGAACAAACAAAGAGCTTACGGCCGGGAGCAAAGGTTGACCTCCGCAAATCGGTCGGTGGAATCCAGACCAATCCTCCGGAGATGTGAGTACAAACCGGCGAAAAAAAAAACCACGGCAAATTTTCCGCCACGGATCGCAAAGGCGTCCGCCCTCTCATCAACGGCGAGCTTCCGACACGCGATCGAATATCGAGAAGGCTGCCCGAGGAGGTCCAAGCTGTCCGACGTCGAACCCATTGCCATTTCGGCGCAACTAGCATTACTGGGAAAGGCGTTGTTCAATGGACCAACCACATTGTCCAAGACGCCTGAAGGGTGCCACTTTGTCGATGGCGAAATCACCGGCGAGCCACTGACAAGCACGCAAGATGGCTGGAAACAAGCCCTAGCGTGGTGCTTTTGAGAGGCAGTGGATCTGCCCCCTGCGTTGGCGGCGCAGGCCAGTGAATTGAATATGAAGCTTCTCTTCAGATTGGCGCTGTGTCCATGCTTCTGCTGTACATTTGTGGTGCGACCGAAAGACACGAATACCCTCTCTATATTGTCGTTCTCCACAATGTGATATTGATCCTCGTACTGTCGGAGCTTCTGGCCATGACCATGAGAGACTTCTCTTGAGGACTGTGACTGCGTGTGACAGGTATGAGCTCTAGGGCGGTATCTCCGTCCCGGTGAGAAGACACGATGCTGCAATTTTGACTGAGTCGGGCAATTGCGGAGGATATACTGAGACCGAGTCAGCAGAGTTGATGAAGGTACAAGTTCAGACATCACGACATCGCCGGTATGTCATAGCTACGAGTACTCGTACTCGTGCCAAGGGCTCTCACAATATGAACGAGGTCCGCGTCACGGTGGGGAACCTCGGATGTTTTGGAATCCAAATTTACAGTTAACCTACGCGGGTTTTACCGACCATTACGTGCCCACCGGGCGGTAACGGTCCAAGCGCCAGGCATTTAAGGTCCGTTCAAAGTTACCGGAATGGTATAATACAGGTAAGTGGGGAGACATCCTAACAGTCGTATTATTCCCCTTTCTCCATTCTTCACCCTCCTCTCTTGGCCATTTCGCAAGTATATCCTATACATCTCACGGTGAAATCAAATATCTCATTTTCTGCATCCATCTTCTTCCGTACTTTCTACTTCTCAGACATACTCTTTACTCTCAATAACCATCCTCGGGTGGGCGGTCAGGCTCTATTCCGACGGACGAACCAGAGGTCGCGATCACGACATAACTCCATTCTATCAGATCATCGACTAGGGCCATCTCTGCCCACTCCCGCTGCAAGCCTTCACTCTCTTTGCCTCCCCTTTTCCCACCACTTTCAATTACTCCCGAGATTCTCATTCGTCCTACACCCGTCTATTCCAAGTGGGCCGCGGCATGCGATGATGAAGTAGTGTTCTTTTGTGGTGATCGTGGCCGAGAACTCAACTTTCGAAGCCTTTTCTTCCATACGCCGTCCGGCTCTTATATTTCTTTTCTTTTTTTTTTGCCCTTTTTCTTTTTCTCTTTTGGCTGTCGTGTTGCCTCTTTGGTCATCGTCGACATTTGGCCCCGTTTCCTGGTTTTTATTTATTGAATCCCATTTATCTGTATCCTGATTGCTGCAATTCGAAGACTCTCATCTGGGGTTTCCGTGGTCAAGAGAACAAACCCCTCTCCCGCTCACATAACCCTAAATCAGCAGGGGGCGGAACTCTTGTTTTCTATTTTCTCTTCCTCTCCTACTTCAACATGCCTGGAGAACCGCCAGTATCGGGTCCTGGCTTTGATAAACTCGAAAACTTCAATTTTCTGATGTCGCGCCACGATCCCGCAGCCAAGGCTCGACAGTACTCATTTGACGCTGATACCGGGCTGGCCCCGTTTGGCAACGTGAGCATGGATTATGATCAAACCGAGGGCATGGGCGGCTTGTCGGTCAGCTCCTACGACAGTATAGATGACGACCGCACCTCTCTGGACCTCCGAGGGTATCCCTATCATGGTACGTGTCAAGCTTCGATTTCTTAATTTCTCGCTTTGTCCAACCGTTGCATTCGTTACGCCATCGCCCTGCATGTTTCGTTTTCAGCCTGCACTCAGTTTTGAGCATTGGCGAAAAAGGTTGATCCATCTTGCACCGAACCCCTGCCCTTTTTTTTTATTGGGTTTGGTGACAACAAATCCTGAGATGTGATACATTCCACCCTTCTACCCAATTCCCTGGAGTATTTCCTCTTTTATACTTTTTATTTTATAAAAAGAAAAATGCTCGCTGCACAGGGCGGTGGTCGATCGATTTGTGAGATCGCCGTCGGTGCTCCTAAACCAATTAGCGAGCACGCAATCCCGCATCCATATGGCTAACCAAGACGCCATCACTGCCCTGCTGACCCTTGGCTTAAACATCCCCCAAACTCCCTTCATATTGTGAAGAAATGATTTGCATTCCCCGCTTGGGGCTCTTTCCTACGGGACGCTTACACCACCAGGTCCGGAGAAATCCATCAACTATACCATCCCAGAACACATGATGCCCTACTCAGCTCACTCCATCTACCCGCCAGTGCCATATGCGCCCGACGAGCTCGGCCATGCACCCGGCGCTCTCACCCCATCCGATGTCTCTTCGTCCATCTCCCCGCCAAACGGCCAGATGGGCAACACGAAATACAGCACCTCCATCTCCGGCGACCGCATCGCCGCTGCCCTCGATCAAGAGGAGGGCGTCCGCGGTGCTGCCGAAGAAGACCGCCGTCGCCGTAACACGGCCGCCAGCGCGCGCTTCCGCATGAAGAAGAAGCAGCGTGAGCAGATCCTCGAACGCACCGTCCGGGAGACGACAGAGAAGAATGCTTCGCTGGAAGCCCGCGTCGCCCAGCTTGAAATGGAAAATCGTTGGTTAAAGAACCTCCTGACCGAGAAACACGACGCCGGTTCTACTCGCATGCCGGCTCCGCCAAAAGATAGCTCTGCCCTCGAACCCAAAGGCAGCGGTCCCACGCTGAGACAAAAACATATTCAGCCCAAGAAAAAGGGTGTTGGCACTGATGAGTGAAAGCAAAATGAAAGTCCTGATTTTGTTCTTTTGCATTGCCTCTGCCTGTCACCTTCGGTTTCCTGTGCCTTTGTCTTTGTCTTTGTATCACCTCAGCCGCGGTCCTTTTCTCTCTCGGGCGTTCGCTCCACTGCGTTATTGATTTTCTTCAATCTTTACTATTTTTTGTTGACCCTCCCTCCCTGTTACACCCAAAGGTCTGGGAGGGAGACACAGATGACGATGTCACGACCCTTCTCTTCTTCTTGTTAGCGCGGCTCCGACCATGCCTGCTCTGATTTCTAGGGATGGTCTTTGCACCACAGATCTGGCACTTTCGTTCTTGTTCTTTTGATGTGTGACTCTCTACTCTCAACCTCTTCTTGGGCCCTCTATTACTCCCTCAAGCCCAGCCTCTTACCTCTCCACACCCTTATACTCCTTTTTTACCTCTCCCTTTTATATCAGATCGTGTGCTGTGAAGGCTTGTTCTACTTTACTCTATTTGGGCCGACTTCGAATCTCAATTCGAACCCGGTTCAAAGGTGGTTTGGAGGTGTTGTGGAATGACTCGGGGAAGTCGAATTTGCTTATTTTTGATTCTTATATCTGATGCGATGGGATCTGCTTTTTTGTTCACCCTTTGCTACCTGTTCGGGTCGAACCACGCAATATAAACCGGTGTTTTTTTGTCTTTTGCCATTGAATCTCTCACGTTATCGTACTTTTTTTCCACGACCATTCCAGATAGATTGTAGTGTCTCAGATGCAATATGATCGACCGATGGCGTATTCCAGGGTCGGACATCTGGCGTGCTCTCGTGGGTCGATTGGCTCATTGGGATCAACTGCTATTGGGCCGAATGACGTAGGCTGTGGGTTGCCTATCCGGGGTAAGTTGGGGTAGGTCCACGGCACTCGGACTTTGTACAGGAACTGGTTCAAGCTTAGGTATCTTGTTGTCTTACGATACATTCAATTAGGGCTCATCTTACCTGTCTGAAAGCCACTTCTTTCCAATTTTATGCTGGGAGTGCTGCTTTAGGGATTCAGACCCGCATTGTAGCTACTTAAGTAGCTTCACTTCCATTCTCTCTCTTGATACCATGGGCTTCCTTCCTCTTCCTAACCACAAGCTCTAGCATAGTACTCCGTAGTATCATATGGATATCTCTGATGCCGCTTGACACAGAAGGAACTTTTTCTTGGCCCTGTCCCATAAACTTCTATCTTGTTTAGCCACAAATCAATCCAATCCTCTTCACAAAGCTCTCAAAAAGTGCTGTCAGTTGTTAGTTATGATTATCTTGATGATAACATTGTTCTCCGGAATTACTTAAGTACTCGTTGGCCATGAGCGAACTTTGGGTTCATGTCCGAGATATAGCAATCTCCCATCATGGACAATTTGATTCGAGGCTTGCCCAGATGTTTAATTGGACTTAGCTTCAACTTGTTTGATAGGGAGCAGATCCGACATACTGGGTGAGTTTGTATTTAAGTAGGTGGCCGAGTGTGGGAAAAGAAGCAAGAGACTTCAGGACGTAAAAGATGCAAACAGATGCATAGTTATCGAGCGGTTAATCGATTCTTCTGTGGATATATACTTGGCTATCCAGAATCCATGGATGTACATGGATATTGCTCAAGTGACACAGGCTCAAGGGGAGATGATCAGATTATAAGGGTTTGCCTCAAATAGGTTAGACTACGAACTGGCCCAGGCCATAGTTAGGTACTTGTACTGACACAGATCTCTGCAGAAATTCAATCCATTAGAACACCTAGTTAATTACCCTCATCCATTTCCTTCCAAGCAGGGACAAACAAAACAGAAACTGACCAAAACAATCGAACGTAAGATGGTATTACATTGATTAGGGGAAAAGAAGAGAAAAGAAAAGCAACACAGATCGGAGATCGCCCCTATCGCGCGGCATCTCCATGCTCCGGGGAAACTCCACTTGAACCAGAGAAAGAAAAGTGGACTTCTCCAATCCTGAGATCACAGTGGAGGATCCTTCGTGTGGAGAAGGTCGAGGAAAGCACATGTGTCGGAAATGCGAGTCGTGGAATACTCAAAAAGAAGAAGAAACTTAACAAATAAAAAATAGTGGGAAGGTGAGCCCTGCCCCACAGGATATCCAGCCGTCAGATTCGTGAAAGGTTGATTTGAGAGTTTTTTTTGGCTTTTGTTTCTTTCCTTCTCTGGTATGAACGTTCATTTATGCGGCAATGGGCTCACGCTCTTCCTCGCGGCCTCGGATTTCGCCGTCAATGGTGCTAACACCATCCTCGCCGTCCTCATAGTTGGGGTGCTGGTCAGCTGGGAGCCAAGAGTCACGGTCACCGGGCAGGGGCTGGTCCTGGCCGGAGAGATCGACACCCTCGCGGTTCTTGCTCACGTTGGAGCGGTGGCGCTGCGAGAGAGTGCGAGAGCGGGTGGACAGGCTGGACTTGACAACTGCCTTGGAAGACACCCAGTTGCTCAGGGCATCCTCGCAGTCCTGAATGATGGCCTTGGAAGCGTCGTAACCATCATAGGCGTGGCGAGTCTCACCGGGGGTGACGGGGGTATCGTCGATGAGGTCGAGGAGGTGCTTTCCGTAGCCAGCGACGATGGCGACCTTCTCGCAGTGCTCGCGGAGAGCATCGAACTGGTACTGGAAAGCGGCCTTGACCTTCTCACGGGTGATGTTTGACAGTTGCGCCTCGGCAACGAGAGACTCGGCCTCCGCGCGGACGAGCTCTTGCTCCAAAACGACAATACGGGGGGAGTTGGGGTCCTTGTACTTGAGCTTGGCGATTTCATCGGTAATTTTCTGCTTGCCTGTGGGGCGTAGATGCATTAGCACGAGGAATCACAGAGACCAACACGGGGATGGGACGTACGGTCGCGGCTGGGCTGAACAGATGCCTCGATGTTGCGAATGCTCTTGATGGTGACACGGTACTGATCGTAACGGTCGACAAAGAGATCCTCAAGCTCGCCAATCTCGTAGATCAGCACACCGAGCTTGTCCGTCACATCCGACACATCCTCATCACAGGCTTCACCCCAGATAGACAATTGTTGCTACAACCCCGTTAGCGTTCGATCCACACATGCGACGCGACTTGGTATGTTCATACAGCGACTTCCATGCGCTCCCGGGCGACGAGTTCCATGCTGCGCATAACATTCTTCTCCATCTTCACAAGCTGCGACAGTTTCTTGGCAAGGTCGGGGCCGAAGGCGCCTGCGGCGTTCTTACGGAAGGCATGTCCTGGTTGTAGTCAGTAAATCAATTCTGATTCACGACGATCACTTCCGACGATAGGAGATCTTCGTTGCGGCCACTGCCGTTCCCCCAGACGTGGGATGGTGGAGGGCGGAGGGCGGATAGCGGCCCAATCAGGCAACCTCGAACCATCGAAAGCTCAATCGACAACAATCGCATCGCAATAACACTCACCAATGCCTCCCTTGCCCAGCCATCTTCCGCTCTTGGTCGTTGACAGAGGTGGAGGTGGGCTCTCGATCTGCGAGGCGGTCGGGGCGCGCGACTGGCGCATGGAATAGGTGCGATGCATGACGAGTGGAATAGGGGTAGAAACACAGTAGAGAGAGTGGGAGAGAGATAGATGGAGAGATGAGCAAAGGTAGAAGCAAGATCAAAATGTTCCTGCAGGAAAGAAATTAACCAAAAGGTTTAGTGCCTTGCGCAGTAGTGACGTGGGATTAAAAAAAAAAAGAGGGGGCAGATCTTTTTTTTTTCCACAGTGAACGGGATGCGACGGAAGAAATGAATGCAACCGGATCGACACAGGGGTCAAGATATATGGGGCAATGACAGATGTGCAGAGGCTGCTTTTTGGGTTGAAGGTTCTCCTGATCGGGGAAGCTTTCGGGAGGTGACGTCGACAATTTCTGCCCAGCAACGAACCCGATCAACAGGGCCAAGGGGAGCAATTGGTGGAGCAAGGGCTAGGAAAAGACAAGCACCACACGAGGAGTAAGACCAGTAGGCTCAGTCACTAGCCTCCTTTAGAGCCAATAGTGTCGATCTCATCGAGTTGCATTTCGTTTCGAGTCTTCACGATCGCCGACGTCATATGATGTCATCCGTTGAGTCCGTCAAACTCTAAGGTGCCATCGACGTTGCAGCTGAACTGGATTTTTCAATGGATCTGGGATTGGAGAAAATTGGAAAATCTGGGAACTTAGGAAGAAAAAAAGGGGAACAAGAGGGGAACAAAAGGGGAGTTGGAGGGATTGGGCAATTTCCAAGGCGGAGGGGTTTAAGGTTGTGCCTGTGTCCAGAATATCTACAGAGTAAGGAATATAGAGTGTAAGTAGAGCAATACATACAGATTTCAGATTCTATAGATATCCTTAATTTACATAAGCTCGTGTGGATTCTGCAGTTCCCACAGTTCCACTGATCGCTATGGGGAATCTGTGCCATCGTTCGATTTTCCCTCTAGAACACTCTTAGCGTATGCGGTCCCTTTCCCGGGGCCATGGGTCTCATCAAATGCTTTGCTTGGTATTGCTAGTGATTCAAACCCAGATACCCCGTACATAATAATTAGTTTGGACGCGCTAGGAATCATGCGACTCTGTGCGACGTGTCTTTCTTTTCTTGCTCGTGCTGGCCTTGGTGGATGCGGCTCGTTTGGCCTTCCGTGGACCAGGAGCCTCTGCCTCAACTTCCTCAGTCGCGTCATCGCCTGTTGAACCTTCGCCAGTCTGAGCCTCTTCCCGCAGTCGATTGAAGGCCTGCTCCATGCGACTCGGTCCGCCGCCACGAGCTCGAGGCGCGAACGCACCCGCCCCCTGGGGGCCCTGCATGAATTGTGTGATGTTTGACTGCGTGCCCTCCTGGCCGCGTCGATTCATATCCCGAATAACGGGGACCAAGACTTCGTCTGTGCGCTCTTGGCTCCAGCCAATCGTCGCCATGAGGAAGTTGCGGAGCCCATTGAGATCAGGAACACCCCACTGGAATTGAGAAGGATCGTGGTCCACTTCTGGCTCTAGGTACGCGTCGTCAACACGGGTGTCAGGGAACGAGGGCGGCAGGAATATCTTGGATGCCTTCTTGCGAAATTTCTTTCGAAACGCCAAGTGAATGTCGTCTGGATCGTTGGCGCCCATTTGCACCTTCGCCCACCAATCGCGAAACTCTTCCAGATTGGAAAATTCCGTCACAATTTCCAGGGCAGTGACAGGGCCAATACCCGGAATACCTTCTGTATAATCGCTGCCCAAGAGATGAGCAAAACTGATCAGCTTTTCTCGATGAAGGGCGTATTCTTTCTCGAGGTCTGATGTCAAGTAGCACTCGACAAATTTGCTTTGATTGAACATGTTCTTGTAAACTCGAGTTCCTCCAAAGAGGAAGATATCACTGTCGTCTGTAACGATCCCGTCCACAAGACCGAGCGAGACCAACTTGGCACATTGCGCTTCAGCTTCCATAGGGGCGGTGATGTACGGTAGTCCAAAAAGAGTCAACAATTGCTGACACTCATTGATCATGATAGTAGTCACTTCATCGGCATCGCGGCGCTCATTTCGTTGCTGGTTTCGCAGTTGCTTCAACTCTTGCTCATAGTCAAAGACTTCTTGACCAGAAACGGAATTAAGGGTATTGGCGAATCGCGCATGCTCTTCGCCTTCCGCTGCGAGTTGCTTAAAAAGATCCTCATCTTCCGGATCGCTGTAGTCGGCTTGTTCCTGCATGAAAGCTTCAGGCTGCTCCACCTCTTCGAAAACCTGGGCCTGGGGCTGGGCTTTCTCTTGGTGGGAGACCACAGTAATCTCCGGTCCTTGAGCAGGGGGCTCGGGAACCACATCTTCAAATTCAGGCGAGGCAGACTTCTCACTGCGCGGAGACTGCGTATTGAAGAGAACCGCTGGGTCTTCTGCCGGCTTTGCCGGTGACTCTGACAATGTTTTGGGCGGGGTGAAATCATTTTGCGTCGGTTCGCTTGGAGGCTCCTCGGATACCTTATTGGCGATTTCACTGTAAACCTTTTCTATATCTCTGACACTTGGAGACTGCCCGGGGATGTTGTCTTTTGTTTCGGATTTCTTTTCCTCGTCTTCCTCTTTCGCTTCTTCATTCTCTAGATCCACAATCTCCTTTGTGTCAGATAACCCATCGACATCAATGACATCCGGCGAGCGACGGTTGAACAGAAATTGGTGATCTGGCGTTGTCGGTTGATCATCCGCATCAGGGCCTTGGACTCGATCGGTGATAAACTCTGTATTGGAACGGTCACCAACGAACCATGGGGGAAGTGGGTCTTGTTGCGGTTTCTTCGATGCAGGCTCTTTCAAAAAGCCACCTGCATTTTCGTCTATCTCGTGATTTTTGGTATTATCATGCCTGACTTTGGAAAGCTTGATGGATTCAAAGGGAAGAGGGCCACTAAATGCACTGGGGCGTTGCGATGGCTTCTTTGAAACTTTCGTTTTGGCCACAGCTGCAGCAAAGTCCATCCCATCATCGCTCTCGGAGTCAGGGTCTGGCATAGTTTGGTGAGATGGTGCTGGCTCAACTGGTCGGTTCAAAGGAATTTCCGGCATTTCTTCATCGATTTGATCTGGATCTGGCTGCAATGAAAGGGCAATGGCTCGTTCGAGGTCATCATCGTCGCCGTCGAAATATTCATCGGTGTCGTTGTTCTGCTGTTGTGCGCCAATATTGCCCTCGGCTTCAACAAAAAGAGAATCATCTTCAACCTGTGGTTCGGTTTGATGAATCGCTGGCCGATGCTGTGCATATTGGCGTGATTCTTGTATGGCTCTTCTCATATCATCACCTTCGTCTTCATGCAACCGAAGCGATTGATCAAAAGCACCGTCTCGGAGAAAGGGAAGTTTCGGAAGTCGGTTTAACCCTTCGATCGGAACGTCTTCAAAGACATCCTCGTCCGAAACCTCGTCATCCTCAGACAGGACTTCAGGTCGATCCAAATCGATGGGTCTTTCTTCCTGGCCTTCCTTATTTCCCACAACTCCGAGGACCCACCCACCCTCGTGTTCGCGGTCCTTGACAAGCACATATTCCCTGCCGCGTTCTCCTGCAATGCGCTGCCCGGAGTTGTAGAATGCGTCCTCCCCATTCATGCCATTGATATTCATTAGCCGTTGTGTCAGGTCATTGCGTTCCGCAACCCGATCAATTTGAAACTTCGAAAATGCCATGCGGTCTGGAAACATAGTGTCCAGTTGCTCTTTTGAGTATCCCATTCGGAGTCGGCTTCGTAGCCTTGCCGCGTTCAAAATGTTGTATCGATCGGTGGCTGGCAGACTGAGGAAAAACGGGCTGTCGAAGTCGATCTTGGAAAAATCGTACAGATTGATATCCTGACCCTGGTGGAATTGACGGGCGTACTCCTCCAACTCTTCCTGGGACATGATACGTGGGTCATTTGGCGCACCCATTTCTTGGAGCGAGACATCCAGATTTGGTAAATGGTAGGCATCCTTCTTTTTGAACTTTCGGTTTTGCTGTTTTTCCTTTTCTGTCATGAGGGCCTCATCTGCATAGACTGGAACATCGGGAACTTCTTCCTCTTCCAGATTTGATCTTGCATTGCGTCGACGGGTTTCCTCCTCTTCCGCGCTGCGTTGCATCTGTACCGCCAACAGCTTTCCAGCGGTTCTCGCTGCATCTTCTCGGTGACCTTCTCGTCTCTTCTTTCTTCCAGCAATCGTTTGTCTTTTCATAACAGGTGCCCCGCCATCAAAGACGAATACGGGCTTGATGCCGAAATAGAGGAGCTTGCATATCCTACGAAAGAACCCAACAACATGGGAGTTTCGAAGTGCATTACCCTCTTTGTCTCGTACCGCCTTCAAGAACTGATAGATCCAGATCGACGCGTCGACCGCGAGGCGCCGTTTGTTGAGAGTTTCGAGCTTGATGGGGCGAGCGCAAGGCTGCACGACCGTCCAAAGACCGGTAACACCCATCACGAGTCAGAATAAAGATCAGATCATGAAGTGAAATTGAAAAGGTGCCGCATGGTACAATTTCAACACGCAGGGGGTTCCATATGGTGAAACAGGACCTCGCGAAAACCAACCGGTGACGTGAGGGTCAGCGTCATATCCCGCGCCAATCCACACACGAGATCACGTGCACAATAATACCCTTCTTGGATTAGCGTGGCTTACATAATCACATTCATCGAAAAAGAAGTGGGCTTTTCTTGGAGTCTGGTGGGATGTATATTGTGTCCGAAGCAATTCAGAGCTTATAATTCTTGCTCATGTTAGTAGGGGTCAGCAATGCATCTCTCACTTGAGGTCAGTGCTCGATAAAGCGCGTAGCCTTGATGTTGTCACACTGACTCAAAATACAGCACATTGATGCTTGTCTGCCGATATCAGCATTAAAGGTGTTTACTTGGGGCGAGAAGCAATTCATCTTCCAAGGCCAAGGAACACTCTTTCGGGTGGTCAATTCTACCACCGGTGTGGTGTCAACTCAACTACAGGCATTCAAAAGAAACCATGTTCATGGGTTCATTTCTCTAAACCATCCACAAGATGACACAAGCACTGTGCAGATACTCGTCTGGGGTGGTCGTTCGGTACGAGTCATCGATCTTTGTCTAAATTCCAGTGGAAATCCAGTCCTATCCATACCCAGTGCTGAATATAATGCCCCGGATTGGATCATGAGTGGATGTGCTGCTGCTGCAACTGGCCATCGTGGGGGTTTTTTGATCACTGCAAACAATGCACTTCTGAGCCTTGAAGTGGCTGACAGTGACCTGACTGAAAAAAGGACGGCTATATCCATATATCAGCTGGCCACCTCTGTCAAGTCCATCCTCTATTCCGCCGATGTGATTGCGCTGTCTGCCTCACACGTCCTCATGGCTGCCGGTACCGTCTTTGGAGAAATCATCGTATGGTCATGCTTCTTGAGCAACGATGGTATGCACAAATCCAATGCAGTTGGCTCCATCCATCATTTCTTTACGGGGCATGAGGGGTCAATCTTCAATGTCCGTATCTCCCCTCAAATTTCGTCACTGAACCCAGACCGGCCTGGCCGATTCCTGGCCAGTTGTAGTGACGATCGAACGGTCCGAATCTGGGATATTTCAGACTGCGAACACAAAACAGCGCAAGATCCCTCTGCATACTCGACGGACGGCTACGATCTGCGAAGCACAGGATTTGGCCCTGTTGGGGCAGGGGAGCAAACCGTCGGATCCGAGTCGTGTGTGGTTCAAGCATTTGGCCACGCGGCTCGCATTTGGGGTGTCTATTTCAGATCCATCACAAACAAAGATCAAACCCATATGGGCTTGGTATCTCGCGGAGAAGATTGCACATGTGTCTTGTGGAATTTGAGCTGGCAAGCATCATCAGATGGCCCAATTGAGTACCAACTCACGGAGGCCTCTTCGATACAACCGCATATCGGTAAACATATCTGGTCCTTGGATCTCCACAGACTTGGCTCTGAAACTGTGGTTTATACGGGGGGTGCCGATGGTGCACTAAAGCGTTTCTCTGTCAAGGAAAATGATGATACCCAACTGCCCGTCTGTCCTCCTCCTGTGCCAGAACAGCCGGGATTTCAGAGGAAGAGGAAGCAGCCCACAGTTGATAGAGCGAGGGCGTTTGCATTTGTCTTGCCGAGCTGTCTTCTCTGCATCTCGACACATGGTCAGATACAACTTGGACACATGAATCAAACAAATGGATCAACGACTACATGGGAGGTACTACGCGAGGTACCTGATCTTGGCTCTTTCGCTGTGGTCACTGGCCTTCCTCGGAAAGGTCTGGCATTAATTGGCCATTCCAGGGGATTGATCCAACTCTACGACCATGCTGCCAGATCATTTACCGACGTTGCCAGTATCGGTACACGGCCTCTTGGGCTATTCTTCCTCCAAACCGACTACGATTTCGCCCAATCCTCAAATTCGACCAAGCAAATCACTTTCCTTGTCTGCTATCCCACAAAAGAGGAGGTAACGCTCGTCACGGTCTCCGATTGGGACAGCAACAGCCTAAAGACCAAAGCTGTTACTTTTAGCCTGCCATCTACATTTGTGGTGTGCAGTGCAGCATTCATCTTCGAGGGACAGTATTTGATGATTGGCTCAAAAACAGGCGGACTGGCCGTTTACCAAACACCGAAAGACGATCAAATCTCCGAGCCGATATTGCTTGATCGACGTATTCATGGCAAAGAATTTGTCAATCACATTCACACGGTATCATCACAGAGTGGCAGAAATGGCACGCAATCGGAATTCGTGCTGACATGTGGTCGCGATGGAACTTACTGCCTCCACGAAATGCGGCTCAGTGGAGAAGATGCCAATCCTCTTTCTATGGAGATAGTGCATCGCACAGCATCTATGATCGGGGGAAATATTGAAGGTGCCTACGTGGATGAGCCATCGGGTGACTTTATGCTATACGGGTTTAGGTCCCAGGAATGGGTCCTGCGCAACGAGTCAAAATTGACGGACATCATAAACATTGCCTCTGGCGGGTTCCGTCGAGACTGGGCATTTTCTCCGGGGTCGAAAGACGAGGATGCGTGCTTCGTGTGGAGGGATGATGCTTCTCTGGTAGTAACTCATATACAACCTGATGCTAGTCACTTGCTTCGGGCTGGTGCTCACGGCCGAGAACTCAAAGCGGTTGATGTGTTTAGCGCTCCTGAAGGAGGCCGATCGCTTATTGCCACAGGCGCAGAGGACACCACCGTCCGCTTGTTCGCGCCAACCTCCCCGGCGTCTGCTAGTCCTTGGGGCGCATTTGAGTGCATGCGTGTCTTGGATACACATAAGTCTGGAATTCAACAAGTCAGTTGGTCCAAGGATGGAAAATATTTGTTCACCAGTGCCGCATTTGAAGAGTTCTTTGTGTGGAGAGTACGCACCGTTCCTTCATTTGGCATTGCAACGAATCTCTTGGCTGCTAGTCCCAAAGATGACCCAAGCTCAGATCTCCGGATCTTGAGCTTTGATCTCCTGGAAGTCAAAGAGGTTGACGGAAGCCAAGGATTCCTCTTGTGTCTCGCCCTTTCAAACTCTATCATTAAAGTAAGCATATTCTCGCCCAGCAAGAAACACAGCAGATGCTAACCCGTTCCTAGATCTTCCACTTCTCGCCGTCTGGATGTCAATTCAATCTTCTGGCCCGCGGGACATACATGACGAACTGTTTGACCCAAGCCCACTTTTTGGTGACTGGCTCGTCTGTGAATCTCATCACCGCAGCCACCGACGGGTTTTTCACTTTCTGGGATCTGACCAAGACACTTGAATCTTTCTACATAATCACCGACTCATTTTTGAAGGCCAAAAATGCATTCAACGGCACCTCTGCCCCGGCAGATGATATCACATGCGAAGGTCGATACCAGATTCACTCCAACAGCATCAAAGGAATGGAACTGGTTTCCTTGTCCAGCACTGCTACTGTCATTATAGCTGGAGGTGACGATAACTCTTTTTCTGTTTCTCTTCTACGGACACAGTCAGCGACTACCGGTACAAGTGCGGATGTTGCCACCGTTTCCATTCCGGATGCTCACGCTGCGGCTGTTACAACAGTCAAGGTACTCAGTCAAAAAATCATCCGTGATGCAGCTTCAAGTGCAGAATCCACCAAAATTACTGTGGCGTCCTCAGGCAATGATCATCGAGTCAAGATTTGGTCAGTCGTCGTGGACGCGACACAGCCTGACACCCAGGGTATCAATGTGGAATTTGTACTCGATAGTTACAGCGCTGTGGCAGATATATCCTCACTGGGCCTTGTTAACAACAAGCAGTGCTTTAGGACATCCGCTGATCACGATGTAGCTGAGTCCCAAACTAGCCAGGCACAGTTGGTAGTATGTGGTGTCGGTATGGAGATGTTTGGTGTCAACTCCTAACAAACCCGCCCAATACGATGATGATGATGGAATGTTTAATGTACCTAAATTCCTTTCCCCCCGGAAATGCATATATGAGCCCATGCAAATACCTACATAGACACTCGTTAGCAGAACCCTGCTGCAAGGCCATATATCCGTGTCCAAACCGACAAGGCCCTCTCCGCAAAGCAGCATCCCCATGAAACCGGACAAATTTACACAACGAAATATTCGATGCAGTGAACCCCGCCTGAAACCCCGCTGAATCGGAGTTATTATCCCAATCACAGTCACAAATCCGCAGCCTCAACTTCTGACGGTGCAGTCATTTCTTGCCAAATGTATTAAATGTGGATCCAGGGCCGCGAGTCGGAGCCATACACCGATTTAGAAGAAGATTATCGGCATGAAACTCTGCTTTTAGCCCCACTGTTGCAGGCAAGCTCCTTTGGTTGAGTCTGCTTCTCTCTGATATGTGGTGTGAGATGCCAAACAGGAGTGAAATGAAGGGGCGAGTATAAAAGGAAAGAGCTCAGGGCAATAGACTAACGACGTACCCCAAAACTTACTTCTTCAGAGGTTAGACCTTGGAAGTTCTAAAGTTCCTCTCGACTTCAGGAGCATTCCATTTTTCGCTTTATATCACCATGAAATATATTATCAACCTCATTGCTGGCTTTGGTGTTGTCGCTGCGGTGCCACTACAGCACCGCGCCACGACAACATATCTTTTTACATTGTTAGAGGCTGTTCTGCTACCCACTCACTTCAGGCACTATGCTGACTCGAATTGACAGTGGTGATTCTTATACCCAAACCAACTTTAATGTAAATGGCACACAGCCGTCTGCCGTGAACCCTATGGGAAACCCAACGCTTGGTAAGTATGATCCAAAGACACTCAATTTGGTTGACTTTCACCGGAGATGCTAAGTCTACGACATACAGGAACTGGTACGACTGGCGGAGGCATCAATTGGGTAGGAGACCTAGCTACTGTGAACAATGCTTCGCTGGTCCTCAGCTATAACCTCGCAGTTGGAGGAGCGAGCATCGACAATTCGATCGTCAATACCAACGTCGAGGATATGACATCTCAAGTCGGTGATTTTGAGCAGGCGTACAGTAACAAACCCGCATCTGCACCTTGGTCTTCGGAAAGCGCGGTATTTGGGTTTTGGATTGGAATAAATGAGTATTTCCCCTTGGACCCCTACTTCTGACCGTTTCGCTAATGCCTCAACTCACAGTATTGGCTGGGCTTATTCGAGTAACCAAGCCAATGTTCTAGTTCCAACCTTAATGGCGCAGTATAAAGCTCTCATTGAGAAGATCTACGCAAACGGGGGACGGAAGTTCCTTTTCCTCAATGTCCCTCCTACTAGCCGGGCTCCCTTGTTTCTCGACCAGGGAACAGATGTTGTTAATGCGCATGCAGCATGGGTCACCTCATACAACAATGGTCTCAAGGAAATGATCGATAGCTTCAAATCAAACCATTCCGATGTACGCAACATTCCTTTTGTTTACATCATCGCTTGACTGACACCATCTAGACCACTACAGTTCTCTACGACACCTGGTCATTTATGACAAAGGTTCTCGACAATCCTCAAAGTTATGGGTTCCCCAACGCGACTTGTATCAATGATGATGGCACTAGCTGTGTTTGGTGGAATGATTATCACCCAGGTCAGAAGTATCACAAACTACAGGCGGCAGATATGAAACCACACCTGCAGACTCTTGGGGCCTGGTAGGGAAGGTGACTCGCCGATCTATTCTGCGGGGTCTGGTGATCAATTCAATGTCTAGCTCTAAGAAATCACGGGTAGGGGGTCACGTTTCATGCAAACAAATCTCCAGTTTCCAGATGTTTTGGTCCCTGTTTCAGCTGTAGTGCAATTAAGTTGTGGTCTAGACACAGTCGATCCCCACAATTGCCCCAACTCGTATGACTGCCAGATTTTCATAACGCAGGAAATAACGTCATTCTGTATTTGTGAGCAAGATCTCGGGATACAGAGAATATTCGAAGATGATCAGGACCCTGGCACATCCTAGTTTGTGCAAGCGCCGATCAATGCCTGAAGCGCCACGGGCTTGCCAGGTGGGGCCTTTCGAAGCGAACAAGAAACGGGCCACTTGTGCCTGAAGAAAGCTTGAGCAAAGCGGGTGTAAGGGACTAGGCGTTACATCTGCTCAAAAACTATCCACATTGAACTCCCGGAGTTATATCATTCCTGGGCTATCCGTTTCGCATTCGGGGGCCAAGAGGAGCTACCTCTAGTCAAACCACAGTCCAAGAAATCCTCAGTGGGGGACTTCGACTAGTCAACACTTTAATATCCGATGTTCTTGTATATCTTGCACATGGTAGATGTCAAAAATCCTCATTGGGGCATCGGAGCAGAAGATCTTCGAACCCTCCGTGTCTTCATCTGGACTAGTTTCTAACATCAGTATTCTCGCATTTGTTCCGGTGCTTCCATAAATTTCCGAGGTGTCAAATGTGTCTTGGAAAGCACTATAAAACGAGGTACCAGCCAAGTAAGATGTAGAGAACCAAAGCAATTGATCCCCGATAGCTCGATCTTTTTCCTTTGCCTCCACTTCGTTGTTCAATATAACGTAGAATACAACGTTTCAATATGAGATTGGATCACATTGCTTTGCTCGCTGCCGTGGCTGGATCTGCGGCAGCATCCCCCGTCAAGAGCCACACAAAGAGAGCTTCGCCCTTCAAATGTTCGACGATGACACCAAGAGATACCGGTCACTCTAGCTAATCTCGTATAGGGTTCGGTACGAGTGAATCAGGAGCTGAGTTTGGCGAAGGCAACCTTCCCGGTACTTTTGTGAGTAAATTCATTGCATTGGTTTATCTGGCCTCTACTTACCAAGACAGGGAACCGACTACACTTTCCCAGATGTCGATACCATTAAGACTTTGAACGGTCTTGGACTGAATATCTTCCGGGTTCCGTTCCTCATCGAGCGGATTGCACCAAGCTCCTTGGCAGGGGCTCTGGATGATACCTATCTGAGCAAGCTGGCTTCGGTGAGTGGTGTCAAATTTGGATGCATAAAAAAATGGAGGCTTATTTGACGACAGGTGGTGAAATCAATCACCGACACAGGAGCTCATGCCGTGCTTGATCCGCACAATTTCGGAAGATAGTAAGTCAGGGAAGCAATATTCATAACACGAACTGGCAACTCATGACATTTTGCAGCAACGGCAACATCATCTCGAGTGCCTCTGACTTTCAAGCGTTCTGGAAGAAACTTGCAGGCGAATTCGCGTCGAACAAGCTCGTCGTTTTTGACACTAGTAAGTGACACCGAGATCCACCCTGCCCAGAATAACCTGCTGATTCATTTATGCACAGACAACGAGTTCCATGACATGGATCAAGACCTCGTGCTGAAGCTCAACCAGGCAGCCATCGATGGCATTCGCGCAGCTGGAGCAACCTCCCAGTACATCTTCGTGGAGGGCAACTCATACACAGGCGCTTGGACCTGGACGGATGTGAACGACAATCTGAAGGACCTGACAGATCCACAGGACATGATCGTTTACGAGATGCACCAATATCTCGACTCGGACGGATCAGGAACAAGCGAGACCTGTGTGTCCACCACGATCGGAAAGGAACGAGTGACTGCTGCGACAAAGTGGCTGCAGGACAACAAGAAGGTCGGTGTTTTGGGCGAGTTCGCGGGTGGTGTGAATGATCAGTGCAAGACGGCGATCACCGGGATGCTCGATTATCTTGGCGATAACTCGGACGTCTGGCTGGGTGCTATGTGGTGGGCTGCTGGCCCTTGGTGGGGTGATTACATCTTCAGTCTGGAGCCGACGAGTGGCACCGCATACAAGGGTATGCTGTCGACGCTGAAGCCATACTTCGTATAGTTCCTAGCTCGTCCATATGAGTAAATATCTGTTCAAGGCTGTACTCTGAGCCATCAACTGCGCTTACACGTATTGTGGAGATTTTCATCTGATTAGAGTTGGGCGCGCAGCAATTAACCTCTCACGGTAAATGTGCTGCACATCAGTCTTGGCGCCAATTTAATGATCACGTATGCAATCAATGCAGTCATATGTCACCTACTCGTACCACATACAAGTACGGAGTACGGAGTAGTCCGTGACTACTAGCACCCGAGTAAAGAGTACTCAGGTCCGAAGTACGTAAGTCCCATACAGTACCAATATCGTCCAAGTCGATAGTTCAAGGATCTACGCTGTACGGAGTACGCGAGTCTTGCCTTGGATCATGGAATTAGACTAGAGCATTAGATGGCACTCCGTAGGTTCGTCAGCGGAGGCTTATACCTTCAAAGGGTGTACGTTGAATGTAAATATAGCACCAGGCAACACTAAATGCTCGTACGTGGTGGAGGTACCCGAGCGGAACACTCGTACTTACGAGGTCTATCGCGGTAAATCCGAACTCGCCCCACAAGTGATCACCGTACCCCCTGCTTATTTTAGACAAGTGCGTGGTATTGAGAACGTATGTAGTACTCGTACATACATATTATTTCCCACAATGAATACTCGTACTAGAATTTTGCATTTCTCACCTCCAAGCCATGGAACCAGGTCATGAACCACCCCCTCGAACACCTTCTCCGACGCCATGTAGATCTCCGAATCGTCCAGACCCCCAAAAATGGACTGATAGAGATCTTGCTATGTGGATTTTAGCCAGATCAGGCGACAAAGATGCTCCTACCATTGCCAGAGAACTAGGGATTAACAAAGGGCGCGTTTATCGCATTCAAAAACGTGGTCATCCTACACCTACGAAACCGAAGGGAGCTAAATTGAAGCTTTCAGAGAGCCAAATGGATGATGTTATTGCATTTATTACTGCCTCTGAAGAGAATCGTCGAATGCCTTATCCACAAGTTTGTCAAACTCTCAATCTTCCAGTCGCCAAGGATGCTTTGAAACGTGCACTTCAAAATCGAGGATACTATCGTGAACGGAGTACACAAGGCTTTCGGGTTACGGCAGATGATGCCAAGGCAAAAACGGGGAAGCCTACCCGGGATGCACTTAAAAGGAAAAAAATGACTGAGCTTACTCGTACGCGTGGAAAAATTTGCGGATCCACAAGGCTGTTCAGGGTACATACATACATAGAAAGGGTGACGAGGCATCGGCTGGGGTATCGCCTAGTGTGGCCACAAGAATGTTGATCCTTGAGCGGTCAGAAACCATGGATCATGGATCAGATTTTGCCAACTCGTATTCTACTGCACGAAATAAGCCAGGATATTTCCTAAGTCAGATGATTGGGATAAGGTCTTTCCTTTTGTGCATTGAATATATGAATATAGAAGAAAATGCAATGGAATAGTGTACTCGCATAAAGAACTCACATAGGCATTGTATACAGTACGAGTGCGAGTATCCTAATAGGGAACCTTATACACACTAGTCCCAAACAGGATTAGTGGATACCTGAAATAGAAGCAAACGTGGCCCTGAGGACGTGACCGCTCAGCCTCCCATTGGCTGGATGATCCTCATTCCTTCCCTGCGCCTCTTTCGAGGGAGGCTGGTGTCCCCTAGTGTACCCAGCCTTAGAAAGATATTCACAGTTGCGCAGCTATTAAAGCCTGTATCCCCCCCGATCGGTACCTTATCTTTTCCATCTTATCCACCTTACTATTTTCACCCTTTCCCTTGTCGGATACTCTCATAACCAATAATTCATTATGGGTAAAGCCGGTCGCATCGCGTGTATCTTCACGCCCTATGTCTTGACCATCGCATCATTGATCTGTATCATTATGGTGGGACTGGGTTGCACAAAAGCCAGCTCCTCAACCTTGAACGATCTCTACTTTATGCGTGTAAGTACTTGACATGGTCCCCAGGATCCACTGTCTCAATGCTAATTATTTCTAGCTTGATCTCTCAAACATGAGTTCGAACTCAGACGCAATTTCAACAATCGAGAGCAAACTGAGCGACGCCGGGATTGATGTATCCGACAGTGACATCACCAAGCTTATCAACACCCTTCAGGATGATTCGACCATTGCCGACTTCTACGACATTGGTCTGTGGGGCTACTGCCAGGGCAACATCACCAACAGCAAGGATACCGTCACTTCCTGCACGAAGCCCAAGGCCGAGTTCTACTTCAACCCTTCGTCCGTTCTGGGTGTGAGCGAATCCGAGCTCGAGGAGGAGCTAGGCAGCAGTGTGAAGAAGATCATGAAGATCTACAAGGCCGTCTCCAAGTGGATGTTCATTGCCTACCTCGTTGCATTCATCGCCACCTGTGCCCAAATTCTCGTCGGTATCTTCGCCATCTTCAGTCGCTGGGGCAGCTGTGTCACCACCATTGTCTCCATCGTTTCCTTCCTCTTCACTTTGGCCGCCTCTCTGACTGCGACTATCATGTTCTCCATCGCAAAGGGCTCCCTTGGCACGGCAATGAAAGCATATGGTATTGAGGTCTCCATGGGCAAGAACATTTACGCTGCCACTTGGCTCGCAGTTGCCTTCTCCCTAGGCGGTTCCCTCTTCTGGATGTTCAGCACCTGTTGCTGCTCTGGCCGCTCTCCCTACGGTCACAAGGACCGTCACAACACCCGCGGCAGCATCACTGCCGAAAAGGCTCCTTACACCTATGAGCCCATCGGCGCTGCCCACCCTCCCTTCGGCGCCCAGCCCTATGCTGCTCCCCAGTACGGCCAGAACACCTCATACCCCCCTCACAACGACATTCCCATGACCCACCAAAACCCCCATCAGCAACCGAGCGCCTACGAGCCTTTCCGCCACGTCTAAACTTTCCCCCCAAAAAAATACGCGAACCGTTTTTCAACTGTACAACCTCACGAAGCGATTTTAGACGGTCGATACCAAGGCGTTGGTGTGGCTATTTTTGCATGTTTTATAATGACTTTTCTTTCTGATTTTTGATGACTACCATGTGTGCACAGCGAATTTTTGGTCTTTTGGGAGGAATCAATTGCATCTTGTATATTTTCTGGGTTTTCTAGAGGGATTTCAGGGCATAAAGAACCTACAAATCATATGATATCACAGAATTCTATCCATAAGTCCCACTTACAAAAATCATAGTTGCTGGTCCAACGAAATAGTTTCTAATGATCTACTAACCCGCCCGTTAGTACTTAACTCCACCCTACTCTACTTAAGTATGATCCAGTTGAGCTTTCAGTTCTAGATGACTTTGTACCCACAGGTGCAACGCTACGTGCGCAGGTCTTGCACTCAGCTTCGGATGTCTGATTTGGGCCCCTACGTTTGCCACGCTCACCTGAGCAATAGTAATTGTACAAAGCACAGATTAGTTACAGGGGGCCTGATGTATGAGGCCCGAGCATTATTATCTTGCATGCTGGGTTTCCCAAAGGCGAAAGGAAAGCTGCTGATCTCCATCTAATTAGCTTTGTGCCGCTTGCTGATGCTGTCAGAGGCGTTTGGGGGCCACAATATCACTCTCGGGATCGGAGATTCAAGTACTTAAGTACTTAACTTTGTAGTCCCCTACGTCGGTAGATTCCAAGGTGTTGTTAAGATTGCCGTTGTCGTATCCTACCTAAGGTTTGGCCCTGGAGGTTATTGGCTTTTGATCCATGGATCGGGCTTCATGTACTGACCGAGGCTGGGAGGTACAAAGCTTATACGAGTAGTAACAGCCGCTATATTTAAGTACTAGTGGAAATAAAGTTCCAGTTATGTGATCCTCGTAAGATCCTAAACAGATAGTTACTTAGACATAAGTGGCAATGAGCAAGCTTTTTAGGGCGCAATTCCTGTTCGCAATCTGGGGACATGGGCAGCGCTCAGGTAGAAGTGCTCGCTGAGCAGGCAAAAATACCGAGACTATAACTGAGGACTCTGAAGTTACTTCAGTTCTAAAGTTGTTGAATGTTTTACCACCAAGTACTCCATATTGCCCGGGTGGTTGTTTGTCATCCGTTGTTTTGACAAGTCCATGTGTGCATAATGTACCAATCTAGTTGTGTGAGGGGTTCTGTGTGACACTCAACATAGATCACCCTTGGTTATATAAACCGATGATCGGTTGGGTTGGCAAAGGAATTCGATCATAAGACAATTATACTCATTATTGAAATATGATGTAAAGATATGGCCATCTGCTATCGCTCTCCAGGGCCATCCGCAAATGTAAAGAAATTTCGGGGCGTAGAGCCGTCACCTGAAAGACTACGGTGAAACAGATAGAAATACAGGGCATGAATAAAATTAAACCTAGGAGTTGAGGCGATCTTTCAACTCCCGATTGTAGGTGGGTCGACAGATAAGTCCCCTTTCGTCAAGCAGGACCTTGGTACCACCGCGACGGTTAATTTCCTGGAGAACATTTTGGTCTTGATGAGCCCAGCGCTTGAATGGCGTGTTCGGGTCGTGAGACCAGCGAGGATTCGTCGACAAGGTGTTCTTGGGCGGCAATATATTTTTGAGAGAGCTGAACCAGTTTCGCTTTTTCTCCCTTTGCGGCTCGGTGTCGAAATTGTTAATGGGCGCCGCTACAGGGCTGATGCTGCGAGTGACCGATGTGTGACGGTCGTTGGTATCATCGCCAAGTTCAATGCTAGCTGTCTCGTGATGGGTATCGTCCGTTTCTGGCATGTCGTCGATATCGGCTTCATCATTTCCCCCTTTGTTGGTAGATTTCTTAGTAGATGTCGGGGAGGCCACATGTGTGCCAGGTTGTGTTGGAGTGGCCATCTCTCTGTCTTGATTCACCTGCGATGCATGCGATGCATCTAGCACCATAGAAGAATCGTCTGGCTCTTCTTTGATGGAGATGCTGTCTGATTCGCTACTATCATAGGAATCGGTATCCTCGGAGGGCAAGATTGAAGATCGTGCAGTGGTACGTTTCAGAGAACTAGGACTATGCCCAGTCTCGGTATGACCAAAAGACCGGGCATGAAACTCCGAGAACCTGTCCACAAGACTTGCTGTAAAGGAAGGGTTGGCGTCTTCGCTATCCGCCGGTTGGTTCTGATTGGGGTTCCCCTTGGTTGTCACTTGGGTGGAGACGGGCAGGCTTTCTGAAATAACTGGGGTGACAGATTGAGAAGCGGCCACATCGATTCCGCCGGCAGTGAGATTTCGCTTCTTGTATCGGGGGTGCAAGAATGTTGCGCAGAAGTACTCCTCATAACTCATTGTCCTGGAAGCTTGAGAGGCGTTCCTTCCCAAATAATTTGGGTAATCTGTCAGATGTAGTATGATGAAGTCATCCCAAAGGAAAGAGCGTTTCAGAAAGCCCTTCTCTCGCGTTGTGTGTAGCCTTGAGCACATGTCGGCAAAATGGGAGAACTCGCCGGAATATGGTGGATAAGCGTTACAAAAATTATCATAAATCAGTTGTGCTTCAGCAGACTTGTCTGCTTGGCCGAGGTAGCTTTGACGTCGTGTCACTATCTCAGCATTTGGGCTGTGGGTATCATCATGGGTTTGATCATTGTCACCAGAGGGCTGGGCCCGAGGAGGCTGAGAGGGTGGTACAGACATGCTCGAGTCCCGGTTAATGTTGCCTTGTGACTTCGGGTCGTCTTGGCTTATCTCGTTGGAGTGAGATATAGCCGGCGGATGTGAGTTGGGAAAAGGGAAAGATGATGCGTCGTCCTCGGACTCCAAATGAAAGATTGATGAGCCTCTCTGGTGTCGAGTGGACTTTGACGAGTCGAGCACAATCTCCGAGGACGATTGAGGAGTGGCCTGTGATGGCGCTTGCAGGCCAAGCCCGCTTACGCGCGGTGACTTTCTTTGTTTGTCCGACTGGGATGAATTATTTGCCCCACTGAACACAAGACTTTGATTTTGGCTTTCTTGTGAGCAGTAGGTGTTGCGAATGCGAGACGATGACGAGGTCTTTGGATCCTCAGAGGGTAGTGGCTGCGAGCTGCAAATTTCACGGCTAGCTCGTTTCTTCTTTCGAAGGCGTGTGGTACTGGCGATAGGTGTCTCTATCACTTGAATACGCCCCTCAGCCATGCCTGGAAGCGATGAACCTGAGCTGGTAGTTTCGTGTTGGGGCTGACTGCTCAATGGAACACTTTGACCCAACGCAAAAGGAACAGCTGCTTCCATCTCATCGGCACTATCATCACTTCCGTCAACATTTTGTCTATCTTGAGGACTAGACGCAACTGGCATTGCTCTCGAGCTTGATTGTTTACGAGGAGAGTGTTGTATGGGAGTTGAAGGCTCATCATCGAGTCGGGCATCCAGAGACTTTGAAAATTTGAGACTTGGGGAAGAGACATTGCCAGTGGCGTGCTCGTGGCGTCGAACTGTGTTAAGTTTCAACTTATCAGGAGACCTGAAAAGCCCTTCTCCTGTTGTGTTGAAAATAGGTTCAGAGCCGGCAAACCCCGCGCGCACACTTGGTGAGCGATTCTGAGTTCCACTCTCCGTGTCCCCATTGTCATTCTCCTTGGTTTGACTGGCACTGTCTTGTGTGTCCGCCAACGCCACTATATGCCTAGGGGGCGTGTCCTCAGGGAGTGCATTTTCAGGTGAGCCCTCCCGGCTGCTTTCGTCCCAGGATAGTTTCTCGCCCTCCGATGAATAATCAGCAGTCGATGGATTGGTACCTTGAGGAGTTGGGGTAACAGGGCGTTCAGGACTTGGCTCGGGCTGGTTCGCCACGATGTGCCTTTTACGCGCAATCTCATTCCACCGGGATAAGAGATGGGGTGGCACGTGGCATAAAAGTGCAGAAACACCAGGTTCTTGTGGAATCCATTTGAGCTGCTCAAGGAGCTCTGCTTGATCTTTCGGAATATCAACCTCATGTGCGGGTATCTTCGTCATTCCTTCCCAATGATTGATCGTAGGCGTGTCAGTGGGGCCTAATTTGCTGCTGATGCCTTGTACACCCGAGACTGATGACACCCGTTCGGTTGATAAATTTGCAACTCCAGCCGCTTCTTTGGCATTCGTACGCTGTCGCTTGTTGGAAGGCGATGAAATTTCCATGTTTTGAGGATCTGTATTACACATGTCTTTATCATGTGTTGTTTGTGGCTGTGCGCCTAAGCTCTCGCGGTGTCTCTTCTTTGAAGGCTGCTGCTTATCGCCTCCCTCGGCCGTGTAAATTGGATCAGCATCGGGCCTTCTGGTTGCTGAGCGTTCAGCAGGGTTCGTATGCGCTCCCGCTAAGCCCCTTGTGCCGTTATTTTCATCGCTACTAATGCTGACTGACTCAGTACGGCTTTTGGTGGTATGTGTTGCATCCTGTTTTTCGCTAAGCAATCCTACATTTTGACCGGAACACGATTGTGCTGTGATTCGCTCTTGGGGATGTCGGACGGCAGGATTTTTCGGTACGGCAAACTCCGTGTCTTCATTCGAAGGGGACATCTGGCGACCGCCCCTTCCAGGAGATGATTGAGGGGCGCCTGGTGTTTTGTTCATAACGGGAGTACCTTGAGCCGACACATGGTTTGCGTAAAAGGCCAAAAGCTCTGCTGAACCACCCAATGAAACACGATTCGTGTTGGAATGACTTTTTGATTGATCGTGGAGGATATGAAGAGGGGCCTGTGAGTGGAAGCCCTGGGACCCCGAGGCAATTTGAGATCGTTGGGATACATTGATTGAATTTGGTCGAGAGAGGGGTTTGTCATCCACAGCAGCACCGGTTTGGTGATGCGAGCCCGATTCTTGTGGGTTCTTTTGGGCTTTTCGATACGCCTGAGCAATCAGGGGTTTGAGGTTTGTTTCCTTCTTGAGCTTTGGTTTAGGTGCGTCTCCTTTGGAGACCGCATTTTGGTGAATCTGGAAGCGACCGATGTGAAGCTCAAGTTCCGGTGTAGATGCTGAGTAGGTGAACACTAGCTTTATCTCAGGGAGCTCAACAAGATGCCTTGGGCCTCCTTTCGTTGACGGCGGGCAGAGTGAGGCCTCTCCGGACACATTAGGTGATTCGCGTGAGACAACGGCTTCAATTTGGTTTTGCGAGTCTGTGAAGGTAGCGCGACAGTTCGAGTCTCCTTGGCCCCACTGTCAGATATCAGATGCTAATTAGCACGACTTCTTTTCTGGGGTTATCGCGATTAAGTATCTTACAGTCACAACAATAGCAGTCTTAGGTGGAAGGGCGCCAAAGCTGAAGGTCAGTGAGCTTTCACAATCCTTCACCTGAATCCCATCGTCCGAGCGACCGAGATAGAACGAAAGGCATCGTTCGGCCAAAATTGCGATCCAAGGTGTTACTGGAGCCATCATGTGAACCTAGCTTTGAAAACCAAATCAGAGCATCGCACAGATGTGAAGCAGTGAGTAGTAGGCATTGAGACTTTGTAGCCCTGTAACTACTCCGTCCATCGTGAAGAAAACATAGAAGACAGACAGAGCAGCCCGCAGGACACCAAACACCCGCGTTGCTTATCGATAAGACGCGCCCAATGGCTTATTCATCACCACGCGGGACCTCGGACGTCATTAATGCGGAGGACAGTGATCTACAACTTTTGCTGAAGCTTTACTTGCTTTACCCGCTCATATCTGCGAATCTTCAGCATCTGAGTCTTTAGTGTGTCAGCTCTCGACACTCCCTCGAACCCGATACCCTGCGTTCCTACCTTGAATGTCTAGCTTCAACACTACCTATGACCTTTGTTCGCAATAAGGATGGTCTGAGACCTTTCTGTTGAAATTGGTTTTGGTGTCGTCAACACATCCCATCCGCCCATGGCTTCTCAAAAGCAGGAAGACACACGTAGTGTGTCTGAATCCTCCGGCTTCCTTCCTCTTGGGCGACGCAGCTCTCGCGGCTCCATGGCGACGACCCAAACCGAACGAGAGTCGATAAATGCGACGTTGGATCACTATCACAACACGGCTTATCAGTCTGACACACTGACCTTGTTCAACGAGTTCACGAGTCCACCTGCACCCGCCCCTGCATCTGACGAGAAAGGACTGTCCGAGGAACTACAAGGCGGTCTCAGCGGGCTCTACAGTCGATTTCGAACGTCCGTTGGTGGGGTGAGAGATATTGTCAGTGGTAGTGGCAAGGCCACAGACAAGGGTGCGACTGAAACCCCCGCAGCCCGGACTCCTGTGTCGGATCGTTCGATGGTCAAATCTGTCTCAGATCAAGCCACCACCTCGGCTGATTACCCACCGTCACAGCCCAACTCGTCGCAAGGGTCAAGACTCCACTCGCCCGTTGTGTCGCATTTTCAACCCCACCAAGAACCAGCACTACCGTCAAATTTAGGAAAAAGGTCCAGAATATCTTCAAAGAGTGGCAGCATATCTTCCAAAACTTCCGTGTCCCCGTCCCCCGGCCTTAAGTCTAGCATAGCGCCGCTAACGAAGGCCAGCGGTGGTTCCATCGCAGTGGACCCTGCAGTCACCCAGCTACATGTCAATGTCGTTGGAAATGCAGAACGTTCCAGTAACAATTCTGTGAATGTGCCGTTCCAAACAACACATAATGCAGATACGACAAGTATCGGCAGCAGGGAGGGGGCCGTGGATCTCTCTATGAGCCAGACATCCTCGCTTCTCAGCCAGAATCTTTCTGGGTCGCCAGTTCTATCTGCGAAGCGACATGACAGTTACCATGAGGATCAGGGATCATCCAATCCAAAGGAATTGGGTTTCTCGGCATCTCGCGCGCCAGAAAGTCGGTCTCGGGGGTCGACCTCCGTGACGGATCAACAAAGACAGTCTGAAAGCGCGTCTCAGTCAATTGGTACACGGAATTTCACGCAAACCGAGCCGGCGCAGGGCCATATATCCCAACAACCAAGGGAGAGATCAAGCTCACGGACATCTTTCCGCTATGACGATCCTAAAGGATCAATTTCAACATTAAATAGTCTTTCGGGACTTTCATCTCACGACGAAGACCCCGATCGTATTGATCAATCTGCAGTAAATGCAGCTGCGCCTCGCGAGGACGACAAAGCCAAAGAACCACTGAGAACTTCAGCTTCCGAACGATCCAACGAGAAGCCAAATGCGGCAACTCGGACAGGACGACTGCCTGGCTACATGATGTCACGAACTTCCACTGCTGAGACCACTACCACAGTCTCCTCCTTGCCCCCTTTAAACACTGCAGTCGGGAGGGCTGATGGTCAATCTCTACAGGCCAAGCGCCGACCACCACCTGGAGACAGCGGTGTTGTATCGGAGCTGCGAAATAGATTGCTTAGCAGGGATTTCTGGATGCGTGATGAGAACGCCAAGGATTGCTTTCATTGCGGAGAGCCTTTCACGACGTTTCGCAGAAAACATCATTGTCGGACGTGTGGTCAAATTTTTGATTCGAAATGTACACTTCTCATCTCAGGAGTAAGGTTTGGACAGCAAGGTAGTATTCGAGTTTGCAACCCCTGCGAGAAGATGATCAATGCCCACGACAATGACTCTTCGGACTTCTCCGATAGCGAGCAAAGCCCCGTTATCGCTAATCCTCGAGTCTCTGAACTCAGCTGGGGAAACAGTGGACGCCCATCTTTCGATGACGATGATTCATCCTCCGTTGTGTCACAGTCAATTGACCACATCTTGAGAACTCCAACCATGGCTATACCGGCCACACGACGGGCAGGAGAAGGCCACAATCGTCGCTCGGCCGTGCTTGAGATCAACTCCGATCGCCCTTTAGCACGACCTACCTCGTCACGCTCACTGCGCTCATCACTTGGTGGAAGGCCACATTCCATCAGCCACAAGCGTCATCACTCTCGTCAGCAATACATTCGGGGGTATAAACCATACCATGAAGATCGAGCTCCCTTCCAACGTCGACATGCAGATGACTTGGATCCTGAATCCCGGTTGCCTGCGTTCCATAAAGACAACATCATCGATCCTGATCTTGCGCAATATCTCTCTGACGACGCATCGAGCGGTGATGAACAACCAAGTCTCTTGTCTGCAGTTTCCGAAGGCGCATTGTCCAAGAGTGGTGGTGAAAATGAAAGAGCATCGCTTGGCGGAATTCTCGCAGCCATGAAGAAAGGCAGATCTGCATTTGGAGAACGTAATACGCTCAGTGTCAATCGAGATGGAGACGATGCAAGTCTCACCAGCTCAAAGGCCGTCAATCTTCCCCGGTTCTCTCGCCGCCGCAATCTTAGTGTCGCTAGCAGTGTACACCCTCGCCAGTCACCTAGAGCTTCGAAGGACAGCATGTTTCTCCATGACATCTCGGTGCCAGCCATTTCTTTGCCCACGGGTCCAAGGGAGGCTGGTTTTAAAATGACACGCAGTTCATCAATGAGGGGAACCGACGCCCCACCGGTTGAGCTGAATAGAGCCAGCTTGGAACATGTTCGGAAGCTTCTTCATCAGCTGCTCGTGGAATCCGCGGTGCCAAACGGAGCAGGCTGGGAGAACGCCCTTATGCCAATACTATTGAAAGCTGCCGACGAAGTGGATCCGAATGTCCAGCATGGCGACGACATGGATATCCGCCACTACGTGAAACTGAAGAAAATTCCAGGTGGTCGTCTTGGTGATACTTCTTACGTATCGGGTCTTGTTTTCACAAAGAATCTGGCTCTGAAGGGCATGTCCAGAAATATCTTACGCCCAAACATTCTGATCATCACGTTCCCTCTGGAGTACGCACGGCAGCAACATCATTTCATGAGTCTTGAGCCCGTGATTCGACAAGAGCGTGAGTTTCTAGAAAATTTGGTCAGTCGAATATCGGCCTTGCGTCCCAACCTACTCCTAGTTGAGAAGAATGTTTCCGGTCTGGCTCTTGGCCTTCTGCAGCAGGCTGGAATTGCAACTGCTTACAACGTGAAGCCCTCTGTCCTTGAGGCTGTTTCGAGATGTACACAAACCAGAATCGTGACATCTATGGACAAGCTGTTAACAACCACCCTGCATAGTGAATGCAGTAGTTTTGATGTGAAGACTTACGTTCACTCTGGGCGGAAGAAGACCTATATGTACATCTCGGGTTGTCCGAAAGAGCTGGGGTGTACCATTGTCCTGCGTGGTGGCGACAATGAAGTCCTTGACAAAGTGAAAAAAATCACCGAGTTCATGATCTATGTTGTTTACAACCTTCGCCTGGAAACATGTGTCATGCGGGATGAGTTCGCAAAGATACCAACCTCTCCGACAGAGACAACCCTGGTTGTCCACGAAAAGGACATGAAAGGAAATCCACAAATCATTGTCCATGAAGGCGACCCTCGCCCGACAGAATCCAATGCTGCTCCATCGGAGAAAGATGAGAAAGATGAGAAAGTGGTCGATGGCTCTGATAGCCAGCTCCTCGTGACTGCCGATACCCCGGAAGTTCCAGATGATGTCCCGATGCCAACATACTACGACGATATGGTTCGGGATCACCAAACTAAGATTCTTTCTGCTTCTCCCTTCGTCAAGTTCGAGCCTCCGTATCTTTTGATGCGTGCGCGAGAAATGGAGCGTAGATTGGCTTATTTGAAACGTCTTCGAGGACAAGACGACAACTCCGATGAAATCGCAGATGAGAAAGCCAGGCCCCAGAAGTTCGTCCTCATCACGCCAGAAATGGCCCATCAATCGCCACAAGATGCGCCGACAAAGGTTAAGGAAGTCCTACGTGCTGCTCATGAAGCCGAATATGACCGAGCATTCTACCACTATCAAACTCAAAAGCGCCAGTGGGAGGCCTATGTGTCGGGCAACACAAGCATGTTCGATCCTTATGCACACCAAAATATTGTTATTCTCTACAGCCTTGTCTGCACCACAACATCAATTCCATGCTCTGGGCCGGATCTTTTTGCTCTTGAATTTTACAACGAGCATGGAGACGACACGATTGTTGAGTCGGACCTTGCCCTGGGACAATACGTCGAAGACCTTTGTCAGTCGGCGAACTCTCCGTGTGATGTCAACGGCTGCGAAAAGCGCATGTTTGAGCATCACCGCCAGTATGTTCATGGGGATGCTCAAGTCAGCGTCTTGGTCCAACCCCATCCTTCTAAGCTCCGTGGGCTTCAGGATGTCGTGCTTATGTGGAGCTGTTGCAAAATTTGCGGCAACGAAACTCAAGTCACGCCTATGTCTGAAAGTACTTGGAAATATTCTTTCGGAAAATACTTGGAATTATCCTTCTGGGGTCGAAATTTGCATGCTCGCGCAGGGGTGTGTCCCCACGACCTGCAGCGAGATCATCTACGCTACTTTGGGTTTAAAGATGTTGCTTTGCGAGTTCAGTACGACCCCATCCGTCTGCTTGAGATTATAGTGCCACGGCCTCGTGTCACCTGGAAGGTAGACAATGACCTGAAGTTGAGAAACAAGGTATACCTGCGAACCGAGCAACGTCTCGAAAAGTTTATGGCCTCTGTTCAAGCTCGTTTGAAAGGTATCAACGTCGAGAGTGTGGTCCCTGGGCTACTGGACAGATGCAACCAAGAAATTGATTTCTTGATCAAAAAGGGACACGATGACCATATCTCTTTGGTTCGACAGTTGCAAGACGCATACACAAATTCCCGTTACTGGGAGATCATCCCGTTGAATGAAGTCCTTCGTGCCACTCAAGAAAAGGTTGTTGAATGGGACACAACGTTTTCCGATTTCGAGAAAAACTTCTTCCCATCTGAAAAGGATATCAAGCACATGGCCACGCTACAGCTCAAAAAGATTTTCCTCGACAAAGATGCTTCCATGATGCCAGAAGATGCCCTTCAGACACCCAACGACATGGAGGATGAAAACAATCAGGCAGGCGATAGACCCCGAGTGATGCGCCGTATGACACTTTCTCCAGAGAAGGCACAGAATGTTTTAGTCTCCGTCGTTGAGGAGCATGCCGGCAAAAAGCATCGCGAAGAGTCTCCTTCCCCTCCAACTTCAACCGAGGAAGCGGTCCTGCCTGTGGATCCTGTGGATGAAAAGAGATCTTCCCCCCAAGACGAGGCTGTCTCTCAAGAAGAAGTCCGTCATCTCGACTTGGCAGTGCCTGCTGGTCAATCGGAGCGAGGCTCTGTCGATACGGCGGGTATTTCGAATCAATCGCCGGTCAACACTGCTCCTTCGGCGACAACACCTCCTGCTAGCAGCACATCAAAACACACGGCTCCTCAAGCCCTAGGTGTGCCTGAACAAGGAGACGCCATTGAAAAGGAGGAAGATGGAGTCACTGAGTTGCCAAACACTCCTGTGCGACGGTCTTCAGCAATCCCTAGACCTACCGAGGCGGCGTTTCGACGCAATGGTAAGATGCGATCTCCTCCGCTTATGCGCGCTCAATCTCAGCCGGTCAATGTGCCACGAATCAATAACAGTACTCCTCTTCCTGGGTTAAGAATGGCCCTAACCAATGCGATTGAGCCAGAAAAGAATCCAGTTGTATCTCCAACGAAGTCTTCGGACAAGAAGTTGACAGATCGATTGGGACTGAGTTCTTTAAAGAATGCTCGATTCGCTTCTGGCCATTCGCTCATTCCACGGTCTGCTCCAAGTAAAAAGGGCATATCTCGGGTCTCAAACCTTGCTAGGCACTTTGAGCAAATGAGTCGCGAATTTGAAAAGGAGAGACAGCGTGAGAGACGCCAGCGAGCTGCGAAGGGCACTCATTCACGAGCCTTCCCTCTGGCTTCTTCGAAGCCTATTGTGGAAGTTTACCGCAACGTGAGGGAGGCTGTTGAAGAGCGTGAGCCACACGCTGATAGTGACGAATCACTACCACCGGCCCCATTGATCCCGACGGATGACCTCAATCGCAAGAGCGATGAGCTTGTTCGCGAACCAACAAACGAGGAGCCCTCTCTGTCAAGGTCATCGCCCCTTGAGCCTGGGAATGCAGAAGAGGCGCCTCGTCAAGAAACACAACTGCCGTCTGACGGAGAGCCAGATGAGCATCATAGTGACGATGATCACAACGCAGCTGATGGGCTTCATCCGGTGGATTCTCACGAGGAGGTCAAGAACCCGACAGAAGACGACTCAGCTGATTACAAAGAACTTCCAAAGCACGAACGCACAACTCTCTTGAAGATGCTGACGAACTTCTGGTCTGAACGCTCTGCGAGTGGATGGACACCTCTTGAATACCCCCTCAGTGTTATGGATCATGTCTTCGCCGATTGCGACATCATCGTTCGTGAGGACGAACCAAGCTCCTTAGTAGCCTTTGCTTTGGACTCTTCCGATTACAAAGAAAAGCTTTCCAGCATCCAGCAACGGTACGATGAGATGGAGGACAATGGATCAGAGTATGGCAATGACCCCGAGGCTCTCAAGGAAGCGCAGGTCGAACATGCACTCTTGCGCCCCACGGGAACACACCTGAAGTATCAATTCCAAGAGGGCCAGGCCAAGATGCTGTGCAAGGTATTCTATGCCGAGCAGTTTGATGCCTTGCGGAAAAAATGCGGTGTGGCAGATCGAATTGTTGAGTCTCTGTCTCGATGCGCCAAGTGGGATTCAAAGGGCGGCAAGACGAAATCCCTATTCTTGAAGACGCTTGACGATCGCTTCATCCTCAAATCACTGTCCACGATTGAAACACAGGCCTTTCTCAAGTTCGCTCCAGCCTATTTCCAGATCATGTCTGAGGCTTTGTTCCACGAACTGCCATCGGCAATCGCCAAAATGTTCGGCTTCTATCAAGTCATCATCAAGAACCCGGTCACGGGCACAGAGTTCAATTGGTTTTTGTTGCTCATGGAGAACCTGTTTTATGACCGGGCGCCCACCCGGATCTTCGATCTCAAGGGATCGATGAGGAACCGCAAGGTTCAGAGCACAGGTGAACGAGATGAGGTCCTCCTGGACGAGAACATGGTGGATTTCATCTATGAGACACCACTGTTTTCTCGTGAGCATTCGAAGAAACTTCTCGCTCAGAGCGTGTGGAACGACACCCTCTTCCTGGGCCGCCAGGATGTGATGGACTACTCTCTCATGGTCGCCATTGATGAAAGTCGTGACGAACTTGTGGTAGGCATTATTGATTGTATTCGCACCTACACCTGGGACAAGAAACTTGAATCCTGGATCAAGGACAAAGGGTTTGGTGGCGGTGGCCGCAATCGCCCTACAGTGACCAGCCCGAGAGAATACAAGGGTCGGTTCCGCGAAGCAATGGCTAGATATGTGCTTCAAGCTCCAAGGTATGTTGGCCGTATTGCCTCACATGCCTGACTTAATACTAACGATGTCCAGCTGCTGGCATCAAATCCAACCAACCTTGCAATATCGCCCTGACCACCAGGGCTTTGAACTTGAGGCTGTTGATGGGATTGGCTCTTTTGAGGACACTGGTTACTAGTAGCTTGGTTGTCTTTGTCTTTGTCTCCGCTCTCGATTCCCCCATCGCAATCATTTACTTTCATAACGACTCACGACCTGATGATAACGCATTCGTGCCAAGATCTGATTTTTTCTGTATTTTGCATGAGATGGATTCATGTGCCACCCCATCTAGCGTTCATCTTGGTACCCATAGCATATCGAACATGTCTTTTTATCATTTATCGCAGTGTTTGCAAGCGACAACTACATGAGGCGGAGTCACAGGTGGGACCGTCTTTCTCTTGAATTTGTCTCAATTATTTCAGTATCTATCTTTTATCTTTATCTACCTTGGACATCATCTTTTTATCAGCTTTCCATGTCCATTATTATGGGATACTCACTCATCACTGCATACTCCCAAGGTTAAGCACGAAGTGTATGGTTTCAATCCCGATATGCCCATAGTCCCGCATGTACACCAACAGTATAGATCTGTACAACGCTGCACAACATCCAAATAGCGCAGCCTAAATATTCTTATCAAGCCCACAAAACTCACGAAGATCCAATGAAAAATCAGATCTGCACAGTTCCGTGACAGATTCCTCGTGCTGGGCCCATCGGTAAAAATCGGAAACGGGACGGCAAAAGCTCCGGGAACTACGTTTAGCCATTGGATCAATTTTCCTGAAATTTTGAATCTTATCTTCCTCAATATTCACTGGAAAGATTCTGCATCTTCCTGAGCTTATATATGGGCTCTCTTCCCCCTGTTTTGGAGCAAGCAGAGTGCGCCGGGAGCATCACCGATGTCCGGTTGATATCGGGCATATGGAGCCTCGGAGGTTTCATTATCGTCCCCGCATCTGCTTTTCGCTCGACTGACCCTTTTCCTTCTTTTTTCCTTTTCTCTTTTCTCTCCTTGGTTTATTCGAAGGATGTGACACTCGAATATGATGCCAATTTCACCGATATATGGTGAAATCAATCTCCGATGTGAGCATTGAGCATTGAGCCACTCGGACTGTCCAGCCGCGGCATGAGTCGCCTCGGTTCGCAGTTTCGGGGACAATACGAGTCGACTGTTCGGTTGCTACTCAATTATAACTGATTAATCTTTACTAACAACAGATTTGAACGGAAAGCATTAAATTCGTTTCATTTACATGAGCAATGCATTAACCTTCCAGCAAACTATGGTCCAGACCATAGCGCAGAACAAACTTGGCTTGGAATCATCAAAAAGGAAAAGGGGGAGAAAAGAAAAACAGGTATGCATCCCAACCGCACACCGGCGGCAAACAAAGAACACAGCATCTATCGCAAAAAGCCTACCATCTGGTCGAGTCGTTACGGATTTACTCCATGGCCAGACCGAGGTTCTCATCGGCGGGCACCACACGAACGGTGTTGGTGTGGCCCATACCGCCACGCCATCCCTGGACGCAGACGATGGGGTCGCCCTTGTTGATGATACCGAGCTTGAGACCGTGGTTGATACCCCACTTGAGGCGGCGGTCGACATCCTCCTGCCAGATCTTGACATTGAAGTCGGGCTTGGTCTCGGGGAAGTAGAAGGGCCACACACCACGGTACAGGTGGGAGTACTGGAGATCACAATCAGCAACTGTCAAAAGGTTCTCAACCGTTTGGGTTCAACTTACGCGGGCAGCGGTGTCGTTACGAGTGACCATCAGAATGGGGCAAACGGGACGGTACTTGGAGAGAAGGCGGGCGGTTTTACCACTGTGAATTGTCAGCATGATCGTCGAGACAACGGAAGAAACGATATCGCCGCTACACATACCTGGTGGTCAGAACGACAATGGCACCGGCGTTCAGCTCCAGGGAGGCGCTGACGGCAGCCATGGCAATGGACTCGGAAGTCTCGGTGGGACGAGGAGCAAGGTTGCGCAGCTCATCGAAGACGTTGAAGTGAGGAACGGCAACCTCGGCCAACAGACAGGTGTCGGACATCATCTTGACGGCCTCGCAAGGGTAGTTACCCTTGGCGGTCTCACCAGACAGCATGACACAGTCAGCACCGTCGAGGACAGCGTTGGCGACATCGGAAACCTCTGCACGAGTGGGGCGGGGGTTGTATGTCATGGACTCCAGCATCTGGGTGGCACAGATGACGGGCTTGCCCTTGATGTTGCACTTGGCGATCATCATCTTCTGGGCAAGGAACACCTTGGGGGCGGGGATCTCGATACCAAGGTCACCACGGGCAACCATGACACCGTCGGTCTCCTCGAGGATCTCATCGAAGTTGTTGACACCCTGCTGGTTCTCAATCTTGGCAATGATCTGGATCTCCTTGCCCTCCTCGCCGAGGACGGCACGGATGTCACGGATGTCCTCGCCGCGACGAATGAATGATGCGAAGACCATGTCGACCTTGTTCTTCACACCGAACTTAAGGTCGGCAATATCCTTCTCGGAGAGAGCGGGGAGGTCTACGTCAGTGCCGGGCAGGTTGACACCCTTGCGGGAAGAGATCTGGCCGTTGTTCAAACACTTGACCTTGAGGTTCTTGTCGTCAACAACCTCGATCACCTCGAAAGACAGAATGCCGTCATCGACATAGATGAGCTTTCCGGGAGAAATCACGGTGGTGATGTTCTTGTAGTCAAGGTACCTGTCGCACAGCAGTCAGTCTCTGCTGCAATGTCGAGCAATGTCGCCTCTCAAATTCGACCTCCATCCCGGAGAGAAAAACTTACATGTTCTTATCGTCACTGGCGTTGGCGTAGGCATCATCGGTGGTGATGTTAAGGATGGTGCCTTCCTTGATGGGGAAGTCCTTGTCGCCGACAGTGTTTCCGGTACGGATCTCGGGGCCCTTGGTGTCGAGGGCAATGGCGAGAGGGCGGCCAGTCTGGATACGGGCAGCCTCGCGAGAGTTGTCAATGACAGATTGGTGGTACTGCGAAAGTCAGCGGAATTCCTTTTCCGGTTGGGTTTCATTTACTGACCTCGTATGAACCGTGGGAGAAGTTCATGCGGACAACGTTAAGACCGACTACGGTCGAGTCAGTCGATCAACTCCAAATTTGCCTATTCTGATCGGAAACTTGGGGTCATCATACCTGTGCGGAGAGCATTGATCTTCTCGGCGGAGTTGGTCTTGGGGCCTGATGGAGGGTCGGTTAGTATCGGATTTTTTTTATTCGGTCATGACGTCTGTGCTAAAAGTCACTTGACGGGTCTGTGTTGCATACCGATGGTACAGATGATGGAGGTACGGCGGAAGTTCTTCGCAGGGGACATCTCGGTGTTAAGCTTGGAGTACCACTCGAGCTTCATGCGGTTGCTCAAGTGGTCGAGGGAGCTGGTGGGCGCCATTTTGGTATGTATGTGTGATAAATTGGAAAGGAAGAGGAAAGTTAGGTCTGATCAATTGAGAATCAGAGAGGATGGTAGGAAAGAAAGGATGAGAGATGGAGGGGGAAGAGAAAACGGATGGGTGAGGGGCGGGAGGGAAAATGTTGGCCGCCGGTGTGAGTATCTCCGGACTACTTTTTTTTTTCCTTCTTTTTTTCTTTTTCTATATAGCTTTTCCCCATCGTCTATTTCATATACTCAATCTACTTGTTGGATTCTAAATTCTTAACCTATTCTCTCTTTTCTTCCTTATATAACATTCTCTACCTTTGTGTAGTAGAAATTGCGGTGTCGGCAGAGGCGGCATCCAGGCGATCTAGGCAGAAAAAAAAAAGACAGCAAATTATATCTTCTCCAGAGCCGTTGACCGTAAAAGAAAGCGGAGGACCCCGTGCTGGTCAGCGCGCTGTACATTGGAGTCCTTTATCGAGTAAATGTGACAAATACTGCCAGCCAATTGATCGCCCCAGAAAAAAAGACATCAGAAAGGGGATTTCGGTGGGATACTCGTAGCCTTATCGATAGACCGCATGGGGTCTAGTTCCCAGGGCCACTGAGGTCCGATCCCCCAGCCACTTGGATTATGTCAGGTACCGTCCACGGGTTCCAGCCTCACCTTCCAGCCACAGATCGTGGACGTCATGTGAAAAGTCACCTGACCCCGTGTTAGGTACCTATGCCGACGCTCTTCCCTCTGCCTGACGCTTTGGACCGCTGGTTAACTCAATAAAGACTCTGTCAACTTCTGCAAACCTTCAAAATGGTATGAGATCTACGCATGATCAACCTTGGGCAATTGAAACGGCCCCAAACCGGTGCTTGGATAACTGACGTGGGCGCATAAAATAGATTGGCCGTCTTACCCACTACGCATTCGATGCGGTTCTCTGTGAGTCTTTCGAGCTTCCTAGACGTGCTGTTGAAACTCAAACTAATCGGTGACTCCCCTCACAGTCTCCGCCTTCCTAGCAGGTGTCAAGCGTTCCACTGGTCTCACGTAAATATACCTCCCCTCTCAACCTGCACCCACCTGGATATCATACACTTCCTCCGATGTCGACGATCTGGCATGGTTCAAAGGATATTGACTAACTCTGTCACCCCGTGCGCCCCTATCAACGGGATGTGCACGTGGGATCTTCACAGCCCCAGCCTTAACTCAGACAACATCACGGACAGCAAAGACGTCAAGAAATGGGTAGACAGCTACCTCGGAGTCGGCGAGTGGGTGATGGACCAATCTGTCGCTGTGATGGGCTCAACTGCCTGGTTTGAGCGACGCCGTTGATTTGCGTTGCAAGATCAGATCTGGTTCCGAGAGGCAACCAACGATGTCCACGGCTTGAACCTCGGCTATTCGAGATATGTATCGTTATGGACTCGACAAAACTGGAGACCTTTTCGACCTCACGGTATTCCCAAGATCATTGTGTACAAAATGAGTCGTTGGCACGTGGTGTGCCCTATTTCACTTTCCAGAAAACTACAATCACATGCCCAAAGGCTGGATTGACGAGTGATGACCAACTTTGAACTACGTTCACGCCTTGACTTTCAACCGATGCTTGGGTTGCGCGGCATCCTGGCTTTTTTTCAGTGTTTTTTATCTTTACTCTTGTAACTGTGTCATAACATACAAATCCACCGGAGTTAACGGGCATTCGTTGTGCTGCAAATATTGAGTCCTCTGATATACTAGACAGTGCTAGGTTGCTTAAGCGAACCTCTTCTAGTTGAATGGCCACGGAGGGAGATATGTCACTGTTAAGAAGCCTTTTGAGTCAACACGTACTTGACACGACCATCGCTCGCAGAAACAATGACCTCAAAAGACCGAGACGGTTGGGTTACTTTAGGATGTTCGACTTCCGACACTCAGCCTCTTGAAGAAGTTTTGAATGCTCGTAGTGAGATTCATTGTTCTAATGTACGGTAGCATTCAGTATTTGCAGCCCACTAGAGCAGACAACTCAAGTAGAACCCCTCTCATTCTTTATTCTCCCTGTCCCCTTCAAGCGGGTTTTTGCCAGTACTAATTTTCCAATCACTGGTCAAGTCTGCAGTAGAGCGTCAATATCCACACGTCGAAAGTAAGATATGTGACCCATTTCCTTCCAGTAATGTGCCATCAGGTCAGTGGAAATGAGGATTAATTGCGAATCAATGAATATGTCTAAAACAGGTGTCAGGATGTGAATACAGGTTGGGATTGATACCACTCACCATCTTGAAACCCAATTCCAGCTACATGGCCTTTACAACGGACCATACGCGCTCCTGTGAAAGGCTCGTCCACTGCAACACCGACCAACCCTGCGGGTCCAATATCTTCAGAAACCCACGAGTATTGACCGCGTGGAACATTCATGTCGCCGGTCAATTTGATACCTTGTAATTGACCTTGTTGTCCAATTGTCTCTCTGATATCCGATTCGATAGTACCATCATGATTGTTGGTTTCGATATTCCATCCTTCTCTCTGTATATCATCCTGTTCACGGTTTTGCAGGACCAGTATGAACTCACACCCGTGGGTTGAGTAATCTCCAACCCATAATCCTTGGTAAGGTTTTTCTTTGGTGGGCGTATAACTTTCTGGGTCGAGTGCTGAATAAGTTTGAATATATTTGCCGTTACCGTCCGCGAACAGAGTTCGATAGTTTTGCAATCTGTCAAGACGAAAAAATTCCTCTGACATATCCGACAACTTTCCAACGAGCTGTTGCTGGCTGTCTTCCCCAGATCGGAGTGTATGGGTCTTACTTGGGACGGTCGGAGGGGGCCAGTACTGTCCGGGATCTGTAATAGACTCCTGTTGATCACTGATGGCACTGCAAAGCAAGAGTGGTTTGTAGATTCGGTTTGCCTCATGGGCTAGAGGAAGTTTCCAGTCATTTGTCCGAGATAGGTGTTGTATTGGGGCAGATTTGCTGGATGGGTCAGGGTCTTTGAGGAACAAGGCTGGCTCGTCGAGCGACAAGCGCACCTTTGGGTCAAAGGCCTGGACTAACACAGTAGGCTCAGCCTTCCAAAAATGAAATTGCGAGCTTCCACGCTCTGCGACGATCTCGTAGCCTTCGATCACCCCTCGCCGGTTATCGTACCGAGTGAGGATCAAGCTTCCGGTGGGTTCATTATCGGCAAACCAGATTTTGTGCTCGGGAAGAAACCAGCAGGGATAATATGCCAGAAATAAACGCCGGAAAGTTTTGAAAATGCCAGGGGTTTTAATGCGATGAGGCAATCTTGCGTTTATGAGGTTGGCCCAAAGTAGATCATTTGAAGCATGCTCGGCAAGAGCTCGACAAGTAGCCCCGACGCATGCAAGATCTGGGGCCGAGAGGTGAGAGATTATGACGTGGATAATTTCAGAGGGCAACTTTGCAAGAAGCAGCGACCGAGTGGGTTCCCTCTGGTTCTCTTCAAGCCGGCCACCCAGACTGGGGTTCTGGTGGATCTGCGTAGATGTATAAAAGTTAGTGTACATTCTCTCCCTCGCTGATGGTATGAATTAATGATTTTGGGGAGGCATACTGGAGGCACCATACTGGTCATATTGCTTTATGTGGCGGTGGTTTCCAAAGCCAGGTTTCCAACAGTGGTCCAGTTCACTAAGGTGCACATGACATCACACCCCCTGCATAGTGGCCTATAAATCACGACAATAATAGCAAATCAAGGCCATTTCCGAGGGTTTACTGTGTATGGAGAGAAGTCACGCCGTTTGCTTTGCAAGAGTTCCAAGGTTGAATTAGAGAAAAATGAACGATAAGCCCGATAACTCGCAGTTATCGCGACGGCTAACAGCTCCACACCCCGCATCGAACTCTATCCCCGATTTGAGGATGCAGTACGAGTACAAGTACAAGTACAAGTACGGAGTAACTAGCCTAACGCGGGCAGTGAAACATGAGAGGTAACATCTACTAGGTATGTGGCAATACCTCCCTTTCACGAGAATGGTCAACAATCCAAATCAACCAGTATCCTAATATTTTTCCTTGAACAACGCCGTTGAACTGTTTTAGTGAAATCAAGAACAGATCCAACTTCCAATGTTGCTACTCGTACGAGTAGGTAGATACGCCACTTCCAAGGCTAGTTGAATTCTAAATGAGAAAAGGTTGAAGATCTGAGTGTCACCTGATCACCTAAAGAAGCAAGATGTTTATCGCCGGAATAGGCACGCGTCGGCTGCCTATTTTGAGCCCCACCGTGTTTGTTTACTTGTGATCTATAAAATTCCCCTACCCCCTGTCTGCACTTCAATGACTGTGGGACCAAATCCTCAATCTGATTGTATTCTTTCCAATTTCAACCATGGATATCACTCGATCGGCCAGAAAGAGGAGAAACAGCTCTTCAACCCGGGGCCAATCCCCAGTCTCGCATCGAACTAGACAGAGCTTGGCAGCAGATCTTGTCCTCGACCAGAAAAAGCCATGTGCAACGCCAAAGAAGTCAAGAAAAAGAGTTCGGTTTTCCGACCCTGGCCCCCGCCTACTGCAAGATCTTGATAGTGGGTCTACTGGTCTCACTCCGGCAATGCGCCGTACATCATTCAATCCAAATGTCGGTCACGGCACACCGAGTCGAAAAGCACGCCGTAGGTCCGCTCCAACACCACGGTATTCCAAGCCCTATGATCCAGTGGAGCATTTCGACGAGACGTGCGCCGAACAGAGGGTCCAATTCACCCCCCTCCGACAAATTCTGGATACTCGCACACAAAGAAGAATCAAACGAATTGGATTGAGTGATGAGATCAATCATATTGAGCGGGAGAAGCGAGACGCAAGAAAGTATGAGAAGACCATGCAGGCCCTACGTCAAGAGCGAGATGCTCTCAAACTCGAGCTGAGGGCCATGAAGCGCGATTCAATGGGCCTCGAAGACCCAACCTTAGAGTCCAGCTCTTACTGGGCTGCACCCCAGTCCCCTCGGTCTTGTGAAAATGTGTCAGTGGCATTGAACCAGAGCGCCGATGAGACGACTTATCTTGTCAACGGTGATGACGATACATTTATGTTCAATGACAGCGCTGTCATTGTTTCCAGCTCACCTGATCTTCGTGCAACTCGAAATCTCAACTTGCCGCTCACTGATAGCCTGCTGCTATTTGATCAGCCACAAGCGCCATCCGCTCTTGACCCAGAACATATTTCGGAAAATAAAGAAAATTCCGATACCCACTCTCTGGCGCTTGATCTGGCAGCTGCCAGAAGAGAGAAGAAGAGCTTGTTTGATGCGTGTCGGTCACACATCTCTAAACTGAATGAGCCTGCATTTGACGACCTTTTCAAGGATTCTTCTCCGCCGTCAAACTTCTTCGACAATCTGTTAGATATACTATCCTCTGCTCTTTCTCGAGCTTCGGATGCAGCTGAAGCTCTGCAAGGTGTCAGTGAAGAGTGCTCCACTCTGGGATTCTCTGGAGAGGATGCAACGGATATTATATCCGACATGCGGAGACATTTCCGCTCTGCGCGCCTTGAACTTGAGCGTGCTGTGCCGGGTGAGACTGCCAACGTCGGCCTTGAAGACGGAAAGGGCACATTGGCCGCACTCGTCCGTCGGGTTGAGTCTCTGGCACAAGATCTAGACACAGAGCAACACTATCACCATGGCTCCCTTGGCCGGGAAAAAGCTCTCCGTGGACAGTTTGATGCTTTGTTGCATCGGTATGAGGCAGCCGCTGCTAAGATTGACAGCCTGGAAGATTCTATATCATCTTCCGCCGGTGATATGCTCCACACCCGCATTCGAATGCAGGACCTCGAACGCGAAGGCCAAGAACAGGCCATTGGGATTGACAGATTAAACACAGCCCTTGATAAATATCACCACGAGGTAAAGGGTCTCGAAGACCTCATTGATAGCCTTGAGAAGGAAAACTCGGCCACAAAAGAGGATTACGCGAAACAAATCTCCCACCTCCGGAAACAGGTTGCCCATGAACGCTCCAAGCGGTCTTCGGCCGAGGCCTCTGCTTCTTCGGCTGATACACGTATTCGAGAATTGGAGGAGACTGTTCAAAACAATCGGATCAGATCTTCCGACTTGATGGCTCAAGTGGACCAACTTGAAAAAGAGCAGCAGAGAGCCATTGAAGCTCTTGAGCAGAATGCCACAGAGCTCCAAAGTCATGAAGCAAATACCGGAAGTCTCAATGTTCGGATTTCAGACCTCACCACATTGCTGGATGACGCAAAGTCAGAAGTTCAACGCCTCGGTCTCCTCAACACTGGGCTTGAACAGCAGCTACGTGTTGAAACAGAAGCTCGCGAAGAGCTTCTAGACAAGTGGGCCGCGGACCAAGTGCGATCATTCGCCCACATGAAGGAAACCATCAACGCAGAGCGCCGTAGAGCGAAGGTCCGCGCTGCCAATTGGGAACTGAAATCCGATGACCTCATGTCGGACGGTACCACTACCGTGGGCTGCGGAAGCGAGCCTATTACGCCAGTCAGCGTAACCCGCTTCGTGGATGTTGAATTCGGCCGCGGCAAGGGCCGACGTCGCATGGATAGTGGAATTGGGATTTCGTCTGAGGAAGAACTGATGAAGTCTGGTTCCCTATCGGATCGCCCTGGTCTTGATTCTGACATCGATCTCCCCACTCCAGACTTCAGTTGATCATTGGGCATCATCGTACCACAAATTATTTCATTTGTCTTTATCAATTTTTGTGCAACTAATCTCATCTGTCGTTTGACTTACAAGGCTGACTTCACCTGTATATTACACATCTACATCTTCACATTTCTTTGACTTGCAAAATATTTTTCCAATTGAGTTGGATTCAAATCGAAGTAACATTCCACCTATTTACCTAATATCCAGTCATCACAAACATCAAATGGTATATCGCGCATCGCAAATAAAAAAGCACCCCTAAAGTTCCCGGTCAACTCACGGGCGTTCCGTGGCTCCCTCGCCAGTCATAGCCCTGGGTTGAGGATCAATGTGCTCCTTGTGACCAGGACGCGAAAAGATAGCGCCAAAGAGATTGAAAACATTATTGCATCGGACCATCATGCAATAGAACAGCGTGATACCCGTGACCATGAGCTCCTCCTGCGCCGCTCGATCATGTTTCTTGGGCCCATCGAACTCGATTTTACCAATATTCGTGACACCCCATGCATTCCCAGAGAACTTGGCCACAGCATTCTGCTGTTCATCGACACAGACAAAGTCCCAAGTCTTGAACGCAAGGTTACTGGACCAAGTCATTGTGACGGGCGTGTTGTTTGTAGAGAAATTGAGCGAGCGGTAGGTATACAGCGTGCTGAAACGTTTCTGAGCCAGGAGTTGACCCTCCTGACCATGACATTTGTAGCCGGGATTGATGGAAACCAAATTCAGCTTGCCGCTTCCCACGACGTCCTCAGTGGAGACATTTTTGAAGATCATTGAGGCTGCTTTTTTGGACGCGAACTTGAACGGGAAGTCAATGATGTAGATGGGTTCTGAGGCAGGATTTTTCGTATCGAAGATCTTGCCTTGCCAGTCTTTCCATGTGAATTTGACAGTAAAAATAGGATTCTCTGTGGGATGGAGTCGTGAAGTATCAGGAGGAAGATCAGAAGAAGCCATTGTGTCGAAGGGGTCTTTTTGAAATGGTCTGTGGAATATTGAATGTAACTGCGGGTGTCACTGGAGCACAGAGTATGTAGTCCAAATTAAGGATTCCAAAAGAAAAGCCCAAGTCTACAAGTGTCTCCAGGATCTACTTAGTTTATGTACAGAAAGACAGCGGGCTTGGCATTTCCACTCTAATTTATGGTTCAGTTGAGCTAAGCCTCAGTTGGCTCCTCAACCAATCAGCACTGGGCTTCTTTTCTTCCTTTGGGGGCCATGAGGTCAGTCCCCGATAAATTTGGGGGCGAAGATGTGAACAGTGCCGTTTACCCTGAGCAAGGGGCACAGATGATTTCCGACACTGAGTACGAAGTCATATAGAGTACTCCATATCTCTAACAATGTTGGGCCTGAATTGAGTGACTTGACCTCAAGACCCCTTATTTGTGAAACCCGTATTTCATTGCAGTTCGACAGTTCAATAGTACGAGAGTACAACAGGTACTTCATGCATTTATGTACTTTTTACTCCGCACCTTACAGTTAGTTATAGAGCGGAGAAAATAACGTTGGAGTGTGTTATCGTGGTTGAGTTCCGCAATCAGATCTTATCGGGACTTGATTGTCTTCGATGACGTTGTCGGGCGTCAACATGAACCTCCATTCTTGTTCCTTCTCTCGCAATGAAGCAACTGAACCTTCACTTCGCTAATCAATATCAGTACCCTCGGAGATACTTGGTATATAACCATGGGCAACAAAGGAACAAATGAGCATGGATACCGTTTGAAGGTGACAGCCGGTCCAGTCCATGACCGCGACACTCATCAAGTAGTACCCGTGAATGGCGAGACGCTACGCATTGAAAACGAGCATGCGATTGTGAGTCTGTGTGTACGAGTTCAAGACTATACAGGCAAGAGCAGATCCAAGTGATTTCGGCAAGAACCATGCTTATGATTCATTAGGATATCCCGAAGATTCGCCAACCACCAGCCCTTACTTTGAGCATCCTCTACACACCAAAGATTTGTACTCCATATGCTTCGCAATAGTCTTCAAGGAGCGCGTGAATGGCAACAACCTCATGTTCGGCAATGATTTCGATCATCCCATCCGCGATGTCCTGCCGCCGGGCTTCAATGCCGCTTTGCGGATGGTCAAATGGACACTTGATCCAGGACTAGATGGTGATGTCTACGCAGATGAACCATACCTCTTCAGTCCTGCATTGGCAACATGGGACATATTCCGAATAGGGGATAAGATGAGCAAGTCCGACGAGGTCCCAAATTTCCATGACGAGGTGGTTGAAGAAGGCGCATATAGCGAGGAGGCTGCCGAGAATCGACGGCAGTTCAACATTCCTGACACAGTCGAGGGGCGGAGAAAGCATTTCCAAGATGAAGCCAATAGGAAAGACTTTGATTTCGAGCCAGGCAGGATGTATGTGGCTGACTTCGGGAATCCTTACTTGGCTTTCAGTGGTAAGTGGAGAATCATTGAGGGGTCTTTCTTGATCTATGACCACTAACTTGAGAATGCTAGACTTCTCGGTTCGGCTTCCTGGGTTTACATTGCATGCCATGAAATACGTGGATCCGAAGAATCACGAACTGCGATACACTCTCAAGGACACGTCTACTGGGCAGGTATATCTTTCTTTGGTGTTTTCTGTGGTCCTCCCTGAAATAGAAGATAAGCAAGAGACGAGCAATGGCAGCAAAGAGGGAAATGATGAGTTGGGAAAGTTTGATTGGGAGCCTGAGCCAGCGGCTGGTGATGTTGAATGAAGATCTACGTCTTTTCGCAACAGTCTGAAGCTTACAATGCCACCACCCACGGGCTTGCAAAGTGGATGACTTTCAACCTAGGTCATTGGGCCTCGATATATGCAAAGCCGGGGTATAAAGGGAAAACAACAACTTCGTTCTCTCTAATCATAATCTGCTAGTTGGCTTATATACAAATTTTCGTCTACAGTCTCTTCAGGACATCGTCCAACACCTGCTGGGTGGTGGCCTTGCCGCCCATGTCGGGGGTAAGGAACTGAGCAGCGTCAAGGTTGCCGTCAACGGCAGCGTAGATCTTGGCAGCAGCCTTCTCCTCACCCAGGAACTCCAGCATGAGAGCAACACTGCGGAGAGTAGCAATGGGGTTGGAGATACCCTGGCCCTCGATATCGGGGGCACTGCCGTGGCAGGGCTCACCGATAGCGAAGTTGTCACCGACGTTGGCACTAGGGACGAGACCCAGGCTGCCGACGAGGGCAGCAGCACCGTCAGAGAGGATGTCACCGTACAGGTTAGGAGCGACAATGACATCGTAGTACTCGGGCTGGCGGAAGAGCTTGTAGACCATAGAGTCGACAATCTGCTCTTCAATGTGGACGGAGGAGAACTTCTCGGCCGCAAGGGCCTTGCGCGCGGTCTCACGGAAGAGACCGTCGGTCTGGGAAAGAACGTTGGACTTGTGGGTGATGGTGACCATGGCCTGGTCGCGGGTGGAGGTGGCAGGGGCAGCGGCACGGATGTTCTGGCGGCGGAGAGCAATCTCACCAGCGATGGTGGAGATACGGCTGGAAGCACGCTCGGAGATACGCTTGATGGCCTCGGCAACCTTGCCGTCGGGGCCCTCGGTGGTGCGCTCCTCCTTCACGTAGAGGTCCTCAGTGTTCTCGCGAACGATGACAAGGTCAATGGGGTTGCCATTGCTGCTGCCAACGGTGGTCTTAACGGGACGGACGTTGGCGAAGAGGTCGAGCTTCTTGCGCAGAGCGACAATGGGAGAGGAGTAACCAGCGACCTTGGTGCTGGGGGAGCTAGAAGTTGACAGTCATTGTCAGCAAAACCGAGCAAATGCAAAACACAGGTGGGTTCCTCTTTACCTGACAGCACCGAAAAGAGCACCGTCACACTCCTTCTTGAGGGTCTCGACAGTCTTGTCGGGCAGAGCAGTTCCGGTCTTTTGGAAAGTGTCGTAACCGGCCTCAAGGTCAACGAAGTTGAACTTGAGGTTCAGGGAAGAGGGAAGAGATTCGAGAAGACGACGACCAGCCTATATATCATCAATCAACATCAAGTCAGTCAATTGACTCATCGTTCATGCCTCTGGAGCTACTTACCGGGATGACCTCCCGTCCGATACCGTCTCCGGGGATGAGACCTAGATAATTCCGCCCATTAGTCAATTGACTTGCCACAAGCTTGAGGAACGCAGGCAATTGTACCAATACGAAGTGTCCGAGCGGCAGCCATTTTGTTTGAACTGTTGCAAAGTTGCTTGACTGTCGCCGTCATCGGAGCTTTCCTTTTTGTATGGGACTGGGATCAACGTTTATCCGACGTGACTCCTTTCCTCCGGACCGGAGTCATACCAACTGTTGGGACGCTGATATGCGCTACACAGAGTACGGATTATATTGCTCGTGTTAAATGAAAACATGTTTGGTTTCACTAAATACTCAATCCAGTGTGGACAAAATTGACAAAAATGTGTGCACTGGCTTGCCCATAATCATCAAAATAACCCATGTGGCATGAAGGGCTCAAACCCAGTCATCCAGCGAGGTCCACCCATCACTGATTGGCTTCGCGGCCGAAATAAGGGTGTCGTGTCCAGCGTTGTCTAGTCTGATCACTGCATACTGACTGCCGCAGAATACGTAGTAATGGCCGGGTTGGTCTATGATGGAAACCATTGTATCGACACAATCAAATCCAGCTTTGACGATGCTTGGCCAGCCTGTTTTGATTGGAGTAACTTTGCCCGTCAGCTTGCCAGAGGAACAGTTCATGCGAACATAGTGTAAGCCGCGGAAGAAATAGATATCGGTATCACTTCCCGGTACTTTGAGTGCAGCATCCACAGTGTCGAATCCTGTCTGAACGAGAGCTTTCCATCCAGATTCAATGGAGTGTGCTCCATCGATAACAAAGCTGTCATCGTAGTTGTCGAGCCTGATATGGACATATCGGCCTCCAAAGAATACATAAAGCTGATCATCATGGCCTGGAACGGGGACGACAGTGTTCACACAGCCAAATCCACTATTGTTGAGAGTATTCCAGCCCTTGGTGATTAGTTTTGGGCGAGAGACAAGGTTCTCATGATCGGGGGGTGTCATCTTGACGCGGCCGTAGTGCCGGCCTGCGAAAATGTAGTACTCATTCTTGCCGGCAATACGGTAGGCAGCGTCAACCATTGTGGCTCGAGAACAGTAGTGTAGAACAGGGAGGGATCAGTGGTGATTATTCCAAAATTTCCAAGGTTGATTCGTCACTGAAAGTTGAGTATGTAGGAGATGGTGCGATGGTCAAGAGGATGCTGGGATGGAGCTCTTTATACCCAAAAGACTTGCTACAAATTTGTGCAATTTGCTATATAACGTTCGAATTCGTATGTCGTGTCACAGTCACAAGATTTGATATGTGTACGGCTTCCGTCTCTCGGTTTTGGTAGGATCAAATATTATGGGTAGAAATCAAGCGTCAAAGCCAACGTACTTGGAGTCTGTATTATGTTTGACTGCAGTGTCTTGTTTATACACAATCAAACACAGCTTCATCCAAAGATCTCACTTCCTTAGACCGAGCCAGTCCGGAAGATTGGGCCACACAACATTTGTTACGCTAAATTAGCTCAGATAGACAACACAGCACTCCTCGCTAAGATGTTTGTGGTCATTTGCGTTAGTCAGGATGATATGTGACGCGTGTAGAAATGCTCGTCAAGGGAGAGATATGACATGTGGACGCTGCCTGGGGTTGATAGTAAGTCCAGAGGCTACCTGAGTAGTCTCAGCTCAGATTTTCGAGATGGGTCTACGTTTCCAAAATTGTAAAAAGGATATTTTGAGGGACCCCAGCCTTGTGACAACGCACCTTCCTAGGTAATGAGCCTTGGAAGTCGACTCAGTAGCCCTAGAGTATCCAATCGGAAATTGATGCATTTTGTGGTACTCTATTGTCATCAGCTTACATAGAATGGGCCTGATATCCCACGTGACTGTGATTTACAAGATCTTCAGATGAGATTCCAAAACAGGTCATTTATCGCGAAGCAGCCCTAACGAAATTGCGACGGTAAATTCCATCGCATCTTGGAAGGGCTGACTTCCAAGGGTCGCAGTCCATGGGGCTTTACGAGCCAAGAATTGACGCTAAACCTAAAAGGGTCATTTACCACGAGCGGGATCCACTGTATACAAAAGTTAAAAAAGGAGCAGAGTCAGAAAGAAGATATTTAAAGGAATCGAATCGCACATATTTCGCTCATTCAATTGAGATTAGATCAAGCACAAAAATTCAGCAACAGTGTCTCTTTGACATAAGGATTGGTATAAGACCTCATTATGGAGCTCAACCTTCTATCCCGCTCATTGGATTCGTCCGTTTCACCTGGAAAACGAAACATTGCCATCGCCGAGATTGTGATATACTCCTTGATCCATATCACGCAGTTTAGTACAAGGTTTTTGCAAGAGCGACACTATTGGCATCATACCAAGAATAAAGGCATCGGACGCTGTATCTTTTATTCTTGGTTCAGCATGGTTGGCCTTTTGTCACAAAGTGAGCTACCAAAACAATACAAATTTTGTATGAGTAGAAGAACTCTACTAACTCGACGCAGTTCGCATAGCTGGCTCAGCTTTGGTACTCGCTTCTTCGCACCCAGACCAGTCATTAGTCACTGCCGCATCCGTCATGCAAAGCGTGGGCCTCTCGCCTCTTTTGTTTGAAGTCAGCTTGGTGATGCTGAGATGGTATGTTCAAAGTCCACCTCGGAGAGTTATTAGTTTCAAGCAATACTGATGTCTCCTCAAAACAGTGGGCAGTCTGGAGAAACTGGACCCGGAAATTCGAAATGGACCAAGTGGATCCGATTCGCCCTGCACTTCTTCCGCTTCCCTATATTCTTTGCCATTATCCTCGCCGTGGTGGGTGGCATTATCCAGATGCACGAATTAGGGGAGGCTGGATCAATTCTTCTGATTGTCACCTTTGTCTATGTGTGCAGTTTGGTTACTTGGCTTGCGGTGAAAGCCCGGTCAGTTCTTCCCAAGTCTGGACAGCAAGCAGCTCTGTTGGTTGTTGTGACATTGCCCTTCTTATTGGTCCGGGTCATCTATTTTCTGTTGTTGGAGTATGGTCCTCCTCAATTTAATCCTGCGAGTGGTGATGTTGGAATAATGATCGGAATGGGTCTTTTGATGGAGATTTTGGTCGTTGTCTTGCTGATACTGGCACGCGCAGTGGCAGAACCGATCCTGCCATCGGTAATCAAGACGCGCATCGCATATGATGACTTGGAATCACCAGCGGATTGATGTTTGCTGTTTGTCAGGGCAGTTTTCGTGGAGTGCGCGATCCAAAATACCAGTAGAAAGACTCGGGGATGAAAGGTATAGCAGCCTTTGATATAGATTCCAGAATCACAGAACAGATTTGTAGTTCTCTGGCTGGGAAGCAGCGTAGGTCTTGGAAAATTGTTCAAGGCAGCTCATAATCCATGATCTTGTCGCTGTATCAGCAACCTCAAAGGCAACGCGAAGGGGAAATCCCATTCTGTATGGGCCCATGACACCCACGCTGTTGAATTCAACCGATTTGCAAATTTGATCTCTGAAGTAGACAACCATCATCTCGTGATCACCTGGATATCCACAGTTCTTCAATATTTCATGGATAATCACCATGTAAGAGTAGTAGCCGCAGTATATGGTGGCATGGCTAACATCTGTGTATAAAAGAACAGTGGGAAACATCTCATCCCCCGTTGAGGATAATGTCTCGACTGGTGGTGATGCAATTCGCGAGTGTTGCTGGTACCATTCAGCCAACTTCGTCTGCATATCAAGGGCTTTTGATAGCATCCCAGACATTACGTGCAACGCTTCGGGGCCAGTCAATTGAGCATGCCTCAGCTCATAAAGTCTGTGCACAAGGCTTGGTGTGTATGTGAGGTATGCAAAGAAAGTTTCTATGCTGTGGTGCAGTTCTGCTGAGAGATCCGTTGTGAACTGCTGTCGCATTGTCGCGTGCCAGTCTTCAGAGGCTAAAAAGCATTCATCTCCAGAAAACATTGAATGCATAACCTATCCCATTATCAGCCTGTCGTTAACTTATATTCTAATACTTTTCTTGTGGATCAAGTCAACAATGAGGACCAGACCAAGCACTCACAATCAGACCCCGGGAGGCTTTGAGTAGTGTTATGTCGAACACATTGTTATATCTATCTGGTCCTCGAATGTTGACCAACTGACTCAGACCTTTGGCGTGTTTCATCCATGAATCTGGGTTCTCGGTATCTGTAAAAAGCTATGCCAAGTCAGTATAGGGCTTAGCGACGGTACCATTGAGATGATCTTACTTCATACATGCACAGCATCACAACCGCACAGAATATGTGGGTGGATAAACTTTCGGCCGGTGTTTGCAACGACTTTCTGAGTCCACGGAGAGCTTCTCCGTACGCTGACCGGGCATATGACACCATTTGGGTGTTCCCCGTCACACGCCCAAAGTGATGAGCTGTGAAGGATCTGATAGTGGCATCCAAAACCCGATTCTGACCATAAACAGAAGGAAGAAACCCCAGCCATCGGGTCACGACATGTGTCAAGCTGGGTGTGTATGGTTGGGAGAAATCATCTATGAGCACACACAGAGATTGTATAACATTTGAATTCTTGGAGACTATTCCCTGCGGTCTATCTCTCTGAGCTAGTGCCTGGCTAGCAGGGTTGCGCTCTGATTCTGGACTAGACGTCGCAGTGCTGGATGCGCCATTTCGATCATCAGGCGCATTGGGTTGACGCCGGTTCCGATATGGCTTTCCAGTTACAAACTTGAAACCTCGATTATACCCAGGACAGGGTTGACCATATTTCTCGCATTTGACACAGCTAGGGAGTCTTTCGTCACACTGTGGGGGTGTTAGTGGCGGGCCTTGTCGCGGCGGTGAACATCATACTTTGACTCGGCGCTTCACACACAGCGAACAGCCATGGCTCCGGGGCACACCAACCATAGTCAGATCACAGTAGCATCATACTTAAGTAGAATTTCAAGAGCTGACTGGAGGGTGAGAACAGGGAAACCTCGTATAGGAGCCTTGAGACTTGGTCACGTGCATGTTCGGTCTCTCATTGGCTGAATAGAGTCGACAACCCAAGGTACTACCTGGGGTGTACCTACAGCAGTATAACTACAGCACTACGGAGTACACATGCAGTATACTGAAAATGAATCGTTTATAAAAAACAATTTGCATTGAAATTACAATTGATGGCGTAGTAGAACATCCAAGCATCCCGGGCCAGCCTTACAGCGTCATACTTCCAAGTACCCGACGGAATAGAACTTTGGAAGCTTTTGGAGGACCTGGGAACCCATCTATATCCACCCCGACATATGCACCTAAAATAGTATGCATCTCTAGGTACATATTCCAGCTAGATTCAAAATTAACTCACCTTAGGCTTGAGTTCTTCCATGCGTTGTCCAAATCTTTGCGGGGCCTCGGCTGTGAACAAAAGTAAACAAAGTGCTGAACACAATGCACACCGTGTACTCCGTATACTACTCCGTACACAGAGCATTCCGGGACCAAGTGTCCTCAGTGTTTCAGAAATAGGGGGGTTTCAACTAATAGACTATGGAGTACGGAAATAATTAATCTCTCGTCATGAAGCCCCTGAAAGTAAGGGCCGTTGCCTATTGACGCTAGCCCAGACTAGCGTGATGTATGTAATAGTTTTTGGATCCTCTTCTTCACACGCTCGCCTCTTCTCCAATTCATCTTTCTTGTTTTGAAGCCAAACCGGGACAGTGTGGGATCTGCCACTATCCGATTAGCAGTCCCACCGTTCCAAACGTTTTGAACCGATCTCACCCCCCTATACGGAGGTTCCAGCACTTCTCCTCCGAACCGTGTAATCCTGGATCATGTCCGATAACCCGCACCACCCTGGCGTGCGTAGCTTGCTGGCCAAATTCGAAAACCAAAGCCCCATCGCCTCCCCGCCCTCCCGTGGCCGATCCCCAGCTGCGTCAGATTCCTCGGGAACGGCTCGACAATTATCCAAAGTCCGCGCCAGCTTCGTCACCGTGGACGGTGTCATCCAATCCAACCCAGCTTCGCCTTTGAGGAAAACAAGCGGGCGCAGCGACAGCCCTGGTATTTTTGGCCCGAAGATAAATTCGGAACAGACAGAGTCTGGCCGGCAAACAATGGCTTCTCCTACTCCGCCCAGTCACCAAAAACACACCCAGAATGCGACTCTGGGACGGATAATGGCGGACGGCCGACCCGATCAGGGCAATGAGACTAAGGGACAACCAGACCAGAGTGCCAAAGAAATCCCCACAACACCTACCGAGACAGCGCCGAAGCTGGACCCTACGCCAGAGAAGACAGAGAAGGATGTCTCTGTCCGGTCCAAATCGGCAACTTCGGACACTCCTTCGCAGAATTCGGATTCATCCGCAAAGGCCAAGAAATCTTCTCCGCTTGGCCCTGCACGGAGTGCGGCCAGCAAGCCCAAAGTAACTGCTGCACCTTCAGCCAAGCCTGCCTCCAACACACACCCGAAGCCTTCAGCCCGCGAGATAGCCAAAGAGCGCTCCAACTCTCTCGCCCACAAGCCGAGCCGCGTCTCGCTGAACCCTAAGACAACTGCACGATCAACCCGAGGCGCCACCCCTGCACAAGACACTTCAAAGCCAACAGGCGCAAGTGCACCCACCCGATCCGGAGTGAAGTCCCCCGCCAGGCCTGCCCGTGCAACAGGCTCAACGGCTGCGTCAACTCAATCATCTGCTGGGAAGCTTGGAAGCACTGGCGCTCCTAGCACCCGCGGCGCGACTAGCTCAACCCTCCACAGAAAACCCTCAACCTTAAAGAGTGCAGTTGGAAACCAGCACGCGACTGCCCCAACCACTGTTCGCAGACAAGCATCCCGTCCATCACTGCCCGCTCAGCCAGCCGGAGATGCACATGCCAAGCCGGTCAATGAGGGATTCCTCGCAAGAATGATGCGACCTACCGCCAGCTCTGCTAGCAAATTGTCCCAGGAGAAGGCTGATTCAAAGCCTGCGGCAAAGACTACCACTGCGCACAGGGCACCCAGACCCTCAGTTGGAAGGACCACGGAACGGGGTACATCTGAAGTGAAGCCTAAGAGCACCTTGCGACCGCATGGTGAAAAATCCCAGGCTTTGAACAAGGGCTCGGTGCCACAGAAGAACGGCCTCAAGCCTCCCCAGAAGAAGCAAGAGAGTGAGAAGGAGAATATCGCCGAGACTACCAACGCCAGCCCGAAGGAGCCTGTGCTAGCGAAGCCTGCCCAAGTTGTCGTTACAGAACAGCCCGAGGCCACCGCGAAATCAGCCGAAGAGAAGGCTACCCCTGTTCAAGTTGAAGAGTCTGTCCCGGAAGCCGCTGTTGAGTCGAATGAGAAGCCGACGGAGCTGGCTGAGCCTATAGTGGAAGAGACACCAGTCGAGGCTCCTACTCCGGCTGAGGAACCTTTGGAGGTGCCGGTCAAGACAGAAGCTATTGTTGAGTCTATTCCTGAAGTTGTCGAGGAGAACTCTGGAGACAAGGCCGCCACTGAGGAAGCAGCTGAGCCCAGCCCAGCTCAACCCAAGGAGGTTGCTGAGGAGCCCGTTGCGAACTCGGAATTCACCAGTAACGATGATTCCAAGGTCAGCGAGAAGCAGGAGGCCATTGCAACCGAACCAGAATCAATTGAGGTCTCCAAGTCTGTCGAACCCCCAGTCGAAGTTTCTGAGAAGAAAGAGGTAACTCCTGAACCTGGACCCTCGGAAGAGCCAACTCAAGAGACAACCACAGAGACTGAGACCGCAGAGACTGAGACCGCAGAGGTTAAGCCTGCGGAGGAAGTCTCTGCCGATGTTCAATCCAAAGAGCCTGCACCTGCTGTGCAACACTCATCCGAGGCCGAATCAAGCAATGTCGCTCTCGACATCACCAATTTGGCCTTGCATTGAGCATTGTTCACCATCAGACATGTCCCAAACTCTCCTGGTAGCCGGACTTCTGGCACTGAGCCTTTTGGACCAACCTTTTAATAATCCTCTGACTATACACCTACCAATATCTCCCTTTGCGCCTCGCCAAGCGGAAGCCTCTTTTCAAGTCTCGAGCTTGCTCTCGAGCATTCCGATTATCTCATTTCCCCGGGGTTTCTTCATCACTCTATGGCAGCATATCCACTTCCGTCTATGCTAAGCTGTCTTCTCTTTTTGCATTCTCTGTACCGTTTTCGTGAGCATATCTTTCTTAGCGCTTAGGGCATCATCAAATCTAGCAATTTGTTTTCATCAATAGTGGGATTTAGAATTGGAAAATCTATAACACACCACGGATCTCCTAGCCTGGTATAATTTGCTCTCATCTTACATTGGGAGGACTACACGGAGTACTCTTGCAATGATGAATGAAATTTCATATTCGTATAAGCTGCCCAACAGCCACAACATGAAAAGTAAGTGAACGCTCCAGCACAACATGATTCTTATCAGCAGATATGCTCGAAGATGCAAATTGTAAGCTCCCAACCCAAACACTCAAAGCTTTCTCTCAAGCTTCCTCAAAAACCTATTCATGCCACCCTCCAAACGCTCCGCTTTCTCTTCCAATCTACTTGACCGTCCCGGGTTCTTCATAGCCTTCTGTGCATATTTCTGGTTGTGGCCGCCAGCTTCAATTTCAGTAGGCCTGTACACTTGGCTATGGATATCATACTCTGAACCTGCACGCTGCAGCTGCTGGGGTTGTGTCACCGAGCTCTGGCTGTGCGAGTAGTTTGAAAAGCCGCTGCCTGGGGCCGCAACTTGACTCTGGGGTGGTGTTTGGGACTTAACGCCCCCGTATACCTGCTGATCATAAAGATGAGCATTTGGGTCTTGGGGCGGCGGAGCAAAGGACATCGAGCCCTGTCGGCTGTTTGAGTGCCCCTGTCCACTAAGGAAGGATTGCGAGTGTGATGGAGTGGTCATGCCAGGGCTTTGGGTCGTAGGCTGGACAGAAAAGGAGTTTGAGTATTGGAGACCAGCGCTAGGAGGAGGAGAGGCATAAGTTGGGAGACCTGTAGATGGGGGTCCTGCGTATTGCAGCCCTGGCCCCTGATTTGAAGGGGGTGGAGAGGCGTATGCGCCTATGCCACCGACTCCCCCGATGATCTGGTTTGGGGGTGTGTATGGGACTCCATTGTCGGCTGCTACTGCGGCTGCGAGGCCTGTGCCGACCATACCATCCTCTGGTGGCGGGGTCTTTTCGCGATGTTGGATTGGCTCCGGGGCTGCTGGGGCTGCCGGGTTGTAAGGCAGTGGGGCGAAACTAGCTGGGTCTTTCTTCTCCTCAGCTGGAGTAGGGCCATTGCTAGATCGCTGCTCGGTTGGCATACCACTTGGGGGCGGTGGTGGGAAGCTACTTATTTGCGGCGGTCCTTGGGGAGCCGGTGACACTGCCATTGGATCGGACCGGGAGTTTCGTGTTTGTCCATTCTGGTAGGCAGGGTCTGAGACGGCCACACTCTCAAGCTGTTGGACTACCGAACTCATGGGCTGCTCTGGCTGTGGTGCTGGCTCCCTATCTGTCTCGACCTGCGAATTTGATAGAAGCTGTACAGCTGCATCCAAGAACTGGGTGGAATCCTCGGTGCCCCAGAAGTAGATGTCTAACGTGTGGAGACGAGGGAAGTCCCGAAAGTCATTGGAGTTGTCACGCGGATCCCCGCTAGGCAGACGCCATTCGTGCTGAAGAGCAGCTTCTTGTGCGTACTGTTGCTGTTGCGGGGACGGTGTCATGCCCTCCACTGTTAGTGTACAGAGTGTGGGGAACTGAGCAGTGTGTCGTATATGGACATTGTCCATATGACCGCAAAATGCATCCTGCCCCGGTGATCCAGGATTATTGGCAATCTCAATCCGGGCCTTGTTTTGGGCAGCGTTATGGTAGATATAGAGGAATGAGCCTTTGTCAAAGCGGTGGTGGTATGGTAGAGGTCTTTGGGTTGGCTCTGTGAAGTAATAATGAATATCGGCGAAACTGTGTCGACTGTCAGCCCATATTTCCAACTCGAAAATCAATCTGCGGGGAAATCAGTTCAACTCACAGAGTCACCAGGCGCTCTTCGCCTGCTAATGGTGGCATGTTTATAGTGCAGTATGAGAAGCAGTATTCCGTACACGGGAAATAGGTACGGAGTAAAATGGAGAAATCCAAGAGCGACCAAGGTCTGTATTTATTATTTTCTAACTTGCGCTGAGGGGTCAGCCTGTGAGACGCCAGCATCCAACCGCCAATGCAAAGGTGGGCGCTTAGAGCTATGTGATGTGACGAGATAGTACTAGTGACCTGGGCATCACACACATCTGTTGCGGGCGGGAAAGTATCGGGTACCTGGACATGGCTATTGTCCGGACACACGTTTTTCCGAAAGCAATTCTCATCCCCAAATAATCGCATCACCAGTCGGCGCTGCATCACCGACCTCCCTGTCGTCCCTGATACCCCGAATTGCCATTCCGGTATTTGATCATCCTTCCGCGTGAGGATCTCGACTGCCTCCATTCTCCATCCGCAACCAATTCCACCGAACACTCTTTTCTACCCCGACACGGCCGCCGGTAGGGCCTAATTGCTACCGTCGCAAAATCAACATGTCTCTCGTCAATCTGTCCGCGGTCTGCGCCCACTTGAACAATGCCACCAAGGCACGCCTCGCCCTCACCTCAATCCCCAACAGCAACCTCCACCTGAAGCTCTCCCTCGCTCTCCAAAACTCCGGCTACATCTCTTCTGTTGTCCGCGGAGGTCCGACTCCTCCCCCCGCCCATCCTATCCTCGGCTACCCTGCTGCCAACGATGAAGTCGAAGGCATTGAGACCATAACCCGCGACAACGTCGCTTCCAGGCGCCTGTGGCTCGGGCTCAAGTACTGGGAAAACGAGTCCGTTCTTGGCAAGGTCAAGATGGTCAGCAAGCCCACCCGACGAGTGAGCATTGATGTGGAAGCACTGCGTCGCGTGGTTCGCGGTGAAGACACTGAGTACGTGGGTGGCATTCGGTCCCCGGGTGAGAGTCTCTATCTCTCCACGGACCGCGGAATCCTCGAAGCTCGCGAGTGTGTTGAGAAGAAGGTTGGTGGACTGGTTCTATGCCGTGTGCTATAAAACTGCGATTGTTCTAGCGGCTACCTGTCCCTAACCCTGGGATGTGGACTGGTCCACTGGGGAGTTTTATTTTCCTGTTTTGCATCTACTTTGGAGTTCGTCGGTTAGTCGCAGCGCTGTCTCTTCACGAGATTCGTCCTTTTGTGACTGTTGGGATAATACCTAGGTCAAGGATCTGTATATTAGATTTCTGTGTGTATCTTGCCTTCTGGGCGCTCTGCTGTGATTGTGCAGCTGTCCCCAATGCGATACAGTGTATAGATTATGACTTTAAATTTCTCGTGCGCTCCTTTCATCTTGTGTCTGGGCAAATGGGTTGGAAACAACCACCTGATTTTGTATTGGAGAGACGATTTCTTAATCCTCCGTCTTGGTTTGAGTATAAAACGGCATCTCATCTCCAGTCTTGGGGCCCATGAATAGACAGGTTGCGAGCAAGTGAAGGAAATCAATTTCGGATGGACAGGGTATTATTTGTAGCTGAATTGGGTGACTTGGACGAGTCATTCAAATCTCATGTACAGGAGTACTCCATACGAGCTATATACCTACATCCATGGATTGTCCTCCACTTCGTAACCTTCGTGTTTTGATTACACCCGTGGACCCTTCGCCTTCGCCTAATCTCCTATCTCTCCATCGACGCGTCGTGTGCAAGAGCCCCACTTGAATCTCCTTCTACCTGACTCTTCGCTATATCAACTACTTCATGGTGGCTGATACCTAGGCATCTCCAATCCACTCCACTTTCTCCAGCCCTTTCGGTGTGTCCTTACACCTGCAAAAGCGTGTATCTAGAGTCCAACCAATCGTGCTAACCCTGGTACAATATCCTAATCCAGCAAAAGCTATGGATCCAGCCGCCAAACGCCTGCGGGCCAACACCTTAGGGGATGCGGAGACCACAGGGGCCGAAGCTCCATCCACACAAACAGCAGCAGAGAAGGCTACCCAGCTTGTCGATAAGATCGATGCACAGGAGGTTTCCAAAATTCTCATTCAAGCTGCCCAGACACATCCGGATGTAATGGCCATGCTAGACGATTCATTCCGCGCTATGGTCGAGCGCGAGCGAGCCCGCGTGATCACTTTTGACTATTATTCAAGTTCAATCTGGAGGGAGATCAATGTCAGTTACAAATCCATGCGCGGCTCGCAGCAATATGAACAAGCATTTGATGTTGCTTCGGAGACGTCCAGTACCATTCAATCGATTGCGAGACAGTGTGGTCGCAACGCAAATCCCCAAACGCGCTACAACGGTCTCTCCGTGCTACGCAAGATTGGAAAGACAATTTGCCTTTCTCAAGGCAACACGATTGCACATGAGGTGCAGAAACATTTCCAATCGGATGATGCGCTTGTGAAAGGAATGATCAGTATCATTAACTCGATGGGAGATGATGAACTCGAATCGATCGCCAACCAGGAGGACACGGAGAAACTGTACCCAAAGTTGGTGGAGCTCGACCAGCTATCAGAGGACCGATGTCTCTTCGAGGGAATTCAAGACGTGCCTTGGAACGTGGGCGGATATGCAGCCGACAGAGAAGAGAAGGGATATGGAAAGATAGAGGAAGCCGAGCAAGAGAAAGCAGAACCTGAGGTTATTGTCATTGAATAGCAGAGTCATTGAGAATGCCGACTTGTTAGACAAGAAAATTCACTGGAAGTACATATCAATTACAAACAAGCGGTAACCCGGTCGGAGTTCCCCCCACAACAAACCCTTGTTTCCTTGCTCTTGCAAACTACTCACAATGGCCTCAATATCCAAGAATCTCTTAATTTCTGGTGGCACGGGATTTGTAGGCTCGGCCATAGTTCGCGCCTTCGCAGAAAAATACCCGGCGTGTGCCATCACCGTCATCGACCAAAATCCCCCAAGCGCTGAGCATGCGCTTCCGAAAGGCGCCTTATATCTGCAAGTCGATATTACATCAGTCGAAGGATTGAAAAAAGCATTTGCAGCTGTGCATCCTGAGATCGTCGTTCACACCGCTGGACTCATTCCGGGGCTGGCTGAGCGGTTCCGCCGCCGACTGGAATCGGAGGTTTGGCAGGTCAACGTCGAAGGTACACGAAACATGCTCAACGAAAGCAAACAGACCGGTGTAGAAGTCTTCATATACACAAGCTCTTGTTGCGTGGTGACTGATGATACGGTCAATCCATATCCTAATATTGATGAAGAGTGGCCTTGTTCACTTAGGTCGACCATCTATGGGGAATCCAAGGTTGGGACCACACGGTGCTCTGGGGGGGAAAAATGAATCGCACAAATACTGACACTTCGGTTTACCCCCTTGCAGGCTGTTGCAGAGGCGCTAGTGCTCAAGGCCTCGAGCAGTGACATGGCTACATGTGCCTTGCGACCATCGGTACTCTGCGGGCCAGGAGACTGCCAACTGCTTCCAGCGATCCACGCATGCATCGCCAATCATGAAACCTCCTTTCTGATTGGTGACGGATTGAATCTGTGGGACATAACGCATGTCGACAATGTTGCGGATGCACATGTCCTCGCCATCGAGAATTTGCTCTCGACTCGCACAGCCGCCGGCGAAGCCTTCTTCATCCAGAATAACGAGCCTATCACATTTCGAGATCTCTGTCTGGCAATTTGGGCACAATTTGGGCACTTTCCACCCTTTCAAGTGCGTATTCCAAAGACTATGGCGTATATCGTTGGGTTCGCGTGTGAGACTGTCACCTGGGCGATGGGTACGACGGCAACTTTGAGCCGTGGGAGTGTCCGAGATGCATGTGCCATTCGATATGCCAGTGGCAGGAAGGCCAAAGAGATCCTGGGGTATGAGGCCCGCATCGGTATCGAAGAGGCTATCCGTTTAAGTTGCGAGGTAAGTCACAAGGCTCCCACCATTCCGTCTCTCAAACTCGTATTAAAGGCCCCAGGATTACGCTTCTCGTCTCTTAGTTGCTCAACATCAAACCATCGATGCCACAGGGAAAGCAGAGTCCCTGTAAACTTTTGCGGAGATTCAGATAGAGTTTCCACGGCAAATTACGGGGATTTTCAACCCTGCGAATAATCCGATCATTATGATTATCGGCTTCAGAGGCGTTTTTTTTAGTTTGGGTGACTTCATCTCTACCCGGGTAAGTAGACCTCGTATGTACTTCCCGCAGTCAGGGCAGAGTCGGGGTATTGATAACATCCCGGACTCGAATGTCATTGGGCTTCTAGTTGGGCCGAAATCATTTTTTAAATCAACAATTGAGGGCTCTCCACTATTGTGGTCATCTAGAATCACCTGTGTTTCATCCAGATCTGACCAGAGACATGGTCCATGCGGCTTATTGGGATTGGGCTGCAAAAGATCGAAAAAAACCAAAAAAAACCCCCAAGAAAACAACAGGTGCCCAACGAAGGGTAATGCACGTCACGGGATTTGCATTTTGCCTCGAAGCTCTCAACTTAGCTCAGATTTGCCCTTCTTCCAAGGCATTCGACGGATTCGACGGCGCCGATCCCTCAATCTGCACAGGTCTATTTGGGTATCCATAGGCCGTCGATGTCCTGGACCACACCCCCCGGCTCTTTGCGCTTTCTACCCAACATCTATCTTGCTGCCCAAGGATCATACCCCGTTATGATCGAGAGTGGCGCGGCTTCCAGGATGCTGGGGTTTGTCTTCCTGATTTCGTGAAGATCGAGCCATTGGATCACAATGGCGGCCGTCCCACCACTGTCCACCCCCATGCACCCACACGAGCGTTTCGTAGCGCCTCCCCTGCCAACGAGCTTGGTACACCGTGACTGTGGATCGAGATCGTGAACGTACCCGGAATGGATGGTACCCGAACTGAGTTGCACCATTGGTTGCAGAATCGAGACTGCCCAGGCAACAAAAGACCTCATCTCCATAGATTACTTCTCCACCCACGCCACTGGTGTAAACCCCTCTAGCGCGGCTCTCAATCCACTTACGAAACTGCATAAACTCTGTGGGCACTGATCACCCCTTTGTCAGGCACTATCTGCTCGGAGCCGGGTCAATTGTCTTTCGAGCACTCTATGAATATAATATCTGCTCATAACTCGATCACATCGTCCATATCGATCTCTTCTTCTTCCACCAAGTAATAGTGTTTATTGTTTAAGTCAGGCTGTGGTATAGTCCTGTCTTACTTTCTTCATGCTTCCAGTCCTTCCTCACCCACTGACGGCTGGTTCGGCCCATCCGTTCTCTTTTCCAGCAAGCCTTGGATCTTGTGCAAGCACGATTAACGCCAAATTGGATTCTTGGTCTCGCCATAGGTCAGCAACATCAACCATTTCCATACCCTACTCCGTCCCCACAACTGTCACAGATTTGATTTGATTTTTGGAATTCCGAGGCTCATTCTCCGCAGCAGCAATATGGCTCAACATCCCATGTATGGACCCCAGGCAGTCTCACCCATTGTCTATCACCAAAGGTAATTTTTTCTTGATCACCATTCCATCCATGGAAAAATCCACCTCCTTCGATTCGATCAAATGAGATCCCGCACTCGAACCTGTTACTAAGTCGTAAAAGGTCACCATCTACACCCCATGGATACGGTTACGGAGAGGACCGTCAAGCCCATCTAGGCTCGATGGACTTCGACTCCCAGGCTCGCTATGGGGCTCCAGTTCCTCTGGATGCCCGTAGCCACATGATGAGCCCTTCGATGGGGCGCCTTTCCTACCCTCCCGCTGGACAACCAGTGCAGCCACCCAGGACCCATGACTGGAGCCACCCGGCCCACCTGCCTCGAGATGCCCTGAGGCGGGACCCTGGAATAATGAACCCCACGGAGAATCCAGAGTATGTCATGGAAAGAAACAGCCGGCGAGCTGCCGAAAAGCCCAGAGGAAGCACACACTACCACACCCAGAGGCGGACCTCCAACCGGGATGAATTTGATGGCCCGCATCAGTTCTTGGAGCCACCTTCCGCACAGGCCGTTGCAGCTCAGGACAAGGAGCTCCCCCAGCTTCCTACTAACCTCGATGCCTCAGAGCAGGACAGTATCCTGCATAAAGTGAACGACCGCCTGTCCCAGTGTGCTTATGACTTCGTCGCAAAGTATCAATTCCGAGTTCCTATCGAACAGGACAAGAGACCAGTCAAGGTTCCATCTGACCGCGAATGGACTGAATGGGTTCACCTGTTGAAGCGACTGGCTACTACACGGCGCATCCCTGCTCATCTCTTGTACAACCGCCAGATCAAGCAACTCATCACCGTCTTGGAGAATTCCTTGGAGATGCGCCATGCTGCCAAGCACCAGTCCAGGCCCGTCAAGGACGACCGCAACGTGCTTCAGCTCATCTCCGCGGGAATTCAGGTTGCCAAAATTCTTAAGGATGCTAGCGCCATGCAGTTCCTCGATTGTCTTTATGTGGACACCGAGAAACTGATCCTTGAACGACGCGGCCGTCGTGTGAGATTCGCAAAGCCTTGAAGATCCAAATCGGATGAAAGGCAGCCATCTTTCCTAATCCCTCTTGGAACCTACTTTCGGGTTTTGCTTAAACCCCCCGTGGAGACTCCCCTGGATTGCGCTGTCTTTTCTTTCTTTATTCTTCTTTTCACTATTGCCCTGGATCACCCATTATCCACTTGCACCACCCCTTGGAGGAAATTTACCCCTGGAACACTCTGTAATTCCCAATCCGGAACCACTTCCCAGGCAGATACCCAGCCCAGATGAAGGAATGATTGATGCCCCCCGGGTCGACGGGGAAACAGCCCGTGACCTACCCTCAGCACGAGTATCGACCAATTATGGTCTTCTCGTAAATCAAGAGGATTTTATCTACACCAGATTGATATGTCACCCAGCGACACGAACGGACTCAAAATTGTACCGGAGGTTTTTTTGTTGGTATTCTCGGTTTGATTTTCTTTTTTCATTAGGCGTTCGGGTTGGTTGTTTCGATAACTTGTGTTGTTATGTCTTGTCATGATGCTTGATGTGTTCTCGTTCAGTCAGGCGAAGCATTATGGCTTCCGTCTCCGATTGATGTTCAGTATGTCACTCTTTGTATGCAGTATGGCTATGCCCTTGTCATGTTATATCTCTAATTGTACTTGTTTGGGTGATTCATTTCTTTGGTCGACTTCTGATGCTAATGCATTGCTTCCAGCTTCATGTTCATTGCCAGTATACCTTCTCTCCCCTCGGTCTCTGCCAGTTTGAGAAGTAAAAAATGCTCCACTCCGCTCCACTGTTCGGCTGCCGAAACACCAGATGAAAGCAAAAAAATAGTTTCGCTGGGAATCGAACCCAGAACCTTTCCGGAACACTCGCCTGTAAGGCAATTGTTAACGGAAAATCATAACCGCTAGACCACGAAACTGTTGTATGGGAAACAGCCGCTTATTAGGCCTCCCAAGCCTGAACGAGCTCCCGTCAATCTAGTTCCTAATATTTTGAGCCCTAACAACTTTGCCAACCAAATTTTTCTCAAGGGTGTGAGCATTTAATATTAATCGTGGGCTCTTGATTATCAGGAGCACAGACTAAATCAAGAAACACAGTTCATTGCTATGGATGGAGAGATGAGGAAGAACAACTTCAGGAGATATATAAACTACTCAAGTAGATGTACAACCAGCTTCTAACCTTGAAAAGTTGAAAAGTTCAACAACTTCTAAAGTTTGAAACGGGCGATCTTCTCCCAAGGTCCCGAAGTCGTTCTATTATTGGGAGTGTCTACAGGTGTCTTCCTGAAACTTTAGAATGCAGTGCTTCTCCCCCCATCCATGGTAACCTTGGAACCTCCACCTGAGCAGGGCTTGGAATTACTTAAGTACTTCTAAGTTTACTTAAGTAGCTGCAAGGTTGGTATATACTAGGTGGACACCCACCCGGGCAACATTGGAAACTACAAGGCTAGCCATTGATATCATACTTAAGTACATCTACTTAGTATAGATGAAGCTCGGATAAGTGTTCTCAATTGCACCGCTAAATTACAACAACTATAATGTACATTTATCTAGGGTAGACCCGTGGATCCCGCCACTTGAGCAGGGAAGCCACTTAAAAGCTAGCCATCTCAATCCAACTAGCCACAAATGCTAGTCGTCGTCCACGGTCAGCGGCCATGCGGCGCGAGAACTCCTCGAAATTGAGTCTGGCACCGTGACCACCCCGGTCCTTGGTCTCACGCTCGACCTGATCAAGGTAAGCCCAGCGAGCTAAGGTCTTGGCCGAGGGTCGGCGCGGGGCAGTAGTCTCAGGTGTCTGTTCACCGATACGGCGAGGGGGTGGAAGTGGTTGCATGGGAGAAGGGGGAAGCTTGGGTGCCGTAGCCTCAGCTTCGGGGGAGGAGTGGGGAGAGAGGGGAGCAGGAAGGGAGGTGGTCCGGGGCGAGAGTCGGAGTTGAGCGGGGAGATCGGAATGCCGGCTCGTTGATATTGAGTCTTCTAGGTCGGAATCGAATTCATCGATTTCCACCGGGGTCACCACAGTAGGCTCAGCGGGGATAGAAAACAGAGGTGCCTGGGAGTCTGGACGATACTGCGGAAGCGTAGGGTCGAAGTATTGTGTCCCTTCTTCGTTACCAGAGGGTGCAGCAGTGGATGCGTGCGAGTGTGCATTTTCGAAATCGAACGAGGAGATGACAGAGTTGGTATCAGAATCTTCAAATGGTCGATCTTGCCCAAAGTCGTCATTATGTTCTGGTTCGGCGAGATGTGTGGGCCCCACGTCATCGTCGTCGCTGTTACTATCGCTGCCATCTTCGTCGACGGAGGCGGTGCCCCCAGGCGACGGGGGAGCCAACACTGGCCCCGCATTGGCGGCAAGGACGGGGCTTTGCACCGAATAACCGGCCAGCTGAAGTAGATCGTCAAGGGGCTTTTCATTGGTAATTTCCTCAAGGCGCTCCTCACTGGGAATATCGGGCTGAGTGCGTTTCGAAGGATCCTCCTTTTCAGCGAGTTCTATTTCACGAGCCCAGACCTTACGATCGGCCCGTGTGCGGTAAACCTCCATCAAAAGATCTTCCCTGGGCTTGAACAGGATGTCAAGGAGCTCGTTAAAGCCCTGCTGTGTGACCTGATACAGAATCTCTTTCCCGACGTCCCTTTCGACCTCTGGGATCTCAAAGCCGCCCCATCGCTCGCCAACGGGAATGCTCCGCGACGAGGTTGATGGATTAGATCGAGTATCGTAGTCATCAGCCAGATCATCCTGGAACCGCACCTTCGACGAGGACCGCGAGCGGGGGGATGGTGGGTGAGATTCGGGTTCATCTAGATCGTCTTCATCGCTGTAGTCATCGATGGCTGGGTCTGTTTCGAACCCATCAGGGGCGGTTGCGCCGTCTTCCTCATCCGTGTAAAAGGCCCGACGTCTCCAGCGATCATCGATTCCGCGTTGGCGAGCGTCAAACACGCGTCTCTGGTCGTCCTCGCGCATTCTTTGGTAGACTGCGTCTGCAACGCGAGCCCGATCGATGGGGTCTGTGATATCCTGCGGGGGAATATAGGTACCCAGGGCTTCGATGATATCTTCCTCGAGTATGTGCTCCGCTGGAGGCCATGCGCTTGCCACAGATGAGCTGGATTGGTCTGACCCACTGGTATCGCTAGCGTCGTCGTCGTCATCATCGTCATCTTCATCGTTCTCGTCGCCCTCCGCCACATTGGCGGGGCGAGGCGTAGAGTCATCAGGCGGTAGCCGTAGGGTGGACGGGAACAATGGACGCACTCGGCCAAATTGTGACCTTACGGCAGCATCACCCACAACAGAATGACGATCACCAGTGTCATCCCCGTCCCGCTGTAGAATCCCTCCGTTGTCAATGATTTCCATGTCGCCATACGAGTTCAGGACTTTGCCTTCGCCTACACGCGAACGCTCGCCCGAAGGAATGCTGCCAGGGAATGCGGAGCTGATGGGTTGACTGCCGAGAACCACATCGCGAGCTCCACCCTCCAAGAAGTCATCCTCCATGCCAGCAACCATATCCCTAGTGAGCTCTCGACTTAATGCATAATAAGCCCTGAAGACACGGAGGAAGTCCTTGCGTTCGACATAGCCATCTCCATCAATATCATAACCGCGGAACACGCGTCGCAGCCTTTCATCATTGCTCTTATTATTGAGACTGGCTAATCCTTTCAGGAATTCCTCAAATCCAATGAGATTGTCTCCGTTGGTGTCGTAAAATGCGAACATTCGGTCGTAAATGAGACTAGGAGGGGGTGGTCGGATAGAGGTATTGGGCACAAAGCAACGGTCGAAGGTTTTACGATCAATGGCCATGTGCAATTTGTTAGGGTCGTCCGCCCACTCATAATTTGCGAGACAGCGGAATTGATCCCAAAGAGCATCTAGCTCTGTGTTTTCGAAGTTGGTGTCCTTCATGAGACGCTTCGCAAGAGGCCTTGGGAGACTGCGGGGGAGCATGGTGGGTTTTCCAGGGTACCAGACCGGCTGGGATTGACGCGGATTCCCAAGGAATGGAGCTGGAATCCGCACTTTGTAGAACAAGTGAGTCTTGATGTGCACTTGCATCGACTCACATGTCTCACAAAGATCGTAATCAATGCAATTCGCACACCGATACCTGATACCCTGAATAGGCATGGCGCCACAGCTGTTGCAAGTCACGCCTCGATGAATGTAACCATCTCTGCGCGCCTGATCCTCTGCGATATGGTATAGCAGGTTGAGCAAGTTCTGGCCCTCGCGATTCGACGGGTCATTATTCCCATCACGCCATGAGAACACACTCTGATCGTCCACCATGGTCTCCCCGCCATCCTGGTTTTGCGGCGGTACCGACACGTCAGGGAAGGTTGAGGTTGAGAGAGTGACACGTTCGCCATTCTGTCTTCGCCGACGCAATTCCTCGCCGTAGTTTTCGTCTCCGTTAAAGCGGACCAGAGCTCTCTCGATACCCGCATGGGAGATACCGCGATGCTGAAGCTGCTCAGTTAGGTATGTTCGTTCGGGCGTGCCTTCCGGCAGAGTGTGCGCAGAGGGAAAATCAAGCGCAAGGAAAGATTCCAAAAATGTGTCTTCCATCATTTCGCGCATGCGCTCTGCATGGGCAGAGGGCACGCCGACTTCTTCCATCAGTTGGTCGCGGGTTGCCAGTAGCGATGGAAGAAGACCGCTTTCCACACGTCGTCCATCCTCGGTTTCAATCCGGAAAGTTCCATACACCCCATTTTGCCGCTCTAGCTGTTCGAGGTGGGTAATTGCTCGGTAGGACGGAGTGTCGGCAATCCCAAGTTCTTCAAGTTCGGTCCGCCTTGTGCGCCGCACAGCGTTTCGACGTCGAATCGGGGCCGCTGATGACTGCGAAAGAACATTGTTGTGGACATAGAGAATCGCAAAGGCAGCAGCAGCACCGGTGAAAAGGTAGAGGAAAGGTCGATATCGTGCCAGTGAGACCGGCCCTGAGCGCGAGTCGGACATGACGGAATTGGGGGGTGAGCTATCGGAAGCCGCGAGGAAATGGTCAGGCACGCAAGGTGCAGCTCATTCTGCTTGGCAACACTATGACCAAATCAGAATGAAGCTGCAAATAACCAAGCACAGAAATCAATGGATGTGCCGTTGTCAGACAACGACATCTGAAACGTTGGAAACGTTGACGGTCCGCGGAGCTGATTAGTAATAATTTGCATAGGCCCTGGGGTGGACATCGGCCGGGGGATAACTCTCTAGGGCTGGGGCAGCAGGCAACATTCAATGAGACAACTACCCATTTGTTACAGAGTACAATTTGAGCTTCGATTTCAGTTGGCAATTCGGTTCTACCTATATTATAGGCAATTTTATTTGAAAGAGGCTTCGGCATGGATTGCCCAGAACAGAGCCTCTGAACTCCATGTACTCGACACCTCAAGGGAGGTGGAACTCTATTGTGAAGGTGACACCCATATCGTGTAATATTTGCCATCACTCTTCGCTCCATATTGATTATTTTTGTGTTCTAAACCATCTTCCTAGATGGGTTGTAAGAGCCTTGCCTACGTCATTGTATTCAATACTTAAGTATCCTCACTGCGTTGCTCTGCAGGCAAATGCTAGAATCTGGGCATCATAAGACCATACAGCCTCATTGACTCCAGGGTTAGCCTTCTATCTTCTTGAGTTTGGAACCCGTGTTATTTTCCTTCGCGATATGAGGGTAGTTTTATGAATATATCATCCATGGATATCTCATTTAGTATCAAAGATATAGCTATCTGACCAATGCATGCGCTAAACGGGCACAATTTGTGGCCCAACCTCAATGCTAAACCTAGAGATAGACCGTACCACCAAGTACTATGCAATTTCGTGATGTGCCTTTCAAAAGAAAACAGGCTGTGTTTTTTTTGGGGGGAATCGGGAACTTTCACTAATAGATTAGCGGTTCAGTTTACTTTCGCGGATGAAACATCCGCTCAGCAAAGCAAAGAACACCACAACTACCATGAAGCCGAATCCATTGTTAGTTGACCAGCCGTAAGAGTTTCGAACGATCTTGGCAGTGGTGGGGTCGAGAGTCTTAATAAAGTCGAGACTCTGACGTACACCCTCAACAATCTGATCGATGTTTTTACTGTCACGCAGACCGGTTCTCAATCGGTCCCGTAGAAGCTGTTGAACGACGGTTGACGACAGCGAGAGACCAATCACAGATCCCAATGAGCGGAAAAGATATGAACAGGCGGTTACAACTGCTTGATCTTCGTAAGAAGAGTTCGATACTGGCGAGAGGGTTAGCATTAAGCGGGATTGGAGTAGAAGAAAGATTCGAGCTTACTTAAACCAATCAAGGTGGTTGTGACACCAATACCGTTGCCAAAGGCCGCACAGGCCATGCCAATAATCATTGGGACTGTGCTCGCGATGGCGCCTCCTGAGAAGAGATAAATGCAGAAAACACCCGTGGTCAAGAAGGTATATGCAATGACTGTCAGCCAGTAGTACTTTCCATACCATTTCATCAGTAAGCCCGCCAGAACAGAGCCGCTGACACCGGAAAGAATGCTCGGCAGGAGACGTATCCCCGCAACAGTAGCAGAGACACCATCCACTGCTTGGAAGTACAAGGGGATATAGAATAGGGCGGCAATCCAGCCCCCAAAGCTGAAGAAATTACAGCCGTAACAGGCAAAGAAAGTTCGGTTGAAGATGATGTGGCCCGGGGCAAAGGGCTCAGCTGCAACGTATATCTCAACTAGAATGAAGACAACGAACAGAACAGCTGAAACTCCCAGCGAGGCGATAGTCAAGGGCATTTTCCACGAAACATTACTTCCACGGTCAAGACCCACCAAGAAGAACAGAACGGCGCCAACAAGGACGACAGCACCAATGAAATCGATGCGTTGTAGCTTGGTTTTCCAGTGGGTGCTCTCTCGGGCGGGAAGTTTGAGTATGGTTGAGACTGCAATGATAGCAATAATACACAGAGGGAACTGCGCTAGGAAGGCCCTAGTTGAAAATGTCAGATGGTGTAAGAGGATGTGGGTCTTGCATCATACATACCAACGCCATCCAACGTAGTCCGCGAGAATTCCGCCCAACGGTGCGCCGGTACCGGAACCTGTTGCATAGATGATGTTGATGACACCCTGCCACAGACCTCGGTCACGAAGGGGGACAACATCGCTCATCAGGATACTGACAACAGTAGTCATGCCACCACCACCAATGCCCTGGAGGACCTATTGAGACGATTAGTGTCGTGTAGCTGGGGACTTGAGACTGACTCGGACAACATACACGGGCTGCAATAAGTTCATTGATGTTTCGTGCAAGGCCACAGAATAGACACCCAGTACCGAAGATTGCATATGCAAAGAGAAGACATGGCTTGCGGCCAAAAATATCACTCAGCTTGCCATACAGAGGCTGGAAAGAGGTCAAACTCAGAAAGTAGGAAGTGGCAATCCAACTGGTCAAATTGAGAGCTTTCAAATCACTTCCAATTTGGCCATAGCTAGCCATGATAATTGTCTGGTCAGCGGCCGACATGAAGACCTATACTATCATTAGCCTCAAATCAACGTGGATGATAATAGGACGGAGTGACCATACGCCCACTGATATCGCAGGAATCAGATACTTGAGCTTTGTCTGCGTACCCGGAGGCGGCGCTTTGCGATCCTCCGCCTCTGAACACCCCGATTCTACATGGTGATCGGAGATGGTACCGTTGGACGGAGAACTGTTGCCGGATGCCAGCAAAGGAGAAGTCTCGGAAGGAGAAGACTCTACAGCCATTTTGAGAGTCGTACTTCCAAGTCGCCCGGATGCTGAATGTCGCAAAGACTCAATCCCGACAAGAATATACGGAGGAAAAGCGAGGATCTAAATCAAATCCCCGCTAAATCGGAGGAACTAAGCGTTCCTTACATAACGGTAAAATTTGGATACCAACGTTACAGTACCCCAGGATCTCTTCTAAACTTCTCCAGGGTCTAGCATGCATGCATCTTCAGCTCGTCGAATGTAGACTCTTAAGCAGTTCTCTGCTAGAACCTGGGCACGCCTCGAAATGGACATTTACTCAATATCTTCCAAGGCCGAGAACAAATTTCTATGCGGATACGAAACCCCGAAGCTTTGGACCTTCAGCCGGGAGGGGTGCCGCTTGCAGCAAAAGATAAGCCCCCGGTTTGATTAGGCCAATTATCATCCGGTGCTACTCCGCACTATCAACTTTCATTGCATTTGATTGTTTCTGACATTACAATGCACTGTTGAATATTAGCTGCGCAGGTATGCACTTCCAAGGCTGTGACGAGAGAACATGGAAAATGCACCTCAGTTAACTGGTAGTGCACATAGCAATGGCAATGCTTCAACCATCTTATGTTCCTGATATGCTACAACATGTAATATAAGACTGACAGATATGGTGCTCTTTAGATTTTTGGCTCTTTTGACCTGTACCTAGGTAGTTTTAGTCTCACTGATTAGATAGTGATGCAACTTGCCCACCTGCACATATCTATCACCTGGGTAATGAGACTATTGTAATCTCGACTATCAGTATCCATCCATGAATGGATTACAGAGTACGGAGTACACCGTACAGAGGAGAAGCCTTGAAATGTAGATCATATCAGACCGACTTAGCCGGCCCAGCCAATGAAGTGATTCCTCGTTCGATCAAAAACGCTTGGGCCTTTTAAGATGTAACAGCGTCGGCAGCCAATCGGCAAAACGTCCTAGTCGTAGTGCTTTAGATCTTTGATTCAAAGGACGGGCTTTGAGATAGATTCATAACTTCTAGACATTGAACTCGTGAATTCGGCTGCTAAACAGATTATGTGAATGTTGATGCAAGTCTTTTCACTCAGTAACTCCTTCCCAGTGCAATTCATTTATGCGGTCGGCATAGGAACAGCGCCACCAGGCGAGTCAGCCAGGCGGGCAGTCAACACCTCAACGCCATCCTCGGTGACGAGAAGGGTATGCTCGAATTGAGCGGACAGAGATCCGTCCTGGGTGGTGCTGGTCCAGTCGTCGGGCCAAGTACGGTCACGGTGGGTACCGATGTTGATCATGGGCTCGATGGTGAAGCACATGCCAGGCTTTGCGGTGCCTACGGCCTTGTTCTTGGCGTAGTGAGGAATATTGGGCGCACAGTGGAAGAGCTGGTTGATACCGTGACCACAGTACGTCTTGACCACACTGCAGTTGCGGGTCTTGGCGTGCTTCTCGATCGTGTTTCCAGGGTCGCGGAACAGCATTCCAGGCTTCACCAAGTCAATTGACTGGTCCAGGCATTCACGGGCAGTTTCCACCACGCGCACAGCATCGGAGTCTGCAAGCGCCTTGTCTCCCACATAGTATGTCTCGTTGATATCGCCGTGGAAGCCCTTGTGGTACAAAGTGACATCGATGTTGACAATGTCGCCATCCTTCAAAGGACGTTGATCGGGAATACCGTGACAAATGGTCTCGTTGACGGAAGTGCAGACAGACTTGGGGAAGTGCATATAGTTCAAAGGCGAGGGATAAGACTAAAGGACATGGTAAGTATGCATATAGGCAGTAGGGCTAGGGCATTCTCCTACATCACGCTCTATGCAAGCCTTGTGGACAACCTCATCGATATAGTCGGTTGTGACGCCAGGTTTCAATTCACGAGCAGCAGCATCCAAAACCTCACGAGCCAGGCGGCACACTTTGCGCATGCCCTCTTGCTCTTCCTTGTTGAGAATGGTGATGTTGTGGCGGCCAATAATCTTTTGCTCGGAGCGAGGAATGCCATCGCGGGCGTAGTCTGGGTGGGGGATCGACTTGGGGATCGTTCGCTTGGCAGACAGAGGATAGACGGGCCTCAAAGAACCAGTGTAGGGGAAGGAGGGGTACGGATTGAATGTACCGGTGTCTGGATCTGGTTCAGAAATCACTTTCGGTGGAAAGATATTGGTGAGGAAATTACTCTTTTTGTGAATGGTCTTGTGCTCGTTCTAGAAAGAAGGGTTAGCCTTAGACTTTTCTATATCCCGGAGCATAGTACGAATGCCCCTTCTGCTCTATCCAGAGAGAACTTACCCAGCTGCGCTTAAAACAGTCTTGAGAACAGAAAAAGCTATCAGTGCCACTCTTCAGACAAGTTGGACATTGCAGGGTGCCTGCGTCGTTGGGGCAGTCCACGCCCCGGCACTTGCGGTTCCCAGTCTCGGCCATGGTGGTAATAATATGACGGACCCAAGGAAAGCACTTGTAAAGGGTTCTATGTAAGTGTGAGTTATAGAACGGCCGAAATCTCATGAAAATCCCCACCGGCCGCAAAGCTAAAGGACACTAAACCGTATTCGGAATGAAATAGACCTGAGCCTATGAGGAGCCCCCCAGGGCTCAATTTGAGACATAGGGACTTTAGTTTGTAAGTCTACAGGTAGGATGAGGCTGTGCAGCATGCCAATAATACAAAATACTAATATCTTGTATGTTTGCAGGAAATTGCCTGCAGATTTCACCTAGATTTTAATATACGCATCAATAATCACCTGTCAATACATGTATCACGTGATGCATGTCATTCTGGACCAATTGAGAAGTGTCGTTGAACATTTATATAATGATTCCAATACAGTAAGAATGCTCAAGTGAGCTATGCAATATAGATAAATACTAGCTGAGGGATAGAATATTCTGTAGCCTGATGTATGGAGTACTTTGTACTTGTATATTGATGGTGCCACCACAAGGCAGCAAGGCATCAAATTAAAATGACTAATGTCGATCCCATTTTGGCACTTTCTCGTTTGGGAAGCCGATTTCGCAGCACGTGATAGAGTTTCCCTCCTCGACGTGCCCTCCAGCTCAGACGACCAGCTGTATGATGGCTCTTCCGAAGCAGAAAGTGGTTGTTGTGGGTGCTGGCCCGGTGGGGTCTCTAGCCGCGCTGTATGCTGCCTCACGAGGCGACGATGTCGAAGTATATGAGCTCCGTGGAGGTATGTTTCAGATCGGTCTCGTGTGACCTTCTTTTGCTTTCACCCCAGATTCAATGAGGTTGTAAAGAACCATTGCAATTGGTGTTACTGTTACGCAATGTGTGGATTGATCAAAGGGAAATCTCGCAAGACCTTAGGGTTCCTCGTGGGGAAGCCTCTTTTCTTATTCCATCCCTCTATTCCTCTGTCAAGCCCCGGTTCTCAACCTCTGTTGACATTCGAGTCTCATAAAAATGCCCTGGCACATTTGCGATTCATTGCGATTTATTCCGAGCTGACCCTAACACTTTCCGCGCATCCGTAGATCTCCGGGATCCTACGACTGTGCCCTTGAACTTCACCAAGTCGATCAACCTGGCCCTGTCTGAACGTGGAATCACGTCTATGAAACATGCAAACCGGTCCGATCTCATCGACAATGTCCTCCGTGAAGCAGTTCCCATGCATGGACGGATGATCCACGGCCGAGACCGGGGAGATCTGTGGGAAGCTGCACAGGCCTATGACGTTCACGGCCGGGTATGCACATCACTCGGCGATCATATTGCTTTTTCCCTTCCTGCAGGTCCAGGCTAACGGCGTCAATTAGGCCATAAATGCCATTGATCGAGGAACACTCAACAATGCGCTGCTGGATGAGTTGGAGAAAACCCCCAATGTTAAGCTATTCTTCAACCACAAGCTGACTGGTGCGGACTTCCGCACCAACAAAGCTTGGTTCGAGCGCCGAATCCCCGGCGAAACGCCCATGGCAGATGATTATGGAGTCTCTGGCCGAGTGCCAGAGATCGAAGTACCATTTGACTACCTCATTGGTGCTGATGGCGCACATTCCGCCTCGCGCTTCCACATGATGAAGTTCTCACGAGTGGATTACCAACAGGAATACATTGACACTCTATGGTGTGAATTTCGCATCCCCCCCACAGAGAACGGTGATTACCGTATCTCCCCCAATCATTTGCATATCTGGCCAGGGCGCGAGTTCATGTTCATTGCGATCCCGTCGGCGGACAAGTCATTCACTTGCACACTGTTCGCACCGTCGTCACACTACACATACCTGGAGACTTCACCACAGGACATCCACGAGTTCTTCGACTCGCATTTCCCGGGCGTGAGCCCAGAGTTGATTGAGCCCGCCGCGTTGAGCGAACAATTCGCCACCAACCCGCATCTGCCCCTAATCAGCATTAAGTGCAAGCCCCACCACTACAATGCCAGCACTGTCATCATTGGAGATGCCGCCCACGCCGTGCTTCCATTCTACGGCCAAGGACTCAACGCTGGCCTGGAGGACGTCCGTGTCTTGTTCGAGCAACTAGACAAACATGGTGTCTATGACCCCAACTCCAGCGTGTACACACGCAGTCTGAAACGCCAGGTAGCCTTCCAAGCCTACACCGACCAGCGTTGTGCCGACACACACGCTATCAATGATCTATCTCGCGAGAACTACTTTGAAATGCGCGCGGGCGTCAAGTCCCCGCTCTACAAGCTCCGCAAGTCAATCGAGGAGATCATCGATCACCACTTCCCCATCTTTGGTTGGAAAACGCAGTATTGTCGCGTCAGCTTCAGCAACCAGCGATACTCGGAGGTTGTCCAGGCTGTTCAACATCAAAGCCAAGTCCTTGGTATTGGCCTGAGTGGAGCTTTGGCTGTCTCTGTGTGTGCTTTATCTATCTTGGTGTGGAAGTACCCTCGATTTCTTTCGCCGACGGGGGTTTTCCAGTGCGCGCGGCATCTTGCATGTGTTGGCCTGAGGAGCATCCGCAAGTTCACTCATCTGTAAAATCACATTTTGGCATTGGTGGAAATTTGGATGAAAAATGTGTCAATATGCATGGAGATTTTGATGATCGATAATTGGACATTGTTTTTACATATGAACCTTGGAATGTTTCTGCGGGCTTAGAATTAGAACGGGAATTAGGGCGGTCGACCCCATTGTAAGTGAGATGGCATTCAGCACAGAACGAAATATGATTATTTTCAAATGATGTATGGCCTGAAAGCGTGGCTGATGTGTCTGATGGCAGATATCCCTTAATCCCAATATCTGATCTTGCCATCAAGGCCACCGGTGACCACCTTACTTGTCTCCTGAGGATGCCAGTCCAGACAAGTGACTGCACCTCCCTCCTTTCCACCGGCCTGAATTTTGTGATACATTTTCCCAGTCTTCCAGTCCCAGAAGCAAACATAGCCACCGCTATCACCAGAGACCAAGAACTGTCCATCGGGTGAGAGCTTGAGATCAATGGCGTATCCCGAGGTGTTGTGGCCCCGGAAACTCTTCTTCCGGTTCTGGCGGAACTTGTCGGTGGCGCCATATACGACGATTTGGTTATCGCCTGATTGGAAAGCAACATACTTGCCATTGGGATGAGACGCCGCACGAGTGAGTGCGAACATGTATGGCTCTGCGATGAACTTGATGGGGACGGGGATACCGTATTCCCAGGCGCGCAACGACTTATCATCGGATGTTGAGATGAAACGTCTGTTGTCATCGACAAACGTGAGGGTGTTGACAGCTGCCAAGTGGTGATCGTATTCTTGGACAAGCTCGCCAGACCGTGTGTCGAATTGAACAATCTTCTTGTCTGACATACCGGCCAAGAACTCATGTGAGTGTTCGGGCGAGGGGTTGAAGCGAATGACATGAGGTGTTTTGCCAGTGGAGAATCGGCCAAGACATTTACCGTATTCGGTATCCCAGAGCTTCATCTGCTGGTCGTAGGAGGCAGTAAGGAAAGTCTTTCCTGATGGGTGGAAGTCTGTGCCGGAGATTGCTTTGCTGTGACCCGAGAAGGTCCTCAAGAGCTCGCGAGAGTGATACACGTCCCAAATCTTGGCCTTTCCATCGGCTGCCGACGATAGCAGCAAGTGGCCAGTATTCGGGATGAACTGGAGAGAAGTAATCGGCTTTTTGTGTGAATCCCAGGTCTGTACAAGCTTCTTCGGGACGTAATTCTTGATGCTGCCGGGCTCTTTCCGCAGATCGATGTCCAGATCCTGTGGTACGTGCATGTACGTCCTGCCCTGGTAGTCGTATTGCTCTGAGCCATGGAATTCGGTCGTTTCGTTCTTGGAATAGTCATCCGCATATTCGGTGGCTGCCTTGCTCATAGCCGGCATAGGTCCTGAAGGAGCTTCGGTCTCATCTTCCTCTTCAACATATTCTTCGTCGCTGGCAAGCTCTCGGTCTTCTCCGTCAATTTCGTAGGTATCGTATTGCTGATCGTTGTTGTATTTCGCCCAAGGACCGAGATAAGCGCCCTCGCCTTCCACGATACTGGAGTCGCCCTTCTTCTGTCGCTTTGAGCGCCAAGTGGCGGATGCGCTCTTGGTCGGCTTTATTTGAACGACATCCTTGCCACCGTATTGTGCAACGTTATCCAGGTTTCCAATGAACTGATCCGGTCGAGTGGGATTACGCGTGTAGCCCAAACTTTGGAAAGTGCGGTGCTGCGCAGCGAAGGTGGACTCGCTGATGGCTGCTTCCTCAGCAAATCCTGTTGGGACGTTCTTTCTTTTGATTCCATTTCCCGGGCCCGATGACTTGAAAGGATTCACGGGTCCCTGTGAAGGCCGCATCAGATCATCGTAGGTGGCGTTGAATGTGAGAGCTTGGGAGGAGGCATTGGCGAGTGTCATTTGCATATGCGCCTGGTCCTGTGAGGTCGTTAGTCTTATCTATACATTGAGGCAACGACACAAAGATCGACTGAAAATCGAGGCAGAAAGCGAGTATGGGGGACCAAACCTCTGTATTGACTTCTGGCGCAGCAACGACCGTGGTTGCGGTCGTTACTGAGGGCTTGGGCACAGCCGAAGCTTCATCGCCACTGGAGTCGTATCCAGCTCCTAATAAACCTGACATGACGAGTATGTTCAGGTGTGAAAAGGCGCGATCTTCAAATCTCGTTTGCGACAAGAGGGTGGAACCAGTCTGATAGGTGAAGGATGGGAATTTTACGGTTGTCGAGAGGCCCCCAACGTGACGCCCGCGGAACCGTCGAAGCCAAGCTTCTACGATACAAACCAGTGCAAACAGGGTGGGTACAGCAGTGCTTTCGTATGATCTAGATTGATATACTCCGTAGCCTGGGAATCACTTGAGCATGGAATAGAGTGCTTCTAAAGTTATGGCGCCTAATTCGAGACAAGGGCGGTATTTAAGTAACATGAGGTCACCACTCTGACACCGAGTGCTGCCAAACTCGGTACTTGACCTAAAGGATACAGGCGGGGAAGAAGTATATAATGCAGGTAAAAGAACCAAATCAAGTGTGAAATACTCGGGTATCGTACGCTCTGCATTGCTAACCGCTTGGGAGGTATATACAAAACCACAGGCCGCAAAACACAGCAGGATTAACACAGAAATATGAAGGTCAAAGTCAAACAATAGCAAAGAGCATGCACCCCTACCAGAAACCACATCCACCGTCGACTTGAGACATTCTCAAGACATCTATCGCTTCTCATCATAGCACCCGTAACAGCAAATCTAACTCAAGACTGAAAGAATTCATTGCTCATCCCTAGTCATGGTGGCCCAAACCAGTAAGGACCACGTTGATATACCGCATTATATGGCATCGCGGGTGTCTCGGGGCTGTACCCTCGAGTGAAAATCGAGCAAAAAATGGCGGATGAAGTTCAGACAAAGCAGATCCAACAACATTTCCTCGAGAGACAGCTCCTTGAGCTAGCCCGGACGACCATGACGCATTGCATAATCGGTCTTATCGCGAAGTCAGTTTCCCTCATCACGGATGAGAGCGACAATCATGCTGTAGAGGTAGAAGAAGAACATCAAGAGGTGGAAGCCAAGCTTGATGAAGGATTCCTACGACGACGAATTCATGTCAGTAAAGGTCTTATATATTGCGAATTCAGGGAGTAAACTGACCTTCTTGTGTACGTTCAGCTTGCGGAAGATCTCAGTCGCATCCAGAAGGTGTTGGTTATCGTAGATCCTATAGATTGAAATGTGCGGTTAGCTCTGTGTTGTGGATTTGCGACCCGGGGAGCTTCTGCACATACTTCTTGGCGTTGAACAGGACGAGAGGCAGGTTCAGCACGATGGCGAGCCAGTACCCGTTGATCACGAAGAGGAAGGTCAGGAAGGCGTGGACAGCGGCTTCGGGGATGATGTAGGCGTTGAGACGGTTGCAAAGATCGATGGGGTTAATGTAGTCACTGTCAAATACTGAGTGTCAGCATATATTCAAGCCAGTGCCAAGGAACTCAGAGGGGACTGTTAATCCTCTGGAGGAGGGCTGGGAAGACTCACCACTCAAGATCACTGTACATGATGGTGAAGAACACCTGAAGGAAAAGGTTGACGGCGTTGATCAACACCGACAACAGGTAGAGCCATGCTTCGCCAGACATCATGGGCGCGATTTTGACTTGCGTCAAGAGGATTCAATTGCTGAACAGAGGGAATATGAGCTTGGTGCGCGACAAGATAAGGTCAAGCTATGAAGCCGGAATTGGAGATGTCTGCGGGGGGGGGAAGGAAGGCGGAGGAATCGCACAGAGCTTTTCCGCCGGGGCAGAACTCACAAATAAGAAGCCTGGGGTATTCAGAGGGGTGGAGTAGGGGGGATTTGCGAACACAAAAATACAAGAGAGGAGTGGACCGAAGTCGAAGTTCGATTAGCGAATTTGGGAACTGCGCCCGATGTCTGGACGGGCGGTGGGACTTTAGCGTGATCCCGCAAACGGGGGCTGGGATATTATACACTCCCTTCACGAAACATGATATAGTACAAATTTAAAGAGACTGTTCATGCCAAACAAATAACTACCTAGTTAAGCACAGCATGAAACACCCTTGTACTTAGTAACTGGTATGACGTCGGATACGTCGACATATGCTCCATACTCAGGTGTGGGCCTTCATTGACCACTTGAGCAGGATCTACTTCTATAGAACACACTACAGAGTACGGAATACACTTAATTTAGTACATCAAATAATCCTCAAACATTGGAAGTAAAATAAAGACAGGAACAATGGACGCTCTCAATGATATAGTCATAGTATGAACTTGAAAACCCAGCTTATCGCTTCTCGACAAGCAGGAAGTGCATGGCACTGTATGCAATGATGATAAACGCCCCCGAAATAACAGCAAGCCCAATCACGTCGTTCCAATAGGCTTGGGTATCAAATCCGAAGGCACTCAGGATCGAGGCACCGGGAACCTCGATGTCCAAACCGTACTTGTGATCAATCAGGGTGAGGTACGTCACTTCATTGACAATCAAGGCCTCGAAGCCATAGTGGAAGATGGAAAGCTATCATGAGTTTGTTAGCACACGTAAAGCGGGATTAGGGAAACAAGGCCACTCACAGATTGCAGCCACAATGCTGACTTGGGGATCGCATCGTGGTTGAGCAACAGACCCGCGAAAAGTAAGCTGAAAAGCATTACTAGACTACCAATGAGGTTGGCAACGCCACCATCACGGAATATGATTCCAATGAACAAGCAAATGCCGGCCGCCGCGAGGTTGAAGAGAACCAGAACCAGCAAGAATCGGAGGAACTCGGGCCACGCGGGGATCAGGCCTGTCATGGGGTAGACGATAATACCCATGATGATGGGGGGAATCAATCGCAGAGGAACGATATCGAAGACGACCTTGGACGCAAAGTAGGTGACTGGATGGTAGTAGCCATTGGCACGCTCGCGCACGAAAAGAAGCCGCTCAGAGGAGAATACGTTGAGACTGGTCAGAGTACTGAAACCGAAGAGAGCCAGGACGAAGAAGAAGAGTCCGAGACGGTTCTGGAAACCACTGATATCGTCGGTGAGGCCATAGAACAGGTATCCAGACAAGACAGCAAGTAGGATAGCGATGGCGTAATGCGTGAGCATGAGCATCGGATTGCGATAAAGATTACGCCATGTTCGCTGGGATAAGATGATGAACTGGCGCAAGAGGCCCACGCGCGCAAAGCCTTTGGACTGTGCTGCAGTATCAGATAATATTGCCGAGTTTGGCGAACCATTCGCTGCTTGGGCACTATGGACAGCAGCCACAATCTCCTCGTGCACAGAGTTGCAGACATCAGAATCCGCGTAGCTGGCGATCAGGATATCGAGATCACTTGTACCAGGTGCTGGTGGGGGTAGCTGATCGGGATCGTCGAGGATTTGGGGAGGGACGTTACCCCCTTGGCGAGATAACCGGAGCCATTGTTGCTGGTTTTCGGCCACATCCAAGGTAGCACTCTCGTCATCTGTCTTCGGCGTGGTTGGACGCTCATTTTGTTGCTTTCGCGAATACAGTTGGCGGTCTTGCTGCTGCTTTAGAGATACGCGTCGTTTGCTCTTGGGCCGCCGGGTCGCCTCTGCGCCGCTTGAGTTGTCCTCCATGCTGTAGTTTGACGCACTGGCAACTGATTTAACAGCCCTGAGGCTACTGGATGCAGTTTTGAATGGACCAGTACGTCCATCCACAGACGATGCGACTTCATCCGTGAAAGAGGAATGCGCCGCACCAGCGTGCATTGTGAGATCGACGAGATAATCCGCGATGTTGAAACCTGGGGGGCATGAATAACCAATGTTGTCGAAATACGGCTGGCAAGATGAGAAGGGACCAGAGTAGACGGTACGTCCCTCAGCAAGCAGAATCAATCGATCAAAGAGTGCAACAATGTTCGAGCGTGGTTGGTGGATAGTGAAGATGACGGTTCGATTGTAGGTTTTGGCGAGCGTGACCAAACATTCAACCACGTTGAAGGCATTATAGGCATCCAACCCACTTGTGGGCTCATCCAGGAACAGTATACTGGGACTGGTGACCAGCTCACAGGCAATTCCAACACGGCGCTTTTCTCCTCCAGAGATACCACGGCCATTGCCTTCTTCCGAGCCAACCAATTGATCTTTGATATGATAAATTCCCAATTGCTTCTCGACTTCCAAAACCCTTTGCTCTTTGGCTGCCCGGCTCATGTCCCGAGGTAGCCTTAGAAGAGCACTTGTCAGGATGGTTTCGTGAACGGTGAGTGTAGCAAGCATTGTGTCTTCTTGATCCACAAAGCCGATCATGGATCTGAAGTCGCTGTCGCTGATTTGCTCGCCATTGACATAGAACTCTCCATTAACCGTGCCTCGTTTGTTCTTCCGGGCCAAGATATCGAGGAATGAGGTTTTGCCAGCCCCCGACGCACCCATGATAGCTGTGATTTGACCTGGGGTCGATGCACCTTGGATGCCGGAAAGGATTTCTTTTCCGTTTAGAGTATAAGACACATTATCCCAGAATAAAGCCGCTGGACGATAGTCTGCCAGGAGCTTGGCAGCCTCATCGTCCGAGTCGTCCGAGAGCGATAGTCGAAGATAGCCACGGCGTGCAGCACGACGGGACAGATACCACACAAGCAAGATGACTGCAACCACAAACAGTGAGCTTCCCGCTATCACGCCAGCAATGAGTGGCGTGTTGATTTTCTTTATGGGGCGCTCGTAACCAGGTTCGTCAGTCTTGTAGACACACTCCCCCGAATCGCATGACAAGAAGATGCTGGGATCACCAAAGACTCCGGCAATCAAGCCATTCATCTGAGGTTCCGAGAAAACACTCTTTGTGCCTTCTAGTGTCGCTTTGGTGTCGAAGGTAGCCGGGCCCTTGATCAACTGATCGAGGAAATCGCTCAGATCGATAGATCCGTTCTCTCCACAAAGGAAACGACCAGGTATGCAGCTGCACTGCAGATGTTCGCATTTATAGTGGGTCGAATTGGATTCATAGTCCGTTTCCCAGCTTCGTTCGCATGTGTCCAAGCCGCAGTAGAAGGACTCCTTCTGATCAACCCAGAATTGAAAGCTGCAAGTGTTGTCTTCGGCTTCGCACGAGAAGGTGACTTGAGGTTTACGCCCATCAAGCTGCTTCAAAATGGCTCGGTTGGTCACATCACACATCTGGAAGTTCTCCTTGATGGTAACACCTTGTTTGTGACACACACCTCCTTCACCTTCCGGCATCATGGCATTGCAGGCATCGTTCGTTTCGCAAACGTTGCAGTTGATTCCCTTCCAGCCATCCTTGCATTTGCAGGTGTCGGAGTCACGCTGTGGTCGGTTGAGGTCGTCGGCCAGCGAGCCACACAAAGGGACCGAGCAATCATCGCCTCCGAACCCAGGGGTACAGGAACATTTTCCATTGTAGTTGTTACATTCCGCGAAATGGGTGCAGTTGTAGTTATCCAGCTGACAGTTGAAGCACGCCGGACACTCGGGGCATCCGGGCGGACGGTCATCGAAAGGGGAAAGGGCCCGTGTGGCGAGAGTGATATCTGAGGATTCGTTCCCCCATGCTGAAGCGTAGCCTATTAAAGGTGCCAATGTGAGCAGTGATAGAGGCACAGCGTCGGTCAAGCGCATCTTGCAGGATTGACGGCGGCGGCCTGTGCGGGTACACAGTGACGACCAGCAGCCGATGAAGAAGTGGAATGAGACCCTAAGTAATGTAGATTCAGCGGTCGGCTCCTAGGGACTTGTTTAAACCCAAGGTCGAAGGTCAACAGATGAGGCCAAAGGGTTGAGGAGAGACAGGGCCAGGTGTGGAGAGGTGAGATTGGCCCCCGATGACGCGGGCGGAGAAGAGAGAGGCTGGGGGCTGCATGGGCGCCAGGAACCCGCTGCCAGGTGTCACACTCTGTCTATTCCGTATAACTATAACTTGTTGAGATCTGCATGCGAATGACAATTTCAGAAATTCCAAGCTCTCCGGCCTAATCCTTCTCCAGCCATACCTTACAAGATGGTCTTTCCTATGCTCTGCACTTCTCACGATGCGGGGAACCACGTGATGCCAACAAAAGGTGTCCAAACCACCACCACTCATGAACCCCCAATGAGCGCTAAATTGGGCCCGTCCGAGGAACTTGTCAATTTATTTGTTTCCCGGTAATACCAAACGTAATCAACATGGTGAAGATTGAGACTTTCGCGGTGGAACAGGTATCACCGCCCTCCCCCGCACTGCTGTTGCCATTGCTAATCAAACCAGTGGATGGACAAGTATGAGACCACCGCCAAGTATAACATCGCCGAGACCTGTTGCGCATCCATCTCTGTCGACGACCTCTGTGCGATCTCTGACGACAAGGTGTCCAATCCATTGACCCAGCTTCAATCCACCAAACTGACGTATGGCGCGATTCGGGGATCCGATAAGCTGCGAACAACCCTATCCAATCTATACTCGGCCAGGGCGCCGACTGTGTTGCCCAAGGATAACATTCTGATCACCGCCGGGGCAATCCAGGCCAACTTTTTGTTGCTTTACACGCTGATTGGGCCTGGGGACCACGTTATCTGCCACTATCCAACATACCAGCAACTATATTCTATCCCCGAATCACTTGGAGCCGAGGTCAGCCTGTGGAAGTCTAAGGAGACTGATGGGTGGCAGTTGGATCTGGACGAGCTGAAAAGCCTCATTCGCCCCAACACAAAGATGATCATTATCAAGTATGTCCTACCCCGTTGGAGTTGCCTTCCCACGCAGTTGCTGATCTTGGTGGCTTCCCAGCAACCCCCAAAACCCCACCGGAGCGATCATACCTCGCGATACCCTTGATAAATTGGTCGGCATCGCCCGCGAGCAGTCCATCATTATTCACTCGGACGAGGTTTATCGTCCAATCTTCCATGGCATCGGCCCAGCAGACCCGAAATTCCCGCCGACCATTCTTTCCCTAGGCTATGAGCGCACCGTGGCGACCGGGTCCATTTCCAAGGCCTATAGCCTAGCAGGCTTACGTGTCGGCTGGGTTGCCTCGCGTGACAAGGACATTGTTGAGGCGCTTGCCAACGCGCGCGATTACACAACTATCTCGGTCGGCCAGATTGACGACTCGATCGCGAGTTTTGCACTGGCACCGGATTGCATCCATAATCTTCTGAAACGGAACATCGATCTGGCTCGGGCCAACCTTGCGATTTTGGAGAAATTCATCGAATCTCACCGCTGGGCTTGTGATTGGATTAAACCTCAAGCCGGCACCACTGCGTTCGTGCGGTTCAACAAGATGGGGAAACCGGTGGACGATGTTGCATTTTGCGAGATGCTTCAGGAACGCACTGGGGTAATGCTCGTTCCAGGCAGTCTTTGCTTTGGCGGCGGAGAAGATTTCAAGGGATATGTCCGCATTGGATATGTTAATGAAACCCAAGTTTTGGAGCAGGGCTTAGATGCCTTGCGAGACTTCATGGAGGAGGGCTACGAGGATGTTCCCGCGGTCAAGAAGCTTGTCAGAAGATGATATTGAATATATCCGATATTTTTTGAGTAGTGATATACACAGGGCGTTGACTCCTTCGCTCAAATTTGGATATAGCAAAAGATGACCCACCTGGAAGCTGTGAACTAATCAAGGTTTCCAATTCAAATTCTAGGCATCTAAAAATTGATTGAGCCGAAGCTCATGTGAATAAGCAGAACCAGAAGCACTGTACCTAATACACGGAGTGTCTAAGGGTACTTCCAAAAAGCACTGAATATTAGATGTACGGAGAGTAGTACGAGTACAGAGTACGAAGACGTTGGCAGTGATGCAATGGGATCGGCATCTCCGTGCCGAGGTATCTTTTCCTCTCCCCACTGAGGCGTTTCAGTCTCATCTGACTGAAGACCAACCCTGAATTCAAAGCTCTGGTGTTTTTGTTTTTTTGCTTCTTTTTGTTGTTTTACCCTTGTGGATTGTCTTGGGCCACGGCAAATTTGTTCCGACAATAACTCAGCTGTGTGCTCTTAAACCCTCTTCCATCCCTCGCTCCGAGACATAAACTTGATAGTATATCCCGCAAAATGCCGCTGCCAGCATTTCCCGGTAAGTGCTGCCTACTCAGTATGAACCATGGAAAATTGAACACTCCGATTGACCGTACGTTCGCTTTACTCAGACATCCCCTTGAGCATTGCGCTCCCGGCAGCGGCCACATCACTTGCCTACCTCAACGCAAAATGGTCATTATCATACGATCTGAGTCTTATCAAGGGGCTGTTGAAGATGTCCATGAAGTCTCACTTCGCCGAACGTGGCGATCGCTTGAATCTCTTCTACACACTGGAAGCCCAGGCACTGGATCCCAAAACCGCCGATCGACCGTTCGTGGTGTATAATGGCCGAACTTCGACTTTCCACGACACATACATCATGGCACTTCGCTATGGAGCCTGGTTCAAGAACATCCATGGTATCAAGCGCAAGGAAATTGTTGCGATCGACTTGATGAACTCCTCCACGTTCGTCTTCATGGTGCTCGGGCTTTGGAGTATCGGAGCAGTGCCAGCTTTCATCAACTATAACCTGGCGGGAAAGCCACTGACCCATTCGGTGCGAACCTCTACTGCCCGGCTTTTGGTGGTCGACGAAGATGTTCGACACTGCTTCCCGGCGGAACAAGAGGAGATTTTGACATCTCCAGATTTCCGTGAGGGCAAGGGACCGGTTGAAATCGTTTTCCATACTTCGGAAATCGAGGCTCAGGTCTTGGGAATGGAACCTGTGCGCGAGGATGACGCGGTGCGTGGCGGCTTGGTTCCCCGCGACATGGCCATCTTGATTTATACCAGCGGTACTACTGGGCTTCCTAAACCAGCCATTGTTAGCTGGAAGAAATGTTGGTCCGGTAGTCTGTTCTTTGGGCATTGGATGAGCATCACCCCCGAAGATAGATTCTTCACGGTAAGTTTTTGGTGCGATACGGGTTATGACACCTCTCAAGACTGACTTCCCACCAGTGCATGCCTCTTTATCATAGCTCTGCTTCAGTACTTGGCTTATTGACTTGCCTGACGAATGGTTCGACTTTGGTCATCGGTCGCAGATTCTCAGCACGCAACTTCATCAAGGAGGCTCGCGAGAACGATGCGACCATCATCCAATATGTCGGCGAAACACTCCGATACCTGTTGGGTGTCTCGCCTGAGTTTGACCCTGTAACCGGCGAAGATCTTGATAAGAAGCACCGAATCCGCTTGGCTTTCGGTAACGGGCTGCGCCCCGATATCTGGAATCGCTTTAAGGAGCGTTTCAACATCCCGACGATCGCCGAATTCTATGCTGCCACCGAAGGCACAACAGGCTCGTGGAACATTTCGTCCAATGATTTCTCCGCAGGTGCCATTGGGCGGAATGGCGCACTAGGGAACATCGTCCTTGGCCGAGGATCTGCAATCGTTGATGTCGATTTTGAGACCCAGGAGCCCTGGCGTGACCCCAGAACTGGTCTCTGCAAAAAGACTCCTCGTGGCGACCCTGGTGAATTGTTGTTCCTCATTGACGCAGCAGACCCTTCGGCCAAATTCCAAGGCTACTTTGGGAACAAAAAAGCCACTGAGAGTAAGATCATACACGATGTGATGAAGAAGGGGGACGCCTATTTCAGAACCGGTGACATGGTCCGGTGGGATAAAGAAGGCCGGTGGTTTTTCTCGGATCGACTAGGTGATACTTTCCGCTGGAAGAGTGAGAACGTCTCTACCAGCGAAGTCTCGGAGGTTCTCGGTGCCCACTCCGAAGTCCACGAAGCCAATGTTTACGGCGTGGCCCTTCCCAATCATGATGGCCGTGCCGGCTGTGCAGCCGTCGTCTTCAATCAACAGATTGCGAGTAGTAACCTCTCAGACCCCGCGCTGGAGCCCTCGCGTCAGGTTCTTGATGATCTGGCCGCGCACGTACTCAAGAACCTACCCCGGTTTGCGGCTCCTTTGTTCTTGCGGGTGACGCCTGAGATGCAGTCAACAGGAAACAACAAGCAGCAGAAGCATACCCTTCGTACGGAGGGAGTCGACCCATCACTTGTCTCCAAGAAAGATCGACTGTATTGGCTCCAGGGTAACTCTTATGTGCCCTTTGGGCCGAGGGACTGGGAGCGGTTGAATGGCGGGCAGGTTCGACTTTGATCGAATTAAATTCTAAGCATTAGCCAACTCTTTGTTTGTAGCGTTCGGACTCTTACTTTTCTTAACACATCTACTACGTACTTACTTCTCGTCGTTTCTTACCACTTGACCATCCTTGCTTACATCTATACCCTCCACAGCCCTCAATACAGAATTACATCTGATGTATTTACTCAAAGAGATCAATTCCACCTAAAAGACCGTCCTATACAGAGTAAGAAACCCTCAACTAAACCAAAGATAATTGACCATGCCCAGGTAATCTCGCTGTGTCCTGAGCTTAGGATTTGCTAGAAGAGTTCAGGTTGTCCAGAGGTGCATCAGCCTCAACAAGTTTCCACACTTCATCAATTTGCGCTGCAATTTCCACACTCAAAGGTCCCTTGTCAATACCATCGAGTGTCTGTTTGAGCTGCTCAAGGTTGCGTGAGCCAAAAATTAACCCATCCCCAAACTCACCCTTCAGAACAGAGTTGTGCACCGCCCATCGATATGCAAGTTCGGCCTTAGGGATCCCCGAGTTCTTTGAAATATCTGCCCAGAGCCTCAATCCCTCTAGCATGCTTGGCTTATTGTAGAGTTTGTGGTACAACCCGCCGATTGGCGTGTTTGCATCCCATCGCCCTTCACCACCGGAGACGAATTGCTCGACATCCTTGGTCAGGAAGCCCCCTCCTATGGGCGAATAGGCATAGAAAGCGATGTTATGTTTGCGCAGGGTTGGGAAGATCTCATCTTCGCTCCTACGTGCAATGGCGGAGTAGTTTCCTTGATAGACGGTCGGTAAGACGAAGTTGTTCTCGTGGGAGATGCGAATGACTTCCTCCACCTCTTCGGCCAGGTAATTCGAAAGTCCAAAGCGCCTGAACTTGCCAGCCTGGTACTCGGTGTTGAGAGCAGCTAGTAGATCTTCAAGAGAGCTTCTCCGATCAGGGGCATGGATGTAATAAATATCGAGCTTAAGGTACAATTAGACAAACTTCTCATCATATTCTGAAATTGCTGAATGAATCTTACCTGATCGGTCTGAAGGAGGGTCAATGTTTCTTTCAGAGTCGAGACAAGAGACTCCGGGGTGGATGGCACTGGGGAAAACCCGCCAGGGTATTTCGAGTCGACAGCGAAGCGAGAATTGGCATGAGCATTGCCTAATCGCTCCTCTGAGTCAGGATAAATCCTTGCTGTATCGATACTCTTGACTCCTCTGGCTTGCAGGACATCAAGAAATTGGGTGATGGCTTCAGTGGTGGGGAACGCGCCTTCATCTTTGATAGATGCGCCGCCCCAGATGAGTTTGATGCCGGTCATTTTGGGTTGAAAGTCGCAATTGATAGGCGAGAAAGGGCTTGGTTCAGTGATAGACATTGAAACGGGGCATATTTAACATATTTATATCCAAAACATTGCCCAATTGCACGTCTATATCACAACAGACCGGGGGTGGTGGACAAGACCATCCGACCCCCGACGGAGCTCATGGCCGAATTTCGTGCGAATATTCCGCAATGGCCGATCCCAATGGACCTTGGAAGAGTCATTGAATCTAACTCGTAGATCTTTCCAGCACTCTCTGTACGAGTATGTGATTTATCAGCGGAATATTGCGCAACTTTGGACGGGACGGGTTCCCAGGTCCCGGGGGCGCTTTGAAATCACACGGGGGGCCCCAGTAGGTTTTGGGAGGGAAGGTGGGGGCGTCGCTATACCATTAAAAATGACTTGGATCAATCTTTGAATTCTTAGGTACATAGGTTCGTGGAGACCGGCTAATTACGGCACATCGAATGACGCACTTCCAACTTGCCAAGGTTATTGATTGCCCTGACCAAACCCATTTCTAAAGAAGGCTCCATGATCCAACTTCACTCGACCCTTCACCTGGGCAGATTACTCATTTAAATGAGATAGCACAAGAAAGGGAGGCACAGACTTACAGTCCAGGTGATATGGCGGAGAATAGCTGATCGATAAGTTTGGTAAAAGGAATTAAACATCAAAGAACAAGCTTATATGACAATAAATATCGGAATCAATTTAGCTCCCAGGAACCAACTCGTGCACGATAAGTCTATTTTCCATAATATCGTCGGCGTTCAACCAGTCCGTGGTATCAATTCTATGTTCAGCAGCCGCGGCATCAGGTACGATTCCGGCTGCTACATGACGTTTGATAAGTCTGCTCCGAGCGATATCGCGATCGACCTCAATAAACCAAGACTCATTCATCAGAGCAGAAGCCAAGCTCCATGGCTCCCTGTTCAAGGAAAGGTAGAGCCCTTCGAAAATGACTACCTTTGATCGAGGCGAGATAGGAATATCATTGACCACAGGATCCTTGATTGAATGATCAAAGGATGGCGCGTAAATCGTAGGTGTCTCTGGGGTCAAAGGTTCTCGGAGCGCTTGGACTAGTTGATAGAACGCTTGTCCATCAAAGGTGAATGCAGCACCTCGACGGTGAATTGCCGTCTCTGGATCTGACATCGCTGCCAACTGTGCCCTCGGTAGATGATAGCCGTCCATCGGTATACATGCTGCGAGATCGGTATTTTCCAATTCATTAAGACGGGCGACAACTGCAGCAGCTAGGGTAGTTTTGCCCGAGCCAGGGACTCCAGAGATGGCTATGAGAATTCTCGAGCTGTTGGGTTCGCGCTCTATCAAGCCTTGGAAATCAGTAAGGAAGTATGAACATGATTATGCTTCATACCTTGGGCCTTTCGCGCGAGTCGGTCAACATGATTCACGCTTGTCGCAATGGTCATTGTGAGTGGTTGTTGGGATGAACAAGATAAACAGACGCAAAATAATTAGAACAGGGAAATGGAGAAGACAATATAAACAGCCCTGGAAGGCCCCAAGGCACCAAGGCCTCACAAGAGTCCGGGGTTTCCCCGAAGTGGGTCTTTCGACTACATACATAGACTTCGGCAAAGACACGGCACCGATATCCTGCACTTTACATTCCACCTTACATCATGCCATCTGAAAAAGGCAAGAAACTGGCGTGAGTGGCCAACCTCAGTTCAGACTCGGTCCGGGTTATGCGCCTTGTCTGACTTAAAACATTGTAGGTGCTTGGTATGTCGCCAACGAAAGGTGGCGTGTGATCGGAGGAAACCCCGCTGTGGTCTTTGCGAGAAAAATAATTTCGACTGCGAGTACAAGCCTCGCGATCACCGTCCGGGATTGCGAGCGGGATATGTCACGTTACTTGAGAGTCGTGTTGGTAAGGAACAATCGGCTGCAAATGGCTCAGTGATCCAGGTTCACAGCTGGCTCGGCTCACATCTTCCTAGAGCAATTGGAGAGGAGAATGAACGATGTTGTCGATCGCTTGTCTCGGGATTCATCCCAAATTGAAACAGAAATAGACATCACTTCTCCTCCAACCCCGCAGCCCCTTATCCAGTCAAATCAGGAAACCGTGGGCCCTTTGAACAGCCCACCATCGGATGTACTCGCACATATACACGCTGGAGGATTGACACAGCCATCAAATAATGAGTCGATTTCGCCGCCTGATTGGGAGTCACACGATATGTGGCTGCAAAATTATCAACACTGGTTCCCGATTCTACATCGTACTTCAGTGAGCGATGCATTCTGCCGGCGAGATGTTCTACACAAAGCAATCGTGGCTATTACAATATGGGATATAGCCACGATGTCGTGGGATTGGAGACAGGCTCAGTCGTATAAACTCCGACAAGAAGTCATTCTTGAGGCTATGACGGGTGTCAATCTTCGATCAATCCAGTCCTTACTTATAATATCTATACACCTCTGGGGGAAAGGAAAGTGGCCAGAGTATAGCAGCACAACTGCTATATGTAAAAGGTAACTTTTTTTCCGGCGCCTTTTCGTGCATCAAAAGAGACTGAGTCCGTGTTTCAACAGAATGAGCGAGCAGCTGGGTCTGGGGGCAACTTCTGCAGTTGCTGGAGTTCAGCCACTGAAGACATCTTTATATCCCGACGATAGTTTTGTCATCAACACAGAAGTGGCGCAGGAAGAAGTCACGCGTGCCTTTTGGATGATTGAAATGCTAGATAGCATCTTCGCTTTAGGCGTTTCCTCGCAAGTGTCCATTCCGGCTTTTCCAGCAAATGCCAGGCTTCCCTGCGGCGATAGAATCTGGGAATCAGAAGACCCTTTCCGAGAAGATCCTTCACATCAAAAGATTCAGTACTCATCGGGATTTTCCATGTGCATTAGCTTATGTACCATCGATCTTGGTGCCGTGAATCGCTTTCAACAGACATTCCGAAATGCAGACCAAAGAGCTGGTGGCTTGGAATGGCAAAGCGGTGCCCAAAGGCTGGATGAACGTTTGACAATATGGCGAGAGGAATTCGTTGCTGCTGTCTTCCGGTTGATCAACACAGAATTTCCCGGGGACCCACGCGCTGAAATGGAACCATTCATTGTCTTGACAAATTGCTTGCTCAACATGTGAGTCGAAGAGCATCCGAGACTTCGTGGGAAAAGACTGCTAATTCTACCAGGGGTGTCATTTCCTTATTGCAATCACAGTCTTCGATGCCAGAAGGCGTAGGTCCTGGGTCAGATCCGGTAAGTCAGCCTACCTTACCTACCTAGTAGATCAACCTTTCATGATGTACAGTGGCCGTATGCGGACCATAGATGTCAATATGCGTGCGAGAACATGGCAGCAAAGGTTCGCAGAATGGAGGAAGCAGAACTTAAAACTTGCAGTCCATGTCTGATTCTACCAATGTTTGTTGCTGCTCGCTTTTATATTGGTATGTACCTACCCCCTGTGCTATGTGTCTATTACGAGCTTATCGTTTCCAGTGCATACAAAATGTTTACAGGCTGATGTCTCGGTCAACTTGCATTCCTTGGCGTTTGGTCTACATATTTGTAGCGAGCGCTGGGAGCTAGCAAAAATGTTCGAGTCAGTTATCCGGACAGCCGTGGCAGAGCATCGCACACCTGTCTCGGAGTCTGCACTTCCTTGGCAGTTTTATGATCTACAATTTTCCGTGCTGGATTTGAGTCCATTGTTACAGAATTGGGCGGATGAATCCTCAACCGCTGTACCTCACCATGTATGATAGTCGGAGAATTAGTCTGCCACTGTCGCTTGAAAAAAATCTTTCTTAAAATTGACACAATCCTTCCTTCGCCGAGCACGACGTAGATCGCCCGGCGAGATCCTGTGTTCGGTCCGTGTCTTGCCCGCTCCCCGCTCCGCAACTTCAACCAGCAAGTCGCATGTCCAATCCCATCCCCGAGTGGCCCCCGGACTGGGGAGATTGTGGAGAAACTGGAGAAAATGGAGCAAAGGCCAAAAGAAGTCAGGAACTTGTGATGGCCATTTCATATAATAATAGCATACCCCTTCACTTCCATTTTCATGGTCTTGCGCACAGATTCAGGCCGCATATCACAATAATTCTACAATGACGGTATACGGTGGCTGCCAAGGCACAAGCCTCACAATATGGATCACAGTCTGCTGTTCCTCTGCTATGGCCCTGTATGGGTACGACCAGGCTGTCTTCAGTATGTGATTTTGGTAAATTATGAGATTCTATATACTAACATTTCCAATAGGCGGTATTATTGTGACCCAAAACTTCTTGGAAACCATGGGTAACCCGGATGCAAATCTGCAGGGTACAATCACCTCTCTTTATGATGTTGGATGCTTCTTTGGTGCTGTGTCTGGAGCGTCACTGGGGTCATGGCTAGGCCGTCGGCGGGCAATTATTCTGGGAACAGTAGTCATGATGGTTGGTGCCATTCTTCAAATTACTGCATACGGTGTCCCGCATATGATCGTCGGCCGCTTGGTAGCAGGTCTTGGAAATGGGTTGAATACAGCTACGACTCCTGTTTACCAGAGTGAGACGACCGAGCCCAAATGGCGAGGCAAACTGGTCGTCTTGGGTCTTGTGGTAAATGTGGCAGGGTTCTGCCTGGCTAATTGGGTCACCTTCGGCTTTTCCTATGTCGAAGGCAGTGTGAACTGGCGATTCCCCTTGGCATTGCAGCTTCTGTTTGGAATTATGATCTTGTCAACTGCTCCCTGGCTCCCCGAGTCCCCTCGGTGGTTGATATCTAAAGATAGGGTGGAAGAGGCAGACTTTGTGCTCGCTCACATTCAAGGAAATGGCACTACACCGTCCTCTCCGACTGTTATCGCAGAGCGAAATGAAATTCTTCACGCCTACAAAGCGGAGACCGAGAATCACGTTCCTTGGGGCCAACTACTCCGGGGTAAAGCCCAAGGACCGGGAACTCTACGTCGATTTATCCTCGGACTGGGCACACAGATTATTGTACAGCTGTCTGGTATCAATGCCACATCGTATTATCTCCCAACGGTATTGACCAGCTCCGTTGGCTTCAAGGAGAAGATGGCAAGGCTACTGACAGCTGTTAACTCAATCCACTACATATTCTTTTCATACCTTGGTATGATGCTCATTGACAAATGGGGAAGACGCGGAGCGATGCTCATTGGTATGCATGGTCCTCTAGCCACTGATATGTATTTAGTTAATCATTTGAATCAGGCTCGTCGGGATGTTTCGCGTGCTACTTTGTTCTAATGCTTCTGATTCGGTTCAATCAGATGACAGACAACAGCACACTGTCTTTCAACTATGGCGCTGCATCTGTCAGCATGATATTCCTCTTCTATGCATTCTTCGGGGTCGGATGGCAGGGTACAGCCTGGCTGTACAACACCGAGATCAATTCCCTCAACATGCGAATGACTGGATCTTCTGCCAGTGTTGCAGCTCAATGGGCAGTCAACTACATGGTGGTGCAAATTACCCCGATTGGTATTCAAAACCTGCGGTGGAGATTCTATTTGATCTGGGTCTTCTTCAATGCCGTCTCGATCCCGATCATCTTTCTCTTCTATCCAGAAACAGCAAATCGACGTTTGGAGGACATCGATATCGTGTTCAAGGATGGTCTCCGTACACTGGTCTTCATGGACAAAGAAGCGATCCAGCCTCAGCGACCTGCTCGATTTATTGCCTTGGATGAGGAAGAGTTGGCGAACGCACGCGCGGCGCAAAAGAGCGAGGGGGGAACCGAGATAGAGCAAATAGAAGGATAGGCCAGGGATGGTAGACAGCCCTGGAGTCACTGTCATTGCACGGTTGATTTTGCCAAGTGCGACTTCGAGGACGTCTGATAGGGAACATGGGTTGACAATTGAACAACATATCTGGAAATTTTTGGAAAATCATATACTGATATGTGATCTACCTAGGTTCTAAAGTTGTACCAAACCTCCATGAACATCCAAAATACTTTGAATCGAAACTCTGAAGAATGCCTAGGTACGAGAGCAAATAGCCTACAGCCTGCCCAGGCGGTCCAACTAACGATAGGACGCCTAGTAGAACCCGGCATAAAGCCGACTCGGGTGCCGACTTCCCCGCATATATAAATTGGAGATTGGTTGTTCGCATTTCAAGTCAATTTACTGTGGGCTTTTATATCATTACGTCTTCGATAATGTCGGCATTGACAGCGCAGATTCGTCCACGTATGCTGGCAGCCCGGCAGGGCGCTATTCGCAGCTTCGCAACGACGCGGTATCTCCGCACGGACGCTGCTTCGTTAGCTGCGTCATTCTTGTCGCGCTTTCAATCTCTGGGGCCGCAGGTTCGCACACAAACGATAGACGCCAACCAACTCCAGCTCCTCACTCTCACACTTGATCGCCCAAACCTCTTCCCGGACACTCCCTCACTATCCAATGGCGCCTCAACCCCGCAACCCGCAACCCCAGTGCCGCCAGGTTACCACCTAGCGTATTTCACGCCCGCATTTTTGGAAAATGAACTTGGCGCAGACGGAACAGATGCCTCATATAACCCAGAGACGCCATTCACGCGACGTATGTGGGCAGGGGGTGAGGTACTGTGGCCCCGCGGCGCGGATGGGAAATCTAACCTGTTGCGCGTGGGACAGCAGGTCCAAGAGACAACGCGGGTGTTGAGTGCAGAGCCAAAGGTGGTGAAGAAGACAGGTGAAGACATGATCGTTGTTGGAGTTGAGAAGGAATTTGCCAACGAACATGGCGTATCAATCGTTGACCGACGGTCTGATTCACCATTCGAACATTGTTGATTGAGACACTGACATTGTGTAGAAACTGGGTGTTCCGCAAAGCGCTCCCAATCCCATCTACATCAACACCTAGTCCCGTTCTCCCACCATCAACATCGCACTTGGCAACCCCGAATCCTACCTCAGCCGACATCTCGACCGAGGGGAACACCCATACCCGCACTCTGGTGCAGACACCCGTGACCTTGTTCCGCTTCTCTGCCCTGACGTTTAACCCTCATAAGATTCATTATTCGTTGCCCTGGGCCAGGGATGTAGAAGGACACAGGGATGTTGTTGTCCATGGTCCGTTGAACCTGATTTCGATTCTTGATCTATGGCGTGACACCAAGGGCCGGAATGCTACAGATCATAGCGTAGTTGTCCCCGAGCGTATCTCGTATCGAGCGACGAGCCCGCTATATGCGGGCGACGAATATCGCATTGTGCTCGATGAAGGCGAGGAAACAAAGGTACAGATCATCGGTCCTAGTGGGGTCGCAATGAAGGCCGAAATCATTTAGAGAAAGGGTTTACCTAGAGAGTCAGAAATTCCTAGGCTATATCAAATTCAACATTACATCAGTTTGAAGAACCATCAGGGCAGCGAAGTAAGCATCTGCGTAGACCTGAAACTTTTGAACGGGCGGGGCGATCCTCCGCCTACATCTTTCCCTTTTATCCTCCAGTGCTGGGGTCTCAATTTCTGGCCACTGTAGAACGATTCGCATTATTCGCCCATAAGCCAAATATCATGGGGGAGTCCCTGAACCCCGCTGCGGAGATCCCCAAGAAGCGGACGCGGGTGCAATTTTCGTGCACAGCGTGCAGATATCGCAAGTAAGCCTATTCCGTGGACAGGGGGTCTTGATCCACCATTGCGGAACAATTACTGATCGCATACAGACTCAAATGCTGTCGCAATCACCCCTGCGGTAACTGCAAGAAGCGGGGCGAGGCAGCATCATGTACATATGTCGGTCGTGGTCCAAGAGGCAAAGCCCAACATGGTCGCTCGAGCCCAACGCTTGTTCAGGATCGCTTGCACCACTTGGAAAATCTGGTCATGTCACTGGCTCAGAATCAGCGACCTGACCAAGATGTTGACTCCAATACGAGTGCACACGCAGAGAACAATGTCGCGTATGCAACGCCATCTCCGGGGAGTCATGACCCTCACAACGAGTCGGCTCCCGTTGATGCGGGCACGCTCGTCGTCAAGAATGAAGGAACCAGTTACATTGACAGCGCTAACTGGCGTGCTATTCTGGAAGAGGTTCGTTCTCAGTCTATTTTTTTTTTTTTTTTTTTTTTTTTTTTTTTTTTTTTTTTTTTTTTTTTTTTTTTTTTTTTTTTTTTTTTTTTTT